ATTTTATTATTAAATATCCATTGGACACCTATTAATTTAACATTTTTAAAATCTGATTTACCTTCAATGGGATCAAATACAAGAGATGCTATTGTTTCTTTTATTGAAGAACATACCTTGACAATATACCCTTTATCAACATTTTTTGTAAATAAGACTAATGCTTTGCATGCTATTTGCCTTACATGTTCTGAAGGATCACATATTGCCATAGGAATTAAAACTTTAATTAATGTTGTAGATGCTACTTCAAATACTACACTATTTGGGAATAATGTTAATGAAAGGAAATGAACTATATATGAACGCCTTATAGCATATACAGATTTTTTTTCTAAAGACAATGCAGAAGTTAATTTAATATTTAATCCATTTCTTACTTCACGGCTAGGTAATGATAAATCTGCATAAGGTGTACACTCTCTTAATGATGTTAATATAATTGTAATAAAGGTATCCATACCTTGCTCATCCAGACTAGTGACAATTGTACTAGCTGCATTCAGAGCTAAACTTATTAAATTAGTACTTTCTTCATCTGATATACATGCTACATTTAAGAGCGTAGGAATAATATCATATAGACATGATTTTAATTTGCTTGATACAGGAATTTTAGACATTGATTTCAATAAATATATTTTCGAAGGAGTTATTGGTTCCAATATTATCTGAGATAATATAATATCTACAATTCCAGAATGAGGAAGTTGAATAATTAATTCTAATGCAGACAATCTACGTGTATCCATAGAAGATGACTTTAAAGCATCATCAATTAATTTTTGAACTGTTAATTTTATTATTTTATTATTTTCATTTGCAATTATATTTAAACATTCTACAGATATCTGCCTCACATTTATATCTGGATCTATTAATGATACTGTAATTAAAGGTAGAAATGAGTTTGTATGTTTAGAAATATCACTTTTTGGTAAAACTTTAAGTATTTCTAGGACTCCTGAACATGCTCCTAATCTCGCAGATAATGCTGGTTGATAAGAAACTTCATTAGTATGAGTATTAATTGTACCATCATCATTAAGTTGTCCTCCCAAATTTTGATAAAGTAATGGTAAAAGTTTATTATAAATAGTTTCTCCAAATTTACTTACTAAATCATTAAGACATTGAATGGCTATAATATGTTTATGATTTGAATTATTAGCATTGAGATAATTAATAATTCTTCTAATTAATATTGGGAGAATTTCTCTTAACATTTGAGGAGTATTATGAACTAATGATTTCCATAAGCCACTTGCACTATTTCTAACTCCAATATTTGAATCACTTCTAGCCATATATAAAGCAGCCAATATATAAGATCTTCGTTGAGGTGAAAATACAACCTCTTCTAGATCCTGATTATCTGAAGATGAGGTTTCACTCTTAATGTTAAGTTGTCGCTTTATTAATTGATCAAGCAAGATTCCAAAAAGTGAACAACTATTTAATCTAACTCTCCAATTATTGTTTGATAAACCATCTTCCAATGGTTGTAGTAGTAGTGCAGCATGAGCACATCCATATTGCATTACTATTGCCTTACAAGATCTTAATGCAACATCTCTAACAGACTCATTATCATCTCCTAAATTATTTAATAAACATGGTAGTACTTTTGGTACAAATATTCCCATATCTTCACCAAAAGACCGAGGTAAATATATGAACAATCCTATATATCCTTCTTTAGAAAAATTTGAGTCCACAGTTTTAGGTATTTCATTACAATTAGAACTTTCTAATTCTTCTATGGACTTATTATCTTGAACTACCTTACTTTTATCTGTTACGTGGGAGTTTATTTTAGCTAGTATAAAGGGAAGTAATTCTTGAAATTTGCCAACCCCAAAAACTGCTATAATTTCTGCTAGTGCTGCAGAAGCCCCACTCCTTAATGTTTGCCCAATATCCTGGCATAAAATACGAATAAGCCAGTGGAAAAAAGGATTTATCTTTTCTTCACCTACAGTTCTTGCTAAAACACCACATAACTTTGCTGTTAAAAGACGAACTTCAGGTATTGGATCTGATAAAATTATATGGATAGATTGTTGAAGAACAGGAAAAAATGGAAGTATATCTGACGTATTTCTTAACAAGCATACCAAAGAAGTTATTATTTTTATAGAGTCCTTCTTTATTTCAGCACTTCTTTCGGCTAATGCCTTGAATAGCACTGGAAATAATAAAGCTAGAGTAGTAACATCTACTGTATAAATAAATGTTACACAACGTAAAGATTGCAAAGCATTCTTAATATTAATTTCATTTGGATCTACAAGAGCTATAATGAGCTCAGAAGATATATCTTGAATTTCAGGGTTCTTCACAATACTGGACATATTTTCTAAAGTTTGTCTAGCTGCTTCCGAAACCTTAGGATGTGAATCCGATGTTGCAGAACATAAAGTTTGAATAGCCTGTGGTAAGAATGCAGCTAACTGATGTGGTAGTTTAATTGTCATAATTTCCAAAAGTCTTAGACTGGTTAGCTTAGTTCTCCATTGTTTCTCATGAATTCCCCTTGTCATAATTGGAAGTATTAACTTAACCCCATATATTGAAAGATTTTGAATAATAATTTCTGCTGTATTTTGAGCATATATCCTAATATCTTCATCATTATCAGCAAATAATTTCATAATTAGAGGTAGTAAATTCACACTATATGGTTCAAATAGTCTGTTTAAATATATACAAAGTGATCCTATACATAAAAGACAACCTTCAATACCTTTTCGACTTATTTGGCTATTCTTATAACCTGAAGTTTCCATAATATTATTAATAATGTCAATAATACCAAATTTTCTTAAATACTTTACCCCAATGCCTTTTGTTAAAGCTCCTATTACGTGCGAAGCCCCTATCTGTATAGTTTTATCTGGAATACATAAACAACAAGATAATGATATTTTGAATGTATCTTCTACAGTTTCTGGGCAGGATTTAGGAGGCAAATCTTGACTTTTAAGATCTTCAATACATATTACAGACTTATTGAAAGACTTGTTGTTATAGATCAAATTGAATAATTGTGGTAGTATTTTGTTATATTCGCTTGGAATAGCATCTAAAAATAGTTTACTATTATTTCCTTCACATAAATTCCCTTGAAGAAAATTCAAAGTTATTTCTTGACAAATTTTAACAACAGATGTATCCGAAGGTGCACAGTGCGAAGCTGAATACCCAATTGAAAATGCTAAAATATTTTGAAATTCACCTGAGTTATTAATAGGTTTGTATGTAGAAGCTAAATATTGTAGGGATATCAAGACATCTGATACATATGTCACATCGCTCAAATTATCTAATACATAGACAATGGAACTTGTTATACATTCTCTGAAATTCCTTCTACTGATTTCATCGCTGCTTTTAATATATTTGTACTCAGTAGATTCTGCTCTCTCTCTTCTTATAAGTACACGATTTCTAACAATATTACTTTTTATAGGCTCTTCGATTTCTAATCTATTGTTGTCAAAATTCCCAAATAATTTAGAGTCTACAACATTAGTTAGAGTGAAGCTTATTACTTGGCACAGCTTGTTACTACTTGTATGTAAAGCTAACAATGATAAAGTAAACAAAATACCATTTATAGAATGCCTAGTCTGTATAGCTCTAATTACATTGAAAGGAATATGTTCAGATCTAGTGCTAATGAGACTTCTCCAGTGATGTATAGTTGAGGGGTACATTCTTTGTATCATAGATCCTGAGGTTAAAGAAGGCCAATCATTACTACTGAAAGTTGGTTTTGTTTCCCAGCTTGAGAGTATAGAAGTCAACTTTTTTATAAGATCATCTATAACCTCAATCCCAGATGAAGATTCTAAAGAATATTTACAACTAAATGAGCCAATTGCTTTAGCAACTAATAACTGCAGCAATTCAGTAGTAGCTGGAGATATTAATAAATTAACAAGAGTATCCAAAGTCTCTAAATTTCTTTTGTAGTAATCATTAGTTGAGGGATAATATTCTAGAATTTTATTTGCTAGATCTGAAATATTAAATATTTCTTCAAAATAAGTTTCATCTGCACTTTTATTATAAAGTTTAGATATATTTTTAGATTCAGAAAGTATCTTTAGTATCAACCAGGATTTATAAGATAAAAAATGATCTATTTTGTTCAATAATGAAGAAATAAATTTCAAAACAATTAAAGAAATATTAAGAGAATGGTTCAAAGCTATACATAAAATAAAATCCATATCATCTGAAGACTCAACTTTTATAGAATATAAAACTTTTTTAAACGGATTTAGAAAATAATCTAGTGTAGAAGAAGGTCCAAGCGCAAATAAATAAAGTGTAAGGAGATTAGTTATATAATTAGTAGGAATAAAACAACCATATTTTAATGAATTAGAGAGGCATTCCAAAATAAAAGGACAATTTTGTATTAGTGGTTCATCATGCAAGCATCCACGTAATAATATATTTGATCCTATTGTAACTAAAAGTGCCAAGCCATATGAATTTTTAAAGACTAAATGTTGGTTTATATTCATGTTTGGTTTATCATCTGGAATATTTGAGTTAATAGAATTAGATTCAGTGATCATTGACATAGCAACTTGTAAGCTCTCATCGGGAGTAGAATTGGGATTATAATAAAGGGAGTTAAAAATTCCAAGTCTGATAGATTTAAGTGGTATTATTTTAGGAAGAATTGATAAGAAGAATCTAGAAATAGGATATCGAATAGCTTCAATCCATAATAAAGGTGTAATTTCGAATAAAAAATGTGTACAAGTTTCTTCAAAAACTTTTGTTACCTTAATTTTATTGTCTTGTTTAATTAATAATAATATCTGAATAACATGAGTTGAATTTACTACCTGGTTAACAATTTTGTCAATCAATTTTCGAATATTCGATTGTTCAATGATTTGTTGTGCCACTATTTCTTGTTTTGTAAGGCTTTGATTCTGTGTTTGAGAACTTGTAACTAGCTTTTGTGTAGTGCATACTAAGGAGTTCTTGGCCTTTGGTTTTGATGAAGATTGAGATTTACGTAGTTTTGCTAAGGTAAATGCAGATTTATTCTGTGTATCAATTATATTTTTAGTTTTTGGTTTGTTAGTTTTATCTTTTACATCATCAATTTTGGCTTTATTTTCCAAGTTCATATCTTCAGTTACTTGATAAAGCCAATCATAATTAACTAAAGTACCAAATATAGCTGAATTTCTATTGTAGTTATCCGATTTAATAAAATTTCTAACTTGATCTATATATATTAGAGATGATTGAGGCGAAAGAGGCAAATTATTCAAATTTGAGGCTGTCATTTCTTCCATTGGGAGATGAGAATTTGTTTTATTATCAATGTAAAGAGTATTCGGATTTACCAAATATAATTTTGAGTAAAATTCAGGCATACATCTAACTAGATGTATTGATGACTGAGTATTTATATAAATTAACTTTGCAATCTTTTCTGAAAATTTATCATTGGAAATGTATTCATTAATATAAACCATGGATAACGAGGCAATTCGAAAGCCAGTTGTTTCATGGCTAGGAAGAAAAGTAGAATCTATAATTAAACCAATAACATAGTCAAGGAAAGCCTCATCAATATACCACATCTTGAAAATATTATCCATAATCTTTCTTTGGTTCTTGGATATCAAGAAGTTTTCATCATCAATATTTTTTTTAGATAGCAAGGGATGAAATAAACATAATATTAATAAGCTGCAGTACTCTAAACCTATACTTAAAGGTCCACCTTTAATTGTGGGGATTTGAAGCAAAGCTTTAAAAATATTAAGCCAAAAAGAGGTAGGTTTGTCAGTTATATTGCAACGAGAGGTTAAATGATTCTGTTTCTTCAGAGCATAAACCCTTGCAAGTAAAGTTGCAAATTCTAAAATGATACTTCTACATATGGATAAATCGCTGATTCCAGACAATATATTAGTTATAGAATAAGTCACCTGTTTATTAATGTTTGGATTATTAATATTATGATCAGTTATGGATCCCCTTATTGAAGGTATCAATAAGACCTGGTTAAATATTTCACTGCATGTAACAAATTCATTATTCAAGATATGGAGTAAATCAGAATTTTCGCAATTAAAAGATAATAAAATAGTTCCGAGTTGAATTAAAAACGAGGAGATTATACAAGATGACATTGAATATCTAGATGATGTAAATATTGTTAAAAAGGTATATAACAATCCAGATGAATCTTTTAGGTTAATGAGATTATCTTTAAAATCACATAAGTTATTTGCATTATTTATTAGTACATTGTAAAGAATTTGGAAATTGTATATATCATTAATATTATATTTTAATGCTGATGTAATATTAAGACCATGTAATATATTATTTAGAGAAGGATATATATATGAGATAGGATTACTTACGATCTTTTTAATCTGAGGAGTATCAAAAAAGTTGTCTTTCTTACTTTTCTTATACCATAGTATTATCCCACAAAATACACCAAAGCACAAACGTTTTTGAACAGCGTTTTTTTTAATACTAGATAGGAGCAAATTTAGAGCAATGTCTGAATTCATTATACAGTCATACATGGATATTATCTCATCATTTAAAGTTCCATACTCATGAACTAGATATAATGAGTGACATATGCAAGATAAAATTGAAAGTTTGATTACATCTGAAGCATTTGTAATAAGTAAATACGACTTTTCTAGAAAAGATCTGCAAAAATCTAAATAGCCATATATACAGCAAATCGAGTAGTATATATTACTACAATAATATGAAATAGTTCTAAAGTGTTCTAAAGTGCTTAAAGATGGAAGTGGAGGTGGATTACCTTTTATAAGAGAAATTATACCATTCTGTATATCTTCTCGCATAAATAAAGCTTCCATAATATCACTTTGATATTTTGCTCTTAAGATACCTTGAAAAATAGTAGCAATAGTAAACAATTTCGCCAATTTCTCTTGAGCACTAGACATTGAACAGGTAATAGTGTGAATAAGATCATATATATAGTTTATTAAGGTAATATTTAGGAAGTATCTTGAAAATAGATATACAATATTCAGACATGCATTGATAAATTGATTGTCTATTATTTGTGGAGAATCTGTAATAATACTATTACATTTGAGGTAAATTAAGTCAACTAATACTCTAATTATCTCACTAGAATATGTTTTCCAATTAAAAAATAACTTAGTTTCGATTATACAATATTCCAAAAGTTGTATAAGTTCAATTGAGCATTGAGGACGCTTTATTAATCTAGTTATAGTTGGTATAACACTGTTTCGTATACAATCATCCTTTAAAATTTTAAAAATTCTCTTTATGGTAATATATTTGTAGGTATCACTATCTGATAGTATTACTAAGGGTAGTAAGTCAGTTATATATGCTTCTAATTCGTCATAAGTTTTTTTTTCAAAATTAGAATAATTCATCAAACATAAAGCAATATCTAAAGTAATATTTTCAGCCTTAGTAAATTTGCTTAAATTCTTTATAGTTTTCATTTCAACTATGATCCAATCAAATATTAGTATTGGAAAGTACTTTGCAATGCACTGTGAAATATCAAAAATCAAACTATTATAATAGCAGACTTTATATAAGCATATATTTGGATATGCATTAACAATAAGATTTTTTAGGAGTTTAATTAAAATATTGTCATAATTACATTGGGAAAGGTTGTATTGGGACTTTTTGTGACTCTCAATAAACCATATAGCACATACAATAGCCCAATCTGAAGAGTTCGATGAAAATAGGTTAAATACGTCATTTACAAATTCAGGACCTTGTGACTGTGAAAACTTGCCAATGTTAATCATAAACTCTTTTGAATAAACCCTTAACATTTTATTAGATTTAGCTAAGTGCTGCGATGCAAGGATAAATGAGCATCCATCTAAAATTGCTGAGATTACACATTTAGACTCAGAATCATTCATTTCTCTTTCTAATACTTCAACAGAGAATTGTGTAATCTCTTCAAATCTATTTGACCTATTTTCATATGTACTTTTGATACCTTCTACATTATCTCCTGTAGTTGAGATCTTAGACTCCATACTATCAAATTCACAAATCAAATTAAATAGTATGTCTGCTAATCTAATCGTCTCAATTTACTTTTTTTTATTCAAATTCAATTTGCAAATCTTGAACTATTCGGAATTTTTCTATAAACTGTTAACAAAATTCCACTCTTTAAAGATGTATAGCGCTACAAATATTCCCAGTTACAGTTCTTTCCTTTTTTGTTTTAAAGTACTTCCACTTAAGGAAGAAAATTCACAGTTTATGTATTTTAGTAACACAACTAAATGAGAATAGGTTAATTTTGATACTCCACTAAAATTTTCACAAGGCTAACTTTAGATACTATTAAAATTGGTGCAGGGATCTCAAAAATGGAGACAGATACCAGGGGCGTCTCAAAAGTCGCACAGTACGCTTTAGGCTCTTAAAGCCAAGTTTTGCAATTAACATCTGAAACGTAATTTCCTTTATGCCCTCGATATGTAGTGGATTAGCTTGGAATTAGAGACTTTGATTAGTCCATGCAACTTTTTTTTCTAGCTAATACACTTCATTATCACAGATATCTAGGACTTAAAAAGGTTATAGTTCTCTATATACTAAAATTAATCATGTAATAGCTTTCATCAATTGTCTTCGAACACTATTCTAAAAAGTGAGGATAACTTATTATATTTAAGAGAGATATAGATCAAGAGTTCACTTTAAAACCAATGTACTTTGTCAGAGTCACTTCTAATACCCAGCTTCCCTATTACATTGTCTTACTACAAAAACTTTCCCGTTATATTGTTAATTATTAACTTATAAAGTATCAGTATTCTAAAATATCAATTCCTTAACCCCTCGTATTCCTAACTAGAAAATCTTAATAAATTTAAGTATACTTTAATAATTCGAATTTGTATAGCATATTAAAGGTTTTAGTAAGAAATTATTTAATATTAAATTAGTGAATAAATCCTCGGTTTATGACTCTGGATACTTGTGCTAAATATTAAGAAAGTACAAACAAATAATATCACATGATGAAGAATATTTAGATTCATATTACTTCAAATATTGCCTAAAATATTACATTTAACATAGATCAATACCCTCAAACTCCATAAGTCTAGTGCTGATACCAACAGCAAAACCTAACACGTCGAAATATAAAGTATCCATATTTGCGCCAAAATCAACTTTTAAGGCATCTCGGCTATTTTAGACCTTATAGTCCACTAATGATTCCTCAAGAGTACCCAGAAACAAAACTCTCGAAATTCGTTATAAGCTATGGTAGTAAAAACCAAAGTATAAGTTTACTTCCACTAGCTTGTGACTCGCAACAAGTTTCACTAAAACCCTTTAGGGACTATTCAGCATCATTGAATTTGAAACTTGATCATGCATCTCGTCCACTTTGGGTTTTTCCGGATGGTTTGATAATTGTGGAAACATTCCATGTTAGTAGTTCAGCAGCTTGTGAATTCCTTTCAACTGTAGCAGAGCCTCTAAGTAGACCTGAGTTAATTCATGAATATCAAATGACAATTTTCTCTTTATATGCAGCTGTTTCATTAGGAATATCAGTGAATTCTATAATAGAAACCTTAAATAAATTTAGTAAGAATGAGGTTCCTGATGTTTTAGTGAAGGCTATAATTAGTCACTGTAAATCTTTTGGAAAACTTAAAATAGTCCTTAGGGATGGGAGATATTTTGTGGAGGCATCAAACAGAGAAGAATTATCTTACTTATTATCTGATGAAAGGATAAAATTATCAAGAGTTTACTCAGGAACATCTTTTCAGTTAAACTCAGGTGAGAAGAGCTTGCAAGGAACTTCAAATGATGAATTTAATGTGTCTGAAGCTCCCTTATTAAACCCAAAAGATTTGGCATTTAAAATAACTGAAGAGTGCCAAGTATCCAATAATGGATCTACATCAGCTAATATCTACTCATTCGAGATTTCTGGAGACAAGGTAGATTTAGTTACCATGATTTCTTTTGTAGATCTGCATAGACCCTTACTCTCAGAATACGATTTTCGATCTGATCATAGAAATCCTTCCTTAGATATTACTCTCAAACATACTACTCAGATAAGGTATTACCAAGAATATGCACTACGTATGATGTTTAGTAATGGTAGAGCAAGATCTGGAATTATAGTTTTACCTTGTGGAGCTGGTAAGACGTTAACAGGAATTACTGCAGCTTGTACAATGAGGAAATCTATCTTAATTTTGACAACTAGTGCTGTGGCAGTGACTCAATGGAGGCAACAATTTGAGGATTATACAAATGTTGATAGTCGACGTTTGCACTGCTTAACTAGTGGAACTAAAGATTCACTAGGACCAGCTTCTGAAGCTGAAATATTAATCACAACTTATACAATGATGGCCTTTACTGGGAAAAGAAGTGCATCCTCCGCTCATATCATTAATCAAATACAGGAAAGAGAGTGGGGTTTGCTAATATTTGATGAAGTCCAATTTGCCCCAGCTCCTGCTTTTAGAAGGATTAATAGTATTGTTAAAGCTCACTGCAAATTAGGTCTTACTGCTACTCTTGTTAGAGAAGATGATTTAATTCAAGATCTTCAGTGGCTAATTGGACCTAAACTATATGAAGCAAATTGGATGGAATTACAAGATCGTGGATACTTAGCTAGAGCATTATGTAGTGAAGTTTGGTGTCCAATGACATCCGAGTTTTTTAAAGAATATCTAAATTGCTCACATGCAAAGAGAAGGAAATTGTGGGTATGTAACCCAAATAAGCTCAAGGTGTGTGAGTTTCTTATTAGGTGGCATGAGCAGAGAGGTGATAAAATCCTAGTTTTCAGTGACTCTTTATTTGCCTTAATTAGTGTTGCAGTAGCTTTAAAGAGACCTTTTGTATGTGGAAGTGTAGATATTTTAGAAAGAATTAAGATTCTTCAACAATTTAAGCAGAATCCCAATTTTAACACTATTTTCCTCTCTAAAGTAGGAGATAATGCAATAGATATTCCTTTGGCTAATGTTGTTATACAGATCTCTTTTAACTTTGCTTCTAGAAGGCAAGAAGCTCAAAGATTAGGCCGTATACTTCGTCCTAAGCCATATTCTAATTGGCAGAAAAAATCTTTATCTGCTTCAATAGAAAATACAGAAGATCCTGTAAATGAGACGTCCTATAATGCATTCTTTTATTCACTTTTATCAAAAGATACAGAGGAAATGCAATATGCTGATAAAAGGCAACAATTCATTATTGACCAAGGGTATAGCTATAGAGTTCTCCCTATAAATTCTTTCCCTCTAGACAATGAAAACTTACACTTTAGCGAATTAAGTGCCCAGATTGACTTATTAAATAAAATAAAAGCCAGTGATGATCTTTTATCAGATGATGAAGAAGATAATGTATTAACTTCTGGGAGAACTACTCAGATAGACAATATGAGCACTAGATATCCCAAAGTAATTACAACGAAATCAAGCCTTGCCAAGTTATCTGGTGGAGATCTGGAAATTTCCATAAAAGCTCAAAATGACCAAATAATCAGTGGAGCATTGAATGCAAGACCAACAAAATTAAATAGACCTGTAATCACTTTGAAGCAGAGATCTAATAAAGCTAAAATTAGTGATATGCACTCTATGTTTAGAAATTTTCACAAAAACAAGCAAACTTAGGATATAAATTAAAAGCTAGTAAACTATACTATATACTTTTTTAGAAACTGCTTGTGGAAATCACTTCTAACAGTATCATTGATGAACCTTTTTTTAACTTTTTTTTCGCGCTTTGACTGATTACTAAATACTACATCATCTGTCCATCTTTTTTTTAGTGTAAAGTCCTTTACTTCATTTTCTGACTCAAATTCATCTTCAAGAAGAGGATTTCTTTGTAGCTCACTACCTAATAGATTAACTGTTTCGTCTTTAGCCGCATTAGCTTGGTTGGATTTACGGATTCTCTCCAATTCAAGTATTAGAGCTTTCTCATCATCATCTGCAGATGAAACTTCATCTTCACTAGATATATTTTCATGTAATAATTCGTCATCAGAATCACTATTTTCTTCAGATTCTTTTTCAGTATTTTGTCTTATAGGAGTATCAAATTTAGTAGAATCATTATTTTCTTCATGCTTATTTAGTCTTCTATATTTTAGTTTCAGGTGTCCAGGCTGCTGAGAACTTAATACCTTTTCAGACTGAATTTCATGATACCTTATATCATATAAATTATGCATTTATTTATATTTATATTTATATTATATAATTCGTATTTTCAATACTTTGACACTTAAATATAATGCATATTTTAGCGCCTAAGATTTAGTAAAAAGGACATACTGACAAAACATGTACTGTAACTTACCAAAAAAATGAATAAATTTCATAATTCTATAACTTTGATACTCTACAAAATTACTAAACTTATTAATATTTTGATAAGTAAATGGTTAAAGCTTCTTCTGAAAATAAATTCACTATTATTAAAGGAAGATTTGATACTAATCTTTAATAGTAAACATTTTGAAATAAAAATACTTTAATTAATGTTACTTGGTAAAACTATAAATTTACCTTTCAGGTACTTAAAATTTAAATAAATTAGAAGTACTGCATGCATGTATAATTTATGCATGCAATATATTATGTTACCGGTGTTTCTAGATACACATTTCCAATATAAATTGTATATAATATGGAACTAGAACTGATAGAAGACAAACAAGACATTCTAAATGGACTGAGCATTGATAATAGCTCGAAATCATACGAAGTAAATTTTAATTTTAATTTAAAAACTTCCAGGTTCAAAGATAATATGAAGTTAGAGAAAGTAAACTTTTTAACTCACAACTATCTAATAGAAAACTCAAAAGAAAATTTAAATAATCATTTTCAATTAAGTAAATCAAGAAATATTTGGATTGAAGATGAAATTGAAGAATCCCTCAACTTTCTTAAGACTATACTTGAGTTTAACTCAAGAAGAAATCCAAATATACAAAGTTATAGCTTAATTATGAAAAAGCTTTTATATATTTTGAATATAATACATCGCAGTTATTTTTACAGAAAATTTGACCAAAATACTTTGTCTTTTTCACCAGAGTACAGTTGCAAAGATTCACTAATTGATTGTAATAACTTGACTGGTAAATACAATAATCTTGAGATCTATCAAAATCATGATTCCCAACAACTGAGTCTGCCCCCTCTTATTAAATCAGAATATTACTATATCATAAAACTAATTAAAGATATTCTGAATAGAGAAATAATTAATACTATTAGGATTTCAGACACTCTCTACTGGAATTCAGAAAATTTAATATTTAAGATATTTGATGGAAATAGTATAGATTTTGGATACGAAACTTCATTAGAACAAAAAGATAATTTGAATAAGGATTTAAAGACTCATATTGTATCTAATGGAAGTACAAGCCATGCTTTATATTCTAAGTATAAATATTCATATGAGAAAAGAAGTAAAGATGCCACAGGTTTAAATTTAAGCAAAAATTTTGATAATATACTCTCAAATACTAAATTTTATAGAAATAATATATATATTGATATTGGTGCTAGAAATACTGTTGAACAAGTAAATAAATTTTTACTTTGGGATATTTCCTTAGCTATTAGCTCAAATAGATATTCACTTTTATCTTTTGAGGATAGTATTCTATTCAAGCCAATTAAATACTTCAGAAATGAAAGTTTATTTGGAGATTTGAAAAGTAATATACAGCCTATAATTACTAAAGTAAATAAGAACAAGAACAATATGCAATTTATGAAATTACTTGGAACTTGTGATATTAATGAAATCCAAAGAGATAATGATGAATATATAAAGTATCAAATGACTGATAATAATCAGAAGCTTATCTTATCAACCGAAGATAAATTGGTGGAAATGTCTTCAACACAAGAAATATTATCAGAGAAACATAAAAAATTTTATTTAGGTAATGAAATTTTATCTAAAGAAAAAGTGGAAAGAACAGATAAGTATTTTAACTATGAATATAATCTTATTATAGACAGAAATACAAATTTACCTCTTTTCAGTATTCAAATATTACCACCAATACAATTTAGACTAATCACATCAACAGATAGAGCTCCGGAAAGCAATAAAGATTTCCTTGCAACTAGTTTGTACCAAAATAACAGTTTCTTTATTGTGAAAAGTAATTTTGACAAAGTTTCAAGTTATCGACAAGATGATAATTTACTTACATTTAAAAAAGGCAAGGTAAAAGCTATTTGTTCAGACAATTACAAGTTAAAGAGTGAAACAAACTCCCTAAAAATAAATTCAGCTATTACTTGTTTTAAAAAAGTGAATGGTAATATTTCAGAGCTTTCCAATGAGTCTTCAACAAAAGTAATTAGATGTGATCTAAACAAGCCAGAGACTGAAAATACTAATTGCATAAATGATTATTGTTCTGGCTCTTCTCAACTTCTGAATGAATCAGATATACAATCACCCTATATAAAACAAACTTTAATTTACACAAATACCCTAGCTGATATTTGCAAGCAAAGTATATTTATCAATAACAGGCAGTATAAGGAAGCTACTACAGCTTCGAAAACTGTGTCCAACTCTACTGATAATGAATATGGGATATCCTTGAACAATAAAAAATTCTCTGAATTAAAAAAAACAGTTATAGATGAGAGAACTCAAGAAATTGAGGGATTCCTGAACAAGAAGTTTGAAGTTACAAACTTAACACAAAAAACAAAAAATATAACTAACTTTGAAGAAGATTTTGTGAAAAAGAAACGTTCATTTGGAGTTTTTGATAAGTTAGTAGCTATATCAAATAAGAAAAGAGCATTTTCAGAGTTAAGTAGCAAAGAGCTCTCTTGGGAAAGTACCATAGCTATAGATGTCATTAAAAGTGCGGGACGAAATAGAAAAAAAAGACTAATATAGGAGCTTTTTAAAAAAAGTTTAATAACTTGATTTGACTTCTTAATAAATAGTGACCAATATTAATTATATGAAATATCGAATTAATTTTAATTTTATGGTTTCGTTTCTAAATACAAAGCTTTAAGTACTTTATACAGATATCTAAATGAGACTAACACAGGGATCTAATAATTATAAAATAAAATTGATTAAATAATTAATTTGCTATACTTAAAATACACAGATAATATATAGTTATGTACAAATAAGCTAAAAAAGTGTTGGATGTATATAGTTTTAAGGAATTTATCTAAATCTAGTAACTTTTTTTTATCTTCTGAGATGGAGTCCTAATCAATTTAAATTGAATAACCATACTATTGAAATATAAATAATATTAATCTTATAACTATTTAAATCTATCAAAATACGATAATATACATTTTATAAATCAGTATCTTACTTTCTAGTAGGTATTGTAACATCCTTGTCCTTACCTTGTAATAATTTACTTTTGACTATACAATCTATCAATAGTTAAAAATAAGTGAGCTGATTTAGATAATATTTTTTGATAGTACTTTATTATGTATTATAAAGTAAACTCGGATATAGGAAATTAATTTTAACATGGAAGTAATATCGCTACTTCAAAAATACAAAATTGAAGACTCACTTGTGATTTAGTATTTAATATATGTTTATATCTTATATAAACATAATCCGTTAAATGGAATTGATTTAATTAATATTTCTCAATATATCATAAATCACAGAATAAGTTAGATCTACAAATTTATTATTTTTTTTCATTTATGAAGTTGGTTACTTTTATTAGTGAAATATAACTTTACTATTTACCATTTTTTAAGTCTATAACTGGTTCAGTGTATTTAATTATGAGTATAATTTATAAATATCAAATTTAAAATTCATAAAGTATTTCAATAAATTACAACTACTCAAGACTTTACTAATCACCATACAATTTAAAATTTAATTCTCAAATTTGTGTTCTAATAAGTTTAATATACCACTTATAAAACTTGTAAGGAATTCATGATTTTAATATAATTAGTGTTTATATAGAAACAAGTGGAATTACTTAAATTTGTGTTTTTAGATATACAGTTGCACTTATAAAAGTATGGAAGAAAAATATATAATCTTATAATATGTTAGGTCTATCAGAATCATTTATAGATGTGCTCAAATTAGAAATATGTCCCCATATTGATATCACTTTTTAATTCGAAGCTATTTTGGATAGTAGATGTCTGAAATTCTGTAACCGCTAAAAGCATAAGCTCAATTTTGTGAATGTATTCAATAGTTATGGAATATACAGATCAATCTCTATGACTAACCGTCATGACTTAATATTTGGTGATAGTGTATGCAGATTTTCTAAAAGTCCCCAGAATATTTTAATAATTAAAAGACCGAAATCTCCAAATGCAACATCTTTAGCTATTGAATTAGGGGAATTTCTATTCACAGTATATAATGCAATATTATATTGTGAAGAGGATGCTTTGGATGATTTGAATAAATATAACTCCAGTTTTAAGTTTATTTCAATAACAGGGATTAAAGAAGATTTGGGTGAAGTTATTGATTTAGCAATTTGCCTAGGAGGAGATGGGACCTTATTATGGCTTTCTCACTTATTCCAAACTTCTGTACCACCAGTAGTTAGTATCGCAATGGGATCACTTGGATATATGGCATTGTTTCATTATACTAGAGCACATGATATAATTGATCGTATTATGAAAAAAAGGACATTTGCAGTCACTTTAAGATCAAGACTTAGTTTGTACGCTTTGCTTGAAGATGGAAATATTAACCACACTTCTTGTTTAAATGAGTGTGTATTTGAAAGAGGGAATAGACACTGTTTAGTATCATTAGATGTATATTGCTCTGGGTGCTACTTTACAAGAGTTTTTGCAGATGGTCTTATATTGGCTACTCCTTCTGGCTCTACAGCTTATTCTATGTCTGCAGGAGGAAGTATTGTACATCCGAAAGTTCCAGGTATACTCTTTACTCCAATATGTCCACATACACTTTCGTTTAGGCCAGTTATATTACCAGAATCTACTGAATTACTTATCCATGTCCCAAATAATTCTAGAAATGGTGTTCAGGTAGCTGCTGATGGAAGAAGTGTTGTTGAACTTAAGACTGGAGAATTTGCAGCAATTAAGATGTGTCCATATCCATTACCCTTGGTCTTATGCCCTCAATTGTATGAGCTACCAGCTAAAAATATGGAATTTAATTCTGAAACAAAAACTCGTAGAAGATCTGTTGGTGAAGTTCCAATTAGAATAATAAATTCAAAAAGTGTTTCAAATGAACTACTAAATAATTCCTATATAAATAAACAGTTAGAATTTGATAAATCGTTATATTACCCTATAAATGAAAAAATTCCACCCTTAACTTTCGTTTGTCCAGTTTGTTGGAAAGATTATGATTGTATGTGCGGATTATCAGGAGTAAATACGGTTTATATTGAAGGAAGTCAAACTTATTATAAAAGAGATTACTGGCTAGATTCACTAAAAATATCTTTAGATTGGAATTCCCAAAGAACAGTTCAAGCACCTATGGATTTGACAAGTGTTCATTCGAATAGTAAAACTTCAAATTCTTATGAACAAAAAATAACAAAGTTTCACTCATATAATTTTAATTTTCCATGCAAGGCTTTTTCGAAATTAGATATATCAGAAGAACAAATGATTCCCCAACATGCTGCTTGTTTTTTAAGAAAGATTAGGCAACTTAGCCATTTAAATATTGATGATCATTATGGAAACTATATTGTAGATCATAAAGTAAGCTGCATAAATCCATCTAAAAGTAGTTTCAATGAATATAATTGTGATTATAAGTCATTCTGCAAAACTCAGACTGATAAGTCAGTTCCATTTTTATCTACTAACACTGAAAATAACTCGCAGTATAGGAAAAGTATTTCAAAAAATAGAACTCCATTTTTTACTCCAGTAAAAATACCAGGTGTGATTATTTTGGATAGAAAAGTGGATGAATAAACTAAAAGTACACTTCAACATGTACATAAATTTATTTACTTTCTGTTATACTAAGTCTATTTGACAAATATTTACTCCTATATATTTGATATATTAAACAACTCTTGTTAATACCTATTTATAAAGTTAGTAGTGATATTCTTACTACCATCTAATAGATAACACTAATCTTGATCTTAACTACTAGTAATCTTAATTTATTTTCCACTGAGAGTAAATTCCATCTAGACTCGTACAGGCAATTTCCTTTGAGTCTATGATCTGTATATCTGTTATTGGTTTCTTGTGTATAGTATTTAATATAAAAAGTTCTGTTGGGTCATTAATACCCTGCCACTCAGGTTGAAGGTATAATGGTATATTTTCTTTACTTGCAGATGTAATAAATATCCACTCTGATTTAGTACTTTTCTCAATTAAAATTGGTATACAGTCATGACCTACTGCTACAATTAAGTAATTTCTAACAAATTTTATACTATGAAATGGTAATCCAAACCATTTAAGCTCTATATTTTTAAGTGAACCTTGTTTTTTCAAATTTATAATGTGGATAATACAATCTCTTCCTGTAAATGCAACCAATTCATTATCGGGACTGAAGTCACATGATAATATTGAACTTTGTTCTTCAATAGAAAGCACAACTTCAATTTGGTCATGAGATAGGAGATGGTTATCATTATTTATAGAATTACCTAACTTTAGAATTATAGCCTTCCCATCCATAGTTCCACATCCAATCATTGTTCCATTAAGATTCCATGATAAACAAAGAATTGGTAAGTCAGTAAGAGCTACTTTTTGTTGGACATATGTATGAGATCTCATTATTATTGCCTTTCTAGACATATTAGAATTACAGAAATCTACTTTATTTTTGTAAAAGAAGAAAATATCTCCACTTGCAGTAGCAACCGAAAAGCAGTTACTATTATAGAGAGGCCTAAAACTACATATAGTAGGAATGCAATTTGATGGTAAGACATTTAAAAGAGGAATAATTTCACCTAATTCTGATGGATTAATCTCTTCAATATACCAAACAATCACTAGGCGATCTTCACCACTAGAAAGTAAAAAGGATATACCTTCACTTTTAGTTGTACCTTCAGTCCAATCTATTCTGGATATCCGCCCTCTATGCTTACTTAAAGTTTTTATCAAGATACCAGGTTTTCCATCAGTTGTATCATAGATATTTATTCTTTTGTCCCCCTGAATAGTTGCTAAATCTAGAATATTAATTTAGAAAGTAAATATTTTTCTAAGCAAACAAAATTCTAATTCAAGGGAAAACTAAAGCTTACATTTTCCTCCAGGATGTAGACAAAATCCTGTAATACAAGAATTTAGGAATTTGTTGTATATTGCCTCCATAAGATCATCAGTAGTACTTCAGAAATAGAACTGACAAGGTGGGGGTACTAGTAAGCAAAGAGTAATTTGTGGGTACCGAATTGGCGCTACTGTTTAGACATTGCATACCCCATGCATGCAATATAGTGGTCTTTCAGGCTTCTTTCTTTTCTTTTGTAAAGGTCTATTTGAAGAAAATACAAGAGCTAATGGATCTTCCACAATTAGATATAACACATGAAGATATACTGAGAGTCAAAGGCCTGCTAGATCAAGTACAAAGTAACCAGGAGGCCTCAGCTTCTCTACTTTATATTCAGTGTTTTGAATTTCTAAAATTGGCGAACTTATCAGATCAAATCCCACGAATTGTTGTTATTGGACAACAGAGCATGGGGAAAACAACATTACTGGACTCTTTAATTGGCTATCCACTGGGCTATTCTTCAAGTGACATTGGGACGTGTTGCCCAATTATATTCCATATTTATGCAAAGTCTCCAAGAAGTGCACTAAATTCACCAATTTCATGTCATACAGATTCTACATCGAGCAGTGATATAGATAAATTGGCACTTAATGTAGAAACAATCGATTGCATTATTGATGATGAAATAATTGAATTTGATAGTCTCCCAGAAATTATTGCGAAAAAGACATTGGAAAAAAATGGAGTGATAGATTCAAATGAAATTAATATTAAAATAAAATCAGAAAAATCTGTAAATATGATCCTAGTAGATCTACCCGGACTAAAGGAGAATACAAGAGAAGGAGCAGCACTAACTCAGCAAATTGTAAGAGAGTATGTGAATAAGCATCCTAATGATATATATATATTGGTTAAACGATCTTTAGATGATCCTGCTAATTGGTCATGGAAACAGAAAGAATTTATTCTAAATGATCTCGGACTTGGGTGTGATCAAACTATCACTGTAGGAACAAAAGGATTGGAGTATGCAACAGAAGAGATAAAGGAAATATCAACTGCAGAAGAACTTATAGAAAGAATTGAGAAGAGAAAAATTGGATATAATAACGATAAATGGAATTCATTACCACTTTATATATTGGAATTTTTTAGCTTAAGTAAAGAAGAGAGAAGTTTAAAGAATATGAAATTAAGAAGAGAAGCAATGTATAGAAATATGAATGATGGGAATATTAAACTTCAGGCTATTTTGAGTGAACTTTGTAATAATACAGATCCTTTGACAAAGCAAGCTGTTTTTAATTACTTTTCTTATGATCTTTTTCAAAGGGAAATAAATTTGAAGTTTGTAAAAATTTTTCTGAGACAACTAGATTTGTTGGAATCTATGTTTAAAAAGTACTTAAATTCAATGCAAGTTAATGAGAGTACTCACTTTACTAATGATAACGTGGCGAATTTTAGTTTTTTATGGAAGGAAAATATTCAATTTACTGTAAGATGCTTTATTGAAATTGTAAATGAGATAGTCACCGGGAATTTTAATATTTTTGAGTATGACGGTGACAAATTTTTGGAGGAATATGGTGGTAAACTATGGGATAATTTAAAGGATGGTTCTGACATGGCATCCAAATTGTTTCATAATTCATATAAGATTTCCTTTTTAAAAGAATTAGATTCAGATTTGAGGGGACGTGAGTGTTGGGTAAGACATAAAAAGTCTTCAAATATACTTGGTAGAACTTTCATTATAAGTGATCCTCGATTTAGCAGTAAAAAGGAGACTTTTGATGTAGAATTTTTATACCAAAAAAAGAGTGGAGAAATTAGTTTCCACAAAAAAAACATACCAAATGAGCAACTAATCCCTCTAAGTAAAATAAAAGCTTCTTTGGCCAATGTAAATAAACAGTATTGGTATTCTGATGTTAGGTCAGACAATTGGATCGGACTTAAAGAGGTAAATATAAAAAATATAGATGATGAAATTTTTGTAGTTATTGATGGTGCTGAAAAGATTATTGAAACATCAAGTAATCTATATTTAGATATTACATGGAATGAAGTTTACTCTGGGGACTTTGATAGTAGGGAAAGAGATCAGAATGATAACATACAGTATACAGCTTATAAGTCACTATATAACTTATTAATATTAAATGAAATGTCATTTACTGCAATTTTTAGATGGTTTAAAGATGAACTATCAGCCATGAAACCATATCAATGTTTCAGTAAGCAGACACTTTGTCAAATGCTGAGAAGTGTTTCAAATGTAATTGATATGACACAATGGCAGCCATTGGTTGTTGATATTTTACAGCTTAATATATACAAACAAATAATTCCACTAATTAATCTTGTTAGCTGTAGCTCAGCAGTTGCACTAAAGAGAGTAATGATTGCTGCAATTCATGTACTAAAGCGAGAAGCAAGAGATGATATTGCAATGAGTATGTTATTTAAATCACCTATATTTGGTATAGAATTTGAAACAGCAATTGATGAATATTGCACAGAAAAAGCAAAATTGTGCTCCAGTGCAATGTGTGACTTAATTTTGGAGCAAACATATGCTATAAACATTGATTCAAATCAAAATGAGACTCAGTATCTCAATTCAGGAAGTATTTATGATTTTGCTGCTAGGAAATTTGCAGAATTAACCCAGTTATTAATAGCTCCATTAAATACAAAGCTTTACTTACACTTTGTTCATGATGTAAAGGAAGTGAGGATTAGGCATAATAAAGTGCCTAATGTAGAACAATTTTTGTGTCAAAAGTTGTTATCAAGTACTAATAGTCATGAAGAATTGGAAAAAAAGTTTAACCTTAGCACTATAGTGAAAGAAAATAAAGAACAGTACACAAAGCAACAGTTTATAAGAAAGTATTGTAGCTGTGCTCTTAAGATTATAAAATTGGTTAAATTAAAGTTTAAGGAGGAACAAATAACCCAGTAAATGTAAAAAGGATTATCATACTTTTTTTTTTTTACCAAAATTTTTTTTGCAGTTTGGTAAATTTAAACTTCTCTTAACATTAAATTTTGCAGATTCAATAGGTTTTTTCACTTTTGATACTGCTTCTTCAATATTATCTGGAATAATAAACTCTTCAAATTCTTCCATATGATCTAAAATAAGACTTTTTCCAGTGAGATCTTTACTTGTGGTCCTCTCAGGAGATGTACCCTCAGGGATTTTATTATGTATAGGATTTTCTTCAGCTGTTTCTATAATGGAAGCTTTTAAGGAATAGTCATCAATTGTAGTACTATTTTTATTACTGTCAATACTAATTTCAATGTTGGACTGAATATATGTATTGATTTTGTGTATAGCCTTGTTGAACAATGCTAAAAGTTGAGAAGATGGAATATTGAACTCTTCTGCTATTTCATCAATTTTCTTACGTTGTGAGCCTAATCCAAGTAATATAGCAGCCTGTATGTAAGATATAAAAACCCCTGTCAGACGATTTTCAAAATATAATTGACTAATAATTGGAACGAGGTCTGCTATTGAGGCAAAATCTGCCATTTGTTTCGCATAACGTGAAAGACGAATACAGTCATGTTGAGTGAAAGAATGGTGAAGATTATCTTTAGTTATGCTTGGTTTTAAAGGTTTCACTTTATTTGATGAATTGTCGAGTGACTTGACTAATGATAGAGCTAAACTCGTACTAAAATTATTGAATAGAGGAGAAGATAAGTACTGGATGATTCTACAAACAAAATCCTGCGCAAAAAGGTTAACCCAATTTTTACCAAATGATCTAAGCATAATGAGCGAGTGCTCTCCAGTTATATCACTCATATGTTGTCTGATATATACTGGGATAAATTCGAGTTTCGACCAGAATTTAAACAGATCAAGAGTAACTCCAAAAGATGTACCAATATAATCAATATTCTCAGATGGTTTTAATATATAGTTGATGTTTTCGAGAGGTTCTAATAAGGGGGGGATAGTTCTATTTACTTCTATAATTTCCTTCTGTAAATGATCTCTAAAAGAGATAGAATCGATGTTATTTTCAGTGGATTTAGTTAATTCTTCATCTTTTTTATCATGTATTAACTCATCAAACTTCAAATCCTCAGTACTTATACTTTCTATTTTAAGAATAAGCTGTTGTAAAGCATGTTTACCATATCCCATACGCTGTATTGAAGGATGTGTTGCTATGCGAACAACTCGAATACCAGTTAGCTGACCAAAGTTTTCCCTAACAAAATAGTTGGATAAAGTCCAAGGGATAAGGTCACCAGATGGTCTCAGTCCTCTAGATAAATTATTCTTGATATAATCAGAAGAAAGTGCACCTTCTACTGCAATCTGAATAGCAACCAAAATTGGTGGTAAAATCTTTGTATCAGGATTAAATGGAGGTAATAGAACAAATAAGTTGTGATTTGGGGCTTCAGAAATAAGCATTAAGTCATTTGGGGTATTCTTATAATGTGAAGATACAAAAAGTGACATCATATTATGTAAAAATTTCTCACTTGCTGGATGATGAGAAAATAAAGCATCTCTGTTAACCCTATAAAGTTGACATAGTGATGGAGATGCAAGTATAGTAGAAATTTCACTTCTTGAATCTTCATTAATTGATGGATTCAAAGGTGGAGGACTTGTAGCATCAAGACACAATAAATCATAAAGCCACTTTTCAACAGGATCACCTTTACCATAACGAATCGGTTCATTTAAATTAATTTCTTTAAATGAAGTACTTGGTGATATTCCATTACTATCTACTATACCATTCTTTAAAGAGGAGCAGGATTTCTTTAGTTCTGAAATTAATTTCACTGACAATGCACGGCCAGTACCTTCATAACCATTTGTAGTTGAAGACATTATAAAGATATGTGATCCTAAAAACTTTCTCACAATGGGTAATGGTATGGCTGCAGCTTCATCCATAACAACTAACTCAGCCTGTGACACTAACTTATAGTCTTCTGGGCTTATATATTGAATTGTCTGTCTATGCTCTTTAAAAATATTTATACGAATAAGGTGACTATTCACATGAGACTTACCACCTCCAACACGAATATCAGTCAATATTTTGGATCTGATTAATTCAAAATGTTTGTGTTCTGTATATCCAAGACTTATAAGTCCAACTTCTACAAATTCAAAGACTGTAGATACATTTTCTGGATAAGGTGAAGTAATAAATATGTTACTATAACCATAAGAAATAGCTCCAGATAGAGCTAAACCCAATGCTGCTGATTTACCTCTACCTCTTCCTGAAGTCAATGATATTGTTGCATTTAAATCTTTGTTAAATATGGTATCCATTAAATGTACAACAGCTTGTGCTTGATCATAGGTTGCACAATTTTCAATAAGTTTTCCAACATTTGTACCTGCTAAGGATTCCTCAAGTGAAATATATTCATTAGACTTACTCTTTCCAGAAAGATAAACATTTCTAAATGATTGACACCTATTTTTATTTTCATCTGGTGAATATCTATTATTCACCAAATAAATATCTTCTACCATTGTATTTTCTGGTTTAATATTCATAATATGCTTGGATATTGGCAAAATATTCATTTCATCATCTATTATAATGCAATTTGGACAAGTTGAAAATGAGTATATCAATCTAGGAATAAATCTGGAAATTATTTTACCTGAATAAAGATTCTCATTTCCAATAAATCTTTCATGAAAATCCATAACAGTATTATATAAACTTTTAAGTGATGACATTGTATGTAATAAAATACATATTACTCCACCTCCAGCTACAGTTTCTATAGTTTGACAAAGAATATTTGGTGTTAAAGCTTCAAAGTCTTGTAATATGCAAATACCAAAAGTCCTACCAAGAATTTGAGAGCTTTCTTTGTAATAACAATATCTAATATCTGAATTTGAAATAAATAATTCAAAAGGATCATCCACATTTGGATCTAGTTTGCCTTTTTTAGCTTGTTTTTTTAACTGTTTCATTCGTGATTTACGATTACTGCTAAATCCTAAATCCTTCTTATAACACCATAATACGGAAGGTTTACTAGGTAGCATATTACTAAGTAAATAATAAAAATTTGAGACCTGGTACCTTCCATTGTCACCAACAATTACAAACAGACTTCTTTGTCGCCGTGCTATGTTATTTTCTAATAATGTTTTAAGTCTGGAATCGACTTTTTTCTTCATGATTGATCCTAAATCCTATAGTACTCCACAAATAATATCAATTCCCTTCAGCTGAAGACAATCTGTAATAATGACTAATTTGCCTCAGGCTAAAATAAACTAAACTTAATCTTCTCTTTAACTGTCTTGTCATAATATGTCAACCCGCGACACGGGATAAATATTCTAAATATATAGCGCTATAAACAAAAGACCCTAAAAAAAAGTTTTTAAGGATATAAATAACTCCTCCAATCTAGAGTAAATATCTTGCTCTAATAAAAAATTCAGATTAGTTTACACTATATTTAAATCAGATATTCAAATTTATCCATTTATATTATTTGGTTTGTATCCTTTCTGATATTTATATCTAACAAATCTAAAATGTACAGTTTAGTATCTTTTAAATAGTTTCTGACAAAATTTAATTTTAATATATTTCAATTTAGATTATTATATAACTTTTATTTAATGTAATAATATTAAATATAATTTATATAAATATTAATATTTGTATTTCAAATACCTAGGTACATTATTTAAGATCTTATTCTATATACTCAAAAGACAGAATCTTTCCTATTTATTTGATTAAGTAATATAAAGATCTAACTTAAAAAAACAAGTAATAATGGAATCTGATAATCTATTTTAGTTATTTTTAAAATATATGCAATATTAATATATTTTAAAATAAAGTAAATTGAATATATACTTCCCAGAATATTCAAAAAATCTTCAAATACTGGATAGTTGGCTAAAAACAAAGTTCAACAGTAAAAATATCTATGTATATTATGATGTAATAATCAATATAATATATAATGTTATTTTTAAATTAGTAATTTAAAAGAAGAGTGGCTTATTATATGAATTTAGAAGTATATTTACTAAATTCAAGAAATGTGAATACAAGTTATAAAATTATAGTAACTTAATTGTATCTATTATTTTAGTTTAACAGCTTATTATATCACTATATAAGTACATTTATAAATTCCCTAAGTAATTTTCATGAAATAAAATTGGTTTTGTGATATAAATATACATAAAATATTAAAACTTATTCTAGAGAACCAATAATATTTTCCTTAATACTAAAGGTTTCAAAAAAATATCAAATCCTTTAATATATTATTATATATAATCTATTAATATATGGGTATTGCATTAAATACTATTTTGTCAATTCATAGGCTTTACTAATAATAAAGTTAAAAAAGTAATTATTAATGAGATATAGAATATATATTGACCTAGATTACTTATTACCTAAGTTCCAAATATTTTTATTATACTAGTAGCTATAACCTATTTTATACCTGTATAAAATATATTTTTTGATAATCAAATCAAATTTCAGATTATACAAGTTAAATACATGTAATTTTTTAATATTCAAAACTAATTTAACTTTTAATTGACACTCTTTGTAATTTCAAGAGATTAGTATTTTTGATAATTCTGAAAAAACTATTAAATTGACAAATATTTGGAATGATTGAATTGATATCATTCTTATAAGTTGGGTAAAAAAAAGTTAATTTAATTAGAAATAAAAGATAACTATTTAAGTAATAGTAACAATATATAGGGATTATTTCTTTAATTTATTAATCATAAACAATTTGTCAGTTAGTAAATATATTAGTTATTAAGTTTATAACCTAATCTAAAATTTTTTAAATACTCTGAAGATTTAGAGATAATATCACTGCAATAATTTAAAATTGGAAATTCACTAGAATTATTAGAATTATCACTATCTTTTATTTCTTGTTGAATTTCAAGATTTCTATTAAAATAGTAAACATATAGGAAAGATCCATAATATTGATCTTTTATTCTATAAAAATGATCCCAGTGAAGAAGTTCTTGAAAACCGAGTCTCCTATATAATTGAATAGCCTTAGAATTATAGTCAACAACATGTAGATATATAGCTTCAACCTTGGGATAATATATTTTATAATAATCTAAAGTAAATTCAATTAAGTTCTTTGCAATACCAAGAGATCTAAATTCTTGTACTACTCCCATAGTTAATATATATACAAGATTTTCACATATCATATTTTTAACTTTATTATCTACTATACTATTTGTATTATTAATAGATCTTGTTTCTGATTGTATTTCATGTTTATTATCATTTGTATTATTATCTAATATATCTTTATACTTTGTATTTCTAATTACATAATGATAATCATTTTCCATTATAATTTGTGGATTCTGTGATACAGTCACAAATCCAACAATATATTGACCTTGAAACTCATCATTACTATCACAGTTCCATATTGTAGCCCAACCAAGTGTAGAACCTGATATAATAGTATCATAAAATTGTGAATCATAAACAATAGGGAAGAGCTCTTTATGTAAATCATACAATTGATCTATATCTGATTTTGAAATTTTTCTTATAAATAAGTTTGGTACTATACAGGTATTATTTCTATTATTTGTCCATGATAAGTATGCTTTATGCACTCTACTATAATAAATAGGGCCAGAACTATTAGGGGGGAAAGCTGAAGAGGATACATTCATAATAAGCTTCAAGAAAAGTACAAATATATGCACTTATATAGTGAAGATATTTAAGGTGTGAAGTTCAACAATGAAAACCCGGCAACCTACAAATACATTAAATGGAGGTTAACTTTATATAAGGAATATTAAAAATTAGTTTTCTCTTATTTTTTTATTATTGAGTTACTAAATAATACAAGTTGAGCCCAACCAGGGGCTAATTTAAATTTTTCTCTAAAATATCTAGAAGCTTCCTCATAACATAATTTACTTAGTGAAGAAGTATTTTGAAATTTATGATTATATCTTTTGAGAATTTTAAGCATATGTGTATCTATAGGCACTGCTTGTGTAAATCCTAAACCTGATAATAAAATAAAATCTGCCACTTTTCTTCCAACTCCATGTAGTTTTAATAATTCAGAAACAGCATCATGATATTCTAAACTCTTTAAATAGTTAAAATATTTAAATTCACCAATATCATGAATGATCTTGGCACTAGTTATAATACTTTTAGCTCTATATCCAGTACCACAATGAGATTTTAAGTGTTCTATAGAAGCATTTTTAAATATTTCATCACATGTAGGAAATGAATAATAATGTCTAATATTTGGAATTTTATTATTACAGAAATTCAAATTATTAGTTTCTTCCAATAATTTATTATGATCTATACTACAAATATAAGTACCATATGAAATTCTAATACGTTCTATTATAGAGGTAATCCGTGGAATGTTATTGTTTGCAGTAATAATAGCTGAAAATGTAGCTTCTACTGGATCAATATTAAACATCCTAATACCTATTGGGCATGAAAGTATTGATTTGTCACTTTTACTCCATATTGAATATGTATTAGATAAGGAATAATTAGTAATCCTTTTATTAGATTTTTCAGAATATAAATGGCAATTTTTATATTCTTTTTCCCAATCAAATTTTAGATTAAAGTAATGCTCAATATGTTGTTGTGGAGTTGAATTACAACAATAAAAAACTGAGTTAAAATTAGAGTAATTATTACAAGATTTTTGAGTTTGATTATTATCTGTAGAATTTTCTACTGGAGAATTTATTGAATTGAAATCTGAATAATATGATATATTACCATCAATTAAGGATACTTGATTATTTGATATATCACTTATATATATATCTGTTGAATCCTTTATTTTTATATATTTAACCTCATTTGTAGGTGATACATCAGCTGTAGAACTTCCTTCATATGTAGACATCTTCCTTTTTTTTATTTGTATGTATTGGTTACTATTATCATTACTACAAGCAGTATATAAACATCTATATAATGTATCATTAGGTAATTCTTTCATCTGAAAAATTCTATGGCCTAAAATACCTACAAATGTGCCATCAGCAATAGAATACCATGAAAAAGATTGACCGGTTGGTAGACATTTCGAAATTCTAAGTTCATTAGCTGTTATCCCAAGGCTTATATATTCTGGTATATATATATTAGTTGGGATTTGGACCTTCTCCATATATTTTTATTACATGAGAAGTGCACACAATTAATACAGTACCGAGACAATTTATACACATAAGAAAAGCGCAATTTGTAGGAATATTTGGGGTAAATAAGGATTACAGTAATTAGAAAAGTGAATCTCCTTATAGCGGTAAAATTTGCGCCACTATAATATTTGATATTAAATAGTGGTGGAGGTCTAGGTCTACTAAAAGGATACAATAAAAGTTTGTGAATTATCCTATTTACATTATTTTCTTACTTTTTTCTAGAAGTAAAGTGATAAAATATACAAAACGGCAATGTTACAGTGTGTACTTGATTAAAATTCCTTTTTAAATATATCTAGATCTTTGATTTATCTTGAATAACAGTAAGAAGATGAGTAGTAAAAGTTGTCTATCATTAAGTGAAAGTAAATTTAATAATGATAATAGCTTGAGTATAACTACTGGGAATGACTGTGGAGTAATGCCTGAGATTCAGAATATTATTGCCAGTGTTCATTTACAATGCGAATTAGACCTAAGATCTATTGCAATTAGCGCAAGAAATGCAGAATATAATCCAAAGAAAGTAAATGCTGTTGTAATGCGATTGAGAGAACCAAGATGCACAGGATTACTTTTTCGTAGTGGCAGAATGATGATAACAGGAGCAAGAAATGAAAATGATGCACGTTATGGTGGCAAGAAGATGGCTAAAATTTGCCAAAAGAGTGGACATCCTAGGGTTAAATTTAGCAATTTCAGGATGGAAAATATGATTGCTACTGCAGATTGTAAATTTCCAATTAGACTTGAAGGGCTTGCATATGATCATAGAGAATTTTGTAATTATGAGCCGGAATTATTTCCTGGTTTGGTTTATAGGTATCATCCTGAGAATTCTCCAACAAAAGCTGTTATACTATTGTTTGTTTCTGGAAAGGTTATTGTTACTGGTTGCAGGAGCTATAAAGAAATTTGTAGTGTATTTGACAATATATATCCAGTTTTATGTCAATATAGAAAGTAAGGTTTAATTTATTGTGGAGACTTTACAAATAAATTTAGAATTTTAATATAATTTTATGATACTGTAGTTTATCACTTGTATATTATTACTTACTCTGCCAAATAGTATACTTTAGATCATAATTATTTGGTTTCTTTCCTATTTTAATAAAAAAAATATGATTTTGTATTTTAGGGCTTGATTATAATACTATATTTTTTTTTATTACTTATCGATTTGTCATTAATTTATAATGCAAATTTACTTAAATATAAAAGTATTTATGTTTATTTTTATAGATAATATATAGGCTATACAAATTCATAAAATTGATTGACTCTAACCTTAATTTCAAAGTATTGAACCTATTTATAATTACTTTCATGTTAGTTCCATTAATAACTGAATTAATCAGAAGTCTTCATTTAAAGAAAATATTGGCATTTGATTTGTACTATTTTCATGTGTCTTCAAATAATAGTGCGAACACTTTTTACAGAGCTGATTTGGATTTTTACTATCAAACGAATTATTTGTTTGGTCATGAAACAGTTGATCACTTATTAATTCAGGCTCTTCTTTTTTACTAAATAGCAAGTTACTTGTGGGAAAATTTCCTATATTTCTTTCAATGATGATTTGTTCGAGTTTTCTGGTTAAAGCATTAGATAGTGGTTCAAGTAGATAAAAATCTGCTTCCAATATTAAGCCTCTCAAAATATGTATCTTTTCAGGTATTGATACTATAGAACCAGTACGTAGATAGTCTAGTATATATTGGAAAAGCTGCCCATTCCTATCTACAAAAATCTCTTCTTTATTATTTTCTGAGAGGCAAATTGAAAAGTAGCTAGCACCTCCATAACTACTTACTAAAGTCTCTTTAGTTGTTTCATAGACTATTCCACCTACATTTACACGAATTCTTTTTTCATTCATATTTTTTGGATATAAAATTGATAGAAAGAGTGAAGAGCAAGTTAGACTAGATTAGTGCAATAGATTCCTATACCGGTGTATAATTAAAAAAAGAAAAAAAGAAGTGCATGCATGACGTGACGTATACCTCATAGAGATCCACACCAAAATTATTTATATGCACGCAAATTTAATAAGAATATTGCCACTATTTATGAGGCTATTGAATATAAATAATAGCTATTATATAATTAAAAAGATAAGGGTCACTACTCTTAAAAAGTGTAACTATACAACTCCATACTTTCTATACTACTCATAGGATATATGTAACTGTTAAAAAATATACTAAACTAAATTTATGTTGTATTATCTAGTATTTGCCTTTACTGAGTATTTTCCTTACCTATAGAAAACTAGGAAAAGCTCTAATAAAACAAGGCAGCGCTTACATAAAAGCGCGTGAGTAGATGGAGGAATGTTACGTGTCTGTCATAATGTGACACCGTAAGAAGTTTTTAGTAACCATTAACTATAAAGTGAAATGGGGAAACGGGAAGTTGAGGAAGATCTAAGTTTGAATGATAATGAGTCTATTATCTCGAATTTGGATACTATGGAAAATCCAGATAGTGACTTTATTGGTCTGAGCTTAACAAACAAAACAAGCAAAATACCAAACATTAGAAATATACATAGAGATGAACTGGTAACAGGAACTTTGTTATTCTGCATAATAGATGAAGTTTATGATAAGGAACTAAAATTATCACTTCCAGGTGGCCATTTCGGTTTAGCCACAATAAATAATACATTAGAAGATGAAGCAAGCAACGAGAAGTTACGAAATCTCTTGTTAGACGAACGTTTTAAAGCTGGAGATATTGTGATAGCTGCCATTATTTGTAGTTCAAAGGGAAGGGTTGAAGTGACAATAAGACCTTCTATAGTTAATGCAGGGCTGACTTTCTCTTCTAAAGCACTTGGACTAAAAGGTTATGTTATATCAGCTACTATTATATCAATAGAAGATTATGGCTATACATTAGATGTGTCTATACCTGGAATAAGGATGGCATTTATAAAGTGTGAAACAAATGATTTAAATGCTAGATCGATGAGCTTAGGTCATGTTTTGCCAGTATATATAGATGAATATATGGCTGAGCAACAAATTCTGTTATGCCAACCTTTGCAAAGTACTTGTAATGAAAATAGTTCTAATATAGCTATACTAGGAAATGAGACTTTGGAGAGTAAGGAAATAAGGCCAGGAATGAAAGTGGAGTGTAGAATCCAAGGTGTTATTGGTAAAAATGGTGAGATTCTTCCACCAATATCTAGAGATAAAGATAGAAATACAAAGATTACTCCTAAAAGCAATGATTTATCAGATTATATTAAAACACTAGGACCAGATGGAAATGAAATAGGACAAATTAGTCAGGATGAGGAAGTGAATGTCGCTTTATTAGTGACATTTAGTATGGGGGCATTTATAGGAATAATTCCAGTAGAACATAACTACCATCCACTACAAAATATTATGAAAAGGAATGAATTAAGTGATTCTAATAATGATAAGAGGAAGAAAAGAAAACTAGATTGTCAGAAAATGGTAAGAGGATCTTTTATTACAGCTAGAGTAATAGCAATTATTTCAGGCAAAAAAAAACGTATTGTACTTTCTCTATTGCCACATATTAATAGCAATTTGTGCTTTTTTTATAAAAAACCAATAATATCAGCCGGATCAAGGATTATATCATATAAAAATATTGATAGCTATTCAGAAAATCTTAAGAAAAAAAACTCAGTTATTTGTATGAGGAATGTTGTCTGGGATAATAATAGAAAAGATTCATCTATAAAATTATTACTTTATGTATATGATTATAAGAATGAAGAAATGCTAGAAAAAAAAGAAAATCACATTGAACCTTGTAATAGGTGGCTATTAGTACATACTAAAACTGCAAATATTAAGGGAAATGTTAGGATTGGATCTGAAATACAAAGTGACTGTCGTTTCTTGATTTTTTCAAGAATAGAGCATATAGGATTTGTAACATTTGACTCTAAACTCGTTAATGAACCTTATTTATGTTCTAGAGATGTCACACCAGGTGACATTGTATATGCTCAAGTAGTAAATGTTAAACCTTGGGGGCTTTCTGTTAAATTATCTGATTTTATTACTGGTCGCGTATATAGAGAACATTTACTTAATACTAGAATTTCAAGGAAACAGAAAAATAATGAAATAGATTATATAAAGAAACATTATCAAGTAGGTCGTTCTTACAAGTTTAGAATTTTGCGTTTTGAGCAAAATAATACTAGTTGGAATCCAATGCTACTTTTAACTGCAAAAAGTAGATTAATTAATGATGAATTACCAGCTATTGTAGATCCAGAAAAGGATTTATCTATTGGTAAAGTAGCAGTTGGATATGTCAGTAGAGTATCTCGTCCCAATGAAGATCCAAATGATAAAAGTGGTTTTATAATAGTCAGATTCTTTGGTCAGATTTTTGGTTCACTATCTTATAACGAATATATTGAGAAAAGGAGAAAGGAGGGTATAAACTCTAATTTACTTGAACCTAATGTTGGTGATATATTAACTGTGAGGATAGTCCATATAGATCCGATAACAAAGCTTATAAAATTGGAAATAGCAGACTCTATTGTTGATAGTTCAACAACAAATATTTTACCTATTTTTAAAGTTATTTTTTCAGATGTGAACTATTTTGACCAATCTAAGATATACCAATTATTAGGAACTAATAATTATATCATTTATCCAAACATAGATCAATTATCAAGTGTAGCTTTGAAATTATCAAATTTTATCTGTCCTACAAAACAAGGACTATTATTTTTGATTTCTTGCAGTGTAGATGAGACTACAAAATATATTTTATGCCTTGTACCTAGGAATCATATTTCTGACGATGTTAATTATTCATCTGTAATTCATGATCTTTTAATGGAAAGATATAAGCAATCAAAATCATTGGACGATATTCAGGGAATTTTAAATGAATCTGAAATATACTTTACATATCTAAGCAATCCTATTCACCACAATTTGGAGGTATATTGTAGAATAAGTAAGCAATATAAAGATATATCCTTAAATCTCCCTATATGTAGCTTAAAACAATCATTATTGAGGAGTAAAGTATTTATTAAGTATGAATCAGATCTAAATAACATTACTATTGATGATACTTATTTAGGATATATCCGTCATATTGACAATTATGGATTATTAGTTAGTTTAGGAAGGTGGAATATGACTGGAATAGTTCCTAAACACCTAATAGGTAAAGTTACATACTTTGATGGAGTTAGTATGTTAAAAGATCGTTTTACACTCGATCAAACTGTATCTGTGAAAGTATTAAAGAATGAACTTATTCCTACTCGTTCACTAATCTTAAGTATCAAAGATGGCAATTTCAAAGTGGCTAATAATGATATAGAGGAAAGATTTGTTAATATAATTCGGAATAATATTTTGTATGAAAAAATTATTTCTAAATTATGTATGTATCATAATTCATATTTAATGAGAGGTTCAATTGTTTCATTTGAAATTGATTATGTGGAAACTTCTAGTAAGAATACAGCTTTAATTTTAACTAAAGATAATTTAAAATTCAATGCAATGATTTTAGATGATACAAAAATAAATAAAAATGAAATAATAAGTGGAATAGTATTTAATATTTATTTTAAAGAAAACCAAATAGTAAATAGCCTACTCATTTCAAGTGATATAATTAATAGTTTCAATTTAGGAATGAAACTCATTGATGAACAAACTAGGAAGTTAATAAAAAATATTGGACTCCAAGATACAAACTGGTTTGAATTGTTACTTGAAAGAATAATTCCTAAATTAATAGATAACCAGGAATATGTAGAAGTTGAAAATACTCATTTGTTGATAGATAATGGAGTATTTTGTCTCCAGTGTGTGAACTTACAGCTAAACAAAATTAAGGAATATAAAAACATTGATACAAAAATATCTTTACCAATATTACTTTATGGTAATAAGATATCTAATAGTGATTCTAAATTATATAAATGTTTAATTAAGTATTCAATCCCTACAAATACTTTAGATAAAAACAAGAAACATATACCAATAATGGTAGGAATAATCAAAGAGGTCATGAAAGAAAGTAGCATTAGAAAATTTGAAGAAGGTAATAACGTATTATGTAAAGTTGTTGGAGTATTACAAGGTTATGAAGGATTAATTGTAAAGTTTGATGAAAAGAATTATGGGAGAATACACTGTACAGAATTAGATGATATATGGATTAATGATCCAATATCTGAAGATAGATATAAAGTAGGGAAAAAGTTAACCGTCAAAGTGTTAGGAAAACTTAGCAAGAATAAAAGAGTTTTAATTAGTCATACTGGAAGTAAAAAGTATGTCCAACTTATCTGGGATGCATCTAATCGATCGTCTATAATAAAAAATATAGAGACGAGTAGTACTAGTCGTCCTAAATCAATTAATGATATAAAATTAGGATCTCTAATTAATGGATATATCAAATACAGTGGTAAACAAGGTGTTTTTGTACATATAGGACGTAATTTAATTGGACGTATTAAGCTTAGGGAGTTATCTAATAAAACAACTACTGAAGAAGAAGCAAGGGAATTATTCCCAATAGGTAAACTATTAAATCCAATACTAGTTATAGGTGGCCTTGAAGAAAATAAAATTGACCTGAGTCTATCCAGACTACAAAGTGATAATGTAATATTAAAGATATCTCAACAGAAAGATTATTCAGAATTAGATGATTTAAATTCACATGGTAATGGAGAAGAGCAACTTAGTAATTATGAAACCAATCTACTTGGTAAATTAAGATTTGAGGATTTGTATATTGGGAGAATATTAGCTGGGAAAATTAAACATGTTTCTACTAAGTTTGGGATTTTTGTTACTTTAAAGGATACAATTGATGGAATAAATGCTCTATGCCCACTTAATGAGAGTATGAATGATTATTCAAATAAGATTACTCAATTTCTTCCATCAATATACAAAGTTGGAGATGATGTTCTTTGCAAAATAATTAAAGTAGATAGTAATAGTAACAGAATATGGGTTAGTTTGAAAGAGAAAAATTTCGAAGAATTACTAGAAGATTCTGAAAGTAAAAGTACAGATAATGAAGACAATCAACTTATGTGTGCTAATGATACAACACAAAATCTATCTAATTCTGAGATTATTAGTGAGGAATACTTAGCTGATAATGAATTATTACATGAACATATTATAATACAAGATGGTATACAAAATAATATGCAAGATTCTATAGAATCTAATGTCCATGAATACTCTGAAGATGAAATACTTAAAGAAACTGAACTTCATGAAAAGCCCAAAAATAGACAACAGAAACTGGCAAAACAGTTAGCAGCTGAACATGAAATTAGAAGTGAGGAATTGAAACTTATTGAGTCAAGTATGAATCCACAATCTATTAATGACTTTGAAAGACTATTAATATCCCACAAAGACGTTTCATCCTTATGGATCAAATATATGTCATACTTCCTTGAATTAGATGAATTAGAAAAAGCACGAATTGTAGCAGAAAGAGCTTTAAGAAATGTTTCATATAGTGAAGATATAGAGAGATGGAATATTTGGATTGCATATTTGAATATGGAAATTGCTTTTGGAAAGTTCAACATTAATAATTCATCAGAAAAAGAGTTACCTAAAAATTTCGAGTCACTATTTGAAAGAGCATATAGGAATGTGGGCAATCCAAAGAAGTTGTATATACAATGCTCCCAATCGTTATCAAGATTTAATTACAACGTTTGGTCTCTCTTAATTTTGGAAAAAGCCCTGAAGAAATTTTCAAAAAGTCGTAAAGTTTGGTTAGAGTATATAAAGTGTCTATTTAAGAATAACAAAGTACAACAGGCAAGAGATGAAATTATTCCAAAAGCACTTCAAAGTATTGGTAGAATTAAATTAATCAGATTAATCACTGATATTGCTCGTGTCGAGTTAGAATCTGGTAATTTCAACAGAGCACGAACAATATTTGAGAATTTAATAAGTGAAAACCCTAAACGTATAGATCTTTGGTCTCAATACTTTGATGCAGTCATAAAATATTTCAACTCATCTAATTCTGAAGTCGACATTAATATTATTAGATCTATATTCAAATCAGCTATTAGAAATGACTTAAAACCAAGAAAAATGAAATTCCTTTTTTCTAGATGGCTTGCTTTTGAAAAAGAATATGGTTCTCTAGAAGATCAAAAAATTGTACAAAAATATGCTGCTGAATATGTTCAAAAAATAGAATCAAAAATATAATTTACTAAAATTATTATAAATGTGAACTATGCTAAATATCAAAGTTAAATTCTTGCTAGTGTATTGTGATGAATTGATGAATCAGGAGTAAAGTTTGGAACTATCGAAAAGTGTACAATTAATGATCCGGCTACTGAACCAAATAATACAGTTGAGATTATACCATAAATGATTGTCTTAGCTTTTTTTATTGATTTAAGGCGAGGTAATTTAAGAGTTAATGATCTACTATTGATATGACTGAATACAGAAGATGGATCTTGTGTATCATACATCATTTCAACTTCTTCATTTATCAGATGAGCTTGATATTCCTTGAGATAAGCCCTATGAAATGTAGCTCTACATTTCAATATTATTCCGCATATATAGTATAATGTTGCATGATCAGCTAATACCTCCTCTGAAGAATTTAATAGTAGAGGTCTATACTTGTTTTTGTTTATAGTTAAAATGCCTACTTCCCAAAAACTCTTCATAATTGCAATACAAGTTTCAATATTCCCCTTAAGATCTATATTTGGTATTCTCATAGGTATATGTAAAATATCTGCTTCTAATTTAATAGGATTTGCCCTATAATGTGAATATGTCCTTGCATATTCCGTTGAACACCACAATAAACACCACACAAATTGATCTCTTCTTGGTTGTAATACCGAAGAATCCAAAGGTATATAACTAACATATCCTCCTAAGCTACTCCAATTAGGTATCTGCCAATAGAATGAGCTATAAGGATCAGGTCTATATTCATTAATCTGTCGGTAATAATATGCTTGGTACATTTCAAGTACCTTTATAGCTTTAATACATAAATTCATTGAAATATATCTTTGAGCACTTGTGGTTTCGACATATCTTACAAATCGTCCAAGGTGAACAATTTTAGGTATCTTTGATACTCCCAGACGTATCTTAAAATTTGGATTCATTGAAAGAGCAAGAAGATTATTTGAGCACTGCTCAGGGATTGTAGTAAATTCAAAAAAGTCTGGAGCATGCTCAGGTAAAAACATTCTCTTTTGGCTTGGTAATATAGGTGTATCTCCATTACTAAGACCATATATTGATAGATCACCCCTAAATGTAATTAGTTGAAGAAATATATCCCATAAACTTTTGTTTGGGGATATCTGGTAAAGATATAACCATTTATTGTACATTATTTTATTCTTTGAAATATAAGCAAAATCATAGTTACTTAAATTATCTGCATGTTTATAGATATTTAGTACTATGTTCATATACATTTCACAAGTCTGAGTTATTGCAGAATCTAATGATGGAGTATCATCAACAGTATTTATAATGAAATCTCTATAGACTTTTCTATTAATATTTATGTCAGATTTGTTTGTAGCTAATATATTTATTGGGATAAACAAGTCTTTTACTTTATCTGAATTAGATGTTATAAATTTACCTGATTCAGATGCAGAAGTAGTTATAGTACTTTCATCATATGTCATGCCATCTTCTTCTATATTCCCTAATTTGTTATCTGAGGATTTATGTTTAGTTTCCAAAATTTCAGATATAGTAAATTTACGTGAGTATAGTTCAATTGCTCTATCTAAAGCTAACTTCTCTAGTTGTCCCCAACATTCACTATAATTTCTTGGTGGATTCCAATAATTTGGATACGTTTTACTATGAGTAGTTGAAACTTTACCTAATACTCTCCAAAATGTCTGTTTTTGTACTTCTAGACTTCCATATTTTATATTAAATGCCCAATTATTCAAAAGGTCTTCTCTTATACTCTTTAATCTCTTAAAAACACTAAAATTATCACATTTATTTTTGTTTATAGAGTTAAAATGATTTATTTCAGCATCTTTTTCGTTATATGAGTCATATTTATATTCTTCCAAATAAAATAAATCACTTAATTCTTGCTGATATTCGTCATCAGCTTTCATATTACCTTTTACAATCCATGGAACTCCATATGTAGCTATAAAATCAGTAGTTTCCTCAGTCTCAATATTATTTTCAAAGTCAGTAGCTTCTTCATGGTCAATGCAAAATGTAGACTTTATATTTATTATATGTAATATAAAAAGACCTAAGTTCAAATATAAATGTACTCTACCTAAATTATAGGTCATCTTAGTTAACTTCACTATAATTTTAAAGACAGTTATAAGTAGATTAGGCCTTGTGTTAACTAAGAAAAAGTAACATTCTACTTATCTTGTGATTTGTCAAGGCCGCCATATTTAATAGTGTGATATCTCCCAATCTAAATTTGTCTAAGAAAAGAAACCAGTCAAGCTTTGACTTATTGGGACTTAGACTACAGTATTGTTAATTTATATACAAAGTAATTCTTATAAAATAGAACAAAAAGATTATTGGAGCAGAATTTGTAACTGCTTGAGACAATGCTAGTTAATTTCCGGACTCTAATATGGGTATATATTATTAGAAATATAGTCCCGACAAGCTCAGTAATAGAATTAGAAGATTATGATTATAATTCTATTTATCAATATGTATCAGCAGATTCAGACAGTATATTAGAATATCAAGATATTTTCTTAAATATACAAGACATAATATCTGGCAACTACTTGAGTCCTAATGTTATATCACCTGTAGATATAAAAGATGGATCTAAAATAATAAACAAAGTGAATGTTAATAAAAATTCAACTGCCACAAATTCTCTAGACTTAAATAAAAAGAGAAATGTAGTTGGTTCTATATTTGATGAATTTTCGATACCAAAGAATAGAATTGGAACTAGATTAGATGTTCTCAATATTTTAAAATTCAACTGGTGTTTAGGAGATATTAATATAAAGTTTAAATCTTCTTGGACTGCTTTACAACTTGCAATGAATGCAGAAACTTATAAAGAAATGCCTAGTGACTTTCAAATAATAACAACATATAACCAATGTTTAGATTATATAAGTAGAAATGAGAATATTAATAATACATCTTTAAAAGAAAATGATAACATTGGAAATTTTGCTAGATATGTATGTGGAATATATGGGGAGTACATGTGGTCAATATCAAGTAAGGATCCAACATCTTCGCCATTAGGAAAAGTCCCAGATTTTCAAGATTTGGAAGATATTGAATCAGAAATCCCAAATACAGATTTATATGATATATGGCTTGCAATATATAAAATTGATCCCTCTTATTCTCAATGGTTTTTACTATATAAAATTGCATCTAATGAAATAGATGAATTTATAACAATATTCAAATATTCTAGTAATTATAATGATTTATTAAATGTTATTGTAGAATTTATGGAACACACAGACTATTATGAGAAATCTACAGAAATATTTGGACGACAATATACCTCAAGTAAACATAAGAAACATGGGATTACAGGTAAAAGTAGTAAACGTTTTAAGATTCATTTACCTAAAGATATGCCAAACATGTATATATACCATCATAGACAAGACTCTTGCGTTTTAAATTTAGCTGCAATGACTCTATATCCAGATACAAGAGTAAATTTAGACATTGAAAAGCCTAATAGAAGTAGCTTTTATTATGTATTCCATCGTAAAAATGTAGCTGTATCAAGAAGATCTTTTCTTAGATCTAATCAGATTTGCTTTATAATGTTAGCTACAATGGAGATTTTTGAGAAACGTTATTACATAACTGAGAATAGGAAGCAAAAGACAAAATACTTAACTAAACCTTTACCCTTTGATCCTTTTTACTACTCGATCCCTTCGAATATTGATGACTTTAAAATGTATGTTTACTGGCTATTGTATCCAAAAAGTCAAAGTATTAACAAATTAGTGAATCATAAAAATAATATGTTGGTATATTTAGAATATTTAGTTATGAAATATCAGGATTCAAAATTACTAAAGTGGGAGTACGAATCATTTTCTAATAGAGATTTGACAAAGCTTAGAGATAGAAATTTAAAAATGTTAGAATTCAAAAAAGAATTAGATCATAAATTACAAGAAATAAAATTGACGAAAAGAATTTCAGACAGCACTAGTAGTTTAAATGATAACAGAAATTACTATCCTACAATGTACTCAATAATACCTTTAATCGCAATAAGTACTGGATATTGGAAATTAAGGAAAAATCTAAATAAATATCCTGTACGTATAGATATAAATTTACTTAAAACTATAAATATTTTGAATAATATAAAATTTGATACACATACTGAATTGGGATATATGCCAATATATACATCACTTGAATGTATTAAAGGTGTGATATTACTATGGAAAAATGATGGTTTATTAATTAATAAAAGACCTTTCAGATTATTAGACCCTCGTCTAGTACATTTCAATCAAAACAATAGAAAACAAATTTCAAAAATTTATGCGGATTATGCTACAATATATTTATTATGCAGTGAGATAGTTGTCAAGGCAGTAAATTACCAACGTACATATATTAAAATATTTAACCATGATACTCTTAAGGATTCCTGGGAAATCCAAAGAATTTTAGATTTATCAGATCCTAATAATCAAAATAGCTTTGAATATAATACAAAACATAATTTAATTCTTCATTCTCTTCCAGATAGATTTCCTGTCCACTATCTCACAAAAAGTATTCATGGTTTTTTTATTGCAGGTTCTATTTTCCTATTTATTGGGAGTATAGTTCTTGATAGTCTCCTATCTATCTTTTCTCCTTTAAGATAATATTTATAAAAAAATTTTAAATTTATCGTAAATATAAAATAACTCATTATATGTCTCATTCAATAGCTATGTATATTTGTACTTAGACCATTGGTGGTATTTACATAAACTATATTGTTTGGAGGCATTACACAGGGAGTTGAGTTTGTAAAGAGTATTTGATTATTTTTAAATTGAGAAGTCTCTATTTTTGATCTTATTACTTTACCTATAGCATCTGAAAATGGATCATCTGGTTTTATATTAATTGGTATTGAGGCTTTAAATGTCACACATGAGGATGGCTGAGAAGATGGCTGAGAAGGTTGACTAACTGTCTGTTCGATTGGAATTTGGTTTTCTACTTTATCACCATTATCCTTGTTAATATTAGAATGTCCCATGTTATGTTTTAGAAATCTACATTTACGCTTGAAGATATCTGAGGAGAATCTGACTGGATTATTGAAATCAATTTTTGGTTCCGGTTTAAAACAATGAACTCTTTCAACCTCACAAGGTTGTTTAAAGGATTTCTTTTTTTGAATACATTCTTCTGCCATTGCAGTTAATAAATATTGGGCTAATATAGGAGACTCTGCAGGAAGAATTGGGATTTTTTTTGCAGTTTTGGAATCTGATACAGAGTTTTGCATAACTGGTGTAGTTGTAGGATTTAAATTAGGAATTGGATTTATTGTGGGAGTTGCTATCATAGGGGTCATAGAACTAGTTTGAATAGAATTAACTCCATTGATAGATATAGGATTAATATCTGTATAATTAGGAGGAATAAGGCTGGTTGGTGGTTGCATTGAGCTACCTAAAATTTGTGGACATGAATTTACTGGTGGAGAATATGCATAAGGTATAGGACTACCCAATGCTAGATAGTTTGGTTGGTAGTATATCATATTTACTTGATTAAATGGAATATTTGCTGTTATAGGAGTAACTATTTGACTATTATATCTCATATCGGAAATAGTTTGATAATATGGAGATTGAAAACATCCTTTATAAGGTGAGTTGCCTATATTTGTTTTAGTTACTGGAGTAGAATATAAGATGTTTTTAGAATGAATTGGATCCAGAATTCTCTGTGGAGTAGATTTATTTATCTCAGGTCTATTTATTTCTCTAGCCTCGGTAAATTCTATAACATAGTTAGGGATATTTTGATCTACACAAGATTTGTTTAAATAATTATCATTAAATAATTTATTTACACAAGAATTATTATCAGTTTGCTGAATTTCATATTGTTGATTATTTACCTGATTTACATTCATTATTAATTCATCAGATTTAATACCTCCATATTCATTTAGATGTATCTTGGAGCATGTTACATTTGATACTGGGTCTGCATTACTTTCATAGCTACTTTTATCCATCATATCCTTATATATAGTATTGATACTTACTGCAGTGTTATTCTCGTTTAGCTGATTTTTTTTTCTAATCTCGTTTTCTAGATTCCTTACTTCTTCACTTAATACACAAAGGTTTTCATCTATTCCTGATATCTTCTCTAGTGACCTGGAGCTCATAATAGCTCAATAGTTCAAATATCTCACTAACTACAGCTATTTTAAAAGCTCTATAGTAGCTTTAAGTACATTATAACCGCAAATTAAATCAAAATTTCATGTGACATCTCTAGACAAATGCAGTATGCATGTGTCGTGTACTGTGTGTAGAATATATTATAGATTGCTATTATAAAATCTAAGGATATTTTTAGAAATATGGAACTTCGTAATAAAGTATCAATAGACTAGATATAGTAATTTGAATTCTAATCTACAAATTGACTGCTATGAGTACCACCAATTTTCCATTTAACAGTACTTCCAGGTAGAATTAGAGGATGTAGTTGAGGAAAAAGGGCAGGTCCTTTTATGTACTTCTCTCTACGTTGCATGAATTTCAATAGGTATTGCATTGTGACCACTCCAAGTACTATATTTGCTATGAAAGTAAATATTAATATAAAAGAAGATATATTTGGGAGTTCCACAATATTAAGGAATCTATACATAAGTGAATCATCACCACAAAATAACAATACTGACGCTGTAGTTAATATTATGAATGAAATATGAATGATAAACGCCTTGTTTGTAATCAAAGAAAGCCTAAATGGTAATGTCTTATATATAGATAATGCAGCCCCAGCATATTGAATACAAGAAGTTAGGAATACTACTGTGTTCTCAGGACAGACTTGTAAGCTTGCATTAGCAAAATTATCTATTAGATCTTTATTAATAATATAAGGATAGAAATCAGTTTGAGAAGTAACTATAAAAATATTTATACATAGAAATATTATCTGTATACAAATTTGGGCCAGTAGTCCAAATATAACATTGAAGCTTAAAATCTTACTATAAGCTGGAAAGTCCGAGGGGAGATATTTTGCAGTTTTTGTCAATGCTGCAGTAATTGATAATGGCAGAAATGTGACTAAGTCACACCAGATGTATTGATGATCAGTTAAATTTGTACCTCTTGAATATAAATATATTACTGATGAGAACTGAATAAATATATACATAACTACAAATTGGAAAGTCTGAATAGTTGAAGTTAGTGCAGCTCTGCCTTCTAATAAAATATCTGGAATAGACTCTATATCTTTTCTACATGTTGAAAATGCAGCTATAGCTGAAATTTCATGATCACCAATAGCAATACCTACTTTGGCTGTCTGCAATGCTAGTAGATCATTATTTCCATCACCACACATTGCAACAACAGGATTTGGAATCAAGTCTTGTAGAGATTTTATATGTAATGCTTTGTCATCAGGAGTCATTCTAGAATATACTTTGCAATACCTTAATATGAATTCAAATACAGATATTTTAATTGAACAGATAGTTTTATCTGATATAGTGTCATAAACTAGAACCATTTTTTGTAAATCAGTATGTTTGTCATAATCACTTTGTACCATTGATATTATAAATGATGATCTACCTCTAGTACAATCTAAATGCCTTGGAATATATCTTCTATAGGACTTTTCTATTTCTTTCCCTAGTGGTAGTATATTTTCAATACCACTCCTGTATTCATCTTTCTCTATTTGGCATGAATCTGTTAAAAGCCAGAATGGTAAAGAGCTCCCATATATATTGTTGAAATCTTTGAATATAGATTTCAAGTACTTTTTTCTAAATATGCGAGTCAATGACTTATCAGTAAAAGAATCAAAATCTCTGGTTTTTGAAAGGTCAAGATATTCTAATTGATAATATTTATGCATGTGACATAATTGACGTAGGCAATGCCCAGTTACTACAAAAGATATTTTTTCTAATTCATAATTCATTAATATTTTATGAATACTATAAAATACTTCTACAGACCTGCCACCATCCTTAAGTACAGACCAAACAATTATATTTGAGTCTTTATCTTCCTTAACATCTCCTATTACCACTATATTTTCAGAAAATTCACTTACATTGATATCACTTGGAAGAATACCACATTCTTTTGCTATTGAAATAGCAGTATAAGCATGATCTCCAGTAGACATAATACAGTTAACATGAGCACTTTTCAAAGTAGAAATAACATTTGAACTTGAAGGTCTCAATTTATTAGCAAAAACCATAAGCCCTAAAAAAGTTAAATCTATTTCAACTTCATCCCTTTTAAGTAACTCCAAAAGTGAATTAGCTTCTTTATTTTTAATATTTAATAAACCATAAGCAAAGCCTAAAACTCTCATCCCTTTGTGCAAGTAGTATAGCATACAATCTTCCAAATTTTGTGGTAGAGTATGAGTACTACAGATATTCTTTATGTGTTCTGGACTTCCCTTAGAAAAGATCAAAAGGTTATTTGGATTATTAGGATCCCTACAAATAACTGTCATACGGCGTAATTTAGAATTAAATTCATAAACCTTGAGTATTTCTAATTCATTACAACATTTAGTAGTTAAACTAAAATTATTAGAAGATCTCTTCTTACATACAGAACGTGCAGGAGAATTATCACAATATAAAATATGCTTCCAAACTGTCTTCTCAGAACTAGACTGACTCATTTCATCATTAAATTTAATAAAATTATTTCCATATTTATCTAAATCACTTGCCATGAACATACTCTCAATACTATAAGTTGACTGTGAATACTGATCCTTTAACTCCCATCCACTAAATTCAAGCATACACATTTCTAAAGGTTCACCAACCACTACTCTAGATCTACAATAAGACCCTACATCATTACAATGTACATCTGCATGTTCTTTATCTACAAAACTAATAGAATGACATGAGGCAATTGCTTGTATTAGAATATCTGGTACACCACTATTGGTTTCACAAATATTTCCAAGAATTAAACCAATAGACTTTGAATATTCCTTTCTAACTGGTAAACAACCCACAATATCTAGCCCATCACAAGTCAAGGTTCCTGTCTTGTCAAATACCATCGTATTTACTTGACCAGAAGTGTTTATACTACTTGGATTAGAACAACCAACTCCTTTCTTCTTTAATTTGCTAATAGCAATCGAAGATGCTGCTGCAATAGTTGCAGGGAGAGCAGGAGGAGCTACAATTGTAAATATATCAATTGAACGAAATATCACTGTAGTTGTTCTCAAATTAAGTAAAATCCCAATCATAATCGCAAATCCAAACCCAAAAATACCAAAGATAAAACAAAGCTTCACAAATTTCATTGCATCATTATAAAATTCATCATTTTTGTTATCTAGCCTATTTGTTATAATATCACTATACACTGATTGAAGAAAGTGCCCTTGGATAGAAGAAAAGCCTGTACGAACAACCAAAGCTATACCAATATTTGAATTACCCTGAATCCCCATTATTGTAGTTCTTGCATAAATAATATGACGTGTATCTTTCTCATGATTAAAACATTCATTTGAATGCTTTGGAATTGGAAATTTTAGTACTGGGGTTGACTCCCCAGTTAGTACTGCCTCGTTTACAATTACGTCAGATTTTAAAATAATAGCATCACATGCCATCACCATTCCTGGACGTAAAATAATCAAGTCACCTGGTACAAGTTCACTAGAGTTTAACACTTTCTCAAAAAAACCTTGATTTATATCTGTATTATTAAATATAATACTTACTTTTGAATCAAGTTGTGACATAATATGCAGTTTCACATTATTGCATCTAGTTTCATATATTGAATTTGCTAAAGAAACCATAGTAATAATAAAAATACATAAAGCATACTCAATATAGCTATTTCTGGACCAAACCAAAATTGCCAACATTTGAAAAACAAAAAAAGGATGCATAATTTCACGTAAAATTATGTTAATTATAGGAATTACTGGGATAACACAAGAACATTTGCCAAATAAAAACTGTAATTCACTGCGAAATAGATCTACATTAGTAAAATGAGATTTACTTATTTGATCTTTAATACTATGTATTCTATGCCAAAATTTATCCCTAATCTCTGAATATGGAGTCTCATTTAAAGAGGGGACAATCTTCTTAAAACTACCTTCCATAGTATCTAAAATATAAATAGAACCACAATAATTGAAAAATGTTATTTGTAGAGGATATGCTATACTATATAACAATGCTCCATTGTTCAAACTCCCTTCATTTTTATTTACGCTCAAAACATGTTGAGATGGAAGGCAATTAAAGAACTTTAAAATCCCAAGAATACCATCAAATAGATTTTTTCCATCAGTTTCATTTCCTTTTGTTAAGTTCCTTTTCGGAACAAAAATATAAAAGGAAGATCTTGTCAAAATTAAAAAACTTTCACAAGATGAAATTGTAGAAGCTGAATAATTCAAAAACCGGTACCAATCAGGAAACCAATAACATAAAGTTGGTAATATACCCAAACTACATATACTAGATATGATATATATAAGCCTAAGGAATCTCCTTCGAATAACAGGGGTGACAAGTATAGGAACATCAAGTTGTAATGCTTCCTCACTTATTCCACAACTCTTGTCTAATTCATTATAAACAATATCGTAAATCAGACACTGTTTAATTCCACCAAATACTTCTTTTGTTGGGTTAACAAATCCTGATGTTACAGAATCGTCCCTAAAGTTCAAAAGATTACCATCTGGCATTGATAAGTATTGAATTGCTGAAATAAACTCTAACGCACCAATTTGGCACCAATATACTTTTACTGAAACATTATTTCCTGAATTTCATATATTTCTAAGTCCAAATGTCGAAACGAGACAGAATTTTTGGAGTTCGCGCGGATATATGTAATTTATTAAATAAGAATAAAAAAGCGCCAACCGATCAGTTTATTAACTTCAAACTTTCCGAAGTTTTGTAATTACTTGTAATATGTCTAAGCGACAGGCTGACTTCCAACTTACGAGTTTAAATGTCGAAACAGATAATAAAAGTAATTATGATTCAGAGGGAATTAATATAAATTCTGAAGTAACTCAGGAAGATGATATATCAAAACGAAAAATACTTCGTTTAAAAAAAAGAGATAGAGAACTTCCTGAGGTAAATCTGACTACAGAACATATTGTTAAGGGAAAATCGGAAATTACTAATAATATAAAAGAATCTGATAGTACTGAATGTACTGTTAATAATGAGGATAATAAAATAGAGGAGAAACTAAAACCTTCAGATGAACCTAATCATACTTTAGACAATACTATAAAAGAAACACCTACAACTAATTATATATCTCCAAAGTCTAGTGATTTAAATAACAATAATGATAATATATATGGTGAGACTGATAAGGAAAGTTTACCTTTTGGTAATAATGGATTTTGTACTAACTTTACCAATCCATTTATAACATTAGCAAAAGGTGAAGGTAACTTCTTATTTTCCAATGACTCAAAGCCGATAAATGTTTCTATTTCTGTTGATCAAAATGTAAATAGTGAACTATATCAAAATTCACTTGATAATAATGAAATTGATGAGATTGGTCAAAAAGATATACAAGACTTAGATGATGAAAAAGTATTACGTAAACTCTTTACTGGTGAGGAAGATGAAGAAAATATTTATAGATGTAAAGATGTGGAGCTATTTATTTTAACAGAGAATGAATATAATACAAAAGCATTCAAAAAAAAAGGGGTTGGTATTTTACATCTAAATAAGCCTAAAAGTGATCAACCTAAAAGTGATAAACTTAAAACCACAATATCTTTTAAACAACCCCGAATTATATTTAGACAGAAAGGCATATATTCAGTACTATTAAATTCACCAATAACTTGTGAAATAGCACATACATTTCGTAAAAGTCAACACATAACAAAAGGTTTTGCAATAAGCTTTATAGCTTATAAAGAAGATTCTTCCATTATATCTTGTATGATCAGATTTACAAAGGAAAGTGATGCAGATAACTTTTTAAGTAAAATAAAGACATTGACAGATTCATAAATAATGTCAAATTTAAAATTAACTAGATAAAATTTATTATCTCAAAATTTAGAATACAAAATAAATATCAGTCATAATTAGATTATTGTCTACATTATTTTATGAAGTGGATTATTATGATCTAACTTATTTATATTACACTGATTGCAATTTCAATAATTTTTACAATTTCAGTAGTAATATTCAAGCTAGGCAACATTTTTAATACTCTATCAATACTATATAGTTATATAGAAAGAATTCAACTCTTCAATTTGTAATACAATACAATATATTTACATTAATCGTATATTTATGTTTATATCTATTTATATTAATGCTTTTATCCTTAACCTAAATAAATACTGTCAATTCCATAATGCAATTTGAAATGTCAAAATGAAATGTTAATACTACTTATGACTAAATACAGATTGTAATATTTACAATTACAATATATATAATTATTAGCAGGAAATCTTATTTAAGTTCCAATATTTAAGTTATTATTTAGTCATTTAAGATATCTACTTTTTAGACTTCTAAAGAAAAATCCTTAAATAGTAATATGAGATCTCTAGAATTGTCCTTTTAATTTCCTCTTTCTTCTTCAAGAAGCTAAATATTATTTATACTTCTGATCACTAATTCTATTCAATATATTTATTGAAATAAAGATCCTTATTGTTTAAAGATCCAAACTCTCTTTTTCTTTAAAGAACCCTAATTTGAGAAGACAATAATAAGAATATTTATCTGTAATTAATACTAAAGAATTTAGAAATAGAAAGTGTCAATATAAATAATTCTAAATATAATATTGAATTCTAATAAATCAAAATATAATAATTAAAATCTAGATATATAGAAACAATATATTTACAATAATATGTAGTTTAAGGCCTATATTACTCTACGAAATACGTCTTATATATAATAATATCTCTAGAAAATGTCAATAGTATGAAGTGAAACTTCTATATTATTCAACAGTACGTCTAGACAGACAAACTGACGTTGGGTAAGTAATCTCATGAAGGTTTAAGTAGACATATCCGTCAACTGCACGCAGCTTAGATCCACGTTAAAACATGTTTGACACTTTGTACACTTTTATTGATTATCTCTAATACTTTGATTTTATTTATAACTAAGAATGGGTCAGTCTTGTTCAGATATTCGTCAGAAGTATTGTTTGTTTTGCAAGAAGAACAATAATGCAGTTGGGAGTTGCAAGCCTTGTGAACAACAGGCTGGAACTACTTGTCAAAAACCTCCTACCCCTCCTCCTGCACATGAGAACAAAACAGATGATAATAAGCCTCAAAACCCATAAATGTTGTCATAGAAACTAGACTATGTTGTACTCAAGTGCAAATACTAAAGCAAATTCATGTAGTATCACTATGTATTTACTTAATAATTGACTAGGTTTGTAACCTAAGGTGTTTATCTTTTGAAGTAGAAGTTTGTAATTTCTCTGATTATTTATGTTGTGCATATTGAATATTTTCGCTGATTTGTGAATGATATTTATATTTTTAGATATTTGTTTGGCTCTTTTTTTATTCCCGGGATATGTCTTGAAGATTCCAATCTTAAGCCCAGTAGATTAATCATACTTAAGTTATGAAGATGAGAAATGAAGAGTAATATTTATGATGTTAATGTATTTGATTATTATAAATCTGGTCATTCTGTAGTTTTTAAGATTAAGATTACAGATATAAATCGTAAAGAAAGTTGGTACATAAGTAAAAGCTACAAAGAGTTTGTACAAGTTGATGATTTTTTTCGTTTAAGATATCCCTCAATCCCAGAGGTATTTACTTTAATACTTATAGTAATTCCTATAATTAGATTAAACTGCTTTTTTCTCTTTTAGCTTCCATATGAAGGATGGTGGTGGCAACATAATGACCAATTTTATAAATATCAATTAGAAGAGTTACAAGCTTATATGGATAGTATTTTAAAGAATGACCCAGGAATTGAGAATATGGTACTTAAATATTTTCTAGATTTACACTTGATTATAGGTGATAATATAGAGAATGAAATAGTTGGATATGAAGTATCAGATACAAATATCCTTGAATATATGAAAACTAATCTTTTAGATTTATCACATCCTATAGAACGTACCTTATCTCCAATGGAACAGAGAGCTAGGGAAAGTGCATATAAGTGTTATTTTGAGGAGAGTGGAATTTTATCTATATCTGTAGATTGTAATAAACAGTAAGTTTGATATAATAAAATTATTATTTCTTAAGGACTACTTAAATAGTTTAATGTCTTTTTTTTTTTTAAATAGTTCTTAAGTTTGTAATAAGATATCTAATTACATGACATAATTCGTCTGAAAATACTTTATTTTCAATAATTTATTATTTTGTCTTTAATCTATAAAGGATTTCAGGACTTTTATCTAGAATGAAAATATCTCTTCCAAATACAATAACAAAGGATTTAACTAATATTCAACTAAAATCAAAGATAGATGAATTAACAAATGAAGCAAATACTGATATTGGCAAGTAAATATATACAAGAATATACTATAAATTTACAGCTTCACTATCAAACTTAATATCTTTTTTCTATTGATTTTAGATATAATAAATAAATTAAAAAAATTCTGTGTTCAAGTAAAACAAGATCTTAGTACTAAATTAAGATTAGAAGATATTGAAAAGTCCAAAGTAGTCTTCCCAAAAATAGAGTAATTTAGACAATAAATTATTGGTTAAATTTATGAATATATTCACTGTAGTTTACCTATCTTCATTTTACTTTTTTTATTTTAGATAGTAATTGTATAGTAGTAAAAATTCTAAACAATATCTTTTTGAAGATATTACAATTCATCTTTTAATTTATCACTTGACTCCATTAAATTTTCTATTAGTAAACCTTGTTTAAATTCCCATATATCATCTTCGGACTTTCTACTATTGAGAGTAATTGCTACTTCATAATGGCCAACAATTGGACATCTTGGACAATTACTATTATCAAATAAGTTCCTTTTACTAGATCTTAAATAACCTTTCATTTCAGTATTAAGTAATCTGAATTTGTCACGAATTTCCAACTTTTCTCCACTTTTTTTTCTAATACATTCTATAGTAAATTTACTATTTATACAATCAGATTCATCTTTGCAGCTTACTTCATATTGTCTGCTAATCATTGACTTTACATTTGAACCACTCCCTTCAATAAATCTATCGCTATGTGTACTTTGAATTCTTATAGTATCACCACAGAGTATAGCTGAACCTGCACCTTTGTAAGGTAATTCAGATTCTCTAAGGTACCACATATTCTCTGATGAAGGTTCTTTAGAGCATGTAACTGCTTGATTTCCATTTGACCAAGTTATTTTTGCAGTGAATAGATTGCACTTTGTATTTGAATGTATAAAGTAAACAGTACTTCCATAAGTCAGTGGAGTGGCATGCGCTTCTCTAAAAAATGAGAAGTTAATTGCATAAATAAAATAGCAAAGTAATCTTCTTAAGGTCATAATATCAGTCTTTCCACCTCTACTTTAGTGTACTTCTTAAAAAGAATCAAAATATAAGGAATGAGAAATAGTGGAAATTACAATAAGTTTACTTTGTCGTGAAGCTAGGGATTGCATTGCGCCTTTATTACCCCCCTTCTTCCCCTCTTTTTTCCCCTCTTATTTCCTAATATTTTTTTACTTTAAGTTGTCCGTAGCTGCTTTATTCTTCATTGCGGTATTTCATATAAGCCAAAATACCTTAATCTATTAAAAAAAAAGAAATTCATACTTGTTAGGACCCCGAATGGCGGTACTTAATAGTCCTTACATAAATTAATTTGAAGTTATACTAAGCCAATAGTTCACTCAAAACATAAACGTCTTTATAATAACTAATAACGCACTTTATATTGTCTAATTCAATTATTTGGGTATATTTTAGATCAATTTCAATCTTTTTTGTTTAGTAACTTATAGTGATTTAATATATATTCGAAATATATTCCATTTCTGTTTTTTATACTATATTTATCGACTTTCGCTATCCTTATTTTAATATCTGAGTTCTACCAACCTTCCTATTTGTTATTTTATACCAACCAATTTCCATATCACTATATTAAAAAAAAAGATTGTGTACTTATTGCTCAAATGCAAAGAAAGGATAGTATGTTACTTATATTTCTTGGTTTAAATTTATTAATAATTATCCTTAAAGTTGAATTATTTCATATAATAACTTTTTAAAATGAGGAAAATAGGAAGTAAATACCAGTTTCAATATTAAATTGTAATGTAATAGATCAAATATATTATAAATTTATAATCCATTGAAATTTACAATATTGTATACTGTAATAAAATTCTAAGCTTAAATTTAAAGATAATTTTCTTCTTTAAATTCTTAAATTCTTGACAACATCTATTGTGTATTTAAAATATATTACAGGATTTCTTATTATATAATTTGTTAGTAATATATATTTCTAATTACATTAAATATCGAAAAAAAAGTTGCACCAAATAGTCACTTTAATCAATAATAATTCATTTATTCTAATATTATAGATCAATCTTAAAACAAATTTTTTGTTTTGATTTTATTCAAAATAGATGCATGTAAAGTTAATAATAAAGTCCTGTTCTAACGCATGCATGTAATACATGTATTACGTCATTTACAATCCAAAATTTAATGACAAGGTTCCAAAAGATTAATTTCTTGTCTACTTAATAGAACTTAGATTTTTTTTAATAATTTGTTGTTAATCAAAATATAAAATTTTATAAAGACTATGGGATCCATATTAGGAATTGAAACTCATGATACACCTGCTTATGATATAATTGCCAGGCCTACAGCCGAATCTTTGTATACTTTGGAAATATGGAAATTACACCCACATTTCTCAGCATTAGTACCATTTAATAAAACTGAATTAAATTCAGCATTTAGAGCCTTAGGAGAATATATTGGAGTGGTAGGGGATAAACCCAAAAATAGTGCTAATGAAGATATAGCTATGATGGTACCAATACTAGTACAAGATTTTGTGAATCCTTTGGATAATATTAAATTGGAAAATAATACAATTCATAATGCTGACTTCTTAATGGAATTCTTTATACCAAATGTTTATAATAATATAACAGAAGTACCGAGACCTTTACCAAATCAGACAATACATTTATTAGCTAGTGAAACATCAATATTGGCAGTTTCAAAATTTTCTGGTTTAATTAGAGGAATCACAGAACGCAAGTACCAAATGGCCTTAAGAAATTTAAAAAGGGATTTAAAAGAAATTTTTGGACATGAAAGTGATATAGGTAAGTTTATATTATTAGTATAATACTATCCTTATTAAAACTAATATTATCACTTATCTTAATATTTTAGATTCAGCACCTCACAGTTTAGCAGTTTATAATCCACCTTGGACTTTACCATGGTTCAGACATAATGAGGTATGGATAAAAATAGATCATTTCCTAAGTATTGAGGAGATAAATAAGACAATTAGTAATCATAGTATGCATCAATTTAACTTGGTCTAAGTATTAAATATTTTCATTTAAACAATATGAAAGTGCTTAGAGGTTAAATAACCTAATAATAGCTCATATATTACAAATATATATTTACTAACTTATATCAGAATTCTATATAATACTCAAATAGTGACATTTTACTAAAAATAAAAATTTGTGAGAAAAGAGAAGAAAAAAAGGACTTTACATCTAAGCTGCCCTAGAGTTTAGGGCGGAATTTGACAGATAAATACAAATAAGGACTTAATTCAAAAAGAAAAAAAGAAAAAAAAAGATAAAAAAGTACTTTGAAAGGAGAAACTTATTTTATAATTGAAGTAATATTATGGACGAGGAATACTTAGATAGCCAGTCTGATACTCTTAGTGATAATGAAAACATACAGGAAAGTAACGAGGAATTGCTTAAAAAAATTCTCAGTTACAAAGAGACAGGAAATGAACAATACAAGAAAGGTAAATATAATGAAGCTATTAATACATATGATGAGGGTTTAGAGTTCATTGAGAAATTAAGAAAGAAAGATGTAGATGGAAAGAATGTTGAAATAGAAAATCTAGAAACAACATTACAACTTAACAAATCTATGATATACTTAAAAAGTAGTGAATGGTTTAAAGTAATTCAAGTTACAAGTAAAATACTTAAAGAGGACCAGAAAAATATGAAAGCTCTTTATCGTCGAGGACTAGCTAGAATAGGTTTCAGTATGTATGAAGAAGCCCGTGAAGATTTCTTAGCTATATTAGATTTAGAACCTGGAAATGCTGCTGCTATACAACAGTTACAAATTATTAGACAAAAAATATCAGAAAGTAATGAGAAGAGTAGAGGTTCTTTTAGCAAGATATTTTCTAAAGGTTTGTATACTGATAGACAAAGAGATGTAGAGATAAAGAAGGCAAAAGAAAGAGAATCAAGACGAGAAATTTATGAAAAAGAAATTAATGAGAAAAAACTAAAAGGAGATGCAGATAATTCTAAGGTTATTCCTTTTGAAGAATGGGAAAAAGAATATATAGCAAAGAATTCTAATTCTACAGATAAGCCATTAGATTCAAATGCTAACTCACAACAAAAATCTCACAAAGTAAATTCAAATTCTACATCTAATTCACCATCTGCTCCAATTATTTCTTCAAAAAGTAGTGATATTGAATTAGATGACGAAGATATGAAAATATTAGCTGAAACGAAAAAAATGGGATATTGTTATTTTAGAAGAACATTAACAGATCAAGAAAAGGAATTGAACCAACAATTTGTTCCAAAATTAATAGAAGAAACAAAAAATGAGAATACTTCAAATGATCATATTAGTGATCCATCAAGACTTGGAATCAGCTCATGGAATTCTAAAGGAACTACTTTTGAAGATAAAGATGTAACTTCAACAGCAAAAGTTACACTCAAGAAATATTTAGAAGCATCGAGTTTTGAGGAAATATTCAGATGTGACAATAAAATAACTGTTAGTGTAACTAGTGTTGATGAAATTGATGGTGAAGCGTCTGTTGCAATGGTAAGAGGTACTAGAAGGTTCTTATTTGATTTTTCAGTCAAACTTAAAGGAAAATATGAATCCATTAATCTTAGAGATAATACTACTGAATCAACTAATTTTTCTATATCTATTCCATCACTTACTTCAATGAGTAGTGAAGAAGATATATTTGGACTTAAAGAATGCTCTATTGAACTTCTCGACAATAAAAATACATTTTCTACTGATATCCAAAATCAAATATGTAATTGTATTAAAGAACAATTTTGTTTCATGTATTTAAAAAGTCAACTACAGCAGATGCTAAATGATTTCCATATCAACATTTGAATTGAAAAAATTCTAAATTAATAAAATAATATTATGAATTTCTATTTAGTTACTAAACTGAAAATAAGTATACATCAAGGCTTTATTTTTGTAGATTTATAAATATGCAAAATCAAATATTAATATTTTCTCCTCATTTATTTTAAATAACTTTATTTGTTACTAAATAAAAAACCACTGACTAATATATGGTGATTTATAGAAACCACAAATTTACACTATATATTCAATTTATATATTTATTTCATCCTAATCTAAATATACATTACCTTGTCAAATTATTTATTTATTATCATTGATTAGATTGTTTTAGTAATATCTCTTAATCTTTACACTCATTTCATTTTATTATTCTCAATCTTTTATTTTATTAGAATTATAATAAATTTATATTAGGGTTTTTAATATTCATATTAACTAATTAATATTTATCTTTTTTATTATTTTAAGTTATTATTTATTAATATCTGATATTTTATAGTTGGAATTTTATAATATAATAGTATTTAATTAAGAAATCGGTCTTTTTTTTTTCCTAGGATTATAACAAATAAATGATTATTATATTTTACATAATATTGTGTATTATGAATTTGTTAGAATTACTATAAGTAAAACTTGATCTAATTAAATAATAGAACCTATAATTTAATGAATTATACAACTTTATTATGATTTATGGGCTTAAGTAATATATGATTTTATATTTTAATAATTGAATAGAATTTAAAAAATAACATTACAAAACTTCTATTTAATAAAAAATAATCATGTTATAATATATATAATGATTTATTATTAATAGTATAAAGTAAATTATGTTAATAAGTTTATGAAATAAATTAGATATATCTTCTATTAGTAATCTTTTTAAATATTTTTATATTTTAAAGTATTATTAATATTATTATCAAATTTCCTTAACTATTTATATTTATTAGATATATATAATTAAAAAGAAATATATAATTATAAAAGTTGAACTTCCTTTTTTTAAAAAAATTGGAATAGTATAATTATAATGAAATTAAGATAATAACTTTAAAATGATACTAATTTCATAAATTTCAAATAATAAAGATATAAACTCAGGTAAACTATAAAGTATGTTATATATGATAATAAGAGTAATGATATATTATTACATTTATAGTAAAAAAAATAAAAGAATGAGAATAATTAAATGAGGTATAGATGAGTGTAAAGATTAATATTAATATTACCTAATTCTAAAAATGGTTATTTTTAAAAGTCCAAAACTATTATCTATAAACTTTCACTTATTGTTAATTACAAAGAGAAACAAATCTATAATATACCCCCAAAAGTATCTAAAATTCGAAACATTAATTAATCTTTTTAATAGACGACAGCTTCCCGGTCTTCTCTACTTAAAAAAAAAAATATAAAGATGAGATCAGGCGAAAGTGGATTTCCTATACTTCCAATTGATCGAATATTAAGAAATTTTAGGCAAATATCACCACATCATGATTCAATTTCACAAATGGCCTCTTGGTTATCATTTTATAGAAGCTCTGCAGACACTTTATGCTCTTTATTTGGTGATGTTTTTGTAGATAAAACTATCAGAGAAGACCAGAAATTAGCTATATTTTATGTTTTTCATGAAATGGTTACTAGAATTATAACAAATAATGATGAAGCTCGAAATTTTTTTATTATTGGATATGATCAATTTTTATTATCTGCAGCTCCTATTGTTAGTCGTATGCCATTTGAAGAAAGGTCTCCATATCTTCAAGTAATTAGAATTTGGCAATCTCAGCAAATATTTCCACAAGATATTTGTGAAAGATTAAGACTTTTATTTAATCCTCATATAGGTAAGATTTTAGGGTTTATTGTAATATAATATATATTAATATTATTTCAGGCAATCATAATAATAAATTAAATTCTTCTTTATCAAGTAAAATGACAACAAGAACTACAAATGACTTAATTAAAGCTCTGCAACAAATTCAAACTTGCTGTAAAAGTATTGCAACTGCCTTAAAATCTCAAACGAAATTAGAATTATCAAAAAATAACCATGATTATAAAGAAATACAAGAAATCTGTATTAATGAATATAAAGAAAGTTTAGATAAAATAACAAGTGCAGGCATTTTATTTGCACAGAGCCTTCAAGGTGAGATGAAGATTTTTGAAGACCTAAAAAGTAATATTGAACGAGTATCTACTGATGAATAATTTGAAATTATATATCTTAAACTGATATATTGAAAATATTAGATTTTATTTAATAAAAATATTAATTTTACAAAAATAAATTTTTCTATTATTTAGACTTTCTATTCTTGTTCTTCATCCTCAGTTATTTTCCTAGCAAGATAGAATCTCAAATAACCAGAACCACTTCCCTCTAAAGAATATTCAAGTTCTAAAGGTTGATTTTCACTCATACTTAATTTTACACTATTACTTAAAGGTGTTGCTTTAGCAAAATTATTAAGATAACGTAATGAAAAAACTAATTGACATGGTTCTGTTACATCTAATGCAACAGCCTCAGTATCAGCTCCATCTTTAGGTCTTAAGACTACACTACCCGAACCAAGTGAACCTTTTGTAAAGAAACGTACATTTTTTCTATTAATATCAATTGATAAAGAATCTGAAAATTGAGCCATATCCCTACATAACCTTTGAAATTCATTAGATGGCATACTTACAATAGATGAAAAACTTGTTTCAGGGATTTGTAGACTATCTTGATCAATAGAAATTAGAGTTAGCTCAAATTCAGAAATTCTATCACCATTTGGAGTTTCAAAGATAAATATTAGACTTTCTGAGTCATCATCATGACGTAATAGAACCTGATCATCACTAGAACATAACTTCAATAGTTTTACAACGTTTTGGGTATTTAAACCAAGAGTACGACTTCTATCACATCTATAACGTTCAAAAGCTATGTCCTTAATATATAGGGCAACAAGAGACACATGACTATTGTCCATAGCTTGAATAGTGATGCCACTCTCATTACATTCTAGATTAACATCAGTAACTAAGTTTGTAATAGCTTCAAATACTCGCCTTAATATACCTCCACTAGAAAGTCTAGCTTCAAACATTATTAATAAGAATTCTAAAGATTTTCTTGCAAAATCCTATTAGAATAAGAAATTGTAAATTACTAACATATACCCCACAAAATTTAAAGATAAAAGAAAAACTTGCCAATTTTATACCGCTACCGCTTTTATATTGAAAAAAAAAAGGAGACAAATAGTTATAATAATACAATTACTACCAATAATTTAGGAATCTTTACTATAGTATCTAGTTATCTCCATATAGGAGGAAGGGTACACAGTTACCTTATAATTTTACTTAATTCTAACATATATATATATATATATATATATATATATTACATATATTATTCTGTAAATTCTGAGTTATTATTTATTTTAAAGTAATTCACAATTATCTAAATACTCAAGTTGGAAATATATCAGAATATTATTTAGATTTACTATATGAACAGAGGAAATTAAGTAATATATGTAGTTTTATTGTTACAAGTATCCCTGTTAAAGTATCAAATCATAAAGAGATATCTCAAATAGTTTTGGTAGAAGAACAAGAAGATAGAGAACAATAAGGAAATAGTAGGATATTCTATTTATTATAAATCTAAATTAGATCTTTCTATCACATTATTGTCAAGTATAAATTATATGGATTTTTGAATAGAATATTAAATATAATCATCAATCTAACATTAGATATACCTAATATATTTCCTTCATTACCAAGAATTACAACTCCATATTCTAATTTGAATATCTTATTATTAGGATCTTCATTTTTAGATCTTTTTTCCATAAATTATTCAATCAATAGAAGTTCTATGTTTAGATTGGTTATATATATATTTAATTGATATTCCTACTCAAACTACAAAATTAGAATCTGTATTTAAATATTTTAATACTATTAGATAATCTTGTAATTAAAAATTCCCCATTATTAGATAAAGAATTTTATTATACTAGGGGAGTTGAAGATATTGCTAAATCAAATAATATACAATATAATAGGTATAATAGGAATAGATTACAAAAATCAATAACTGTTTCCAGTTATATAAAATAATATCATTCTGAAACAAAATTTTTGAAAATATATATTGTCTAATAAATATATACAACGGGAAATTATACAAAGTGGTAAATATACTCAAAAAAGTCTAATTTTCTTTATTTCCTGAATTGATAGCCTCAAAAATTTTATCTTCCTTTAGATAATGAAGTAATTAATATATCAAGGAATTAAACAATTTTCTAATTATAAAAGATAAAAGATAATAAAAATAGCTTCCATTATACAGGAAACTGTTATATTAATTATTGGATCTACTAATAGAGCTTATGTTAGACTTGATGCAAATATATATAGTGTAATCTTGTTTGAGCAAAAGTATAATCATTATCATGAGACTTATTTAGAACATGAATTAATTAAACTTATTGCAGGATTATATGGAAAAATTCAAGATGAAGATTCTCTTGAATCACATTATATATTAGATTAGATTAGAATTTATTACAAGTTCTTATGGAAGTAAGAACCTCTAGTGATTATCTAGAGACCAAATTTTTATCTTAATATATTATATCTTATTATTATAAAAGAAAAGTGGTATATTACTCTTTCAAATATAATATTTGAAAGTTATCTAATATATGGAATGATTATGATTAAATAATCAACTTATAATCTTTTATAGAGATCTATTTTAAAACTTAATACATAGTAAAGGCTAAATCATAATAAATATTAGTCTCATATTATCCTAGTTATTTTTATTGTTGAATTATCTGTAATTGATCTAAATATACAATATTTTTTCATTTTTAAAATTATTATTTTATTTTAATTATTTCTTTATGAATAAATACTCTATTTTCAAATATAATATTTAATATTTAATATTCTGTTTTATGTGATTCCCTAATATTATAAAGATCACCTAAAATTTATTTTTTTTTTTTTTTATTTTTATTTTTTAATATATCTTAATTTAATATTAAATATATATTTAAGAATACTAATTATTTCAAATTACCATTAAATATATATCTAATATAATATGAATAATTAATTAAAATATATTGAACTTTAGTTAATAATATATCAAATAGATATAGATATAGATATTAGATATAAATAATAAAATTCATATTTATATAAATAATATTAGATAAATTATTAATTCCCAAATTTCAATCATTACAATATTTTATGAGTTTAGAAAATTACATAGTAAATAAGTAAATATTTTAAACATAACTAAATATTAACTCAATCTTTTATATTTCTATTAAAATATTAAATCTATTAAATATTTAACAATATATTACAATAATCTCATCAATATATTACTAATAATATAAATGATTAATATAAATCTTTATCTTCAAATTATAAGATTCAATAATAATGATCTAATTTAATCCTTATATTAAGGAGAAAAAAGAAGTTATTTAAAAATACTACCTACAAAAAATCAATAATTACCTTTTAAATAATACCCAAAATATAAATATTATTGGAATTAATAGAAAATCACAATATTAAGGTCTATATATATTACAATATATTAATATATCACATCATTTAGGGGTATCTATAGTCAGCTATTAAAATCATCCTATTTATATATATATCTTGCTATAATATAATCAATAATTTAAAAAAACTGGATGATAATAATAAACCTTAACTTTTACCCTCCCCTTCCTTACTCTCTTCTTTTCTCTATTTTATGTTAATTCAAAAGAAAATAAATAAGTATAGTTTTCAATTATTTACCTTCAACAATGATTTATATGGCAGCTAGTGCCGCCTGGAAGTTTAGACCCATTACCTTGAGCAAATCAATCTAAGATTAAATACCCTTAGGATCTATACCTAGATTGATATTATTTATTACCATTAACATTAGGTGTGATTAATTCAGTAGAAAACGCAACATCTAGAATTCCTGAGAAGAACCTTGTTTTGATTTAGATTTCTTAGGTAATAACACAGTTGGAATATTTGGAAGTACACCACCACTAGCTATTGTAACATTCCCAAGAAATTTACTAAGTTCCTCATCATTACGAACAGCTAATTGAATCTGTCTAGGAGTTATGCGGGTCTTCTTTGCATCCCTAGCAGCATTACCAGCTAATTCTAAAAGTTCAGCACATAAATACTCCAAAACAGCAGCTAAATATACTGGAGCTGCTGCTCCAATCCTCTTGGCATATCTTCCCTTCTTTAAATATCTTGCAACTCTACCAACAGGAAATTGCAAACCTGCCTTTGTAGAATTAGACATAGTTTTACGGGTTGTCTTCTTACCAGCTCCCCTTCCAGATGGACATGCTACTTTTCCTGACATTCCCTACAGAACTTTATCTCCAAAAAGAAAACTCCTGGTTTTGTTTTATTTTATAAAAGTTGCGACTTCCACCCTAAAATTGAATGGACTGATTTAATTAGAACTTTTTACTACTCGACTTCTGGATTGTCCACACTACACCCCACCTAAAATTAAGATAATACGTACCGCCTAAAAATTTTAATTTCTCCTATACTATTCTTTATAACCACACAACGTACATGTCGCTTTACTTATTTTTTTTTAATTTTGAACCTTAGGAGATTTAAATAATAAGTAATTTTCACTATAATATGAAATTTCAAATTACTATGATTTATAGTAATTTTTTCTTTAATTAATCATATAGGCTAGATATTTATATAATTTGTAATAACTATTTAAATATATTAAAAAAGTATATTTAGATACTATTGGAAATAAAAATAGATCCCTAGGGTATAATTATTAATATAGTTATATATTAAAATTTTATCTATTAGATTTTATTCTCTTATTTTATTTGTTATATTTTTATTTTTTAAATAATTTTAAATACTTTAATTAAGTACTCTTAAACTTTACCACCCCCCCCCCCTTTTTTTTTATTTTATTTTATTCTTTATATTAACTATTAACTATTTTTTATGTTTTCTCCTCTAATACCAATACTAATAACTAATATCTATATAATTATATATTCTTAATGGAAAAGTATATTATTAAGGCTAAAATTGGTGAGGGTGGAAGTGGAGAATGCTGGTTAGCTGAATCTATTAAAGACAAATGCAAGGTTGCTATTAAAATTATCAATATTAGTAATATTAATGAAGTAATAAAATGTAGAGCTATACATGAGACTAAAATATTAAGTATGATTAAACATCAAAATATTATTGAAGCATTTGAATCATATTCAAGTCAAAATATGATCTGTATTATTATGGAATATGCAGATAAAGGAGATCTCAATAAATTTCTAAAAATAAGACGAAATAAAACAGAATATCTAACAGAAAATGAAGTTATGTTTATATTTTTACAAATCTTAATGGGAATTAAATCTCTTCATGAAAGGGATATTGTACATGGAGATATTAAGACAAATAATATTGTTTTATTTTCAAATGGTCTAGTAAAAATATCTGATTTTGGTTCATCTAAAATTGAATATTTTGATAAAAATTTACAATTTAAAAATACTTCATATAGTTCAGATCTAAATAAATTGATAATAGGAACACCACATTATATGGCACCTGAGACTTATTCTGAAAATATTTGTAATATAAATAGTGATATTTGGAGTTTGGGTTGTATACTTGTTGAACTTTGTTTACTTTATCCAATATTTGAAAAATTATCTTTTCATGAATTACTTATCTTTTCTTTACATAATAAAGACAAATTTCAAGAATTAATATTTAATTGTATAGAAGATTTTAAAATAGAAAAAAGATATTCTAAAGAATTATATGAATTATGTAAATTATTATTAAATATTGAACCTGAATTAAGACCTAAATTTAGTGATTTATTTAAAAATAATAATTATATAAGAAATTATATGTCAATATTTTTAAAATCAGCTATAAAATATGATTGGATTCATTATATTGAAATTGAAAAAATTTGTAATGAATATAAAATATTAAAAATAGAAAAAAATGAATTTGAATTTGGAAATAATTATCCATGGAAAAATTATAATATTAATAATTTAATTGAAAATATTGATGGAAATGAAAAACTTGATATTTGGTTTAAAAATAAAGAAATAGAATTTTATAAAAATAAAGATGAGATATCAGATAATATATTATTACTTGAAGATGATAAAATATCTGAATATGAATATCCAGATATAAGAACTATTTTACAAATATTAGAGATACGTGGAAGATTGAAACCAAAGAAAATTTTAACTAAAGAACAAATTTTAACACAATTAAATATAATGACATCATTTTTTAGTACTCAATTAAATTCTTTAAATAAATGTAGAATTACTCATAAAAAAAGTGATAAAATAATTAATATGTCACCAATAAAACCTGTGCTTACAACTGTACCTGTTCATAATTCTTCAAGATTAATCAATAATAAATTAAATAAATATCGTCAAAAAAAATATCTTACTACATTAAAAAATAAAAATATTGAAGAGAATAAAAAAATTGATTTAAAATTAAAATTAAATAGACAGTATCATAGAGAAGAATTGAAAAAAATTATTAAACAAGGAAGAGAAAAGAAAAAAATGACAATTAAAAATAATGATATTCAAATATATTTACCAAAAAATGAATTAATATTGAATAATAAAGATATTGAACATAATATTGTATCTCAAGATTTAAATCAAGATATAGAAAAGAATTTATTATCAATGAATAAAACATCTCATAATTTAAAAGTATCTTGTGAGGAATTTCAATCACCTACACATCAAAAAGAATGTTTCGAAATTAAATGTTTATTAGATAAATCAAATGAGGAATTTCAACAAAAAAAAAAAATAGAAGATATTGAGAAAGATAAACATAAACATATTGAAAAAGATAAATATAAAGATTATTTTATACAAAATGATAATATTAAGTTTGAAAATAAATTACAAGAAGATTCTCAATATCTTCAATCAATTAGAAAACAACAAGATTATACAAGATATAGTACACCAAGAGATAATATAATATTACAAAATGTAGAAGATAATTTTGATTCCACAAAAACTGATTTTAATTTAATATTACATAAAAGAATTCAAGAATTACGTGAAGAATGTATTAAACAATTTAATAATGAAGGTTTATTTGAATGGGTATTAAAAAGTCTTAAATCTTCTATATCTATTGATGAAAATATACATATGGATCTTGTTCAAGAATTACATAGATACTTTACACAAAATCAAATAGAATCTATCTTAGAACTTCTTAAAAGTGAGATTGAATTAGAAAATCTTAAGTAATTATTATTATTATATATGGTTATATTTTAGATTAATAAAAGTTCGTTTTGTACATAAATTCTCATTATATTCTCTTATTTTTATTCAATACAAATTATTTAAAACCGCTTCTATTAAATCATATTAGATTAATGTCAGAAAATTCACAATTACATCCATTATTTAGAGATGAAATTCCTACAAAGGATGAATTAACATCAAATAATGTATATTCTGCCTTAGTAGAAATCAATTCAGAAAATTCTAATCAAGATGAAACTATGTTTGAATATGATCCAAATAATTATAAAGAAAGAAGTATTGAAGATATATCCCAAGATCAAGTATTTAATTCTTTAAAAACTCGTAAGTATAATGGTAAATATCAATTACATCTTGAAAGACTTAAGAAAACTAGAAGAAGTAGGAAAAATCAATCATTTATAAAATATCAAGTACCAATACAAGCTAAGAGTAAAACCCTAAATTTTAATATAGCAACTCAAAAAAAAGATCGTGAAATTTCAGAATTAGAGATATGTATGTCACTATGGTCAAAAAAAAGTTTTTAACCTATAATAGAATTTTTCTTTTCTTTGGAAATATATTATTACTTTATTATTATTAAATAAGACTAAGAATTAAGAATTTTATTCTACTTTTATATTTTATTTTAATTTATCTTCACATTAAGTAAAATTAATAGAAATTAATATAAGATATTTTTATCTTTAGTATATATTTTATTATTATATAAGAGTAATAGCTTAATATTAAATAACTGAAGACCCTAAATTAAGTAATAAGAATTATTCTTGTAACTTTGGGATATATAAATAATAAATAATAACTTGAAGATATATATTGAAGTGATATTAATATAATATTCCAATAAAAATAAAATTATATTATAAATTTGGAAAATAATATAAGATCTCATATTAGAGTATTAAATGTAAAATGATCCTTAAGATAAATTATTAATATTTAATTAGATAATAAATTTATAACAAGTATTCATATTATCTTTATTTATTAATTTATTACAATTTTATATATTTAGGAAAGATTTTTATTTTAGAAGATATAATATGGATAACCTTTTATTTAATAATATTTTATATAAGAAACCAAATTATCTCGTAATTAATAATAATAAAGAAGTAATTTATTATAAATTTTATATAAATAGATTTTATTAATATTTATTAATGGAATCTAAAATTAATATTAATTTTAAAATTAGTTTTAAATATTTACAAGACATTATTAAGACAAGTTAGAAAAGAAAAAAAAAAAAAAAAAAAAGAGAAATGGTCAAATTTTAAGTTATGATTTTTTTTGGATCTTTATAAAATATAATGAAATAAAGAATATATAACTATATATATACAATATTACCCAAAATTATTGGAAAAAAACATTTATGTTAGAATTATAATATTAAATAAAGCCCTAAATCAAGCGTATTATTAAATAATATTTAAATAATTTCCAAATTATAAGTACTATTACAGTTGGATATTATTACTAATAAATGTATATGATGAATATTTTTACCATTTTTATTGATTATATTACTATTCAAAACCGCTTTGAAACTTTTATTTTAGCGCAGCAATAATAATGAAATATAGACAATTATCCTTATAAGGAATTTACAAGGGTTTATAGTTCCTTACTTATAAAAGGTAAAATTTAAGGTATTACCACTTATATAAAACAAAATGAGTGGAAAAGATACTTTTATGGGTGGAGAAGATGTAGGTGCTATAATTTTTGATATTGGTAGTTATATGACTAAAGTAGGTTATGGTGGTGAAGACTGCCCAAGACAAGTATGGCCATCTGTTATAGGGATAAATGAAGAAAAGAAATATTATCCACTAAATTTTTTAAGTTATCGTGAAAATATATCAGTTGAGCCATGTTATAATATTGTTAATAATGATATACAATTAAATACACAAGTATTTGAAGATATTATTGAAATATCAAGTGGTAAATATGGATTAGGAATATTAATTAATGAACATCCTATATTATTAACAGAACAGACTAAACATAATAGGATTTTAAGAGAAAAAGAGGTAGAAATATTATTTGAAAAATTTGATGTACCAGCTTTATATTTAGCTAAAAGAGCTGTTTTAAATGCTTTTGCTGTTGGAAGGTCATCAGGATTAATTGTAGATATTGGTGCTGCTTTTACATCTATATCCCCCGTTATTGATGGTTATACTTTACAAAAGTGTACATTTGAATATCCTATAGCTGGAGATTTTTTAGATAAACAAATATGTAAATATTTAAAACAAGATAAACAATTAGATATTATACCAAATTTTGCAATTAAAAAAACTGTTTATAAGGATAGAGCTCCAATATATAATTCTGTAGATTTATCAAATGTTCATAATTCATATATTAACTATGGGAAAAAAGAAGTTTTAAGAAATATTAAAGAATCTATTTGTCGTTGTGCAGAAAATGAGGAATTAGCTAAATCAAATACATCATTAGCTACATCTACATTTGAATTACCTGATGGTACATTAATTGATTCAGAACCAATAGGTATAAGAGTATCAGAATGTTTATTTAATCCAGAATTTGCAATTTTAGATAATAATAATAATATAAAACATAATTTGGATAATTATCCAGGTTTATGTATTGCTATTGCAAATACTGTTATTGCTAGTGATATTGATATAAGAAGAGATTTATTAGGTGCTGTTATTTTAACTGGTGGTACTTCTATTTTACCAGGATTAACAGATAGAATATCTAGAGCACTTATTGAAGATGATAAATTATTGGGTGGTCCAAAATTAAAGATAATTTCACCAAATACAACAAATGAAAAAAGATTTTCTTCATGGATTGGTGCAAGTATATTAGCTTCTTTAGGAACATTTCAACAGATGTGGATGAGTAAACAAGAATATTTAGAACATGGTTCTCATTTAGTTGAAAGGAAATGTGCTTAGTATGAATAGGATCTTAAAATTAATAGTAATAATTATTTGAAATAATATATTTCAATCCCGCTAGAATAACTTTTATTAATATTATTTAAAATTAGAAATATTATTATTTAAATATCCTTTATCCTTTATAATATATATATAGATTATGAATAATTCTATATATCAAGAATATATAAAGGATATGATTTTGACTACATCTAATTATTTATTAGATGATCAAAGACCTCAACAAGATGAAACTATTGTATATATTTTTAATAATGATAATACATTTGAAATATTGTCATCCTTTACAAAATATAATATAATTCAAGTTTCCTCTGGTTTAAATCATATTTTATTTTTAGCTGATTTTGGTCAAATATTTTCTTATGGTAAAGGAGATTTTGGACAATTAGGATTAGGAGATATTATTAAATCAACTAAAGAACCAATTTTAATAGAATCTTTAACAAATATTAAAAAAGTAGTATGTGGTAATTGTTATTCTATAGCTTTAGATAATATGGGACAAATATATAGATGGGGATTATTAAATATAAAAAAAGATCCTTATTTTTATCCTATAAAAATGTATGATAATATTCAACATTTTAATTGGAGTAATATTGTTATAGATATGGATGCAAAAGGAGATAAAGCCTGTTTTGGTATGAATGATGGAGTAATATTATTATGGAATTCTGATCATGATAATTTATGTAAGATAGGAATATTAGAAAATACAAATATTTTTAGAATATCATTAGGTAAATATTTTTGTTTTATATTAGATAATAAACATCAATTATATGTTTGGGGTGATAATACATATGGTGAATTTTTGGATAATAATATAATTGAAATTAATAGATTAAAATATCCAAATTTCTATAGAGTTAATATTGAATCTTGGGGATTTTCTACAAAAAGAGATGATTATATATATAATAATCAAGATAATTATTCTAAAGATTATATTATTAAAGATATTTGTTGTGGTGATAAACATTCTTTAATATTAGATTCAAATAATATTATATGGTCATTAGGTGATAATACATATGGACAATGTGGTGTTCCTTTAGAAATTATCCCACCAGATAAACCAAAAATGGTTATTCAATATAAACAGAATATAGGAAATGTAATTATAGCTTGTGGATGTAAAACATCAGGTATTGTTTCTCCAATGGGTAAATTATTTACTTGTGGTATTTTATCTTGTAATATATTAGGAAATGATGTAAAGTTACCTGGTATTTCAAAATATTCACAATATGATATTTATCCTAATAAACTAAAATTAGAATATTCATTATTACATAAAAATGTACAACTTGTATGTTTTGGAGAACATAATATGATTGTTATTGTTAAATAATTATCAATTTTATTTAACAGTAGTTATTAAATTTATTTTCTTTAAATGAGAATTTTAATTATTATATATTTAATATTGGAAGTATTATTTATTAATAAGATATTTAATAGCAAAACTAAATAAGAATATTTTGATTATCTAAAATTAATTTACAACTTTTTTTTTTCTTGTTGAGGTAAATTAACTAATATTTTGTAATTGGAGCCAAAGAATTTAATAAAAATCACTTTTTTTATTTTATAACTAGTTAAAATTAGATTCAAGTTTAAACTAGAGTGGTGTTTATTATACAAGAAAATATAATAATCTAATTAATATTTAATATTTAACTTTTTTTTTTGGATTGTGGTAAATTATAGAATAATTATAGTGAATATTTTGGAATAATATATTGTCTTTTATATAAAGAGCTTTTTAAATATTAATTGAGATTCTATTATAAAATTATTAATAAATATTAAGTTATATAACTTAAAAACTTTTTTTCTGATTATTTATTATAAATAATCGATTTAAGTTTTATTTTTCTTTTTTTTTTATATTGGATATATTTAAATTGTTTAAAATATATTAATATATATGAACTTTATTTTTATTATATTATGGTTTTTATTTATTAAGATAAATGCAAATTATTAAATATTTAATATTAATATGTTTTAATAATGTTGACAAAATATTTAACATCTTCAAATTCATATAATTTAATAAAATATTTATCAAAAATTGGAGTTTTTGCAAAACTAAGCGAATCAAAATCAATTGAGACAAGTTGGGAAAATTTAATGAATAATGCAAAAAAAGTAAGCGATACAAATACATATAATAAAATAAAAGATATAGATTGGGATTATTGGGAATTAAATATTCAGAATAAGGTATTACTTGAACCAATAAAATCTACATATATACATGAGACATTAAAAATATGTAATATTTTAGATGAAATAGATAAAATTTATACTAATAAAGAAAATAAATTAATTAAAGATGAAAGGATAAAAGAATATAAAGGGATTTGGAAGTTATATAATATATGTATTGAAAAATGTAAAAATAGTGTAATGAAATCTAAAGAAATATTAGAATTAGGAATTCAATCATTATGGATGATGGATAATCAAGATATTCAAGATGAATTATCTGACAATAAATTTCTTGAAATAGATAATTATTGGAGAAATTATGTTTATCAAATGAGTGTATCAGATCCAGAATTATATCAAGGTTTTGATCCTTTAAGCAATGAAGGAATTCAGGAATATAATACAAGGGTTGAAAATTTTATAGATAGAATGAATAAAAGAGATCTTATGAATCCAAGATCAAAAAATATTGAACAATATTCATCTTCAGAATATTATGATATATATAGACAAGCTTTTCTTGAGCATATGTTATATTATTTAATACGTACTGGAGATTCATATAGAATATTTCCAGAAATACCACCATGGGAATGGTTAGTTGATATTGAAAAATTACGTTATTATTATATTCAAGTTGCTCAACCTCGTAGAAGATCTAAACAATTAGAAAAATATTTGTTATTTTTACCTTTAGAATATACCCCTTCAAATTTACTTGAAGGTGAAGAATATTATCAAAAATTATTTAATTATGAATTTAAAACAACTTATACAATATTTTCAAGATTAATGGCATCTTATATGTTATTTGTTGAACCATATATTCCAGTTCAAACAAATTCAGCTATGTATAGAGCTTTATTAATTGATAATGGAAAAGGACAATTTTTTTCTTTTGGTGATGATATTAATTGTTTATATTATCTCCCAAATAGGAATCCAGATTTAAGAGATAAATTAGAAGAAAATAATATAGAATTTAATAAAGAGAATATAGATATGAATATTAATAAAAATAATATAAGTAAGTTATTTAGTAATTTATCTATATTTTATAAAGATGATATGTCCCCAAAATCTTGTTGGGATACATGGTATACTTATTTAAATATTACTGGTCGTAAATTAAAACCTGAATATGTAGCAATTAATGAGATATTTCTTAATATATTAGAAAAACGAGGTTGTGATTGGTTTAAAATGAAGAATGAAACAATATCTAATGCATTTCTAAGAAGATTTGAAGAAACTACTACAAAATGTAATCAATTATGTGAAATTATAAATGATTATTTAGAAGATATAAAATCTAGGATACAAAAAAAAGTTTTTATAGAATGGAAGGATATTCCAAGAAAAATCAATGAAATAGAAGAGAATTATATTCAGGAGATTCATTTATATAAAGATTATATTTCAAGAAATGATAAAGTAATAGGATCTCAAGAAAGTCAAGATAAAACTGAATTATTTTTTTCTGTATTAAATAATGAAAAAAAATTACTTGAATTTTTGGGAAATCAAGATTTTATAGTAATAGATGAAAATAAATCAATTTGTAATTCTCCTGAATATATTAAAAGTAAGATAAATGGTTAAATATTTAGATATAAGGAAAGATTTTTAAAGTTTTGAATTTAGTTATAGATTTATATATTATACATTTGTAATTTATTTTACTTATAATTTTTTATATATTTTAAATATAAATATAATGAAATATTTAAAGATTTTATAATAGTATATTATACTATTAGTACATTTAGAAATATTTGGTCTGTAAATAATATAAAGTTAAGAATAGTTATAATTATATATATAATTTTATTATATCTAATAATATATATTTAATTCATTTATATTATTTATACCCTTAAAATTACTTTCTAAAATTCTTTTCTTTATTTTAGATTTGCCTCACCATTATATTCACTAGTGTGGATATATAATACTTAAGTTTTATATAAGGATTAAGTTAATAATAATATATTTAATATACTATATTTTCTTTAGAAATGGTATTTATATCAATATTTTTAATATTTATTTTAGGATCTTTTTATTTATCTAAACAACAAGTGGTGGTATCTAAACAAAAAGTGTGTTTAAATGGAAACTGTAAAACAATGTTAAATGGTAATTTTGTATTACAGAATAATCAGGTGTGTATATTAATAGTGTAATGTGTAAATATTTAATTACTTATATAATTTATGTATATAAATAGAATGTTTCATTAAATTTTGGAGCAAACAGTGTTGAAGGAATAGATGCTAAGGATATTGACCCTGGGTCTAATGGATTTCAACTAAAAATAGAGAAATCACCAATTTTAATAGCTTATGATCTAACATATATGGCAACACTTTATCATGATTTTGAAGAAGATATAAAACTTTTTTCATATACCCAAGTTAATTATAATCCAACAGGTTTTTGTTATGATGATATTAGGAATTGTCAAAAGGTTCGAAATCAATATTTATACGGTACTCCAAATCGTAAGTAAATAAATATAATATAGATATAAAATATAAAAAGATCTTATTTATTTAATAATTCTTTTTCTTTTTGGTTTTGCATTTAGTTCCACCTGGTCAAACTAATTGGAATAAAGATTCACCTGTTCCACCAGGTTCCCAAGGGGTTTGTTGTTGGTGTCCTGAGTTATATATTACTGTAAGTATAAGAAGATATATATATATATATATTAATAACATTGATTTTATATGTTTTTTAGTTAAATACTAATGCACCATATTCAAGAGCTACATTACATTGTACTTGGATCCGTAAGTAAAATATAGTAATTATATTGATAATGTAATAAAAAAATATATTTATTTTTAGAACAAAGACTCTGGTGGAATGTATATTTGTCAAAATCTTGTCCTGTTTGGATACCTCCTTGGTGGACTGCTCTTAGAATAGGAGGATGGAATTGGCAATATTCATTAAATACAAGTTTATCTTGGTTTAGTCCAAATAATTCATCAATTGAAGAATTATCTAGTATTTCATCTGTAACAAAAGAACAGGAATGTATAAAGAAAAATAAACAAACTAATTTAGATTGTGGTCGTTTAAGACACAATTATTCTGGGACTCAGATATCAATGCATATATTAAATTCTTCATCTCCATCTTTCTATGACCCAGATTTTGGTGCTACAATACAAGTGATTAGTTCAGGTCCTCCATTTGGTAGTGCAAATGCTAAAGATTTAAATGGATTTGTAATGTTACAGCCTACATATGTTCCTCCTGGGATGCCACCTAGTTTTGAAATACCAATTCTAAATAATTATTGTAGTTCTAAGAGTATAAAATGTAATGAAAGTGATATTTATTGTAATCCTAATAATTGTTTGAAACCAACTTTAATACTTCCACCCGATACAGTCGATTTTACTGGAGTATCTTGTAACAAAATAGCTTCTAGTATATATACATGGAGTTCAGTAAATGGAAGATTTTGTTATCATCCACCATTAACATGTCAAAATGTTCAAATTGCAGATTATTATAAAAAACTTATTAAGGATCAAACTTCTGGTAAAATTTCAGAATTTTCTGTTGAAGCACAAAATTCTGGGGAACCTCAGCTAATTATTACTCCGAGTAATTATAATAGCAGTAATATGATAAGTGATGATAATAATTCTACACTTCAGTTTTATCTGGGATATGTTTTTGATTCTATATTTGATACTGAAATAATGTTTTCTGTGGAAGCTTCTTCAGTATCATGGGTTGCCTCTGCTGCTCCTGGTATAATTACTTATATAGAACCACCCCCAATAGAATCTTGTTTTGCTATGGGATATACTGGATGTCCAATAAAAATATATGTTCGAAATAGTGGTAAGTTTACTATATATTTTGGAAATTAAATGTAATAATTGAAGATAAATAAATAGATCAAAAAATTAATATTAAAATTGGAAAGTATTAGAATTGTATTAATATCTGATATATACCTATTATTAAAATTTTTATCTGTAATAAGGAGTTAACTACTTTTTCAACTTTCCAAATATATATATTTATATATCTAATATATAATTTGAGTTTAATATTAACTTATTAATTTTTTTACTTAGGGACTTTTGAGTCTGGTTTTGTAGTTCAAATTCCATATTGTACAAAGGATTCGAAACCAACAAATGAGGTAATAAATAAAATTGGATTTTTTTTATTTATATAATTAAATTGTATTTATTCATAATTATAAATATTTTAGGTTAATCCTATTATGGCACAATCAAGAAGTATTAAAGCACAGTCTACTGGAGTTTTTACATTTATTATAGGAGTGTCTGTGACTTCTGGAAGCAAATATGAATGTACTGTAAGTCAATACAATTTATCTAAAAAATATATACAAAGTTAAAATGAATTTTATTTCTTTTATTTAGGCTGTTTTATATAATTCATTTTCCATACATCTTGATCAACATCTATTTACATTTTCAACTCAATCTTCACCAGTAAGTTAATTTGATTATATATCTTTATATTAAAAATCTAATAATATATTATTACAATTTACTATATTATTTTCTTTTATTAAAATTATATAAAGATTACTTTGGCAGGTTCAAGAGCAGTAATAGGACAAGCCCTGGTAAACATAACTTCATTAACAAATGAAAAATATCCATCTATATTTACAACAAATCCATGCCTAGCTTGCAAATCAAATTTTTGGTGTATAATTGCTAATTGTAAGTTTATATTAAAATAATTCAAATATTTATATCAAATTACTTATAACTTATTTACTCTGAAAAAAAAATTGTAAATTTTAGTTGGAGCCTGCGTTAGATTAGGCCTTAAATTAGCTGGTATTATATTAGCAAGTATAATAGGATGTCTTGTATTATTTAAAATAATTGGATGCTTGATTAGTATATATGGAGCTTCAAATAAGATCAGGATTCAAAAGAATAGTAATCTAAAAAATGATGATTGGGAATATTATGATGAAGCTCCAGTTTATCAACCTCGTGTTTTAAATTATAAATCTAGGTCAAAGAAATAATAAATAATAATAAAACAAAATTAATCTTATATCCTTTTAAGTTGAATAACTTTTTCCTTATCTAGATCAATTACAGCCATAATAATACCCAAATTTGATATATACCACCATGGCCATTCTGCAAAATTTAGATAATTAACAAATATTGATTAGAACTTATAAATTATACAATTCTTTGCTTTTTTTTTTTTTATTTTAAAGACTTACCTTTAAACAATTTCTTTAAAAAATATAAATGTGAAATCAATAAGACTTTATTGTTTCTTTCAACAGTTTTTAAAAAGTTAAAAAATTGTTGAATCCTATTATCAACACTATCAATGGATTCTGGTAATAAAATTTTTGATTCTTGTTCAGATAATAGGGACACATCTATATCAGGAAATTCTCTCATTATATCAGCTTTTGTCATAGAAGGAATATCACTAGTTCCAAATCCTATTTCTCTCAAAGATTCTAAACAGTAAATTTTACAATTTTTAGTAGCTCCTGCTATAGCAATGGAGGTTTGCAATGAACGACGTAGATTTGAAGTTAGTAATAAAGATACTTGTCCTAATAATTTTTCTCCTTCAATAATTGGCTATTATTAAATTATTATGATTGTTAGATTTAGCTAAATTATAGTTAAAATATAATACTTACCCCTCCACTATTGATAAACATATTTAGTTTCTTCATACCTCCATTTGAAAGAGGGGGATCAATTATTTCTACATATAAACAAAGAAAAGAAATGTAATTGGTAAAATTCTGTTAATTTTTCATATATTTAAGTTATATATAGATAATATTATAAATACCTCTATATTTGCCAAAAAAAAAATCCCAAAGCTTTAAATGTTTAATATTATATCTTTTATGTGTATTACTAACACTTTCGGCATGTCTAATACAATATATAGTTATATATTTACTTTTATTTTCTAATATATGATTAGTAAAACGTAATTTATCACTCAAAAAGACCCAAAGAGAATAAATACTCGATATAAAAGAGGAATTATAGTTTAGGAATTTATAGTACATATCCCCAAGATTAGTTATTAAGTTGTTTGTAATATTTTTAATTTTTTTTCTAGAATGAGTTTTGGAAATAATTGTCACTGTCAAAAGTCAACAGGCGCTGAAGAATACATGTAAAACACAAATAGTATAAGTGGCAGAATTATACTTGGCGGGTGTTCTCTAAGTTACCTAAGAATGTGAAATATTTTAATAAATTAGGGAGCCACAGGATAAAGTTAAATACTAGCCTTATTTTATATTAGGGATATTTATAATAATATATTTGATCTGATGGGAGTTCCAACCTTTTATAAGTGGCTATGTAGCAGATATCCCTTAATAGTCAGGAGTTTAAAGGAAAGCATAACAGAAGATAATGTAAATTCAAAGATAGATCTGACACTACCAAGTGAAAATGGTGAGTTCGACTGTTTGTATTTGGATATGAATGGAATTATACATCCTTGTTGTAATCCAATAAGTAGTATAGCTCCAATTAATGAAGCTGAAATGTTTACAAGGGTCTGTGATTATATTGATAGACTATTTTCAATGATAAGACCTAGGAGACTGTTATATTTAGCAATAGATGGGGTTGCTCCTAGAGCAAAGATGAATCAACAACGTAGTAGAAGGTATAAGACAAGTATGGAGATTGAGAATTTAATGCAAGCTTATAGTGAAGCTAAACAAGAATTTGAGAAATTAGGATACAAGTGTCCACCTTACAAAGAAAAATGGGATAGTAATTTAATAACACCAGGGACTCCCTTTATGGAAAGATTATCAGCTTGTTTACAGGTATATATTAGACAAAAATATGAATCTGAACCTGCATGGAAGACATTATCAGTTATATTTTCTGATGCAAATATTCCTGGTGAAGGTGAACACAAGATTTTAGATTTTATACGAAAACAGAGATGCAATTCAAATTATGATCCAAATACTAGACATGTGTTATATGGTGCAGATGCTGACTTGATAATGCTTGGACTATCTACACATGAACAAAATTTTTTTATTGTAAGAGAATCAATAACAAATGATGATGGTGCATCACAAATTTGTCATTTATACAATAAATTATTAACAGAAAATAGTATAGATAAAAGTGTAAACGCAAATAATAGAATAAGATTTGGGCCTAATAATTCCTCTAATTTACGAATATATTCCTGGTGGAAAGACCTCGAAATGATTGATCTCTCAGTACTACGTGAATATCTTGCTTATGAATTTAAGGAGTTGGAGGAGAAATTATCAATAAATAGAGAGAAATATATAGAAAATAGTAATAATCCTGAGTGTACTATTTCAACAGAGATTCATGAACAAGATAACAATATGAAATATAGTAAAATTAATGAGAAGTTATATAATTCGAAATTTTATTATGATTTAGAGAGATGCATCGATGATTTTGTTTTCTTATGTTTTTTTGTTGGGAATGATTTTCTTCCAAATTTACCAGCATTTGGAATTCATAAAGGTTCTTTAGACCAGTTATTAGCAATATATATTAAGGTACTACCTACATTAGGAGATTATATTACATGGGAAGGTAATATAAATGTAAAAAGCATTGGATTATTTTTTTTTTATCTGAAAGATTTAGAATTGGATGTTTTAAAGGAGGATACTAGATTTAATAATAGAAATAATATATCAAATAAAGATCAGAAAGATATATTTTCTAAACCAAAGATAGATGTTAATAAAGTTAAATTCAATGGGATAGATGCTTATTTTAACGATCATGTAAATAGAATTCTTCAATTTAAGGATAACAATTGTGAAACTTACATGACTGATAAAGTTCGTCTTGGTGATGGAGACGTTGATATATGGAGATTAAGATATTATTCAATTAAATTTAAACTTGATTTATTAGTTCTAAATTTAAAAGATATTAATCAGGATGAAACTATTGAAAATAATTTGGATATAGATAAAGAAACTATAGATAACAACTTATATCAGAAGCTTAGTGAATTTTCTAGAGAAGTTGGATACCATTATATTCGTGGTTTATCATGGGTTTTGAAATACTATTATCATGGAGTTCCTAGTTGGGATTGGTTTTATCCTTATCATTATGCGCCTCTAGTTGTAGATCTTGCAAATATGGCAGCATCAGATTTAAGAAAAATTGGTATTAAAGATGTTTCAATTCCGGATACTATAATAAAAAGTGTTAATATATGTGATGGAGATTCAAATAATATTTGTAATGAAAATGAGTTATCAGTAAATAGTAATACTTTCAATTTTAGTATAGAAAATGCAATTTTAGCTCCTTTTTCACAAGGGGTTCCATTTAGCCCTTATCAGCAACTCATGGCTGTCCTGCCTCCTAATTCGGGCAAAAAGTGTTTACCTTTCAAATTATACCAAATGATGTCAGATGAAAAAAGTCCTTTGAAAGAATTTTATCCAGATAAGTTTAAGGAAGATCCTAATGGGAATAAGCAGAGGTGGAAATGGATTGTATTATTACCATTCATTAATCAAGAAAAGCTTTTAGAGCATGTTAAACCACTGGAAGTACATATTTCTGATATAGATAAAATAAGGAATAGGCATGGGATGAATATTATTTATACTTCTTACTTTTCAGGGTTAAGTAATTTGTTTTTAAACAATGGGCAAAAAAATAAAAGTATAGTGAATTCTGATATACAGGAGAATAAAAATATATCAGAAGATATATTCAATAATGAAAAGAGTACACAAAATAACGAAATTAATCTTATTAAGATCCCAAATGATTTAACTATCGGTATATTTGGTTTTGTGAAGAGACTTCATAGCAATATAACTGAAAAATTTAAGGATCAGTGTATTCTTCTACGTATAGCTTATATTGAAGGAAATGAAGATTATTTAAATGTTGATATATCTAATACTTTTACTGAGTGGAGATGTTTAATTGAAAGTGGATTTGGGACTGATATAAAAGTAGAAAAGTCATTTTTCTTTTGTTGGTATGATCCTGGAGAGAACATCAAGACTATTCTAGCCAAAGTATCATCATCTCAAGTTTCTATATATCGTATTGGATTTGGATCAAGACTTCTACCCAACACTGTGAAATTGTCAGCTATATTACAAAATTATGATTTGGAAGATCAGAGTCGTAAAATGAAGGGTTTTAGAGCTGGATTATCAAGAAAAATAGTTTTCCGATTATTATCGATTTGGGGGTTACAAGAAAGTGATGCAGATATTTCGAATAGTCAAATGAATAGAAAGAGAGGAGCTTATGTCTATAATGGCTATAACAGAAAAATTAGGCTATACAGTGGAAATAGGGGTGAATATCAGAACAATGAATATTGTCAAAGTTATGGTCAGGGGTATTACAGCGGTGAATCAGAAGGAAATCTTTATAAAAAAACCTATAGTGCTAGAAATAGATTTCATAATAATACTTACGATGATAGAAATAGTATTCACTATTCGCAATATAACTCAGATGGGAACTTCAATCCAAGTCTTTATAATACACCACATCTTGCTAATGAAGTATATAACAGATCAATTAGAAACAATAATTATATTCAACAGGATTTCCAACAAAATATAATTGATTATTCAAGTGAATATTTATTTCACGGAGTTAATTCTAGAAATTATTACTATAAACAAACTAGCCAATTTAATCATAATATACAAAACAATATTGAGGGAACCCGAATTAATAGGAGATCTGGTTTTGAAAATAATAAATGGTAGCTATTTATTATCAGATTAATTTGATAGTTATTTACTAGTATAAATTTTAATCTATTCAGCTATTTTAGTGAAGTTTTCTTAAAGAAAATTACTTAAAAATAAATATAACCATTAATAAAAAATATAAGCTTATTCTATTAATGTAAGAATAAATACAATAAATAGATTGAAAACAACTTGATAAACAAATTTTGGTGCGAACATTGTCCATATCATCAAGTTATGGCGAAGAATGCAGAGACCTATACAAGAAAATACCTGATTAATCAAGCTAAATACCATTATTGTTGAATTAGCTACAGTTTTATTAATTAAAGGTTCCATATTAATACAAAGTAATAAATTCAATAGGTGGGAGCATAAAAATAAAACAACCATCATAGAACTTACAAATGGAGTATAATATTTAAGTCCTATGAGTCCAACCATTGACGGTATTTTATCTATTCTTGGCCTATTACCAATATTAAAAAAACATTGCTTAGATACAAGATACAAATATAAACTGCTTTTCAAAGATGCAACTTTTCTATCTTTAAGGTTATTCAAGTCATTTTTAATCATTTCTATTGAACATATTTGTACTATATATGACAAACTGAAAGCAATAATTTGATTTTTTTGCAACATAATATATAGAAATACTTGACAAGATATCCATATATTTTTTAGAGAAAGTTCTTTTAGCTTTTGTTTTGAATCATTTTGAATTTGATATCGATGTATATTTAAATATATTATATAAATTAAAAATATTAGGTATATCCTTGGAAGCCAAATACAATCTATTGTATATATTTGTAAGTAGATTAGTATGCCAAACATCATAGCCAGATTCACAAAATTAATGATATCTAAGTTGTGAATCACAATAAATAGATAATGAAGTAGTAATGTCAGAATATTGAGACTACTTGTATAATAAGGATCATTTGGAGATTCACCTTGTCTTCCTTCAGAAGGATCAGTTAGGTAGCCAATTCTTATTAGTATTAATTGTATTAAACAGTAGAAAAGTCCCTTAAGGCTTCGTTTATGCCCGGGAATAAGATATAATATGTTGTAACTAACTAATAGGAATCTTACAGCTCTAGCCTCAAAAAATACCAGGCTATCTGATAGATTGCAGCCAATAGTGATCACAAAAGTAGTTATTATACACCAATAATAATCCCATACTGTCATATATTTATAAATTAATTTGTAATAATTAAGAAGAGACTTTGAGAACTCTTTCTTTAAAGTGAAAAAGTTATAGAATAAGTAGTATGAAATAGAAAGAAGTAAAAAATTATCAAGCTTGAACTTATTTTTGAAAACAAAATATGATATAAATGAGCTTAATAGTAGCCATATAATTAGGGTTATTATTGGGGTTGGTAATTTTAAAGGTGGTCCAAATGAAGAAAAAAATTTCTTGTAAACTTGTGGAAAACATTCCCACAGTATTAAACAGATCAATATACTTATACCATTAACCACATAGATCCAAGATATAGAGTTCACATTATCTTTATAAACTTTTTGAATTGAGTGTGACAGTTCAATACTACTTTTCAAATGCCTATTCAATTTTGACTTGATTTTCTTATTTATTTGGAGATCTGAATATTCACTTTCTATTGAATTCAATAATCCAAAATAATCTTTTAAATCAATATAACTTTCATAATAAAGTGAATATTTTTCTGTTATAAAATTTTCTTTTTCTTTAATCTTGCTAAATTCTCTTTTAAACTTTTTAATCATTTGTAAAGCATTGTTATGTGCAGATTTAGTCTTCCAAATTAGTGAATTAAGGGAATATTCATCACTATTTATATCTGGAAGTAGATCCTGTGATAGAACACCAATATTTTCATTGGGAATATTTATCCCAAGCAAAGAAGCTAAAGTAGGTACGAAATCTATTTGGTGTAATATATGAGGTTCAGATATATTGCGAGGATATGATAAGTTATTGTATTTTATATTTGAAAAAGCAAAAAATGCAGCATCTGTTTCTTGCTCAGAGTTACCACCGTGTTCTCCATTGTCAGTTTGACCATGATCCCCAAAAAGCAAAAACAAAATTCTCTTAGAGTTTAGATTTTTAAGATGTTCTACTATTTGTATGATAGTATCTTCTATTTTTATATTCTCATTAAAAGATTTTTTAATATTTAAAGCTTTAAAGATAGTCATCATAAATACTTGTTCCATGTTCTGAAGTTTCAGAGCCATTGTAGGATTATTGATATTGAGCAAATGCCCAATATGATCAACTCCAAGAAAGTGGGCTACTAGAAGTGTCCAGTCATCAATAATAAAAGATGATTCTGAATCTTCATTAATTTCCTTTATATCCAGGTATTTCCATAAATTATTGATTATTCCATCATCGACAGAGTTAATATCACGGATGTCAAAGGATGGAAAATAATGGTTGTAATCTATATATTTTGAAAAAAGAGAGTTCCAAGTATCATCACCCAAAATAGCAATTTTCTTATCTTTTAAGTGGAGTTGTTGCAATATTGTTTCTTGCTTAATATATTTGGGATTGAAGGTTGACCATAAATCAATAAATCTAGGAATTGTCCCAGTCATAAGAGCATTTAATCTGTGAGTTGTTGCAGTAGGTGCATCAGATCTGAATTTGTACAATCTACAGTACTGATTTAGTTCTTTGTCTTTTAAGATACTTTGAATAAATTTGAACTTATTGTGATAATGTTTGTGTGAATTTGGTACAAAGGCTACAAAATCCCAGCGCAATGCATCTACCAAAGTTATTATAATTTTATCATAGATCTGTGTAGTATTGAAATATTCAACTTTAAAATCTTCAGAATATGTACCTTCTGATTTAAAGCCACTTCTTTGACTTACTGGTCCAAAATAACCAATGCAAAATAAAAAAGTCCCCAGTGTCAATGTACATATGTAAAAAAAATATCTCAGCATCTGAAATAGTATTAAATAGTGAGATTTGGTGTCTTTAAATCTTCCATTATATTTTCGGAGTATATTTCATGTTAAGATTGATATTTACTTTTGTGTTTTATGTAGTTGTTAATTTATAGCGCCTTGATAACTAGTGCAGATAATGGTAGGCTGTGTTTTATTGGAAAAAGGGTAACGGGGTTTTAATAGCGCCTTAAAAAAAAATGTGGACAGCGGTAATAGAAAGTGCATGATAATATAGAAAAAAAAAAGAAGTTTTAGTAATATAAGTGAAAAGCTGGGAATTCCAGCATACTTTCCAATTTTAATGCTATTTAATGAGATTAGTTAGAAATGAAAATACGGATGAAGTTAACAAGAGAGTGAATGAACTAGAATATGAACTCTTTAAACTGAGAGAAGAAACAAGTAAACTTTATGAGAAAGACTATATTACTAATTATTCAACACCTATAGCACCTTTGAGAGTATCTGAGAAATCAAAAATAAAATGTAACAATAATAAAGCAAATACTTCAACCAGATTAAGAGGGCCAAAACAAAGATTGGGTTCTGGATATTCATCAACTTCACTTAACACAAGGAAAGTAAAACCTTATAGTTATGAAGATGAAAATGATCCACAAGTGATTGAAAAAAAAAATAGTAGTGATGGTAAGGATTTAGAGAATTGGGAACAATATCAGACAAATATATGTTTGTTTTCTAGAAAGTATGACTTTGAACATGATCCTAAAAGTAAATACTATCAAGTTAACCTTAAATCTCTTAGAGGAGATTTGGTTAGAGACTATGAATCCAAGAAAGAGCTAGAAAAAAGTTCATTTGATAAGCATATTGAAGAAGTAGTGGTAGATGTACCATTTTTGAGTACTAGAAATACTAAGGGTAAGCTCACTGCACCAATAACGTCTTATAGTAGTAATACCATAAATAATTTTGAGGATAAAGTAGTATATAAAGACTCATTTTTGCTTGATATAATGAAAATGTCAAAGAGACCTTCAATAATATCTTATAATTCTGCATTTACATCTTCTACAAATAGTAATACTTTACAGGATAGTTCTAATAAAGATGGAACCAACACTAAAGGGTACTTTACGAGAGATATTCATGAAAAAGAAGAGGAAGAAGAAGAGGAAGAAGAAGAGGAAGAAAAAGAAGAAGAAAAAGAAGAAAAAGAAGAAGAAAAAGAGGAAAAAAAAGAGGAAAAAAAAGAGGAAAAAGAAGAATTTGGGGTTGGTAGATTAAAGATTAGCAATAATTTTCTTTCTAATATCCCATCAATAATATCTGAAAGGTCTAGTAATATGAAACCATTATATGAAAATGAGCGTGAAATGTTACTAAGACGAATTCAATCGTTGGAAGTGATTGAATCTTCACAACATATGTTAGTCTTAGAGGCACAAAATCGTGAACAACAATATAAAATACGTACTGATGAGCTTCAAAAGCAACTAGAATATAAGGAGACAAAACTCTCACTACAGGCTCAAGAATTTGAGATGTTACAGAGAGATATGAACGCTTTGAAGCAAGAGAAACTATTACTAGAGGAGAAATTTAAGCAATTGGAGATGCATTGGGCTAATGAGTATAGTGACTTACATAGGTACAAGGTTGAATATGAAATAGTTCAGCAACAGAATAAAGTTTTGACAGAGGAAAAAGCAAGTTTTATATCTGGTATTGAGAGCGATCGTGAAAGATATAGACAAATGGAGAATACCAATACACGTCTGTTGCTTCAGGTGAGGAATTTAGAAGAAAGAAATATGGAGCTCACAAATAAAAGCATGAAACTACAGGAGAATACAGATAATTTGACTAAGGATTATAATAAAATTTTCCAGCAATATACTAGCTTGCTTACAGATCATAATTGTTTACGAAAAAATGAAGAAATTTTAAATAAATCAATAGCAGAGATGCAAATAAAAGAGAAAGATATGGAAAAGGAGTTAAAGAAGATGAAAGAGAAATTACAAGGTTTTGATATTACAGAGAGATTAGTAGAAAATTTGCAATCAGAAATGAAGGAATTAAAGGAGGAAAGGCATCATATTTTAGAGGAGAAAGATACTTTGTCAGGTGAAAATAGAAATTTAACTAAACAAATAAAGAGACTTGAAGAAATACAATATGAAATGAAGAATCAGATATTAGATTATACACTAGAAAATCAAAAATTGAAGAAGTTAATTAAAAATACTTTCATACCTTTACTACCTTCAACAGAACATGCATCAACAATAAATCATGTCTTGACTATATTAAATGCTAAAGAAAATTCCAGAATGAATACAAAAAATTTGGAAGATCTGTATCTTTCTTCAAATAGAAAATCAAAGAAAGAAGATAGATCTGAAGATAAAAATATATTAAATTCGAGAAATTCACCTAAAAATGATAAAAACACAAAGTTACAATGTGATGAGGATTTACAAAATAAAGAATCTGTGGTTGATAGTAATCAAGAATTAATTGATAGATCTAAGTCAAAGTTGAATGAAATTAATCCACTTATTACTGATAATAAATTAATAACAGAGAAACTTTCGGTGAAAAAAATTCAAGAAAAAGAGGAAGATACAAATAGTGAAGTTAGTGTAGATTACTTAATTAATAGAGTAGAAGAGACTGATAAATTTCAATCAGTAAAAGAGAGAGAGATCTGTTTATTAAATGAAGTTCCGGATTCTACAATGCATGAATCAAAACAAGAAAACTCGATTCTTTCTACTCAAGTTAATAATTCATTCAATAAAATATATTTAGATTTATCTAATAATCAAACTGTAGATGAGACTGTTACTGGAGAGCAGACACCAGACTTATTAAATCATGTTGTACCTTACAGTATACCTACAAAAATAATAAGTCAGATTGGTGATGTTTTATCTAAAGGAGATATTCCCGTAGTACCAATAAAAACCAAACAGATATGTTCAGATAAAGATATATGTAAGACTGCTGACTCTAAGTTATTTGAATTTTCTGATACTAACTTAGTTGATAATGGGATGCTCTTAGAAAACTATGAAAAGCAATTATTTTTGTTAACAGTTGAAAAGAACCAGATTGAAGTTGAATTATCTACAATACCAAATAATCCTTGGAATCAAACAAAAAAGGAATATGAGTACAACGAATACCTTCAAACACGTTTACTAGAGATAAAGAGTAGTCTATCGTCAATTCATGAAAAGATCAAGAACCTTAGAATGGAATAGAATATATATGAATAAAGGACAAATAATAGTGTTATATAGAATTTTATGCATGGTAAATATATATATATTATTTAAATAAATTAGTATAAAATTAGAAAAAAGGAGATTCAAAAATTCTAGTAATCACTTCAAATTGATATATTACTGGCTCATTCATAAATTCACTATAAATATTCATCTTTATTTTTCTTATTTTGTAATTTGAATCTTAATTGTTTTGGAATATACAAATTATATCATATTTGATATCTATTATTTAATTTTTTATAAGAATATTGGGGAAGGATATTCTCATTTAAAGTTGATGTAAAGTAACATCCAAATAATGGGAGCAATATAGATACAATAAAAGCTAAAATAGCGAAAAAATACCCCCAAAAAAATTGTATATCTGACACAAAAGGTGTCTTATAAGTAAATTCCTTATAACCAAAATTTACAGTACTAAAAAGTGAATTTATTGCAATCCAAGCACCTCCTGCATTTATGTAGTATAGTGGCAGCACTATAATTGCTATTAAATTAGCACATCCAAATAAACTTGTATATGCATAGGACATCATCACCGGATTTGATATTTTAGATAAACAAAATAAACCCAAGCCAAATAATATACACATAATAATAGCAGTTATTCCTCCAATCATAATAAGTGATCCAAGATTTAACATCTCAAAATTGTAACAAGCTGCTTGTGAATTTGGAAAGTTAACTTTATTTATAGAACAAATCATTTGGGCAGTCTTACTAAATGTATTGTTATTCATGAATTTCAACTTATCACAGATAAACTCATTTACTCCACTTCCCATAATACTTCCATTAGAAATTAAATTATTACTATTTGGAGACCATATATTCAGATTTCTGCAATTTGAATTTATATTAAATCCCCACAAGGATAAATTAAATTCTATATATCCTAATGTACTGGTTTGATATGTATAAGATTGCCAATTAGTATTGAATAAAGAACATAACCATAATAATAATGCAAGGAACGTAATAACTCCAAGACTAAATATTTCTCTAGTATTAGGATTAGAATATTTAGATATTGGTATCATTAGATTCTAAATATACTCTACATAAATATCCTAGGTGCAACCAAATTCTTTTCTTATTATTAGAAATTTTGTTAGAGATCTCAATAAACTTCCTAGGTATTAGGCGGGCTATAATACATAATCTGATTTTACATGAATCTTGGCTAATTATATTAAGAACTAAAGTGATAGAACTTGAAGAAATTGGATGTAACTGCAATTATAAAGAGTGTAAAGCGTAAAGCTTTGGATTTTCTTCAGTTTTTATGTAGTAGATGCAATCTAAAATTCTGTATAAATCATAGAAACTCACATTATCACAAATGTAAAGATGACAGTAATTCAAAGGTATATAAAAAAGATATTAAACTATCTCAAAAGATAGAAGATGATATGAAATCACTACAACCACTACGTTGTTATGTTAAAGGATGTGGTCAATTGGGAATAAATTGCAATAAATCAAATTCGATTGTTTGTTCATATCATCATTCCCTTACTAGCAGTTCAATTCAAAATATCCCTACAAGAGTTTCTAGTTTTACAAACAAACATCGAGTAATAAAAGGTATAAATCTACCGATTTCAAATGGAAAGATTTCAGAATTGACTAGAAGAATAAAAATAAAAGGAAATTCTATTGGGGACACTTCAATAAGTCAGAGTAACCGGCCTTCCATTGCCCTTATAATAAAAGCAAATGTACAGTCTTTAATAATTAGAGATACACCACTACCTTTTTGTATATGGATAGATAAGACTAAGACAGTTGGTTGGAACTTGGATTATATTGTTAGATATTTGGAGATATCTAGACTTAGTGATGGTTCTAATACTACTCACAAATACACATTTAATCTGATACAGGATGAAGTGAATCTAGCACCTATTCCATTATGTTGTACTTATAATACATTAATTAAGTCCAGAGACACTTTATGTTTGACTTAAGTATTGAAGTATAAAAAATAATCAGCTAAGATAAACCTTGAAAACTCTCAAGTATATACCTCCGGAGTTAAGATATAAATATACGAGACGGGGCGCTGATATATTTGCTAGTAATTCACCATTAAAAGCGCATAATATTTTATAGTGGGTTTTCCTACTCTACTCGGTTTTATTTGAAAGGGGAATTGGTTAGCAGAATTGACAGCTCTTGCTTATGAACGAAACTAACAGTATACTTAAGAATGAGTTGTATGGGAATAATCAAAAAAGTATCATTGGAGTAGGCCCTATTTCTACGCTTTCTTCAGGATCAGCAGTGAATCTAATGGATAATACTACTGATTCTGGTTCAAAGATATCTGCTGAATATATAAAGAATGTGACTAGTGGAAAGGTTAGTTGTCTTAGTGGTAATACAACCTTTTCTCATGCATGGTATCCAGAATTTGTAAAGATTTTATATGATGTTAGCAGATCAAATCTTTCTATACAGGATAAGCGAGTCCGAATTTTACTACTTATTTTTCAGTGGGTTCGGAAACAACAGTGTGAGCTGGTAGATCCTGAGTTATTATTTGATAAAAATGATGTTGATACAATTTATAATCAAATTTTAGCCTACCAACATTTGCTAGTAAAGCAAACTCCTTTACCAAATGAAATAGCACAAAAGTGGTTTAATACTATATCTGGCAATTCTAAGCCCGAACATTTAAATAGATCGAGATATGATGGGAGCTTAGATAGTATTGGTAACTTAAGTTCTACAGATAATTGTACAATTCAGGGCAACTTTGTCCCTGATTGGGATTTCATTAATCTTGTAATAAAAGAACAGCAGGATTTTCAGTACAGAGCTCCAACATCTAGACAAGGGGGTTCAATACCACGGAGAAATCCCAATCAATGGATTGAGTACAACAGAAAGGTAGAACATAATAGATTTACTCTGTTAACAAGTGAGAGGGGAATTAAGAAGGAGTTGCAGAATAAAAGAAGTGAGGATAGTGTTGAGAGTGTTTCTGCTTCATACAATTATAAAATAGCAAGGTTAATGAATTTCCAGCATTATATACGAAATCAAGTTTTGGTATCTAGATATCTTGAGGAGATGACACCACCACTACCTCAACTTAGACATGTAACAGCAAGGGATGCTAGAAAGAACAAGGCATTATATCAAGCAAGAATGGATGGTTTAAAGTATATGAAGGTTTTAGATGAGAAGCGAAGGCAAAGACGCCAGTTCATAACAGATATACTTAAACATGCCAAGAGATTTGTGGAGTTTCATAGAGAGAATCAGAGGAATATTCGTCGTTTATGCTCTCATATAGTAAGACATTCATCTAGTAAAGAGAAGCGTGATAATAATATGGAGCAACAGATGCAAAGAGCTCGTTTGAATGCTCTAAGAGCACAGGATGAGGAGGCATATTTAAGACTTCTCCATGAAGCTAAGAATGAACGTCTATTGGAATTAGTACATCAAACTGAAGATTATATGAATAAGTTAGGAGCTCTAGTTATTGCTCATAGACAACAAACTGGTGTTGGAACTTCCACAATGGATGATGAATATTATAATGGTCTGGAGCAAAATGATGGTTCTCATTTAAATAATGGTAGTAGATGGTTATGCTGTTGTTCTACTGAGAGAAATAGTAGTATCAATTCTGGAATATTTGATAGTAAAGGAAGTGTTGAAGGTATGGCCAATATTAATATTTCATCTAATCAACCTGAGCAGAATACCCAGGAAATAACTAGTACTAATATTCACAATCAATGTAGATGTAGTTGCTCATCTATAGAATGTATATGTTCTAAGTTTGGAGGATGTAATTGTGGATCAGAGTCTTGCTGTTCAATCCAGAATTTAGATCATAAAGCTCCTTTGATTAGGGCAAAGGAGAGGTACTTCCAAATAACTCATATGGTACAAGAACGTATTACCCAGCAGCCTCGATGTTTAAAGGGAGGTCAGCTTAGGGAATATCAAATGAAAGGTTTAGAATGGTTAGTTTCACTTTATAATAATAACTTAAATGGTATTCTGGCAGATGCAATGGGATTGGGAAAGACAGTCCAAACTGTAAGTGTACTGGCTCATATATATGAGACTAAAGGGAACCGTGGGCCTCATTTAATTATAGCACCATTATCAACTTTACATGGAAATTGGGAAAATGAATTTAATTGTTGGTTACCAGACTTTGTAAAGGTTATATATGAAGGAAATAAGGAAGTAAGGAAACAACTCCGTTCGAAATATATGACTGGTGAGGCGAAGTTTCATGTTTTATTAACGACAGATGCTTTTATAATGAAAGACAAACATTACCTTCGTCGTTTTGACTGGGAATATATTATTGTAGATGAGGCCCATAGACTGAAAAATCCGAAGAGTAAGCTAGTGCAAATTCTGAATAGTGGGTTTCGTGCAAAACATAGACTAGCATTAACTGGAACTCCATTACAGAATGACTTACAAGAAGTTTGGGCATTATTAAATTATTTAATGCCTAATATATTCAACTCTTCAGATACATTTCAACAATGGTTTAATGAACCTTTGTCAACTATAAAATCATCTGGACGTTCAAGTTCAAATTCGGATTCAGGAATGATTCCACTAGATATAAGTGAAGAAGAGCAACTTCTAATTGTAGACAGACTTCATAAAGTACTTAGACCATTTTTACTAAGACGTGAAAAGATACAGGTTGCTAACGAAGTCCCTCCAAAGTTAGAGGAGATTTTATGGTGTCCATTAAGTGGATTGCAACAATATTTGTATAAGGAACTAGAAAATAATGAGAATTCAGGTCCTAATGTTCTTATGCAATTACGCAAAGTCTGTAATCATCCATTTTTATTTTCAACAGAAATGCAATTACCATCTGATGAGAGCATAATTCGTGTATGTGGAAAATTTGTGATGCTTGATAGTATACTCCCGAAATTACGTGCTGCCGGTCATAGGGTACTCATATTTAGCCAAATGACTCGTTTACTCTCTTTATTAGAAATATTCTTATCACTTAGAAATATGACATATTTGCGCCTAGATGGTACTACATTATCTGAAGATAGGCAGAATAGTTTACAGCTATTTAACGCTACTAATAGTCCCTACTTTGTTTTTTTATTATCTACAAAGGCTGGTGGTTTTGGTATAAATCTCCAATCTGCTGATACAGTAATTCTCTTTGATTCGGACTGGAACCCTCAGAATGATGAACAAGCTCAAAGTAGAGCACATCGTATTGGACAAACTAAGGAAGTACTAACTCTACGTTTTGTTACTCCTGACACAGTAGAAGAAAGAATTATGAAAACTGCTGGTATAAAACTAGATAAAGATGCTCTGATTATAAAGTCAGGTATGTATCATGATCTTTATGCTGGGGATGATCTTGAACAGAAAAGAAAGGAGAAGATACAAGAGATTTTACGAAAACAAAGGCAGAAGGAAGTTGCAAACTGTTATTATGATTCAGATCGCTTAAATCGTATTTTAGCTAGATCTGATCAAGATCTTGAAATTTTTGAGAGAGTTGATAGGTTAAGGAAGATGTGCCATATACCAGGGTTAATAGTAGATAACTCACTGCCTCCTTGCTTATTTGATTGGAAGAGGCAGGCTAGAATGGCGAGATCTGATGTTGAGGATCAACAAAGAGCAGAGGAAATGTGGAAGATCGTATATACTATAGGTGATCCATGGGTTGTCCATCCAAGTAAGAAAGGTAGGTATACGAAGATGATTACTGATATATATATGGGACCTCAAAAATTAGAAGATGAAATGCAAGAGGAGGTAAATAATGAGCAGGGTAGTAAACATTGTGCAGGTGAAGATAATTCAAAGGAATATGTCGGCCGAAGGCGTGCTAGAAGAATTTTTGCAACTGAACAATCATCACGTGAAAGTAAGAGGACCAAGTACGATTTTGGTAGAATTGAGTTAGATACTGATAAACTTACCCTTTCTAGCATTGAATGTGATGAAGTTCTATCTGATGATGAGATAGAATATCGTCGTAATGCTCTAAATAATGCAATTTTGGCTGCTTGCGACTATGTAGTAACTATCCCTGAATTTGAACTTTTTATTTCCTTACCAAATCCTCAAGTATTTGCAGACTATTATCAAATAATTGGAAAACCTGTATGCTTGACTCATATTAAACAATTTGCATTAAGGAAAGAATTTACTTCTGTTCATAAACTAGAGAAATATTTGGAACGATTAGCTTCTAATGCTAAAGCTTACAATGGTACTACTCATGTATTATATCACTCAGCTCTACACTTGACTAGTATTATGATGTCCGAAGTACGCAAACGAGTATCTGTGGCATTTTATACATATAAATTACCAGCAGGTCAGGCTAGAGACAATGAAGCAAAACATCTGTTAGAGGGACTAAATGCTGTTGGTGATGCAGATTTAACTAGAAGACATATGCTAGTTCCAGATGTAGGCGATGATGACGGTGATGACGATGATGATGATGATGATGATGACGATGATGATGATGATGATGATGATGATGATGATGATGATGATGATGATGATGATGATGATATGATTGGCAAGTGAGTAGAGTTTAACAAAATGGTAAATAAATGAGGACTAGTTGAAGCTCCTAGTAAACATTTAAAGTTGGTGTGGTATTAATAAATATTGGTTTGAGTATTTTAAATAACTATGAGATTCAACAGATAATTAGAAACTTTGTTTTAATTAAAGACATATGAAGTAATATCTTCTAACAAGTAATAGATCACTTTTTTACTGAATAAATTGATGCATTTTCTAGTAAACTTATTTACAAAATATATAAATATCTGAAATATAGAATATTTACTGTGAATATTTCTAAAAGTATATATATCTTTATAATTTGTATAACTGTCAATTTTATGACACAATTGAGGAACCTAGATTTTGTATTTATTTAATCTTTAAATAAATTAAATTGTTAAGTAAAGATATTTTAGTTTTATAATTCTACCTTTGTATATTGGATGGCTTAACTAGAAATTCATATAAGTCAGGTTGAGATTTTTCACTATGGAATTCCAATCTTCTGTCATATTAATAAACTTTTACAATAAGTCAGCAGGTTCAAATAATAAAAAGTAAGCTGTTATTTGATATCTTGTACTATAATCGTCTGATTATAGGTAATGTGAACTATCTTCCTGTATTCAGAGATTAGTAATATTACCCAATATTATTGTATTATTAGTCACTGGAAATTAGCTTATTTTTGAAATACAAAGTTTTTTATTATGTTGTATTTAAAATTTAATCTTAAATGTTAATTTATATAAGTTTTGATATATATAGCATGTTATTCTAGTAACATTTATTGTTATAAAGACTAATTGACAGGTTGAACTTTTATATCCCAAGATCAATATATTTCTGCATAGGTGTAATAATATAAACAGAGCTAGGATTATAGTTATTTAATTTATAAAATATATATTTAATATCTTATCTAAACAAGCTAAGTAGCTCAAAAAAAAAGAATCCTCTTAACAAATCTTCAAAATACTATCAGATGAAATTTACTATCACCTATAAGGAATTCTTAATAAGAGAGAATGTATTCCTAATATGTAAAATATTAAGTTTTTGTTTAAATCTTAATTTTGTCTGCTCTAGTTATATAGGAATTTATATTACTTTAGTAAATAATGTATTTTGTCTAGTTTTTTTTTACATTCACATCTGTTATATATCATAGAGAAAATATTTATTAGTTAAAGAATATAATTTAGCAAAAATATCTGAAATTTACAAGTTTTCTAAAATTTAAAATGAGTTTAAAGAATATATAATAGAAGAAATATGTTATTCCTTAATGTATAGAATACATACTAACAAGATTAATTATTGTATTTTTTCGAAATAAAGATAATAAATTTACTTCATTTAGGTCAAGCTAAGTGAAATTCCATATATATTTTCTAATTTGGGAAAATTATCAAGATTTTAAAAATTTAGGTAAATTAGAAATATTTCTAATATAAAATAATCATTAATCTCACTATTTTATCATTTTATGTCTTAAAGATATCTGATATCCCTAAAAAAAGTATCTTTAATTTTCAATAAATCTAAATTGTTATTTTGTAAACAATAAAATGCAATAATTAGAATTATCTAATAATTACTATTTTAAAGTACCCCCTTATTGCATTGAATGCATCCTTACAACACTAAATGCATCTTATATCTCATGAAATCCAAACAAAATCCTTTTTATTGTTAAATTATATATCTTAAGTAAATTTTATACAATAAATATTAAGGATATAAAATAATTATGTAATATTTCTATGTAGTATAATATTGCAAATCTTTTTATTATTTAATATTATATATAGTTAAATTATTCAAATTATTTTGAGAAAAATTAAAATATCTAAAGTTTAAAATTTAAAAACCAGATCTATTATTTACAAAATTATCATTTTTTTAATAAAAATTAGCTTAATTTATTGTTTTTGTAATCAATTTACAGATCAAACTTCTTAAATTTTGTATTACCCATATAGTAATACTATATACAGTAACCTTCTAATAGTATTGTATTAAGGTCCCAACCTTCAATCTTTTTCTAGTTAAATCATAGTTTAATATTTAGCATTTTTAATAACCTTATATATCTTATATTTCCTTTTTCCCAAACGTCAACTTTCTTAAGAAAGTTTAAAATAGTTACATTATTTCAGTAAATGTATTTTACAATAAACAAATAAAATTTAATTATAGACTTTAAAAGTAAATTAGTAATTATGATTTTAGAAATTGTGATCTTTGCAATTTGTTCGATATTTTTTATGGTTATTGGGCTAGCTTTATATATACAATATAATGAAAAGGTATCTATAGAATCAACACGTTCTCTTTTAAAAGATTCAGTTTTGTATCTATGTTTATTCCAAATATCCTTTTATATGTTGGGGATAATCAAATTTAAAATATTGATATCTACGTTATTTATTGATTGGTGGGCATTCTATGATGGTTCAGTAAGATATCCTTTTATATTTGGACCTCATTCATTCTACCCAGCAAAAATGGTATTACTATCGCTTATTAAGGCAGTAATTACAGTTAGATATGCTTCTAAATGTTTATATCCTCCATTAATATTACCATATGTAATTGTTTGTGTTTGTCTACTTCCATTATTATTCGCTTTTTCATACCCTTATGAGGATTCAGTAAGTTATTATTAAGAATATAACAAAATCAATCTTATTTGTTAATTTAAATGTTATCTATTCAGGATCTTATGCCTGCAACGTGGGATAGTGAAGATATTGATATTCTTTTGAATTTTATTAGAATTATATCATCTCCTACTCAGAGGAAGGAATATATTTTATATAACATAAATAAAATAAGAATGTAAGTTTTAAAAGTCGTTAATATTAGTAAGTATTTTCATTATTCCTCAATATTGCAATACTAGATACTTTTCAACTTTGTATCGCCGTTGTGAAAGTCTCCGTCTTATTATTTCTATATTACCAAAATATATTAGGTCACATGTAGTTAGTATTCTGAGTATAGAAGATATATAGTCATATTATAGCCTAATAATTATCTAAATTGTAAATAAATTCAAAGATTACAATTACATCTTATCATACACTATTAGCTTATTATTGGTTTTCAATATATTCTATATTATTGTAATATTAGCGCACGAAAATCCATAGCGTAACCGCTGCGTAACCCTAGTTCTAGGATTTTTTGATTGTGTTGTCACTTTTTTAATAAGTTAACTTGAATGGTTGTCGTTCAAAATTTAGCAGATCCTATTCATATAGAGTTCAATACATCAGACTATGAATTTAAAGAAGCCAGATTTATATTAGATTTTATCGGTGTACATAAAGTTATAAGTAAGTTCAATTGTTGAATTGTTAGATCACTAAACCTAAAGATATTATTCCCTTTCACTTTTTTCTTTATTAAAAAGATATCCCAAAAGAAAATATACAAATTAGTGAACATGAAATAACTGTAAGTTAAAATTAATAATGTGAAATAAATATGGTAATATTATGTCAATAATTTTTAGATTTTAAATCTTAAAACCCTGGTACCCATAGAAAGTGAGGAATTTACAGATAATATAGGGGTTTTAGAGCTTCTATTCAATGACTTTTTACATATAAAGAAGGTAAGATCATCATATTTTGTAATAAAACGATATATTTATTATCCTACCTCATTTAAAAATATTTAGGCATTATATGTAACTCCATCAAAAAATAATAACGAACTGAAATTAACTATTATATAATTTAGAATAGGTAAGTTGGAATTTCGGATTTCAACTTTGATTTAAAAATTTTATTTTTAGCATTAATATTTTTAATATTTGTTCTCACTTTTTCACAGAATAATGATTCTAACAGTTTTCCATTTTCAAAAAGTTCCAAGATTTCATCGTGATTTGCATAGTATTTACCAAATTTATATAATATAGGAAATCTATCATGTTTAGGATTGCAACTAAGAGCAAAACCCATAATTCCAGGATGTTGCAATACATCTATAGCCAGGAACTGGTTAACATGTGATACTGTAAATATTTTCAATGTATTTGAACTAAGTTCTGACATTGGATAATCTGGAGTTCCTTCCATAAATAGTACTAGAGGATTACTTTGAAAAATATAAATAAAATTCTTATCTATCTCTTCTTTATTTTCAAAATAGAATTTTTTACTTTTATCTATAGTTTCTTTATACATTTCTTTTATATCCCGAATATAGTTAAATCCAGTAAGTGATCTCTTCAGATGATATTTTAAAAATCCCAGCCCTAAATTAGGGTTTTTACACAAAGTCCCAATTTTATAAAGTTGCATTATTAGCTTTTTATAAAAGCTAGAGATATAAATAGAAATATCCAGAGTATATAGAGTATAATTATTAAATAATGTATATAGAATTGAAGTATTTAAAATGATTCACAGATATATAGTTGAACTTATTAAGAAGGTATTGTTCAAAATAGAATTTTCTAATATTTAACCTTTGGAAAACTTAAATAAAATAAAAATAATATAAATATATCATCTGGATTTTATTCACAAAGGTTAAGTCTACATAGTTTAGCAGAAATATAATTTTTCTATTTGTTAAATTGTTTATTCTATTTGAGCCAAAGTTCTAATGCTAGCTACAGCGCTAAAGTAATTCTTATTCTATTATTAATTGATGGCTTTCAAAGTTTGATTGTATTAGAGATAAATAAAATAATTAGTTCAATATCTTTTTTAGGATAGGTCTATAATATTTTATAAGAGGTAAAGGATTATATTGAACTACTTTATAAGGTTGGTACCATATATTGATGCTAGAAGGATTATAAATACTATTTTCAACTAACATAACAAGTTAAATTGGATTATTTTATTGTGTAAGGGGATTAATCTTTTTATAGGTGGTGTATGAAATTCAGCTTTCTTGTTTTTCTCAATAAATACCTAGAAGTTGAAATTAAAATAGATGCCACTGTTATATAGATTAATCCTATTAGTATATAAAGAGAATAATGAATATTGAACTATTGATATATATATATTTGGCATAAATTGTTGTACTTTCAGCAATATAAAATATGAATGAAGGATCTAATTCTATTTTGGATAGATTATTCCCACTAAAACTATCTTTATTCTTAGATATATTTTACAAGAATAAAAAGAAAATCTATATATATATATAATAAAAATAAGTCTTTGATTTTCCAACTAAGTTACCAGGATTTTGTTTCATATGTATCTCGGAATATTTGTTTAATAAATATAAAGGAACTTTCACATTTAAAGACAAGTACTCTTCATGAAATTTTACAACAAATTGAAATAAATAAATGTAATGAAGATATAGAGACAAATTTCCATGTTGCATCTTTATTAAGACATCATATTATATATATATTAAATAATTGTTCAAGTGATTTATTATCCTCATTATCTTGTATTTCATTAATGTTGGAGGATTTAGGTATGACTTGCAACAATTTATTTGTATCTTTATATAATTATGAGTTACTAAATTTATTTTCTTTTACCTCAAATAATGATTTAAATGATATTGTAGACTTAAAAAATTCGAGGGGAATAAAACTCTTGGTAGATATAAATGAACTTTGTAAAGTATTTATTAAACTCCATTTTCAGTCTTTAATAAAATTTTTAAAGTATAATTTATACTCATGGTCACCTCAAGAAATATCTGATTGGATTTCTATTTTTAGAGCAGATGACCTAAATGTTTTAAGTGAGGATTTGCTATTTGATGTCATTTTAAATATATTAAAAAGAAAAGTTTTTATAACAGAAGAAAATAAAAGGGATTTGCTTGGTTGTATTCGTATGAACTATCTCTCAAAATCAAATCAGATAGTTTATGCAGAAAAAGAATTTGCAACTAAAGAATTACTTCATATACTTAAGAGGAAGATAATAGGATATAGATACTCCCCTAGAATATGTTATTGTAACTTAATAAGTTATTCACAAGTCAAATGGAAAAATTTAGATGTTGACTTACCATTTATAGTAAATGAATTAAGTCAAAATGAAAAGAGAGTAGCAGAGATTCCTATTGAACAAGGTACTTGTTTAACAATAAATATTCATTTTGGAACTTTAGAAAATAAAAACAAAATAAATGATTATTGTGAGATTAATAATAAATTATTAATTTGCTGTGGAGTAGCGTCTACACTACGAAAAAAGAATATTAACTTTTTAGACTTTAAGAGACAATATTTCTATAATGGATTTCTTAAAGATTTTTATTCTATTCATATAAATAATAATAGTGAACTCAAAATTATAGATCTATTAGATAAAATAGGTCAGGAGTCAATGTTAAATAATAAAAATATTTTAACTGGTGATTTCACAAAGTCTAAATTTGAAAATAATTCTATAATAAATATACCATTAAATAATTGGTCTGCTATATTCCCAGAAAAATCCAACTTTTTAGAATCACTCACTCTATATGAAATATTGACGAGAGATCAAGGGATAATCCACATGACAGTTAATAGAATCAATAATTACTTGTTATTTCAGACAAAATCTGGGTTGTCTGTATACATTTCTTGCCCAGAATTTCAAAACATTGATGAACCTTTATACCCTTTCATTGTTTTCTCCTCAGGCAATATTCATGATATTAATTCTAATAAATTGAAGGATAATACTATAAAGACCAACTTAATGGGAAAACCGCATGATAAAGTATCTGCTGTATTATATGGTTCTAAAACATGTTACAAATTTTCTTTAGAAGTACAAAGGAGGAATGCAGGAGCACCAAAAAGAGTAACAAGATTACGATATAATAGACATTTTCAAAAACAAAATATAGATAATATTCAAATACAAGCTAACTCTCAATATAAATCACGAGTTGCAAATTCAAAGAATACTAGCTCAATATATCGTGGTAAATACAGTGATAAAGACCGTTTTATACGCAATAGAGATACCAGGATGAGATATAAAAGATTAATAGAGGGTCCAAATGAATATCATATTATTGAAGATACAGAGGCTCATGAAAATCAAAATAAAAAGAGAAAAACTGGAACATTTATTTTTTCAGCCTCAAATTTTTTATTTAACGCTATAACTAATTTTGTTTCTTTCAAATTTCTCAATTTAGGGACAAAATATTGGAGAAATTTAGGTGTAGATAGTATAGTTAAAAGTTCTGAAGAAAAACAGAAAAATTAATCTTACAATTTTTTTACCCCATTTCAAATTATAAATTTCAGACTAAAAACTTAAGAATTTAATATATTTGAGAATTTAGTTATTTAAAGCCTATTAATTTATCCTAGCAAAATTAAGGTATCATATTTAGTTTGATTGTAACTTTACAGTAAAAGTAATAATAAAGCACTCATTATTTGCTAGTTAATACAGACATTTTAAGAATCAATTCCTACTATACTACCAATGCATACACTATATACATATATATATATATTTAGCCACCTAGGAGTATGGATACTAATCTTTTGAAAATATATAGCAGCTATACTCCCAAGTTTTCCCAAAACTCTACCTATAGCAGGTTTGCATTTCTAGCGGTTACATTCTCTAGCATATAGTTTCTAATAGATCCCTAAATTATATAAGAAAAAAAGATGAAAAGTAAATAGTAAGAAATTTTATGTGCTATATTTGCTTCGGGTTGATATATTATTAGGTATATAATTACTCATTATTATTTTTAGAGTAATATCTAAATAATTACTGTGCAGTTAGAAAATTTGTCTGTTACCGCCCTGCTCGCGACAATGCGTGTTAGTCTCGATAGTATACTCTTAAAATATTGCATGCTCTTTGAGCGTAGTACAGCTACTCTAATTTGTTGTATCTTTTAAAGGTGCCTAAATCTAAACTTAGGCTGTAAAAATTTACTAAAAGTTACCCTTAATTTAGATGAAACAATCTTAGGTAATATTGGTTTACAATAAGAATTTTTTCTGGTTTTTCATTAAGACATCACAAGACAAAGGCTAATTAAGCAATGCTTCTATTCAAGTATGTGTTATACTTTGTTTTGGGGACTTTACTTATTCCTAATACTTGTAACTGTTTGAGGAGTTTAGAAAATGAAAGGTCAGTTAATTACTTAAGAGGTTCTCAATCGGAGGACAGGGCCAAGAACTCCCCAATGGTTCCAAAATATATTCCATCTCAGTCATTACTAGATAGATATCAAGAATTATTCAGAAAGTACCTTAGCAATATAGATCATTATATGACAATGGTTATTGCTATTGATATATTCAGCTCTCTATGTTTTGTATTTTGTTTGCGTGGCTTATCATCACCAGAAACTGCTAAGAGAGGTAATTTAGTAGGAATATTAGGAATGATTGGTGCAATATCTGTGACAATCTTACAACCTGGATTTTCTCTACAATGGATGATGTTCGTCATTCCATTTTGTGCTGCTACTATTATTGGTTTACCAATTGCACACTTTGTTTCTATGGTAAATTTACCTCAGTTAGTAGCTTTATTCCATTCTTTTGTAGGACTAGCAGCTATGTTAGTGGCATATGCAAATTTGTGGAGTCCATTTACACCTGAAAGTGTTCACACTGGGACTGTACATGCTATTGAAATATATATTGGAGAATTTATAGCTAGTTTCACTTTCACAGGTAGTATTGTTGCAGCTGGGAAATTACATGATATTTTTTCAAGTAACTCATTAAAAATTCCAGGTAAGCATTTCATAAATACATTGTTATTATCTGGTATTATTGCAATGTGTGGTTTATTTGTTGCATTTGATGATTTATCAATGAGAACATACTTTTTATATGGTAATAGTTTAGCTTCTATGGTATTGGGTTTGCACTTAGTGGCATCTATTGGTGGTGCTGATATGCCAGTTGTGATATCAATGCTAAACTCCTATTCTGGATGGGCAACATCTTTTACTGGATTTATGCTTCACTCCAATGTACTCATAATTTGTGGAGCATTAATTGGATCTTCTGGTACTATTTTATCATATGTTATGTGCTGTGGTATGAATAGATCACTTTTAAATGTTATTTTTGGTGGATGGGATGAATTAGGAGTAGATGTTGAAGGAGGTGAGGTTTTATATGACATGTCTTCAGTAACTGAGACAACAAGTGCTGAAGTTTCACGAGATCTTTTATCTGTCAAGAAGGTCTTGATTGTTCCAGGATATGGAATGGCAGTATCTCGTTGCCAATCTGAAGTTGCTTCTATAGCACAGGCATTACGAAGTCGTGGAATTAATGTAGAATTTGCAATTCATCCTGTTGCTGGACGTATGCCAGGGCATATGAATGTTTTACTTGCAGAAGTTGAGGTCCCTTATTCTATTGTTAGGGAAATGGAAGAAGTTAATCTTCATATGGAAGATTTTGGTGTAGTTCTTGTTATTGGAGCAAATGATACAGTAAATCCTCTAGCATTAGAAAAAAACTCTAAAATTCATGGGATGCCTGTAATTGAAGTTTGGAGAGCTAAGAAAGTTATTGTCTCAAAGAGAAGTTTAGGTCGTGGTTATGCAGCTATTGATAATCCTTTATTTTTCAAACCTAATACGCGCATGCTTTTTGGAAATGCTAAGGATAGAATGACTGAGATACTTTCAAATATAAATATTTTTGTACCAGAGAAGACAACCAAAATTCTTGATGACTCAATAGATTCTGATAGTGATTCAAATATAGAACAATTAGATGATACTAAAGGTACTAGACCAACTGAATCAACTAAGAAAAGTGGTAGTTCTAACTCTGAAGAATATCCAACTCCTTCTTTAACTCTGGGAGTCCTAAAGGAGGATTCTGAAAAAGAAAAACTTGTTGCAATAGCTCCAAACTATGTTAAGAGGTTAAGAAGAATAGGTTTTAGAGTTTTAGTTGAAAGTGGAGCAGGGAATTATAGCAAGTATAGTGACAATATGTATGAGGATGCTTCTTGCACTATTTTGGCAACTAAACAAGACGTAATAAGTCGTTCAAATGTGATTATAAAAGTACAAAAACCCTCTGAGGAGGAAATCTCATATATGACTTCAGGACAAGTATTGGTCAGTAATATATGGCCAGCACAAAATCCCAACCTATTACAGGAATTAGCTGAAAAAGGAGTAACAACAATTGCATTGGATGAAGTACCAAGAACAACTAGAGCTCAACGTCTGGATATTAGGAGTAGTATGAGCAATTTAGCTGGTTACAGAGCTGTTATAGAAGCGTTTGCTCGCCTACCAAAGCTTTCTAAACCTTCAATTACAGCTGCGGGCAGAGTAGATGCAGCAAAAGTATTTGTAATAGGAGCAGGAGTTGCAGGACTGCAAGCAATAGCTACAGCTCGTAATCTTGGTGCCGATGTATATGTAAATGACATACGATTAGTAACAAAAGAAGAAGTAGAAAGTTTAGGTGGTAAGTTTGTAGCAGTATCTATAAAAGAAGAGGGTCAAACTACAGATGGATACGCAAGAGAAATGAGCAAAAAATATCAAGATGCCCAGCAAGCATTATATAGTAAGATGATAAAATCTTGTGATGTAGTAATAAGTACTGCTTTAATTCCAGGTAAGCCATCTCCTAAAATTATTACAGCAAAGATGGTAAGGTCTATGAAACCTGGAAGTGTTATAGTAGATATGGCAGCAGAAATGGCAGATAGAAACAGTGGATGGGGAGGTAATTGTGAATTAACACATTATAATGAGATTTTTGAAGATGAAGTTAGTGGTGTTACTATTATTGGTTTAACTAATCTTCCAGCTACTATGCCTGCACAGGCGTCCGAGTTATTTAGTATGAATATAGTACATTTAATGGAAGAGCTTGGAGGAGCAGAGCACTTTTCTATAGATGTAAATGATGAATTAATGAAGTCTATGGTCGTCACAATGGACAATAAAGTAAGATATGTTTTACCAGAGATGCGACCCAAATCTAAAGATGTAATAGAGATATCGGCAGAAAATGATGAAAAAGATATATCTACATCAAGTATAGAAATATCACATGGTAATGATCTAAATCGAATCTTGAACTCGGATGCAATGTTTTTTGTTTTTGTATCTCTAATCTTGGGAATTTCAATTGGATTTGGATTTGGTTTGGATTCTGAAACACTAAATAATATCTTAGCATTTGTTTTATCTGTAATTATTGGATATTATTGTGTATGGAACGTATCTCCTTCACTACATACTCCTTTGATGTCTGTGACAAATGCATTATCTGGAATTATTATTATTGGAGCAATGCTTGAATGTGGACCAGTTAATATATTCTTTACATTCCAAGTATATTCACTGTTCGTTCTTCTTGCCACTTTCTTTAGTGCTATTAATATTGTTGGTGGATTTTATGTCACAGCTAGAATGTTATCCATGTTCAACAATACAGAAACTGATCATAACTATTCTCTTATTGCATAAACCTATGCATTATAATCGACCTATTTAAGCTTTGTAAATTTTTTGTTTCTAATATAAAAATTCTATATTATCTAAAGTATCTAAATCAGTTTGGGAAGTTTTGCAAATATAATATATAAACCCTGAATAAAGGGTATTCTAAGAGTGAATATAATCACAAAGCTAACCAATTAGATTTCAAAGAAGTGAATTATTAGGTAGTTGAAATAATAGTTTATGATTTTGATTCTCATATTTCTACTTGAATAAATTGCAAATAAGAACTGTTAATGCTAATCTTAGTATTTTAGAGTTAATATTGGTTTATATAGCCCTTTAAATTTCGTAAAATATAGGTTTGTAGTTAGAGTACTTGGGATAAGTTAACTATTGTTTTGGTAGCTACATGAGAGGCACTAGAAGCAACTAATAGGTATCAAATTTCCCAGAAGATTTAAATTCAATATCTACCAATATATACTGATATATAGTATAAATATTATGTTATTTTTAGTGCTGAATAAGGTGAGGAACTAGCCTAAAGAATACCATATGTGATATGAATCAAAGTAATCTATTGTTTCACAGATTTGGTAAAGTAAAATTCTCGCGCAAAATAAAAGTTTAATTTTAATTCGTTATATAATAGTGCATATATAACGTTAAAATATTGAGTTTAATCAACTAGGATTAATCTAAAATAACTTAATGTTTAAAATATTTAGTGATGAATCTAAAACCACCACCATGATATTAATTGGATAAATATATCCAAATTATTAACTACAGACTCAAATAAATCCTCTGATATTTTTTTGTTAAATTTAATCTTTAAACCAAAATACTCTTCCAATATCTTGTCTTTAATTGTAAATATCTCTAGCTTACGAAAGCAAAGGCTTCAAATATAGAATCTACATCATCTATGTCTTAAAATAGCTCATAATTCTTGAAGTAGTTGAAATATATATCAATAACTTCTATCTATATTTGATTTTCACAACAAATATGAGAGATCATAGATAAAGCTAAAAATAATTGTCAGTAGTATCTATTATGTAAAAGATTAGTTGAATTTAAGAGAAGTTTCTGTACAAAAGTGGTCAATTATTCAAGTTGTGACTAGTTATTTGTTGTCTGATTAACTGAATTTTGATTTATTGAAGGCTGAGAAAGACCACCACGACTCTTGCCCCTACCTCTGCCACGTCCTCTTATGCCTCTACCACGTCCACGGCCACGACGACGTGTATCACCCTTAACAGCTGCACCATTTGGTCCACATACATTAACTGCCTTTCTGCGACCCTTGTCATCTGTCTCAACTTCATACTCAACACGTTCAGCTTGTCCTAGTGATCTGAAACCTTCTACTTTAATGTTTTGTTGATGCACAAATATATCCTCAGATCCATCATCAGGTGTAATAAATCCAAAACCTTTTGCTGAGTCAAACCACTTGCAAACTCCTGAATGTGGCATTATTTAACGTAGTGGTTTATCTTAGTAATTATGCAGTAAAGTAAAATTAGAGAGATAGAATGCTTACTTCACTAATATTCGACTTTCTTTATCCACAACCGCCAGGCCAACAAGTATTGTACTAGTTTTTAAGAAGAGTTGTCTAGTCTAGAATATACTTTAAATAGCTCTTGGCTTTACTCCACTAGTAGCTGTATTGCTACACATAGTAACAGTCTATAATGAGATTGTACTCTTAATCATCAAAACAAATATTATCGATACCTGAGACAATTTGAGACGAGACATACAGTATGTGTCTAAACAATCTGAGACAGGTTTAAAATCTAAAACAAAACTTTAGATCTAAAAATTGCGATAGATTATAGAAGATAAGGTTGAAAGTGAAGTAGTTTAATTATATATACTGTTATGAAGCTGATAATACTTATTTACTGTAAATTGATCGTTAGAATCTTTCATTAACTTTATGCTCTAAGTCCCAGGTAGTGTTTTGTAGAGATTTTATGATATATATATTATATATAATATTTAGTTAGGTAAATATATAAACAACACTACTTTATTTGCTACTGTGGGAAGTTATGTGCATGTAAAAACCTGATTATTAAGTTATATTACAGGTAGGGAATAGGCACTATAATTGCATGGATCAGTATTTCAAGGGTTGCAATAAATAATTCTAGTAAATTTAACATTTTATCCGGAAATATTAGTTAACTGTATGTATTAAACAATCTATAAAAGGGAATTAGAGTGCTTTATTAATAATTAGGTGGAAATGATGTGAATTAAACCTACTTCAATAACTCTACTTTTAGTTAATTTAAAGATAAGTAAAAATAAGAAAGTTAACGTAAAATATTTACAACGCTATATATATAACCCCAGAGTAATGAAATAATGAGATAACCACATTATTCGACACAAATATATCTATTTGGATATAAAAGTATATAATTTCTTGTAATTGTAGAGATCACTGTAATTAGTCTCTAAGTGTCTTAGTTATAGCAAACAACATGAAATTTTGCAGAGTAAGTTAAGTGTAGCTATAACAAATTATAAGCTCTAACTCAGCTGATAATACAAATCAAATTACCCACTTTTTGTAATTGGTTTATTTAAATATTCATAAATATTTACTATAATAAAATAAATATAATTTCTATATTAAGCATATAGTTATATAACTAATGAATTTACTTAAATACTAATATTTACTAGTTACGAATAATTTAATAAAAGAAATTTCCATAATTGTATACTTTTAACTATCAAATTGAACTTATTTATTTTAAACTTACATTTCATTTCTATATTGTTACTTCAAATGTTATTCAATAAACAATACCACAAGGTAGAGTATAAAAAAATAAAATTGAAGTTAATTTCATTTTATGTTAATTAAAGTTTTTTTATGTGTTGATCTATATGTATTCTTATTCTTGAGTTCATTAAGTCTTCCTCTCTTCTTACGTCCTCTATACTCATACCACTGCTTCGAAACAGATTGACAGAAGTCTACATGGATTCTAAATTAAACAATAGTTAAACTTAGTGAAAAATAAATCATTAAAAGAAAACACTTTATATTCCTTAAGATATCTTTAAAAGAAATCTTTAACAGATAAATAAGTGGTACTTCTCTTACAGTTCTTGTCTACAAATGGACTTACCTTCTATCATCAATTATAACACCTTGCATTTTTGTGAGTGCTAACTCACAATCCTGTTTTCTTTCAAATTCTATAAAGGCATATTGTAAGGATTCACCTGTTTTCCAATCATAAACAATATTGCAAGATAAAATACGACCAAATCTAGAAAATATAAGCTCTAAATCTTCCTCAGTTGTTGTAGGATTTAATTTACATATAAACAAAACATTTTCTGGGGGTTTAATGTCAGCATCTGGTATATCTCCAAGTATTTCTAATGTAATAGCTCTTGATCTTGCTTGTCTCTCATTAATAGTATTAATAAGTCTCAATTCATCGTGTTCTTCTAGATTATCTCTAGGTTCGTTATCATAGATGTGAGTTATTTCAGGAGGTGATTCAGATGGAATAAAGTGATGTAAATTATAAGGATCTGGAAAGGGATCATCCAATATACTAGTATGTAGAATATATAATTTTTTAAGAGGAGAATTATCGTTATCTGTTAATGTTTCATTTATTTTTTGGACGACATCTAAACCTTCTTCAATCATACCAAAAATTGTATGTTTTTCATCCAAATAATCCAAATTTTCAGATAATGTAATGTAAAATTCAGAGCCATTTTCATTTGGTTTATTATTGGCCATTCCTATTAGTCCAACTTTATTATGTCTCAGTTTTGGACAAATCTCATCTTTGAAAAATTTAAAACGAGGACTTATACAGTCAAGTATATTATTCCTAGATGATTTAATATTACGATTTGAATAATTTAGTATTCTATTATAAAGTTCAGGGCTTTGTTCTTTTTTTGGTATAAAATGATTCTCGGTAAAATCTTCTTTGTAACCTGTAGTTTCGGCATCAACTGAAGCTACTTTACTATCATCATCTTTACATGTCTCAAAATTTAAAAAATCCAGAACTTTTAGAATCCCAAAAATTGATGTATTTCCATATTCCTCTGATATTCCTGTACGTATTAGGAAGTTTTTTTCAACACTGTGTATTAAACTATTGTTGTAATATTTTATCTTACATAATTTTAAGAAATTTTCACTAGCCTTTGGACATTCCTTTATATATAGATCAATAACAATATCTCCAAGACTTGTACTTACAAGTACAGACATCAATATACATATTCACTATTTTAAAAATCTATTAACGAATTATAAACTTTATAGTTAATCAGATCTTTATGTCCCGGGTATTTTAGGCAAACATTTAACACGCGGAATAATAATTTAAAATTTCATCTTTTTATTTATTAAAATGACTTGGTAAGTTTTTTAATATTGTTGATAAGTTTTTAAACAGTAATACTATTTTAAATTTTTAGGCCCTTTTCAAGTGCAGAGAAGAAGAATATATCATCTCCTATTGATGAATTTGTTCCCCCTCCTCCGGGTGGATCTCCATTTGCACCTCCACCTGGTAAGTTTTTCTTATTTCAAATCAATAATATTTCCTTATAATTCAACCAAATATCCTCTTATTTTTTTCGAATAGAAATTCCGCATTCTCTAAAGCATATAAAAGATCATTCCTTTTTTCATAAGGAATTCAAAGGATTTTCAGCACCACCTGGAAGAAGTATTGACTCTGAAACAAGGTTAGCCTAATTATCTAAAATATATTATTACTGAAATTCTTTATAAATATCTGTGGTTCAATTTTTTTGTAGAACTTATGAACAACGTTTTCCAAATAGTAAAAAGTCTATATTCGATATTGAGTTTAGTCCAAGAACACGAGCTTGTCTTGAAAATATAAAGATGGGTATGAAAATGGTAAGTGTAAAGTAAATAGTTTTACTGAAGGTTTTTGAATTTGTAAATTTAATCTATTATGATCTCCATTCTTCGAATAATAGGGTGCTTCTGTTGGTGGGATATTTGGGGCACTAACTGGTGTATATGCTGCTGCTAAACATCGAAATCTTCTAGCAATTCCATTATCTATTGTAAGTTATTCTCTAAATAGATTTCTTTATATTGAATTTTCCAATTATAATTTTTAACTATAGGCTGGAGGAGCTGTAAGTTTTGGTTTCTTCCTTGGTTGTGGGATGATAGTGAGATGTGAAAGCAAATAAGTATTAGTGTATGAGCATAACGAATTTTAGATTCGGTATGGCATTTTTAATAGATAATAAATAGACAAACTAGTTATTTAAAAATAAAATACATCACTTTGTTAAATTTTTTTTTCTTTAATGTATAAAATAGTTTTTAAAGCAATGTGATAGGGAAAATATATGCATGCATACACGTGGATACATGTACATATAATTTTTCTTATTACAGTGCATGCATGCATTATATGGGGATATCTTTTTTGATAATATTTCGATATGCAAATTCTTTGAGTATTACGTGGACAAACTATAAACTTTAGTGTAAGAAGTACATTAAAACTTGGTGTAAAATAATTTGCGTTTTTATACAATGGCTCTCAGTATTTTAGTTATGTGTAACCCTCTATTGGACATTATCATACAAAGGACTAAAGAGGAGATTGAAAACCTTGGACTAGAATTAGGGTCTGCTACTGTAAGAGATGGTGAAAATACTCTTAAACTAATTCATTCTATAATTAGTGGGGAGAAAGACGTGAACTTTGTAGTTGGTGGATCACTTTTAAATTCATTGAGAGTATGTCAAGGATTTTTTAAAAATGATGATAATATAGAGTTATATTTTACTGGAAGTATAGGTAATGACTCTCGTGGAATTTTGATGCAAGAACTGCTTGTAGAGTTGGGGATTAAAAGTGAATTGAATATATGTAAACATTCTAAACTAGAGACAGCAATTTGTGCAGCCTTTATAACTAACAAAGAAAGAACTTTACTAGCATCTCTTGGGGCAGCAAAAGAATATTCTATGGCAACATTTTTAAGACCTTCACTGCAGAAGGTACTACATAATGCAAGCATAGTTGCTGCCAGTGGTTACTTTGTGGAAGTATGTTTTGATGCAGTAATAGAAGCTGCAAGGGTCTGTAACAAAAATTTTAGTACTTTTATTTTTAATCTTTCAGCAGTATATATTACTCAGAAGTATATTAAGCAGCTTACTCTGTTACTACCTTATGTTGATTACTTAATCGGAAACTCAAAAGAATTTGTAAGTTTATGTGAAATTCTCAAATGTAATTCAAGATCTGGTTTTAGAATAGTTAAGAGTGGTAGCTATGACGATTGTTCAAATTTAACTACATTTGAGAATAAATATGCTACAATGAAAGATAGTAATGAAGACTCTAAGTTTACTAATAAGAAGTTAGTATTGAGAAATACCATCGATATAACTAAGAAAGAAGAGATATTAGGAAATAGGATTAGTGAAACTCCAAGTATAGTGATGGAAGATCTTTTGTTAGAAATATTTGAATATGTTAAAGCAGCATGTAAGATCATTTGTACTCGTGGAAAATATCCTTTAATGTTAGTCCAAAGAGAAAGTGAGAATACTGAACAAATAAGGGGGATTATTGATTATTACAACTGTATAAATGTACCTGAAGAGAAACAAGTTGACTTTAATGGATGTGGTGATGGATTCCAGGGTGGTTTAATGTATGGTTTAGCAAAGTCCTATCCTTTACATGAGTGTATTTATCTAGGAGTTTATGCAGCATCAATAATATTACAAAATGTTGGTTGTTCTTTTGACTCTATAGAGCCATTGAAGGGACAAGAACTTGTCGGTGCCTTGAAAGAGTTTAAAGTTGCAAATACAAAGAGAGACTTAATAAAGAAGGTATAAGAAAGTGACAGATAGAATTACTTTTAATCTGTTGACTAGGCAGTATAGTGGAAATTAGTGGCAAAGTATAGGAGAGTTGAAGCTTTTTCAAGAAATTAAGAACGATGATACAAGGTCAATAAAAGTAAATGGGATATTAATTATATATACAAAATAACTTAAAAGCAAGTAATAGCAAAAAGATAATATATATAGATTCTCCTGTTTTTCTACTGAATAGGTCTACTTTACAAATCTTCATTATCTGGTATAGAATAACACTCTTGTTTTTACTTAGCTTATGTTTTAGTGGCGCTTGAAAAGTGGCTCAAGGCCGGTAATATACCACTAAGGATTATTAGCAGAGAATACAGAATAAGACTAATGAGGTCAAAAAAGTATATAGTGAGGTACATCTGAAGAAAGTAAATAGGTGTTGAATATATAGCTGTATTTTGGTCTTCTTAGATGCCTATTCTACCAGCAGTTGATTTTGTATCTTTGCATTATACTCCTTTTGCAGAAAGAGTGCAATCTTCATCACACAATAGAAATCAACTAATAATTAATCAGGTTTATCATAGTATCTGGATATTTTGTTCTAATGATGTGGACTCATTATGTGCACTAAATATCCTGATGAATCAATTTCTAAGACGTGATAATATATCATGCCTAATAAACAGTGTCACTCATTATAATGAAATATCAAGCATTCTACAGGAATATGAGAAATATAATACCCAGAGAGAGTGTGTTGAGGTTTGCATATTAATTAATTTAGGAGCAATGGTTAACATAGTAACATTTATGAAATCTTGGTTTAGTGCAAATGTTGAATTCTGGATTTTTGACTACCATCGCCCAATTATTGATGATTTGTTCTTAAATTCTAATGGATTGGAAAATTGTATTGTTATTTTATCACAGCAGGAGATCAATTTCTTAAATAGACAACAAAATAAAAAAAAAACAGATGAAAAGAAAGGTAATAATGAACAAAAGAAGACTTTGAGTACAATAAATAATTCTTTACCCTCACTATCACAGACAATAGATGACCTTGATATATTGATGGGAGCTAAAGATTTAAGTGACAGTAAATCGAATAATAATAATACGTATAAGGAAATAAACACTTCTAATTCAGATAATGATAGTTATTTTGGAGAGTATACTGGTGACCCTAGTAGTTTTGTTATTTTACAAGCATTAAATAATGCTTTTTCATCAGATAGAATAGACGGGAATGTATTGTGGTATACCAGCATAAGTATAAGCTGGCACTATTTCAATCACTACATTGAAGCACTTGACTATAAAGTTTATATAGACACAATAAATAACATATTACTCAAATATATTAAAAGTAATACGAGTAAATATGATAGAAAACAATGGCCAAAATATATTAGGAAGGATCTTTATATTCCACTATATAGACATTGGAATCTGTTAGAAGCAATAAATTGTTGTGATATATTATTCACAAATATGAATTTATGGAAAATAGAGAATTATAGAGAATATATAATGATGGGTCGTGTATCTGCAGGGTTATCATTAGATGAGTTTACCGAGAATTTTTATTTATTGGATAAATTTCAGTCTAAGAAATTAGTAATGGAGCTACCGAAAGGATTTGAATCACTGATTGATAATGGTCAGTCTTCAATTTCTTTAACTATTTCAACATTTATAAAACATTTACCTGCAGTAGTACTTGATGTAGGAATGCACCCACATATATCCTCATATGACATGGCCTTAATATTACATACTACTTTAACTGGATGTAGTCAAACTTCAAATTTATCAGGATATATATCAGAGAGTAATTCAATGATTAACAAACAGGATACACCAATACCTGTTGGTATTTCTATAGAAAATATAACTAAAATGGAGTTAATGTATCGCGATAATTTTAGAGTGGCTTTACAACTATTACAACTTTGCACTAATGATGGTAATAGTTATATAAGTAGTAACCAAACAAGGAACATATGGAGAATTTTCAAACAGTATATTGATGAAACAAAGCAGTTACTTTCACTTACAATAAAATATGTCCGAATATTACTAACTTCAAGTACAAATGATTGTGTACTCATCCGTCACAACTACTTTACTCTAGTTGAATATAATGATATTGAGATTAGTCATGCATATAATTTGCGTCTTATTGGTAATATTCTTGTATCTGTTTTAAGTAAGGGCCATGATTTACAAGATAGATTTGTTATTGTAAATAAAGATAATTTATCTCAGATTGCTACTGTTGTGGGGATTACACCTGGCTGTGATATCCATAATCCTAATATCTTTGGATCTTTATTTTCGAAAGCTATAGACAACTTAAATGAGAATAAAGTAGATGGTTATAACAAAAGTTCCCCAAACTACTTTATACAGGATGATTTTGACTTTTGTATTATGCACCTACATCTAAATATACTAGATAAATTTATCTCAGTATTATTTGTACTTGCTGAAAATTATTCACAAAATCTAAACTCCATATATAGTAATGATGAAGAATTGGTGCAACAATCTCAAGATACTGATGAGGAACTGATAGATGATACATTGGATCACAGTAATAATAATCAGGCGGTGGTTTCCCAGTTAGGTTCTTTAGATGAGGAATTCACCCCTTAATGCAACATTAAGACAATATTTTTCACTAATACTCCAAAATTTCGATTTTAGAATAATGGAAGAAGGGGATTCTATAGATGAAAATAAAATTATAGACATAAATATCAATCTATAAATAATAACTTACATGGTTCGTGTGAAGTTTCTCATGAATGTAAATATGCAGATCCATATCTTAAAGTCTTAAAATCTATCATGAATATATTGGGGATCCACTTTTATATTTTTATTTTATAATAAATATAGCGGAGGTAATATTGAGGACTTTTTTTTTGAGTAACTTGCAGGAAATTATTGTGGAAGTTGATAGAATAACAGTTCATATTGATTTTATAGATATAATTAATCAAATGAAAAAGGGAATCTAAGTACTTTTGTAGATAACTTTAGTATTAACTTGAGTAAGAGCATGAATTGCCTTATTTTCATTGTTTTACCCTTTGGTGTAGGGAATAAATGTGCAAAAAACTTCAGATAGTATAGTTACATTAAGATTATTTTTATAAAAGATAACTTATCCTATGGTTGATTTAGTTCATAGTATATTAACTTCTAAAGTATAAATTTTGATGTTTGCAATATTAAAGTGGAAATAATAACAAGGATGCAAACTTTCTGCAAGTTAGTCCCTATAATCAAGATACAGTAAAATTAAAGATGCCTAAACAAAGATATTTAAATTACTTTAGTTTTGGGGAGGGATTTAAAGTGAGGATTATTGTAGAAACATATAGGAAATGTACCACTTAATAGAGCCTTATATGAGATAGCAGGATCAATATTTACAGTAAGTATATGTAGCAAATCAAAATTATCTTTATATTATAGTATAAAGTAAGTAGTTATTATAGATCCAACTGATGGTAGCAACTGTGGTTGTGGTATGTACCCAGTAGGTACATACAATCCTATAAATGAAGCCTACCCAACATTAACTAATAGCATTTCATTGGTATTTCTTAATATTACATTCATTTGGTGGTGGAGTTCAAATTTGGAAATATTCAAGTAAGTTGGGTCCATCTTTGTGTTCAACAACTAAGAAATATTCAACTTCTGAAGATGCGAAAGATACAAGTAATAATGTAGTGATATTCTTAATGTTAAACAGAGTATACAAGATAAAAAAAACTCGAACTTGTGAGTTTTGCTACTTTAGTAGATATAAATTCTATATTTGTCCCCTATATGAATACTACAAAAAGAATTGGACAGTTCACCCCATTCCCTGAAAAGATAGATTTATTTCGAGAATATAATAGTCCTAATAATAATAGAATTTATAAAGATGATCATAAAAATGATAAAGCTTATAATCAAAATAGTAAAACTGGCTCTCCAAATGAGGATAATATAAACTACCTCTTGAGAGGTGGTAGGAAATTCAAACTTTCGTTTCAAAATTCCAGTGAAAGTAAGTCTCAAAAGCTAATGAAATTTGTCTTTAAATAGATGGTACTATATTGCAAGATACCCAGAATAGTGCTTAATTAACTATGATAGAGAAATTGAAATCTTGCAATGTATTCTACCTTATATAGACCTTTTGAAACAAAAAGAAACCTAGAAAGAAGGTTTAGTACTAATCCATAACTATAAACATTATTATATATATTTCACTTAATATATTGCTAATCATATGATTAAAGTAAAAACAATCACTAGTATTATTCTCTACTTTTTAGCTACTACTGTGTGTTTATCTAGCGCTAAAATAAGTATTCAGTATTGTGTGAAGCTTTTTCCCCAGGGTAGTAAGAAAAAGAGACGAGCACCAAGTATTTTAAAATGTCAGGGATCTAATGACCCAAAATTTTGGGAGCAATGAAATTTTTACTATGTTGTTCTTATTCATCGATAGATCTGGCTTCCGAGCTTGCAGTTGATAATACAGTAAGTTCCAAGGCAGATTCAGATACTGAGCTGAAATTGTTAGAAATTTCTTCAATAAAAAATACCTATATTAATACTGCAATTAATAGATTACATCAAGCTGAGAGTGATGCACGAAGTATTATAGCAAAAGCCATGAACAATCGTCAAGTATATCTTGATAAAGCAAAAGATGTAGCATATGAAATTGTTAAACCATACTATGATCTTGCAAGTGAAGAAATAACGGAAATTGAGATGTCTCTTAATAAGGAATTACATATTAAGTCTCTTGAAGATATTGCAAGAAAATTAGACTATAATGAAGAGGATATAAGTAGCCGCAAGGAGTGTGCTGCTTCATACCTACTAAGTCAAGTTTGTACTGTGCAATTTTCGATAGATAATCCCAATTTCATTCATAAATATTTTAATAAACCATTAAAATTGCGTTCAACAAGTATAAAGGATAAATTGAAAAATCGGAGTAAGGGGAGAAAAACCAGTAATGCTATAAGCTACATATCTTCTACAAGTAATAATTTTTTATCTAAATCAGTATCCAATATTTCGAAAATATTAAATTAGTATAGAAAACACTGGAATTTAAATATAAAGGAGAAAGAGTTGGAATAATAATATTTGACTAGTATACTTGTTCAACCAATATTATACTATTGTAAATTTTCTCTCGATAGAAAACTATTTAGAAAACAAAATCCTCTATATGATTAATTTGAACTTAGATATCTGATATAGAAATTATTTGAATATTCACATTAGTATTGTGTTGTAGATTTCACTAATTCTATGAACATATCTAAATAATTAGTTCTTTAGAAGAAGTTTCTAATGATATATTATCTACCATTTATATCATTAGAATTTAGAGCTGATGATATTACTCCAGTTGCTCCATGTAGAATTTTACTTGTAGAAGCAATAAGCTTATGGCCAATTTGAAGAAATATAAAGAAATTCCCCGTAAAATAGGCATATGTTGAAGTGAAAAATAGTAATATAAAAGTAAGGAGAATAGGAGAAGATATTATGTAAGTAAATTCATCAAAGCCAAGAATAATTAACAAGAGATAGATCCACCATGGAATATACTGTGGTTGAGATCCTGTAGATTGGAGTAGTTGAGCTTTTGCACATATATTTGCCATTTCTTCTATAGCCCTAGCTTCTAATTCAGGAATTTCTGAGGTATCAAGATCAAAAGATATATTTTCATCTGCTATTCTAGTATCAAGATTTTCTATTGAATTGAAAAATTGATCAATTTCAGGTTTCTTAATAATATCAAATATTAATATTGCATTCGACTTAGATTCAATATAGTATTGTTTAATTTTCTCAGGGTTTTCACCAATCCATTGTCTAGGTATACCATCCTTATCTAATTCAAAAATCTTTTTAAACCTTTGTATTGCATAAAGATGAAAAAATTTAGATTGTTGTTCCAACAAAACTTTAAATTGAATTAGTAATTGTAAAGCTACTTCTTGATTAATCTTCAAATATTTATCAGCTTGGTTTGTATATTCATTTAAATTTGTAAATAATTCACCCCATTTTGATTGAAACTTTAAAACTAAAATATTATGAAGATCACTCATTGAAATTTTTGTTTTATCCCAGTATTGTGATGGAGTCATATTAGAATTTGTCATAATATATTCTGATACTAGTGGAGTGATTCCTTTAATAATATCCTTTAAGAGAATTTCAAAAAACTCTTGTATAGCTTTTTGATGTATTTTATGAGCATATAATTCAAGTGTTTCATTATATAGATCACGTTGGGATGAAATATTGTAATTTACAATAATCTTATTTCCTTCAGAAGATTCCTTAATTAATATTATATCCGGAACACAACAATCAATAACCATATTTGTAATTTTAAATTGGTTAATCAGAGGTGAAAATTCAGTTGTCCATTCTAATAAAAATAAATCAAATCTCTTCATTTTCTCCTGAATCCAAGAAGTCATGTTAAATTTGGATTCTTCAAGGGAATCAATATTATCTCCATCAGAATTAAGTAAATATCGTTCTTTTGCTGCTCGTTTTTCAATCAATTTCTGGAATTCATAAAATATTATCTGAGTTAAACATACTCCTATTTCTTGAGCTGTTTGTAAATAATATCTAGCTGCTACTTCAAAATATTTCTCTAAATTAGAATGAAGTATTCTAAATGTTAATGTTGCAAATTCTTTAGATGAAATCTTTCCTTTCTCCATTATATTAGAATAACTTTGAATCTCTTCTTCACAATGTTCTGCAATATCACATTTCACATTTTCACAACGATATTGAGATAAAAGCTGTATTTGAGAAGGAATATTCAATTCTTCACATTCAACTATTACCTTCCAAATAGATTCACAATAGTATGCAAAACCATCATTTGGAATTCCTCTGCTGTATTTACTTGGAAGAATTTCATTAAATAAGTCGTTACGGATCTTTTCAATAGTAATTTCAAAACCCTTGTTATCAATTGGATATGAAGGTATTCCATAAACCCTTATATCAAAAATATCACTTATAGAATCTAAGTTATAGGTATTATCTTTATATTGGGTATTTAAGTTTAATTTATTATTTCTATTTTCCTTCAATATATTATCCCATAATAATGAAATTGTTTGATTAATTTTATTTTCTAGCATTTCTTGTTTATCTGAACAGCTCACATCTCTAATAGTAAATAAAAGAGTTGTTTTAGTCCTTTCACTTCTTCCATTATCTTCGAATTTCAGATTAAACCATGCATTTATAATTACCTTAAGTAAACCAAAATTAGATGAGCTAAATGTCGTTAGATTCATTAATGGTATATTCAATATTAAACAATCTGATATTGCAAGCGAATAAAGTGCTGCTCTATGTTCAAATGTTAATCTATCTTCACCACGTTCCAAACTATCTGTACCTTCAACATCCCAAATTAAAAGTGGACTTTTACTATTAATAGAGTTATCAATTACCTTATAGTTACTACTTATCCACAATCCCTTCGTTGTTTGACAGTATCCAGAATTAATCTTATCTAGTACTTGGAAATTTGTACCAAATAATAAATTTAGTAATGTACTTTTACCAGTACTTTGACTTCCTAATATGCTTACAACGTTATAATTAAAAACATTACTATTCTTCTTAAATTCTTCACAAATATTACTAAAGCTACCTATAAAATTAGAGTTGTAATCAATAATTTGTTCCATTAAAAATTAAGAAAAGTTTAATTTACTTCCCTATTGTTATTTTCCTTTCTTATTTTCTTTTTATTTTGTTAATGTAAACCCTCTAAATATAATAAGCAGAATGCGCTATAAATCAAAGTTACCAGGTTATAATAAATGTTTATAATTTAAATATAAGACATAAGATATTCCATCGTTCAAATAATATATAAAACTAAGTTTCTATAACATAAAGTTACTTTCAGTGGTTCTAATTATCTAGTTCTATTAACATAGAAATTAGGGTTTCTTTAGAATTATTGTTATTTTCAATTATATATATTATATTAAATATCAACATAAATCCTATAATATATATTAATAATTTTATTATGTCCTAATAAGTAAAGATATTATAATTAACAAAATTCTTAGGGTTTTATTTTATTATATAAAACCCTAATTCAGATCCAGATAAAGGTTTTATTAGCGCGAATCCTATAGGAGACTACCTTAGGGTTCTTTATATTCTAAAAAAGAATTTAGTAAAGCGTGAAATTAACTATATACAGTGTATATATATATATAGCATGAATCTGCATCTATGCACAGATCATCAACTTATTTTGAAGGTATGATCTTGGATTATATCATAATATATTATAAACAATGAAAAATTAACTTAGGGCTTTTAAATATGAGCTTTCATTTAGATTCCTACTTCAATAGTAGATTTAATAAAGAATGCCCAGCCCGGAGAACAAATAGGATGCCTCTCAATAAATAGTGATGGTTTAGTAAGTTGAATTCAGTTCAGATTAAATATATTAGCAATATGAGTTTATGCAACTTTCTATTATAATATTTTATTTAATATTACTTTTTTTTTTAATTATAGGGAGAATGGCAAATTAAGAATGTAAAGTTAACTGAAATAGGTACTAGTTCAAATAGTAATGTTGATGATAAGTTTAATATAAATAGCAAAGCTTCAAGAAATACATCTCGCAATGGCTACTTATTTATGAATTGTATAGATGAATCAGGCGAAAAAATGATTATGTATCCATCTACTATATATCCTCTAAAAAGATCAGGTAGTATAGTAAATGAAGACATAAGGAAGAAAATAAAGGAAAATACATTAAAGCAGAATTCAACTATTGAGGATACTAAAAGAATTGTTGGTGCAGTTTATGAATCATCATCACAACCATTTCTTTACTATAATAATAAATCATCTACAGATTATAATTCTAATATGGATGATCAAAGAATAAATATAAGTACCACAATATCTACTAAAAAAAGACAATCATCAAGTTCTAATATAAATATTTCAGAATATAATATTGAATCACTAAAAGAACATATATTCAAGATATTTGAAGAAAAAGGTAGTGAAGGTGTATCAATAAAAGAAATTGAAGATAGGACACTTCAGCCAAAACAATTAGTTAAGAAGGTTGTAGAAGAAATTGCTTATCAAACAGCTAGAGGTGGAAGACGTCATATATGGTATCTTAAATCTCAATATACCACAAAATGACTTTAATAAATAGGAGGATTTTTATTGGAATATTATAATTGAGTACTTAGATACTGGATAAGTTTAGAAGTGTATATTATCAAATTATGAGAATGATATTGATATAAATAATTTTACAGTTAATTTGATTTTGTTAAATGAGTATATAAACATTTTGGAAATTAGCTTAATATTATCCATAGTTATATACATTGGATAACAAAGTTATCTATGTTTATTATATATATATATATATATAGAAAAAATATAAATATAAAAGAGACTTTTATTAAAGTGATAATAATTTAAAAGATGATTAATATAAATAAATTAAAATAGCTTAATGAAATTAGATATAATATAGATTATGTTTGAAATTCAAATATTATTATGATTAGTAATATTTACTGTGTTATAAGATATTAATACAAATGTTAATACAATTTTTTTATAGGATGGTACTCTTAAATAGCTAATAAATTTAAAGTCATACATGTTTATATTGGATTTAGATTTGTATACAGTAATGATGAGTAATATCGGGTGTATATATTATGTATTAAGTTTACACTAATACTATTATATAATAAATTTTCAAAAATTATTTATTATCTCAAATAATATTAATATTTTTATTTATACTATATTGTATTTATATTATCAAATATGCTTATATAAAAACAAATAATCCTAAGTTCATTTTTATAAATATTTGAACAAATATTAATATTTTAAGAAATTAAACATTGATATTGGATATTTCACAGTAATATTAGATGATATATTTGTCTATTAATTAATGAATAGATCTTTTTTATATGTATAGAATTTAAGATATTCAATTATTTTATAATTAATTAATCTAACTTGTAATTTCTATTTTTTTAAGTATTTGAATACTAAATTTTTATTAGTATAAAGTCATTGAACAATTTAATAATACCAATATATATTTTAATATATTATGATATGAATTTTAATATTAAAAAAACTACTTTAGATATTTGTAGATGTATTTTGTAGTGATTTCGATTAAGTAATAATTAAGTGTAATACAATAAGTAATAAATATTATCAAGCTGTTATAAAGTCTAGGTATTTAATATAGATGAAAATATATAAAAATAAATTTTTTATATTTTTATAATCACTCAATACTTTTTAATTTATTATTTTTTAAAATATATCTTATAAGTTTCTATATTCAGATAGAAATAACTTCTTAATTAAGAGTCTTCATAATTTTAATTTTTTATTATATATTATAATATCTGATATATATTGTAATTAAGTAATATACTATAAAAGTTGTGAATCTTCAGATAGTATTTAATGTAAATTAGGATCTAAAAAGTTTTGCATGTTATTAATCCTTTTTAATATGCTATCTATTTATCCATTCTTGTGTGATGCAATAGATTAATGTTACTCTGGTACCGCCTAATAAGAACATAAAATTAAAATTGTAATATGAACTATAACTAAAACTAAGATATGGCGCTATGATGCACTAATAGCATGTATGCTACAACATACGTGAAGATCTTCTATATTATGTTATGAAAAGAGTTTTGCAAGCTCTATCAGAATTTAAACAGATTTACTTGAATAATACATCTAATCATGACTTTAATTCTCCTAAACGTCAAAATAATGAATCTATTTTAGATAAGGATAGTAAATCTGATATAGATAAAGAAATTCAGATAGACACACCTAGAGATCAATATAAAGAAATGAAAGAGAATAAAGTTGAAGAATGTGGACAAAGTGTATTTTTATATTCAAATAGTGATGCATATGCAGGTGAATGGTTTAATTGCAAACGAAATGGTTGGGGTGTTTTACTTAAATATACAGGTCAAAGATTTGAAGGGACGTGGATTAATGATGAGAGACATGGATATGGAATGCAGACTATTGGAAGTGCAATAAAATATATTGGACAATTTTCACATAATGATCGTCATGGAGTTGGTATTATATTTCATCACAGTGGTTTATTATATACAAGTGAATGGATGAATGGTGAACTTGTTAAACGTCGTTTATTATTTGATGGATGGAAAGATGAAATTAAAAGAATTCTTAATATTCAAAGTGGTGAATCTATGAATTCTATAAAAAGTATAAATAATATAAATTGTAACTTTGGAGTTGGAAATAACTCAATATTAGCTACATCTAGTTCAGTTAAGTCATTCTCAAGTTCAAGTAGTAGTCATTCAATAGGAGATACAGCTTTGGGTGGTCCTTTAGTTTTATGGGGTATTCCATTAACTGTATCACCATGTATGTTTCATGGACTTAACTGTGATAAAGATATACCTCCCCCTCCTTTTGAAGAAGAATCTCCAGAGAAGGAAATATCAAATTGTTATGATGACTTAACTCCAATAGGTAATGATCCAACACTTAAATCACCAACATATTATTGTCCTAGTCATTCTGCAGAAATTTGCTTTGACTGGAATGTTCTTCAGGTTGCATATTTTGTGAGTTGTCTTGGATTACCAGAATATTGTTATATTTTTGTAAAACATGAGGTTGATGGTTTAACTTTACCAGATATACATATTGAAGATTTTGAAGATATGGGGATAAAAAACAAATGTCATGCAAAATATTTGAATTTGTCCTTTTCTCTATTATTAAAATTAAGATTAAGATGTATTCGTAGATTATCATTTTCACCTCAGAGGCTTATAGATGATGAATATTTGAAGACATTTGAGATTCCTGCAAACGAATTGAGATTACATTGCAGAATTGGGGAAGGTGGATATGGAAGAGTATATAGAGGTACTTGGATTACTAGAGGTATAACTGTTGCTGTTAAAGCTTTTAGAAAAAGAGATAAGGTTACATTAGCTCGCGAATTTTATTCAGAACTATCTGTTGTATCAAGATTACGACATCCAAATGTAACTTTGTTTCTTGGTGTTGTAATGTCACCATTATACTGTTTAGTTACAGAATTAGTACCTTGTGGTTCATTATTTGATTTACTACATATTAAGGGTATTTCAATGACATCTACTCATGTTTTGAGGATAGCAAGAGAAATCTGTTGTGGTATGGCATATTTACATGAACATGGAGTGTTACATTGTGACTTGAAAAGCAGTAATGTTTTGCTTTCAAATAATTGTGATGTTAAAATTGGTGATTTTGGATTAGCTACATTAATGGAATCTCCCTTAGAAACTACAAAAATGCTAGGATGTATTGGTACACATCATTGGATGGCTCCTGAGGTATTAAGAGGAGAAGGATTTACTAAAGCAGCAGATGTATATAGTTTTGGTATGATACTTTGGGAGATGCTCACAAGGAAAATACCACATGAAGAACTATCTGTTACCCATATTATAGCAGCTGTTGGGTATGGTAATAGACGTCCTTTAATTTCTAATAATATACCAAACGCATTAAGGACAATTATACTTAAAACTTGGCATACAAATGTAGATCAGAGACCAAGTTTTCGGCATCTTGCTAATGTATTTGAACATTTATATCAAACTAGTATTTTGGATATTGAAGAGAATCTTTTAACTTTTTTTGGTCAGTAAAGTATATGAAAAGTTTTTAAGTATTAAGCATTTATTTTAAATGAGATTTATGTTTATAGTGTGAAATATGAAAAAAGTAATATTTTACATATTACTTTAGTATTCATGAAATAATCACTTTATTATTATTTCTACATATATTTGTATAGTATCAATTTACAAAAAAATCATTCTTTCCATTTTAAATTATATTCCTTCAAATTCCTTCCAAAAATCATCATTATTTAAGATAATATTCACTGAATTACTATTATTATTATTAATAGTATTAAACTTTAAATTAGCATCTATTGTACTTTTATTTTGTAATTTTATAGTATTTTTATTATTTATGCTTACATCAAGCTTTGCAGATCTTGTTGAATTATGAGCCACATTTAAATTAATAACCCTTTGAGATTCATCCCTTCTAGAATCAATATCTATCAAATTATTATTAAGTAGATTAGATGAAATAGTTGTTACTGTAGTTCCTAATTTTATTGCTTCATTTGTCCCTATATAATCAAATAAATAATCATCATCCCAACAGCTATCTGAATTCAAATTTTGTGAGCTATCTATATTACCTATATAATTAAGTTTATTTCTACCAACTCCATTTGTTTTTTCTTTATTATTTTCAATAATTTTATCATGTAATTTTTCATTTGATCCGGAATATTCAAATCCACAATAATTCTCTGTATTATCCAATATTATATCCTTACTGCTAGTATTATTATCATCAACAGCTTCTAAACTATTTATATCATTAAGTTCTGTAGTTTCATTTTTATTTTTAACATAATCACTTAAAATAAAAGCAATATGTTTAATTAAATCCGCTGTAATCTGCATTATTTCATAATTATCCTGAATAAATCCATATATAGATACATTAGGGAGAATAAGTTGAGTAATCACATTACAAGGATAATATATAACTGTTGAATTGAGGGCTTGTAATACAGCTTTTCTACATATTGGATAATTATCCTTTATTACTGTCAAGTAAACTTTATTAAGTATAGCCATATGATATTCTTGTGGCAATATACAAAGTAATTTAGCAAAACAAATAGCTGTATTACTTCGAACTATAACTTCTGGATCTTTAGCAAGTGTAAACATTGCATTCACTAATTTATTAACTGCAATTTGAATTTGATCTCCAGTACTAAAAGTATTAAATATCACAGCACTATTCTTCTTCCAACCTTCTTTTATTGAATCAATAAAATCTGAGGATTTACTTGATTTTAGTAACGTTGAATTATCTTTAGATTCTGTCTCATTATTATTACATGATAAAAGCTTTGGAATAATATAAATCATACTTTGAAGTGTTGTCTCTCTAATTAGTTGCATAGTATCATGAAATCCCAATACCATTGGATCAATACAACTTATAAGAATATCAACTTCTATAAAATCGTAATAACTTGATATATTCTTAAGAATTGTATAGCGAATAGATCTATCATTCTGGGTTAATAAGTTATTCAAAGTTGATAAAAAAGGTTTTAGTAAAAATTCAGGACATTTTCTGTTATCAAATTCATTTAAAATTGAAATTATTATTGGAAAAATATTAGATGTATATTGTGGGAAAGTATCCAGTAATTTTGTCAATAATCTTTGACCAATAATAATATTTATAGATATATCTGTATTTGATCTAATACTCAATATAAGCTGTTGTAAATACTGAGAACAAAATGTAACTCGTTCTGGGTCTGTCTTTAATTGAAATTCATCTAAATGATTAAATAATTCAACAATAGGTGATGAGCGTGATATTAAAGTTATACCATCATTTAAAGATACTTCAATTCCAGTATTTATACTAGTTAAAAGCCCTCCTACCCAATCTTGAATCCATAATGGAAGTATATTCTTTTCTAATGATAATATATTATCTCTTGTATAAGGTAAATTCAAGATATTCTCTCTTAAATTAGGTTTATTATTTTTCAGTGATTTCATGAAATTATCACCTTTATCTATATTTAATTCTTCATCTAGTTTTATATTTTGAGATACATCAAAATACCAATAAATAAGAGCTCCTAAAGACCACATATCTAAACATTTAGGATTTCTTGTATTATTTGGAAATTTCCATCCCACTACATTATAAGCAATATTCCATTTCTTAATATCTTCAATATAGTTTGAAGAGGCTTCATGTAAAGGTAAACAATATTCAAAACCTCCTAATTTCCAGTATCCTTGTGAATTTATGTAAATATTTAATGGATTAATATTTCCATGTATTAATTTTGCATCATTATGTAAAAATTTTAAGCTTTTCATTATGTCATAAATACCAAAAGTGCAGTCTTTAGAAAACCATATATAATAAGGCTTTGAATTATTACTATCATCAGTCATTTTAAATTCAAATTTCCCAAATAAATACAATGAATATAAAGATATACATGGTTCTGTAACTATATAATAATGATTATCAACTTCTATAGCATCATAAACTTTTATTATTGAAGGATGTATAAGACTTCTACACCTTTGAAACTGAGTTTTTACTAATCTTCTTATTGTATCTTTATCAAGAAATCTTAGAGATTCAAGATTTGTACTAGATGATTTATCATATATGAAAATACTACATGGAGTATCTAATTTATTCTTTTTAAAACCTCTATAATGTACCCATAAGCTTGGAATATATTCTTCGACCTTTTCACCTATATTATAACCAAAATTAGATGGTAAGTCGTTGAAAAATTTAGAGATTAGGGATGAGAACATTGATTTCTCAACTTTTCATCGATTTGACAAAATTATACAATCTCAAATACTCCCTCAAAGTCTAAAATATACTATACTCTTAAACTAGTTTATCTATATTATTTGTAATATAAATAAATAGCTGAAATTATTCTCAAATAATTCATTTATAACGGTATTTGAAAATTAGTGGAGCCAATTTGAGCGGCATTTTTTTTTTTTTTTTTAATTTTTTTTTAATTTTTCTTCTTTTTTCTTGTTTTCCTTCCTCCTCTTCTTTTCCTTTTGTATTTGGTTATTAAGTATTGTTAAATTTATTTCATCCATCTCATACTTTATTTATATATTTAATTTAATTTATATACTACCAGCTTCAATTTAACTGTGGTTTGGGAATATAGTAATAATGTCAATGTTTTGGATCTTAAGGTCTCTCTAATTATATTAAGAAAATTGACTTTAAGATTTTTTTAATAATTATTATGATTTCAACCTTTGTAAATCGTATATTGGGGAATATACCAGATAATAGCGATACTAAAGATGATGAAGAGCATCCAGCATACTGTTTATCTTCATTAATAACTTTTTATAAGCCAAATAGGCTCAAAAGTGCTATATTTGATCATATACCAGGATATTTAAACTCATTAAGTATAGATTTATATACAGTTTCTAAATCTGGGAATTTCAAAGAATATATTTTATCGAATATACATAATAAAAAAAGACTTGCAAATTATCAAACTTTAGTTAAGAATGGAGAATCATTTTATAGTATAATATCTGCTACTACACAAGATAAGTGCAAAGTTTGTGGTTATTTAAATTGTTCATCTCTTGTAGTGGATTTTTCACGAAATGCAGATAATGGTGAAACTACTTATTTAATTTTTCAAGGAGAGCTGATTTTAAGGATTTATGATAGGAGTTTGGATATAAGCTTGTACTGCTTAGTAAAAAGTATAAGTGATGAAGATATTTTACGAGTTACTAATGAAGATGTTATATTAATTTTACCAGAGCCAATAGAACTATCGTATAATTTTACAATAAATTTTATTCTTTATTCTAGTATAGGTAGAACATGGTATATTGGTGATAATAACTTTAATTTAACTGATAAAAATATAAGTAATGACAAAAATATAAATACATTTTATGAATCCCAAGTTACTGAGGAGAACTTAGGAGATAAATTAGATAATATAAATAAGAGTGAGAAAAATATCACAAAACAATTTAAATTTTCAATATCTTGTATTCAGAATGTAAGCATTTGTAATAAGGAAATAGAAGATACCACTGATAAGGGATCTTCTATAATTTTAAATTCTTCTTTAAATATGAATAATGAAAATTCAGATATAGATATATCTCCAGATACATTTGATACTAGAACACCTAAACCAAATAAACCAGTTTCAAATGGACACACAACACCTTTGTCTAATAAATCTACAACAGCTTCTACAACTTCTGTAATTCGTGGTAAAGCTCCTCCTTTACCAGCTCATATGAAATCTGGTTCTAAATCCAAAGTGATTTTAAAAAAATCGATAAAAATACCATCCTTAAATCGCAAAAATTTACCTCTTGGCCGTCGTATACATTGGAATCCTTTAAGTGATGAAGCTGCTCAGAAAAGTATTTTTCGTGAGATTTTGTATGCTCCATTGAATAGTCAATCTCCCCCTGTTTCTCCCCAAATATCCCCATCATCCTCTCCAACTTTTAATACTCCATTATCAGTTACATCATTATCACCAATGTCAACTTCACCGGCTTTATCAGATTTTCATATTGCAAATACACTTGTAAATTTGGAAACATTAAGTAGAGTTTTTACAAAGCCATCAATGAGTACATCTACATCACCAATTCCATCATTTCTTCCTAATTCATCTTCTGTTGAAGATATATCAGGCATAATAAATGATGAAGTAAATATGTCATTAAAGCAAGAATTACCTTTACATTCTACTGATTCAAATTATTCAAGTAAGAACTCAAATATTTTAATTCCAGCACCTATTAAACAAATTCCTTTACAATCACTATCTCAAAAGAGAGCTCAGAATATTGCAATAGTATTGGCACGTTTATTAGTACCAATTGATTATATTATTGAAGTTTTGCAATCCTTTAAGATTTCTAATTTGACTTTAGATGATTATGAACGAATTGAACAAGTTCTACCAACTACTTTAGAAATAGAAAGATTGAAGAATAATAAAAAAGAATTGCATCCTCTGGAACAATTTTTACTCAGGTTCTCACATATTTCAAATCCTATGGCTCGATTAAGATTTTTGAAATTTGAACATATTTTAGATGCATCAGAATTTGATATACAAAGAAATCTCAACACTTTGTTTCTTGCTTCTCAACAAATGAGGAATTCAAACAAACTTAAATTTATATTAAAGGCAGTATTACTATGGGGAAACTATGTAAATCACGGTATTAGCTTTGAAACTTTAACATCAACATCATCCTTTGCACATGCTGCAAATACAGGTTCTATTAATTGGTCTTTATTAGAAACTAAGGGATTTTCACTTGTATCTCTTTTACGTCTAGCTGAATTCAAAACTGTTATTGATCCTTCATTAACATCTTTGCATTTTTTAGTGGCAAATTTAACTATAGCAGCTCCACAATTAAATTTACATTTACTTGTTAATGATATGCCAGCCGTATCCCAAGCTTCAAAAATATCAGTTGATATGTTGTACAATAATATTAGTGATATGAAAAAGGAATTAGCAATTTTAGAAACTGAAAAGAGTTATTTTGCAAATGATAGAGTGGATTATTTGTTTGATTCTTACTCGAGGCGTTTAGATGCTTTAGTTGAAGGATACAATCGTATTGTTGAAAAAGTTGCTGATACAGCAATTTATTTTGGTCAAAATATCTCTTCAACAGATAAAAATTTATCAATCCAACCATTATTTGAAACATTAAATACTTTTATAGTTCAATTTACATCATGTTGTAAAGAAGTTAAGGAAAAACCTCAGAAATTTGCTTCTTTGCTAGTAGACCCAACAATGGTATTTCCTAATAATAATAACATATCAGTGAGTAATTGTCCATTTAATGGAACTGATATAAATTCGAAAAGTCTAATAAGTTCTAATTCAAATGGTAATGAAAACATACCTAAGAAGTCGAGAAATCAAGCTTGTAAATGGAGTGCATGTAGACATCCCACACTTATAAGGAATCGTTCAAGTAGTTTTAGGAGTGAAAAATCGCAATGTGAAGATAATTCAGGAAATAATAATTCCGAAAATAAAAATAATATGGGTAAGTTAGGTTTAGAGTCATCACTAAACCATCCTTGTAATAAATTTAATGTTATTGCAAAAAGTGAAGATAATATTAGAATTTCACAGAAAGTCAAATCTTCTTATTTAAGTAAATCTGTTGATTTATCTGATATTTCATATAATCCAAAAAAATCTCAAGATAGACATTTAAAAATAATACATACAGAAAGAAATAAAAGTAAAGCTAATTTACCTTTAAGACACCCACCGCCTAAGCTTCCTACTTTGGTAACTCCAGGTTTTCGTGAATCTTAGATATTTTAAGTTAGGAATTTAAAAATTTATATTTCATCTTAGGTTTTATAGTTCCTATATTACATGCATGCAAAGTAAAGGTGCATCTGCGGCACTAGATAGGCGCCAATATATTTTGTATTAAATATACTATCATTGTAATTTGTTTAACACTTTTAATATTTGAAATGAACAATTATCACCAAGAAAGAAGTAGAATCATTCAACGGAATAGGGAGGAAATCAGAGCTTTGGAAAAAGAGATAAAAAATAAGAAAGGAATATTAAAACAGCAATGTCAAAAGAATTTAGAAACTGTGTTGAAAAGGCAAGAGGAAGAATTACAGAAATTTGAGGCTCAATACAATTATAAAACCACAAAAACTAAATCATCATCTAGAGGTACAATATGTGATACAAATATAAAACCAATTACTTTACATGAAGAGAAACAATGGAGTAGTTTAAGTAAAACTGAACTTGAATCTGAATGTCGATTAAGAGGATTAAATTCAAAAGGTAGCCGTGAAGATTTAGTTACTCGCTTATATATCTTTACTATAGATCAGAAATCTAAAGTAAATAAGAATTCAGATACAAATAATATGGAAATTACATCAAATAACAATATAAAGAATGACAATATATCAACTCAATATACTACTTTTGCTGTGCCCCCAAATATTAACTTCTCGGATGCAGATGGAACTGGAAAAAGGAAAGGTAAATCTACTAAACGTAAGGTTGATCATAGAAAACAGGGACAACATAGACAAGATTCATGGGCAGCTTTTTGTGCTAGAAATAGTATTCCTCGTAAGACAAATAAGGAGCTTGATAGTGAAAGTGAAGATCAAGATAATGAAAGCTCAGAAGAGAATAACTCAGAATCTAATTCAGATCACATCATTATAGATGAAGAAGAAAGAGCTCGTCAGAGAAAGAGAGAGGTTGTAATGGCTAAAGCTTTAGAGAAGATATTAACAAATATAAGTAGTTGTACTGATGATGGTATCACAATAGATGATTTGATAGATCAGTTGACTAAGTTAAATATTCGTAACTTTAGACCTGAATTATTAGGCTATAAAACGTCTGAAGATTGGATAGCAGCTCAACCAAAGAAGTTATTAGTGTATGACATTAAGAATAAGAGAATTTACCCACCAGGTTTTAACTTGGAAAGTGATGACTTTATTTAGATTATTACTGAATCTCATTATAATATTTTTTTTTTTTAGTAAAATTTATAATTTCCAACTTTTAAATTTGTAATCTATATGTTTGACACATTAAAGCTGTTCTTCTTTTTTTCCTCAAAAGAAAAAAAAAAGAGGCGGTAAAGCATGCAGCCCACTTTTTTTTGTGTACTTTTAGGCTGTTACCTCTTTTTTTTTTCATTACTATTCTAAATGTTCTTGTCAGCTTTAGACAAGTTAAAAGAGCAGCAAAGGTTGCCAGTAAAATATAATGAGCAAATTAAATATATTGAAAGAGATCCTAATGATATAGAAATTCCAAAATCAAGAATTTACTCTTTACATGAACTTTTGGATGCAGCAGCCTTACGTGGTGATAAACAGGAGAACCCTAAAAAATCTAAAATAAGGAGAGCTACATCTAGATATATTTCACCTAAGTATAATGAATCTGAACCTTCTACCTGTAGTACTCCAACTGTAGGCTTAATACGTATATGCAGAAATACAGTAGTAACAAATTCATCAAATGATGATAATAATAAACAAACACTTGAAAATAGAGAAAATAAAGTTATCTTAAATACAGATAGCTGTAAATCAAAAATTGCAAGCTCTAAAATAAAAACTGATAAATGCGAAACTAAATATTACAATTCCAGAAACAATAGTAAATCCTTGAAAAAAACAAAGGAAGTACTAGAAAATGTAATAAATAAAGGTGAAATAGGATTAAATAACAAAAGTTCTTCTGAATATTGTGAAAGTACTATTGAAGATAAACTGACAAGAAATGTTAGATCTTCAAAAATAAAGAAATCATCTATTAAATCTGATTATCAAAAAGTGAAGAATAAAGATAAACTACTAAAGAAAAAATATAAGGATATTTCTGAATCTAGTTTCTTTTGTAATATGGTAATAAGTCCAGATTCATCTAATAGAAATAGCAAAAGCTGCTATACACTAGATGAATATAATGAAAATTTTATAATTTCAAGTCCAGATAAACTTGAAATTTTATATTCTATGAGTACAGGACTAACTCCATTAAATAATAAAAATAAATCTACGAGTAAAATCAATAAAAAAAGAACAAGTAAAAAAAAAAGTAGAGAAAGTGATGGTAATAGTGATAAAAATATATTTAGTAATCCAAATATTTCAGATAAGACTAATTCAGATAATCTAAATCACTCTTATAGTGAAGAGATAGACAAAGGTATAATTAGTGATATATTATGTAATTTGACAAATTGTTCGAAAATTACAAAGGGAGAGATTATAAAACAAAATAATTTTATATTACAATTAAATGAAAAATTATCAAACAGAAATAAAAAAGTTGAGTCTTGTAATACAAATATTAAAAGTGGTAAAAATAAAAATACTTCGAATTTGGAGTTACAAAGTGTTTTAAATAATATATTAACAAATGAATCTTTAAAAATAAAACAAATAGAAGATAAGGAACATAAGCATGAACTTTTATGGGCTTTAAATGAAGATCCTAAACTTTTAAGTATTGATGAAAAGGAAACTCTTTATCAAGAATATATTGTGACTGATGATTATAAAGAATCTGAAGATTTAGGAGATATTGAAATAATCAATAAGTAAATTGAGATCAAGAGTATATAATATAAATAATTAAAAATAAAAATTGTTTAATAAATAATATCAAGTAATATTAGATATCTGCAAATATAGCAATGATTATCCTAACAGGTAATTTTATAATGGTCAATCATTTAAATTACATTCTTTTTAGTTACAGGCTTCACTCAAGTATTTTAAGTTCATATCTACATAATGTACTACTAGTATATTCTTAAGCTTAAAAAATCAATATTATGGTGTATTCTTTATGTATTTAGTAACCAAATATGAAATTAAACACAATTTATTAATTGTAATTTTTTTTTTTTAAGAAAAGAAGTAATGAAAAATCATCTATTTGTGACTTTAAAGTTTCTGATAAATTGAAATATAATAAAACAAGAATATTATAAATGAAAAATCTTATTATTCTATAATTAAATTTTTATTGAATAAAACAAATAAATTAATGAAAATAAGTATGGTATTTGTGTTTAAATATAACTACAATTATTTTATGAAAACTATATAAGGATCTAAATAAATTTAGACATACTGCCATTAATAATCTGATAATATAGTAAATGAATCATTAAGATTTCACAATATTAAATATAATATTAACTAATATATTCATCCTATACAGCAGATGCAATCATATTAGTTGATCCTTCTTTATTATTATTATTTGATCCAAGTGTAATAGGACCATCTGTATTTGATACAGTACCTCTATTACTTGATAATCTAAACCCTTCGCCTCCAAATGGCACAAAACCTCTAGAAACTTCATTGTTATTAGTATGCCTGTCGGTTCCAGACATTTCAACAGATGCTTCATTATTTACACGCCCAGATATTCCAGATCCAAATATATAGGGTCCAGTTGTACCTGTTAACAAAGGTGAGCATAACATTAATTCTTTAAATAATAACCATGATACTCTAGTACAAAATGCTAATACTATAACATTTACAGCAAATAAACTGCATGCTGCTATACTTATAGCTGATTTAACTATAGATACAGAAACTGCAAAATATACAGCACAAAATAAAGTGCCTAGAGCTGTAATAAATATGTAGATTTGCAATATTGGTGGTCTATAAGCGTTTGAATCTTTAATAGCTATATATGCTAATATAATAGAGAAGACTTGGAGCAGGACCCATACAGTTCCACCTGTGGGTACCAATATAAATAAAACTAACAATGTTACAAACTCCAGAATTAACAGGAATTTCAGCTGACGTGCAAATTTTCTACATTTATTTGAGGGAGATACTGAATAAAATCCTGCTGAGCTTAAGGAACACATTTTTCATATTCCCTTGCATAAAATATATCCAAGTTATTTTGTGATATATCCAATTCTTATTTATAACCAATTTATAATAAAAAAAATTTAACAACTAAATTATCCAAAGTCTCCTCTTTTTTCTATAAAAAAAAAAAAAAAAAAAGGAAATTGAATTACAAATTTACGAAGAGCCTGAAAAGAAGTTTCTGAAAAAATAAGAACCCGCCACTTTTTCTTTTTTTTAACTTTTTTTTATCTCTTTTTCTTACTTTTTTAGAAAATCACACTATAATATATATAGAAGTAAAGATTTATACATATATGTACTTGTATATCTTTTTTTTAGTCTTTAACTTAAATAATCTAATATTTATAGAAATAAGAAATAAATAAATAAATAAACACAAGATAATTATATTCTATAGAATTGTTATAATCTCCTCCACTTTTCTATTAGGATTTTAGTTAAGCTGACATTGTATTGTATATATATATGTATATATATGGGTATATACAATTATGTAGATATATTTAAGTACGAACTTATATTTCAAATAAGTAAAAGTCCAATACTTAGGATTATCATGATATTAGTAAATAATTAAATTAATATGAAATGATAATTTGATTAAAGCCTTCTAAACTTCCATTACACCTTTTATCTTGTGATCTTTACGATCAATATAAGCGACTAATTGATTTGTTACTTCACTATTTGTAGCAAATAATGGTTGCTCAATACTTAATGAATCTGTTTCAAGTGATTGATCACTATTTTGTTCTTGTGAAAATTCGTATTGTTGAATTTGTGGTTTAAATTGATTTCTATTTTTACTATATTCACCATAGGTAGGTAAACCATATCTGCCTAATTGACTACTTAATGTTTGAGTTGATGTAAAGGTCTGTATAGTACTTGTATTAGATATATAAAAATCTGATTCATTATATCCTGTTTGTATAATTGTCTCATTAAGCAATTTTTGTGAAGATTTAGATAATTTGTCTAAGTTATCTTTAGTAATAACATATTGTCCAAATACTTGAGGTATACCCTGCCATCTTAAGAAATAATAATATACTGTAGCAATAACATAATCCATCTCGTTCCATTTTCTTGAATTATATTTAATATTAACTAAATCACAATATCTACACTTTTCAACTGAATGAACCCATGTTTTAAATGGTGAACGTTTCCAAAGAGAGTCAGGATATTGCTTCCAAGAGGCCCTTGTCATATATTTTTTTTTCCCATTATTATCACTAATTGTTTCATTATTAAAATCAAAAAGTCTAAATAATTTTTGTTTTAAACTCCTAAACCACTTTTTAATCCTTCTTTCTTTATAATTTGAACGTTCAATAGCTCCAACTTGATATTGTAGTTGCCTTTCATATAACACTACTGAAAGTCCAAATAAACCCTCTGGTGAAAGAAGTAAATTTGGTGATAATTTATTTAAAGTATCAGAAGGAAGTTCATAACGTTGTAGCTCTATATATTCATATATATTAGCTAAATATTCAAGAGATGTAGGATTTGAGTCACTTTTAAAAGATTTTATTAAATTATCCTCTTGTAAGTTTTGGTTTAATGTACTAGTAGATGAATATTTCCATGGTGGTTCATAATAAATTACTCTTGTATTTGTGAGTGATTTACATCTCTCTCCAAAAAAACATCTCCCTTGAAAATAATCTGAAAGTAGTTGCTTATTATTAATATTTGGACAATAATAATGTCTTTGTATGTAATTTAAAGAATTTTTCCCACTATAACCTTTACGTTTATTTCTTAGTTCAATATATTTCCGGATGACTGCAAGTGGGAATAAATCATATATTGCAACATTATTTAAGGGAATTTGTAAGATTTTCGAATTTTTTCGTACAATCCAAGCTCTAATTTGAGATGTTGTAACAATTGGATGTTGATAAGAGTACATAGGGCCCCATGGAAATACTGGTTGTAGTTCAACTGGTTTAGGTTGCCCATTTATATTACGTGCACTAGTTAATGCAAAAAAATATAGCATAATAGATGCCATTGTAATGGTTTCTCCATCTACTCCAGTTAAATTTATAGTTGCATAACTTGGAATTCCTTTAGAATAAGAAGGATCTTCTGGATTTAAAGGGAAATATAAGCTAGATAAAATCTGAGGTACTGAACCACGTTCACGTTTAGACATCATTAAGTATATATTTTCACCTGTAGTTGCTGTTATTGTGCCACCAGATAAAATTGCTCCACTTGTTATTAAACCAATATCTAATGAACATAAAGAACTACAGTTTATAAATTTTATAAAATATATTATAATAAATAACAATGCCAATTTAATTTGAATAAATAGCAGCATAATGTATTTACAAGTAATATAAATTAGATACTTAAATTATTTTTTTTTTTGTATTATTACTACAAAATAATGACTTTTTACACTCGGAAAGAATGCTTTGAAACCGGCATGTCAAGAAAGAGTCAGTTGAGTCTCAGCTAAACACAATTCAGTCACTCGAAATATTATCGTAACGAATTGTTTAATAAATCTAATATAATGAAATTTGAATGAAATTGATTCTATAAGACTAATTTTTTTTAGGCTACTGTTAATAATAACACTTTTTCTATAAAATCTAAAATAAAATATCTGAAATATATTGTTAATTATTCTTCCTCTATTATTTATATTAAAGTTAATATAAATAATTAAAGTTCTATGGAGTAAGTTATAATATATTGAAAATAAAATATAAAGTTAAATACTACAGTTATTTAAATGTGAAATAGAATTAATTGTTTTATTATAAAGTATAAAATACTTTATAAAGTAGATTCTTTACATTTTTAACTTCAACAGTATAACATTTACATAATAGTCCATATAATCATTTATATTTTTATTAATTGGATATTTTATAAGATTGTTATCAAGAAATTCATATTATTTAGATATAAAAATTAAAAGAAAAAAAAAGTCATTTTAAGATATATATTTTCTTTGACATATATTTATATTCATAATTTTAAGTTACTAGTATTATATAATTTCTTTAGATTCTCTTCAATGATCTATAATTGGTGATATAATATTTAATTAGTTTTTTATGACTTTGACTTTTTCTTTCTTATTTTTATCTTCATTCTCTTCTTTTCCTTTGTTTAATTTTCTTGAAATATTTATTTTTGTTAATATTGGATCATTATTTTTTCTAAATAACTTCTTAACCGTTGAAATTTCATTTTGATATTGACCATATAATACCTGAATACCAAGATTCTTTGAATAGAAATAAAATATTGAACCAATGAAAAAATCGTAAAATCCCCATTTTGAACAGTCATATTTTAATTGTCTAATTTCATCTACATGTACATGAGATATAACTCTTTTAAATGATGAAATTGGGGATTCTTTCCACTTTTCATCTGATACTAGTTTCCAAGGAGCTATTTTAGTACGGTTTTTACCTTTTGATAAAGAAGCAATGTCAGTAACAGATAAATATATAGATAAAGCCTTATCTAACCTTCTTCTAAATTTCGATATATCAAGGTCCACTGCCTCAATAATACCAATATCAAATTTCCTTTCACGTGCAAATAAAACTAATGCAAGTGATAAACAAAAAAATTTACGCGTAACTCGGAACATACTAACATCAATATCTTCTTTCTTTACATGTGTATATAAAGAATTGTATATGTTATGAAGTTCTTCTAAAGATGATACATTATATTTTTTCCATGAAGCTGTATAATAATAAACATGCTCATCAGTAGAACTTATTGGAATTACTCTATTAGATAAATTTGGAGAATAATGATTATTTGGAATAAAATCTATTAATGAAGTATTATTAAATATATATTTGGTCTTAGTTGCATTTATACCAGGATCAATATATGAATATATTTTAGTAACTGTATCAAATGCTTCATCTTCAAAATTAAGTACATCTTTTTCCTTTTTATTAATCATAAGTAGAATAGCTAGTGGATATAGATTCCATTTTTCTACATTATCTAAATTTATGATTAATTGTCCACCATCTAGAGATATTAAGTAATTTCTAATTATTTCTAAACTTGCATATGGATCTTTTAAATTTATGTTTCCCCATACATGTTGTAAAATATTCTTTTTAGGTTTAAGTAATCCATAAATATCATTTCTACATGAAATATCAAATATATATAGGAGTGCTGCAGCAATTGTATAACTTTCGCCATCCCATTTATCAGTAGAAATAGTAAAAAGTTCCCTACTTCCATCTTCAACTGCAGGACATATTCTACTTGCTAAAATTTCACCCAAAGTACCACGATCCATTCGGGTTAACATTAATTGAAAAGCTCTACCACCAACTAAAGTTGCAGATGCTGATAGACTAATAGAAGTAAGTGGAACTCCGTTAACCAAGATGAAGTGGCATAGTAACTGAAATAATAACAAAATAGAACCTATTTTTCCCAAAATACTTGATGGAAAAAAGTACATGTTTATATTCCAAATAAATATTCTATTTAGAATACTCTAACAGGTACAGTAGGATTACTAACATAAGTATCAAATATCTACTACATATTTATTAAGAGAGATAGTAGACATGTATCTGCAGATCTTATTTAAAAACTGCAGTTAATAAAAAAGACAGTTATCTCTATTATATTAAATCCAACCATGTTTTAATGTACACTTTATATAATTAAACCAACTTATGAGTTACTAATACATATTTATGTACTTTAGAGATCATCTTAAAATTACATGTTCATAATAAGAAAAAAAAGAAGTTATTTGGAGATTCTTTTAACACAAATTCTATTTAAATATGAAGTATTTCATTTGTATAAATTCAGTCAATAATTTCAAATATACCATTTTTACTCAGTATTAATTTTATTAATCATATATTTATTACAATAATCCATAGATACAAGATGTTACTTAACAAGTTTATGTAATGTCAGACTTCTAGTCAATTCTATTTATAGATAACTTGATAATTTATTTATATTTAAAATTTTTATATTTCACTATTAAAATTTGCTTATTTATATTACCACAATATATAGGAATTTATCGACTAGAATAAAAAAGGTTATTTTTCCAGAATTTAAAGTTTGCATTAACTGAAATTCTTTGATTTCATAATTACTAAATATAAGAAAATTATTTATGAACTAATATTTACTCTTTATAAGTTTACTTTAAAAATAACTCTATATTATTATATATATAGAAATTCTAATGATTAAAGATTAATATGCAATGTATAGTGTTTTGACTATAATAACTTCAATAGATATAATTGTATTTACAAGTAATATATATAGTTTTTCTTGAAGAGAAAAAAAAATTAATTGAATATATAACAAAAAGGGATGTAATAATTCAATATGTTCTATAAATACTTAAATAGAACATTTTCATAAAAAGGAAATCTTACTTGAAATATTAAAATTACAATTAAAACAACTATAAATGACCCAAATCTAATATAATTCACTCATGAATAGAAAACAAAAGTATAGAACTTAGATACTATAAAGAAATACAATAACTTCAAAAATAATATTCAGATTATGTTTATAAATTATAAAACCAATAATATTAGGTATTAATCTGAACTACGTTTATGGGCATTATGAAATGTTTCTAAATTCAAGGCACTTCTTTCAAATAAAAGATTTGTACGACTAACTTTATTGATATATTGACCATAGAGAGTTGGTACTCCAAGAGATATAACCAAAAAATTCAAAATTGCAGCAATAATATAATCAAACTGATTCCATTCCATAGAGCTGTACTTAACTTCCCTAAGTACTTCTAAGTGAGTAGTAAAAACTAGAAGTTCAAAAGTTGTTGCTGGAGTTGTTTTCCATTGAATCTCAGGTATTCTCTTCCATGGTGCTAATTTTGTTTTATTTTTTCTATGAGCCAAACAAAATAAATCAGATATATATAAGACACCATTTACAAATTTACGAAAAACCCTACTAAAAAGGTTAGTTTTATAATTTATTAACTCAACAAGATGATTATCATATTGTCTCTCTCTAAGATATAAAATTAATGCAAGTGATACAGCAGTGACATTTTGGTTAATATTAATATTGGATAATTTTCCATTTAATGAATCAGTTTGCATATTTCTAACAAAATCATAAATAACCTTAAGTTCTTCAGTTGATTTTCTTATACCAGATACCCATGGTACTGAAATATATGTAACTTTGCGGTCTTTTCTAGATTTACATACATAAGTAAATTTTCCAAAGCAGAAATTCCTTTTAACTTTAAAATCACTTATACATGATGACAATTTAATTGGTTCTATTTCCACTTTATTCAAATTACAAGGTGAATTAGTTGAATTCTTCAACTGTGTTATTAAATTATCTGATGGTATATTAGATAAATCGGTTGTTGTATTGTTTGATTCTTTATCCTGTAAAATTTTGTTTGGAATATCTTTTTTTTCAGCAATATCTCTAATAATACTTCTTTTCTTTTGAGATTGTACAAATTTTCTTAAAACTGCTAATGGATACATTTCCCATAAATCTACATTACGTAGAGGTATAATTAAATGTGCACCACATAATGAGATTATATATTCTTCAATTTGAGCTATAGATATCAAAGGGTCTTGTCTGACATCTACTTTTCCCCATGGAAAAGTAGGTAATGTATTTTCTTTTTTTGGTATATCACTAAGACTTATTCTATATGTATTTGATATAGAATAATAATATAACAAACTAGAAGATAGCATAATGGTATTACCTTCCCATCCTTTTGTAGAAATTGAAAATATATATTCCCCAGATTGATCCTTAATTATTGGAAGATAAATACTTGCAAGAAGTCTGCTTAAATTTCCACGTTTGGATTGAGATAGCATATAAACTACACTTGTTGTACCAGATGCCGTTGTATATAAAGTAAGAGATGTACTAACCGTTGGAGATGCAACTGCACTATAGAATCCATATGTACAATTAGTAAAAAATAACAAAACTAATAGACAAAGAGATAATATTTGCATCTTGAAAAAATTACTTTTTCTTTAATAAATGATTATTGATTTATATTAGGTACCTGATACTTGAGTAATTCTAAGTAGTCGATACAAAAAATTTATGTTAAGACTCATACTGGCGCTGCAATTGCGTCCTAAAATTCGCCAAAATATTGGATGTCTCAGATATCAAGATTTCTATTAAATTTACTTATATTAAAAAGAAATTGTATCTATTGAATTCTCTAGTTTTTATCTTTAAATACATTTTATTGCTTTTCTACTTCTTTTTTATTGGGATTTACCCATGTAGGATCAACTTGACCTAAATATGTAGATTTTTTTCATGAATAAATTAAATTAAATTCTTTTAGAATGATCTATATCATTATATATAATTATAGATAAGTATACTATTTATATACTTACCTGTTTGTGGATTAGTACCTAGGGGTCGTCGAAATAATAGAATATGAGGCTCAGGTCTATATAATATTAAATATTACTAGTAATATTTTATTAATTTACAGTAAATGTATTAATCTTACTTGTGAACTAAATAATGTTGCCATCCTCTTGATTGTTGTATTCCTAACATCCTCCATTCTTGCTCTCTTAAGAGACCATTTGGTTTAGTAAGCATTACAGATTGAGCTCTTTTTGATATCTAAGAAAAACAAAGTGATATTATGTATAATAGGACATTTATAAGAATTTACATTTAAATTTAAGGTTGTATATAATATAATTTGTTTTACTTACAGCTCTTGGTAATGTTACATGCCTAAAAACAAAATGAATTAAATTTATTTTTACTCTATTGTCAAATTAATTTAAGAAATCTTCAAATTACCTGTACTCATAAACACCATCCTCATATTTAGAAGAATATACAATATCTTCAGGATAATTCACCATATTTAGTTCATATATCAAAATTTGCACTTTAGAATAGTGATTATAGTGGGAATATATTCAATTCAAATCTTCTTCTTTTGGTTATAGATAAATCAAAAGAATTATATATATAGTAAACTATTTTTAGATGTAAATTTATAAGTTGAACTTGTTCTAATAAAAAACTTGGTCTTTTCTAACTTAAAATTTTGGTCCGTAGTAATTCTTTTGGTTTTTTTCCGCTTTCTTATGGAGATATTTGAGTTACAGCAATCCGAGGCTATAGCGTGTTAAGTAATATATAGGGCATATTTCAAAGCATCATAATCAAGAGACATCTTTTATAATTCATTTTACTGAATCTTTAAACTAGATAACTAAAGGCTTATGTACAAATATTTTAAATAATAATCAAAACTACCAAAAAGTTCATTTTTAATATATATAAACTTAAATAGGGGATTTTGGTATTAATAGTAAATATTAAGAATATAAGATATTAGACTAAAAGTATTCGAATTTAATCTTAAATAATTCAATATATCTATGGTAGGTTAAATCTAAATAACTTTATTTTAAATTAGATTCTCTATATCTTATAAAGTCTTTAAAATTAAAGTTTTAAGACAATATGATAATATTTTATAAGAGATCTATGATTAATAATAAGAATACCACTTTAGGTTATTAATATTATTACTATTAATAGTAATAATAAAGAAAAAGAGATATAAATACCCTTAAAAAGTTGGTTTAAAAGATAAAAATAAATAATTTTACTTTTTAATAAGAAAAATGTTAGAAACAATTTCACATATTTTATATAACACTTATAGTACTTTTTAGAAACATAACACTTAATCTAAAATATATTTAATCTTAATGGGATTCAATATATCTAATATTATTAATATTATATAATAGAAATAACAAAATTAGGGATTTATGATAATATTTGTATTTAAAACTTATGAAATAAATATCTTTCAATATAAATAAATTTTATAATATTATTGGTAGATTTTATAAGATATTTCATTATTAATATTAAATTAGAATACATAGAAAATTTAATTATACTACCAAGGCATTTATCATCATAATTTTGATGAATAAATGAGTCAAGTACTTGTAGATTAGATTACTTGTAAATATGAAGATCTGGTTATAATAAGGTAGGAAATGTATTATATAGTAATTTATATTAAACAAAATATGTATAATGAATTATTACAAATTATAGTCTATAAATATCCTTTAATAAAGAAATAAAGTATTTTCTTGTTTGAATATATATTAAGAAGATCATAATATTACACTTTAGTTCTAAGAAATAGCTAACAATGTTTAATACAAAAATAATGAATTACATATATGTAAATATAGAGTTATTTTTATTAAGTACTTAAAATTTTTTTTCAATGATTTCTTAGTATTTATAATACTTGTATTAATCTGTCACTATTTATATATGTTTCTTATTATATTCAATTTTTTTATAAATACAAACTAGCTGTGAAGACTATACCCCGTCTAATTAATGCTATCCCATGCCTAAGTTTATTTTCTAGATCCTCATTTCCAATAGATTTACAGGCAGATGCAACCTGTCTCAATAATTCCTCTAATCTCCTTAAGCATCTAATTACACTTCCTTCATAAAAATTTGTATTTTCTAGAGTATTTGCAAAACTTTCACCTTTACACCATTTAAGTATTATAGGCATTATTTGGGGTTTAAATTTACTAAGATATTCAGTTTCAGTTATAGTGAGTCCTGAATCTTGTGAAACTTTAATAATCATTCTGCCAACTTTTTGTAAATTTTCAAAACCTGTCAATAATATTGAATTATCCAATTTCATATCTTGACATTTTTCATCATATAGTAAACAAGATAAGATAGCTACAATGTATTCAATATTGAGTTCTTGAAAGAAAGTATTGTTGAATAATAATTCAGTAATTAAAAGTTCATCAGAAGTTGAAATTTCGCAAGCAACCCTTCCCTTAAGTTGTACAACATTATTTTTATCTATGTAATCCAAACTTCTGAGGACTTTCCTCATAGAAGAGAGTTCTTGTTGCATTAAAATATTATATTCATGATTAGATAATTCATTTGTTAATCTTAAGATATTGGATTCTAAATATCCTTTATTACAGCACCAATATAAAAGACATAAGGTTAAAGAAGGATCATACTTCAGCAGTAAAGAATCGTTTCTTATTTGATTCATAATATTTCTATATTTAGCCAAATCTTTGAGTATATTATCATTTTTTGCACTTTTAATATTTATTATTTCATCACCACAATAATTTAATATGGGGATTTTAGATATACCTAAATGTTCCTTAACTTTTGTTAGAGAATATTCTAGAGATCTTATTGTACCTTTACTATTATTTGTTAGATCAATATTTTTGGGAATATTAAGCCTAACTGTACTAATTTCACTAATTACTGTAGTTGTACAGGATATTATCGCATATTCATCTATGTCTTCTGATTGGATCTTATTAGATTCTGTATTTAGGGTTGAAATGCCATTTTTATCATTACCTAAGATTTTAGATACGAACTGTTGTGGTAAATTGTTTGTGTTAATCAAAATTTTAAGTACATATTGCTTTGTAGCTCTACTTGGAAGATCCTTTTCTTTATATGATTCCTTCGTTGTATATTCAATATATTTGTAGCTAGTTTCATTTTCATCATATTCATTACTGGGTTCTAGAATGAATATATTATTCAACTGCTTAGTTTTAAGGTAAGGCGTAGAAACAACTACACCCCAACCTAAATCTACAGTATTTCTTAAACTTTCTTTTTTCTTTTCACTAAATAGATGAAGATAAAGTGATGAATAGTCACTAGGCTTAAAGCTTTTTTGCATAGTTCCTTCTTTTATTAAATCAGATTCTACAGGAAATTTAATATAAACTAGACGTCCTGGATGTAAAAATCTATGGCTTAATGATGATGATATTATAAAAGAGCGGATTTTCTTATTTAATTCCAGCATAATACATAATTTTGAATATAAAGAATATGCCATTTTTGATATAATATCACCCAATCCTTGTAAATAAGGATATTCTTTTTCATTACTAGAAATTTTTTTATCCAATTCTTGATGAATATAATCTATATTATTTACATATATTAGAAGCTCATCTGAAGAATTCTCAATGTTAGGTTGATTTTGGAACTGATTATTTACATCCAAAGTATCATGAGATTTTGAAGTTAAATCTGTCGAATTAATTGAATATATATCTTGTGATTTAATTTCATAATTAGATAGGCAAGAATCACCATCAATTTTTAGAGATGGTACCTTATCAGAATTTTTTATTAATTTAGAGTCCTTTAATTTCTTTTTTACTTCTTCATCATTCATAATTCTTCTTGTTAATAATTCAATTGACTTATCAAGATCTAAAGAATTGGTTATAATCTCATTTGGTAAAGGGAGTATAAGTTTAGGAGTTTCTGAAGATACTGGATGATATTTACTAAGTTTTGAAAGATCAAATAGCACTTCATCTTTTGAAGTAGGATGGAAACCAACTTCATAAAGAAATTGAGCATAACATAGAAGTAATTCGTCAATATTTGATATATCAAGTGAACTTTGATCATTACTTGTATTATATAAATCGTCTATTCCTTCTATTCTTTTTTCTTTAATTATAAAAGATCCCAAATTAGGAGAAGATAGAGAAATCTCTTTATTTTCATTATTTTCTAGTTTATTAGTATTGGGATATTGTTCATACATGTTACTTTTATTTTGTTTATCTTTATCTTTGAAGAATACTTGGAAATCTAATTTTTTAATATCATATTTACTAATTATCTTTTCAATTCTTTTTTTTTCTTCATTTAGTGAAACTGTTTTTCTTCTTTTCAAAAACTGTGAAAATGATCTTTGGATCATATATTCTGGATCTGCTCCTTCTAATCTCAAGAGATTTAGTAACATATTGTAGCCTATATAGAATTGGCTATCAATTCTTAGTGGATCTCCAGTAAAAATAGCTTTAACAGCCCATGGATCTGCTTGCTCATCTAACATAATAATAGTAAGTCCTCTATCATCCAAACCTCTTCTTCCAGCTCTTCCACTCATTTGTATAAATTCACCAGAGTTTATTAAACGTGACTCTTTGCCATCAAATTTTCTAAGGGAAGTGAAGATAACAGTCTTTGCAGGCATATTAATACCCATAGAAAATGTTTCAGTAGAGAAAAGTACTTTTATAAAAGACTCACCAAATAAAATTTCTACAATTTCTTTCACAACAGGCAAAAGTCCTCCATGATGTATCCCAATACCTCTTCGTAGCAATGGTAGCATACCAACTACTTGAGGGATATTTCTATCTTCTTCTGCTAAAGTAGCTAGAGCGCTTTGAAATATAAAATCAATACTTTCCTTTTCTTCAGAATTTGTCAAGTCAGTAGATCCTAGATACATTGCATTAGTTTCACAATCTTTTTTAGAAAATGAAAAAACAATTATTGGTAAGTAATTACGTTCTTGGCACATATTCACAATATTTTCTAGATCTATTCTAAGTTGGCTTCTTGTATTTTTCTTTTTAAACTCACCCACACGGTTACTTCGCTCTTCAGTAGTTAATTTCAAACTTGATAGGGCCTTTGAATAATTATCTTCCCTAAATATTTTGTTTTCATCCATAACTAAATAAACTCCTGTTCCTCCTGCTGGGAATACAAAGTGTTGTAAAGGGACTGGTCTATAATCTGTATAAACTACATGGCATGGTTGGTGTTTAGTTCTACAAATCCACTCTGCAAATTCCAAATGATTTGGAATTGTGGCCGATAAAAACACTAATCTAACTGTATCTGGTAATAAAATAATAGATTCTTCCCATACTACCCCTCTCTCTTTATCACGCATATAATGGATCTCATCAAATATAACCCAAGCTATTTCACGAACTAGTTCACTTCCTCTGTATAACATTGATCTTAAAATTTCTGTTGTCATCACCATTATAGATGCTAAAGGATTAACTGTAACATCTCCTGTTAATAAACCTACATTGCCATCCCCAAATGTAGATCTCAAGTCCCTATACTTCTGATTACTTAAAGCCTTTATAGGGGATGTATAGACAACTCTTTGATTACTTCTAAGTGCCATCGCAATTGCATATTCAGCTACACATGTCTTTCCTGCAGATGTATGAGCTGAAACTAAAATACTCTCTCCTATTTCTAGACACTCTATTGATACAGCCTGAAATGTATCTAATTTAAATGAATATACTTTTGCTGGAATTTTTTTACCATCGGAATCATATTCTACTTCGAATTTTGATGTAGTAGGTGCTACATAGCTACATGGTCTAACACATTCATGAACACAGTTCTTGCCTGTTTCATATTTTACATATTCAATCTTCATACTTTCTTCTTTAAAATATATCGAACACTCAACATCAATAGAAGTCATATCACTATTTATATCTTCAGTTTTTGTAGAATTAACTATATTCTTTGAAATATCTATCCCTTTAACATTCATAATATTGTTTTCTCTTGATTCTTCCCTTCTCTCCTCTATTTCCTCAATACCTTCTTGTAATTTCCCTTCATGAATATTATTACAACAATTTAGTGCTTTAATTCCTGTCTCAGTCTCATTATAAATTGATTCAGAACAATATTCACTAGTATTTGTGTTTCCAGTCTTTATTTTCTTATGTAGCGGAGTAATTTTGTCAGTTTCTGACATTTGATCACTCTTCTTCTCCATACCAGATTTTGTAGAATATAAACATTCCCCAGCATTAGTCATCATGTAATATTACATAAATCTATACTATAGTATTATAGAGAATGTAAATACTAAAAAAATTATCTATTCCATTAATTAATAGTTTTTGAAGTAACTAGCGGGAAAAATCATGCAAAAACCGCCTAATATTGAAAACGTCATTGCTATCCCCTAATATGACTGGTCATGACATAGAGAAAACCGACAGTTCCTATTATATTTTTTTTATCGAGTTTAAATGACTCAATTTTAATATAAAGCATATATATTTTTAAAATATTTATGTATAATCTCAGCCTTGAATATTACCTGATAGTAGAAAAAAATATTATTCTAACAGTTCTACTAAAGGATTAAAACTTAAAGGGTACCTAGAATTTTATTATAGGTAATATTTCAAGATAGGTACGGAATATCTAAGTTGAATTATATATATCTAGTCTTTAAAGTTAATTTCATTCTGAAATCTATTTTTGGTGAGTATTTTAGAAGTGAGAATGGATATTTAACTTAGAAATCAACGTTAGCTCATTAAATATACACTTGAATTTATCTGTATTATAATCCAAAAGTTTAGTGATCTTTTTTTTTGTTTTATGGTTATACCTAGTCTACTACAGTAAATAATGAAAGTAGGCGGGAGTATTTTGTGTGAAACTTTGTCTCGTCCATGTCTTTAGAGGGTCCTTTTCTGCCTAATAGAAGCTTATTTAGTAGATACACTATAAATATAATGTTTCAAAAAATGAACTTAATTATAGTTTTTATAGGACTTATTGGAATTTTTGGGGGGCTATTAGAGATTTTTAAAATAGCAAATGCATCGGAAGTAAGCAATTCAGAAATTAAACTGGCCGATAGTGCTCTTGATGAATTTACTCAAAAGGAATTTAGAGATATTATGAATAAAATAAAAGAAAAGGACAGAGAAGATGATTCAGATGAAGAAGAGAGTTACGATGAAGGTTTTAAAGAAGAAGATGAAGAAATTTTAAAAGATAAATCTAACCTGAGTGAAACGGAATCTGAGCTAGATAGTTTGAAAAAGAAACAAGCTAATTTAATAAAAAGATCAAAGGCTGAAAGGGAGAAATTAGAAGAGGATATTGAAGATGATATAGAATATAAATTTAAAGAACTTCAAAAGAAGAATATGAAAAATAATTTTTACAATAATAAAAATAAAGGAATAGATGGTTCAGAAAATCGAGAACGAAAATTAGAGCTAGAAGAATATATTGAGCCAATAATTGATGATATTGATGATGATAATAGCCAAAGCAATGAAGATATGAATAAAGAGAGAGTAGACGATGATGATGATAGTGATAGAGAGATTGAAGAGAAAAATATACGACAAAAGAAAGAAAAAGTTTTGGATCAAGAAGAAAATGAAATAGAGGATATAAAAGAAGACATAGAGAATAGTATAGATGCTATTGAAAAGAATCAATTAGATTTTCCCACAAATATAGCTCAAGAGAGTAAAGCTGAAAATACTACACAAACAAATATTAAGACTTTGCCTTCCGTTGGTGAACATATACTAACTTCAACCACAACTCAAATAGTTACAGCAGTATTAATTCAAAGTTCATTAAAACCTAATGCAGCTCTAACATCTTCAAATATAATTTCTCCTTCTTTTGGGATTATATCTTCACCTAATAGTTCTAATATAAAAACAGAAGCTAAAGAAAATAAAATTTCAGTTCCAATAATTTCACAAAATAGTCAAAGTATATTAAATAAAGAGAGTACAAATCCTCCTACATTTATTTTGTTGGAACCAAATTTATTAAATGCAAATAAAATAGTAACTGAAGAGGTTAAAATGACACAGAATAAGCATAATAATGAGGTACCTAAGCAAATTGAAAATAAAGGAAGTTCTCAAGAGCAAAAAGTAACACAGAAACTAAAAGATAAAGAAGAGATAGTGAAGATCACTGAATATAATAAAAATTTAGGTAATAATTCAGTGGATACTGGGACTCCACCAAAACTTACAAGTAATTCTGGAATTTCAGCTTCTTTGAGTAATGGAACAAATATCCAAGTTCCAATTACAACTAAAGTTGATAATACAGACAAAGACACCACAAAGGAGGTTAGAATAAAAAATAATTTACTTGGTTCTGGAGAAACAGTACTTAGTACTATAAATTCTGTTCAACATGTAGATAATAGAAATAATACTGAGACAGCTAATGAGAAATTAATAAGACAACTAACAGAATTGGTATCTTCAGCAGCTTTTGAATTGGATTCAAATAATGAAAAATCAAAAAATGACTCAAAAGTTTTTTTAAATTTGAATAAAGTAGGTTTAAATAATCAGAGTAAAGAAGATAAAGTTGAATTAGGAAAGGAAGGAAATTTTCCTGAAATAATACAAAAGCATAAGAGATGGTATGAGAAAAGAGATCCAGTAACAGGGCAGTTATTATTTGATGCAGCTCAGTTTGCAAAAAATATTTCTAGTACTTTAAATATTCGTAGAACAAAAGGACGTTTCAGTACTTGTATAGAATATAATGGGAAGAGGGAAGCGTGTGAAAAAGAAATTGGTTGTTTTTATGATTCAGTTTATGATATGTGCTTAATTAATTGTGGTCTTATCAAGGAGAAGAACACTTGTGAAGAATATCTAGAGTGTAGATATGATTATATTATACCTAGAAAGGCTTGTGTAAATGATTGTTTTCAGAGTAGAAACTTTACTCATCAAGATTTTGAAGGTATAATTAGGGGTTGTGTGTGGTGTACTCAAGAAAGTACCTGCTTGGCTTTAGCTAAAGTTCAAAAAGAAAAATATCCTGAACCTAAAGATAGGATGTTTGATTGTCATTGGCAACTTCAAAGTGGCTTAAAAGAAGATATAAATGGTGAATTTGAAACATCAATATGTGTAGACAAAAATTTAGGTAGGAAGATGACTGACAAGGACTTAATGGCAGCAAGCTATATTACTGGGCAGGTTAAGGTTATGGAACAAGCTGTTGAAAATATTGCACAAAATATGTTAAAAGAGGGGATTCCTGGAGAAGAAACTATTTTAAAGTTACAGGATCCTTCTTTGTTAAAAAAAAAGATTTGCACACCTCGACATATTCCATTTTTAAAAATAATTCCTAACAAGCCCTTCTATTTAGAAGGTGAAATGGTTACAGTTAAATGTGAGCCAGGTTATAGTATTACAGGTTCCACAAATGAAATTATTTGTGAAGATGGAGAATTAATTCCACAAGTATATTGTATAGCTCATGTAGCTATTCAAAAGCAAGCATCTTCAATTAGAAAGCATTTGGACAATATCTTTTCTCTCCTTATTAATTCTGTAACTGGTGGATCTGAATGGTTAGGTAGAACTATGGAAGAACTTCATAAGAAGCAGGAGATGAGGGGTAATTCAGAACTTGAAGAAAATAAATTTGATGATTCTAAGGATAAAGAAGATATTACTAAAGATAATAATATGGAAACTCAAGAGGGAACTACAAAAGCTGAAGATAATAAAGAGTCTCCAAATATAATTAATAAATTATCAGAACCTATTAAACAAAATAATGAAGTAATTATTAGACCTCATTTAGATACTAATATTAAAGAAATAGAAAATGACAAGCAGCAAAGTGATAATGAAACAACCTTAAATAAAATAAAGCCTTCTGATTCATCTGGAAATCTCATGGTATTTGATAGAGTTACAGGAAAACCAATCTTAACTACTACACCTAAGCAACAGATTGAAAATCAAATTGAAAAGAAAGAACAAGAAAAGAAAACATCTGAAGACAAAACTATGTAAGGGTAGTTTATTTACATCTCTAACAATTTAGGTTATTAAAATTTCAAATAATACTAGATCTACCTTTTCTACTTACTGTAAAAAGATATATATATTATTTATAGATGAAAAGTTTGTAGTATTTTAATAATTTTAAGCAGGATTTTTGCTTGTATTGTACTTATTTAGTAGTAGTATTTGATTTGCTAGCTATTCACTTTATATATTTTATAACTTTTATTTTCAATTAAGAGCTTCAATTGTAAATTTTCTCTTGCCAGCTCTTAATCTACTTCCAATTTCATCACCTTCTAGAACTAAAGCCAATCTACCAAGAGAATTTGGGTCTATAGCCTCAACTCTCTCCCAAGCTTCTGAAAGTGCTGATGCTAGAATTGCAACAAGAGTAACTGATAATGGATTATGTGGAGCTTCTTGCTTACCGGGTACACCACGAACAACTAAAAGGAGTTCCCCTCTGACAACTTCTAACAAAGCTTTCTTGGCAGCTCTCCTTAAGTCAATAAGTGAGAGACTTTCGGGCCGTCTTGTAGAGAACTCATCTGGTAAATCATCTAAGAATCCGATCCACATATCTTCTTCTCTTCTCCATGTATCAGACAACAAAACTTCCGTGTTTGATGGAGAGAATTCGAGTAAAATTTGTAGTGACGAAACTGGAGTTCCTGATTGGACTGAAAACAGCCAAGGAGCAGTCATGTTCTCTTCTCCTGAAAGTAATAGATTAAGCTCACTTTTCATTTCAGGAAGTGAATCTTCACATTGGGAATCTTCAGGTATTTTATAACCTAGATCTGTGACTATTCTAATTAAATTTTCTAAATTTCTCTCAATTCTGGAGATTCTGTATTCTAGTCTTAATCTCTCTTTATCAGAAGTTTGGATTCTATCATTCAATTCTTTAACTATAGATAATAAGGGGTCAAATTTAGTTACAATAAAACCTTGTATCTCAGGAGAAAATGACATGGGTGGTAAAATAGATGAACCCATTCTATTAGTAGTTGCAGCCTCCATTTTGAATCTTCTATATTAATACTTCTTCACACCTTCAATAACTGTTAATATATTTAAAGCTTTTATTTAATGATGTTTGTGAGATCAAATTATTCGAAAACTTAATATACAGATATATACCAAAATTTTGCCTTAGTATTACTGAAATTGGTATTTTAAGTACTCCATTTATAGAAAGAAAAAATTACTTTGAAATAGACTCAAGATCTACTTTATATGCACACACAAAGCGCCAATAAAATACCGGTACTATAAACTTTTTTGCAAGCCTAAAGAGTAATAGCACTTATATACTAGAAACTTAAATATATTACCAGCATGGATCCATTAGGATTGGGTAGAATGATAAATGAGAAATTTACTCAAATAGGTGAGAATGTTCTAGGGTCTGTAATAGATCAGATAGTAGACAACTCATCAGTTCACTTGAGCCATCTAAATGAATTTCAATCTGTAAGTTAACTTTTTTCCTTTAAATTGACTTCAAACTAATACTTATTTTTTTAAAACTTTTATTTTTTGTTGTTCTAGTCAGCAATTATGCGTCTTTTACGGAGAGTTGCAGGGTCCAAATTCTTGAACAAACAACCTATTATAGAATCTGAGCCCGTACGCTTTGTTTTTGATGATACTACAGATCCAGTTCCTTCAGCTCTAGGCTCATCTAGCTTGGGGATTTTAACAGTAATAGTTAACCGAGCTATAGTATCTCCTATGGGATTTTCAAAAAATCTACGTAACTTTGTTAATAATCCAAATGCAGAATGGGTATTAGAGATAACAACAGAAGGTCAGATGGTATCTAGTATTCCAATAAGTTCTAGTAAATTTACTTTGGATATCCCAGCATCTCCTATATCACCCGTACATTACAATAATGAAGAGAGAGGTAGTACTAAGGTTGGATCTTCTTCATCTAATACGAGTACTGGAATACGAGAAATAGTATTCAATTTTGTCAAATCTTTTGAAATAACTGACTTCAACTCAGACATATGTTTTGAAATAATATGTAGAATTCCTATAGAAGCAAAACCTTTAGAAATTACCTCAAAAATTCCCTGTAGATTAGAAAATTGCAATCATTTACATAATAATCCAACTGATAAAACTGATGTAAATGTACATAATAGTAAAATATCTTCAGATATTGATAGTGATCACTTGAATTTAACCTGTGGAGATTGTATAAAAAGTGAAGATTATACTTGTAATTCAAAATCTTTAGCTAATACACCTATTAGAGATTTTGAAGTTGAACCTCTATCTGAATGTACAGGTAAAGGTAATATTAACATGAATTTTAGTACAATTGGAGGTCCTTATAAACAATATAAGTTAACAAGACTTCAACGAGAAAAGCCTTTGTGTTTATATAATAATGAACATACAAAAGTTCATGTTGGAAAATGTAATGAAGGTAATTCTAATACAGAAACTGAAAAATTAGGTTTTGAACAGGCATGGCAAGTTGATTATGAATGTGTTCATTTTGGTAAAGTTTTAATACCTTTAATAAACGCTGTTTGGGAAACAATTGAAGAGTTACCATTTTGTTTGGTAGATGGCATAAGTAATTTTTCGTATAATAGTAAATTTAATGAAAAGGAAACTGATATTCCTGAAAGGTTAAATACTATCGGTGAATGGACCTTATTATATTCTTTGGATAATAGCATTAATAACAAACCAGACAATAATAGGAATACAAATAGTGATATAGAGATATTTCCTTCTGTAAATGTGCAAGATTATGGTTTAAGAAATCGGAAGCTTACAGAAAGTTCAGGAAGCAAGCTTAATTTGAATATAAAGAAAGATGAAAAGAATGATACAAATACATATCAAGGAGTTCAAGACAATGTTAAGTCTTTATCAGTAGAATCACATTCTGGCTTACAGGAAACTAAAAAACTATATAGTGATCCCGAAATTGAATTTAGATGGTATCACTTATATCCTCATGTAACTAAAATACCAAAGTATGTACGTCCTGTAGCTGGAATTTTAGATTATGGATTATCAAATCCCATTAAAACTTTGGGATTTATTCAAATTGGTTTATATTTTAAACCAAAGGCAAATTATAAATACCAAATATATTTCAAATCATTTTTGAACATAACACAAAATAGAGCTAGCACAAGATGGTTATTACCTGAAGCTTTTGAGCCACAATACTTTCAAAAGTATGCAGAACTTGTAAAATATACCTTTGAACATTTACCACGTTGGATACCTAAGATGTGTTATTTGATAAATCACAGAATTCCTAGAAATAGAGCTGATAGATTACTTATAGCTATATTTTGGTATTTTATCGCCTCAATATTTATTAAAGTATCTGATATTCCAACATTTACTTGGACTATATTGGGTATAACATTTGTGATATCGATGACATATCGTTTTGGAACCCATATATCTTCTCCAACTCATTTGGAACTTCTTTCTAGAGTTAATATTAATTCATTATGGCAGGGTAAAGAAGGTCTTCAGGATCAAAATATTGCTAAAGCTTTGCGTGTCTTACTTAAGCCTAAGCTTGAAAAGGGAGTACCTATGGTTTCACAGCAAAGTGGCTCTAGTACTTCCAATCCTGTAAACTTGGTAAACTTAACAAGTAATGATCCTAATACAGTGGAACCCTCGAGTATATTATTAAATTCAGAAAGTACCGAAATTGATCATGGGATTTCTAGTAAAGTATCCAATTCTAGTTACTCTTCTAATATATTAGTAACCCCAGGATCTCATATAGAGGCCATTGATTCAAATAATTTAGGTAAATTATCAGTTAAAGATACTTCAGTAAAACTTAATGGAAAAGTTTTAAATTCAAATATAACTAGCTCAATTTATACAAGGTCTGTTGAAGGCTTGACGAGTTTATGTTTTGGAGAATTAAGTGGGAAAAATTCACCTGCAACTTTAAGTAACAAGGTTGATTTAGATTATACTGCAGCAAATTTCCCATCTAATTCAAATAGTTATAGTACCTTTAATTTACCACTCAATTTGTATTTAGGGACTGAAATCTTTCAGAGATCTTATTACCCTATGTACAGTATAAAAAGTGGGCAAGGGTTTATTTGCGATAAAGTTCAACTTGAATTATCAGATAGTCCTCTATCTAGCAATTTACATGAACCGAATTCCTTTTCTGAATCTAGTTTAAATGACAAATTTGGAATTGTAGAGACTCCATTCGGAGCCTTAAAAATAGGAATTCGTAGTCACTGTAATGAAAACTTTGTTTCCATATTCTTTGATGATGATACTGTTGATCCTATTCAAGTACAACTCAATAATATATTTATGGTAGCTGAAACAGTCCAGTATAGTTTTGCTTGGGTTTGTAATGTAGCTGAAAAACTTAAGAATGCTTTTAATTTTGAAGATCCTTTTATTCCAGTATATACATTTATTATTTTAACATCTATAGTGGGTATTTTTAATATTGGTTATTTAGTTATTACTAACTTACCTTTCTGCTCATTATTTCGTTCTTTATTATTCATAAACTTTTTATTCAATATGCTTGAAATGGATCCTTGGAATTTTGTTCAACTGGAAATTTACAGAAATAGGAATCAAATAATAAAGCCAGGATCTATGGATTATTTTAGTAGACTATTTATCTCTAAAGTTAAAGAATATTTCCGAATAAATAAAAATTACAATATAGATACTAATCTCTTATTCATTATTTATAATTTATGTCTAAATGATTATTATCCTGATAGATTTATCACTACTCAAGCAAGGGGAATTCAAAAACCTATAAAGATCTTACCAATAAGTTGGGATGAATATTTATTCTTCTACAGTATCAAGTATATATTATTGATTGTAATATTTTTGGGGTTGATAATTAGAACGATATTGGATATCTTATTATCAGATATAAATCGAAAAATTAGAAATTGTCTTTATTTATGGTGGTCTAGAATTCCGGATATTAGAGAACTTGAACATAGATGTATTGCATCTTCTCAATTTATTGGAAATCTTGATAGACTTGTTGATAATAACAAATCTGCAGATAATTCCTACTCTTATTTTTTAGGCATTAGACAAACTGATCAATTTAATTTTGGATATAGTAAAGCTGATAATTTTTTGAGACAATATTATTTTGGAAGAACTGCTAGCGTTATAAAAGGGACAGCACCTTATACAAATGAAGAAATTTCAAATCCTACCAACTTGTCAGAATCTAACTCACTGAATTCTAATTTACAATCAAATCCAATTTCAACCTCAAAAGGGCTTATTAGTTATCTACTACCTAACACTACAGATAAAAATCAAAATTTTAACCCCACTATCGATAAACAAGAACAGGATAAAGGTGGAATGAATAAAAAGAGTAGTATACCTTCAAGTTACGAAATACTCGAAGCTTTGATAGATGGATTTTATAGTGGAAGTAAATCTAGTGCAAAATTAGATAATAAAGAGATTAGTTTAGATAACTCTCAACAAGACTACCAAAACGAGTCAACAAAAGATATGAAATCACTTAAAATAAACAATCAATTAATTTCAACTGAGGAGATTAAATCTAGTGAAACTGAAGAATCTTTAATATCCCAAGATTCATCTTTAAAAAAAAATTCTTTTATGGAGGATTCATCGAATATTGAAACACAAGTACAGAGCAATATAGATTACATTATACATGAAGATATAAATCATACAAATTGTGATAATTCCAATTGTAAATATGAACATATGGCTGAAACTAAACAAAACTCTCTCAGTTCAGGAGTTCAAATATCTAATCAAAGTACTGATCATCCTGAAAATAAAAATACAATTTCTCGGTTTTTTAATTCATTCAAAACACTTTCCCAAAATGCATGGCCTGAAAAAGTTTTTACTGGAGTATTTTCAACGTCTATGAATAATGATAATAATAATAATAATAGGTTGAGCACATTTTCTAACGTATACTCTGACAATACTCAAAATATATCAATCTTAGATGATTCTAGAAAATTTATAAGATTCCAAAACCCTCCAAATAATTCTTAATAATAAGCTTACTTTAATGCCAAGTAGCACAGTACATTGTTTTAGATATCCAACGCCAATATATAAATATACAAAAAACAGGTACTAGGGCAGGAATTAAACTAGATAAATACCACTCCTTCTTCTTCTCCTCATATAATAATATGTAGATTAAGACTGTATAACTTATAAATGTAATTATATAAAGTAATTTACCCTGAATCTTAAACTTTTCTTTTTTCTTCATTTATTCTATACTAGGTGTCACGTAATACAACTTTGCTGCACATAAGGGCGCCAAAAATATCGTAATGAGCTCCTTATAGCATCTTGGAAGTAATCAACTAGTTTAGCAGAAATAATAACTTTTGAACTTTTTACTTTGAAACTTTAAAAAAATTGTAATATATAAATACCTTAAAGGGTATATTGGTAGAATTAATTGCGAATAACCTTATATGGATTATAAGAAATTGAATTCTAAAACTTATATATTACAGTTGAACAAGGCTTCTTTAAGTTAAGTATTTTAAGTTAAGTATTAGAAATCAGTGAGATTGAGTATAAGAGATTATATTACTAGGTTTAAATTATTTTGATCAAGTACAAATACTATTTGGAAGCTTATATTATTGCTTATTATAAACTAATATAATTAGTGGATTTCTACAAGATGCGTTCAGGATTTCTATATTATATACTAATTAGTACAGGCCTACTATTTGTGATGATCACTTATTTACTTTATAAATATGATTACTATATGTATCATGTCATAATGCATATAACTAGTACAAAATCATCTTCAATGATTATTGGGAATTTTATTTTGATTTTAGTTTTACTATTTAGTAAAATGATACTATCTTTATTTATAGGTCGATTAAGGGATATAGAGCTGGAGGACATTATAGAGCAAGGTCGTGGATTTCTTGTGGATACAGTTTTATTTTTACTTATTAGTAATCCCACAATTGACAACAAGGAAGTAGGTCCTTTGGTATTGACTCGCTATATAACTATAATAATTGGATTAAAGATGCTTCATCTAGTTGCTCATATACGTGTAAGTCATATGTTTGAATTAGACCGTCCTAGAACTAAAAATATAATTCGTATTGCAGCATTAATAAGCATACTTATGATATCTGATATAGTATCAGTTTTTCACTACTATAATTTGTTATCAAAAGGCTCATCTCTACGATTATGGTTATTTTTTGAAAATATTACTATGTTATCTTCAAGTATAGTGTCAATGGGGAAATATTTGGTACATATTTTTGATTTAAGACTACAAAATTTACAAATATATCAAATAAATTTTAATAGTGATAATAGTAGATTTGAAGTCCCTACAAATGATCATCTTAATCAATCTTTGAATAATCATGCATTTATTTGGACTAATAAAAATGCCATTTTATTTTATCTAGACATTATTGGAGATGTGACTTCACTTTTAACTTATTTGGTATTTGTAATTATATTTTTTGCACTTAACCCATCTAGGGTTCCTTTATATGTTACTGGAGATGTTTTCCAAGTTATACGGGCTTTATATCAGAAAATATCTTCTTTTAGAAGATATCGTAAATTAACTAAAAATATGGAGACCAAATTTCCAGATGCCAATCTAGAAGATATTGAACGTGTAGATACTTGTATAGTTTGTAGAGATTTATTATATATTGGATCAAAAGTGTTACCTTGTGGTCACATTTTTCATTTGGACTGTTTAAAATCTTGGTTAATACAGCAGCAGACTTGTCCAACCTGCAGGGCTACAATCCCAATAACTACAAATAATCAGGAACAAAATACCAGTAATAATAGGATGAATAGTACGGTGACAGTAAATGATTCTGAAACACAAATTGGAACAGATAATTCAAATAATATAAATAGTTGGGAGGGTTCAAATAACAGCTTAATACAAGGAAATGAAATTTCAAATTTCTCAACCAGAGAACCTTCATGGAACTTTCAAAAAAGTGGAAGTTTTGGACTTAATAAATTTACTCATATTAATAATAGTGAAGAAACAATTGAATTTAATAATGAGTCGTCATCTAGCAACAATAATCAGAGTTATGAACCTAAAAAAACTAGTGAACATGAAAAAGTAGTATCTCAACATCACTTGTTAACTAGGAATCTTAGGGACTTACAAATTGACTCACCTATTAGGAATTTTTATCAAGAAAAGTCTATGAATTGTATTAAAAAACGTTTTGAGAAATTAGAAGCTTCTACATTTCCAGATATTTTAACCTCTCAAAGTATATTACCACCTCAAGCTCTGTCCTTTCAACCACAACTACTTCTAAATGTAAATAAAACCTTACTTCAAGATAATATATTTGATGATCCTAAATTTGTATATAGGATGTGCGAAATGTATAGAAAAAATACTCTTATATGGCAAAGGAAAATTTCTGAATTAATTGAATCTAATTTTATTTCAAAATATGGATTTCCATTTAACGATTTAAACACTGAAAATGTAAACAAGGAACAATTGGGAGCATTATTAAAAGCCGTTAGATGTCAAAAGGAAGATATGGAGAAATTAGAAGTTCCATAAGTAGAAAGAGATTTGTCAAAAATCATTGAAATTAGTCTGCAAACCTAATATTCTATAAATGTTAATATCAAGTAGGTATTGGATTAATAAACTAACGCAATAATATATTAGTACTAAAATATTTAAGATACAAGTATTCATATATTCACTTCTATTCTGATACTAATGATACTAATTACTCTACTTTATTTCTAATAATTAATCCTGGAGGGAGAATATTTATAGTTAAAAAGTAGGAGTCACCATCTATAGTAGGGTTAAGTGTAGCAAACCAATTATAGTCCAATTGTATAGCTATAATAGATTTATCTATTAATAATGATAATATTAAAGCTTTTATTGATTCTATCTTAGCATCTGAAAAATCTACGGGTAGGAGTATTCGTTGTGTAATATAAGGTAAAGGTTGATATTCCCCTAAAGGTAATAATCCTACCATTGTTGCATACAATGGTAAGAAGAGTAATTTCAGAGAATCCTTTAAATATATAGGATAAGCCTTTAAGTTAGGATATAAGTGAAAGCGTAAACTCCCCAAGTTTTCACTAGGATCTTGAAATAAAGGAGAATTCGGTGATAAAACTATTGTAAATGGACTATTATCAAAAAAATTCTCAATAGTATCTTTAATATAAATATCAATAAATTTGCAGTTATTTAATTTGTATGTCTTATATCCTATAGATTCATTATGAGGATAACATAATATCTTATCAGTTAAAAATGGTCTTAAATTGGATGTTTTCGTTTCATTTGTACTTTGCTGATTCCATATTCTCTTATCATTTTGAATTTCCAAAATACCATATTTTATATCAATATTGGGTAGATAACTACTTTCATGTATATCAAACTTATATATAGGCAAATCATTTCTTGAAATCCTCTCTTCATATATTTTTGGGGACATTAGCCAAAGTATTAAAGTTTGACGTTTTTGCCCAATATCTAAATTAAGCCAAAATGGATTATTGGTATAATCCACTTTCCTAAACACTCCATTATCTATATCAAGATTTATTATTTTTCCTATATATGAAGATATATATTCTAATTTACTACTTTCAGATATTGATTCCATCTTCCTAATTTTATGTATATCTAAAGCCATTTGTTGGAATGTAGATACAATATAAATTTCCGAGTTATTAAAAGGAAACCAAATATTTTTACAAGTACCCCCACTTTTAATATTTATATCTCCATTAATAATATAATATATAGAAATAACTAAATCTGAAAATTCTGACTTTAAACTATCCATACTTAGAATATTTAGTATATTCTGTTTAAATACATTTGAAAAATCTTTATCAGGATAATCAAGAATATCAATGTCCAGTACTAACATTAATGCCATATTTCACTTATTAAATATAATTTCTATGAAATATTAAAAGTGTTTAATATAACATTCCAAATAAAATAATATAATTCACACTTTATAATAAATGGGCGCCGGTATAGTTTGCTTTTTGAGTCAATTTCCTAAGTAAATATCTAAATCTGATCAGGAAATTCCAAATTTTTCATTATTGCACAGATCTTATCTTTAATTTGCCTTAAATTGTAATTATCTATTATCTTTTTCATAATATCTTGCTCATATTCAACATCCACAATTAAATTTTGGCATTCTTTTATGCATCTTGCAATCAAATTTGAAATAGTTCTCATTGTTTCACAATCACCACCTCTAGCTGTAAATACATAAGTACCAAATCTAATATATGCATCACTTTCATTTAAATATATGGTGCTATGATTAATACCACACCAATTCAGTGATCTATGTAATATTACATATGGAATATTATTATTCTTATCATTACAATCTATTATTACCATATGATTATCTGTACCTTTAAAAAGAAGTGGAATGTCATTATCTAATAAGGTCTGAGCTAATACTTGAGCATTTTCTATTATTTTCTTTGAATAAGTAGAGAAATCAGAAACTAACATATTCTGTAATTGTACTGCAAATGCACAAATTTGATGATTATGAGGACCACCTTGTAAACCAGGAAATAGTGCTGAGTTAATTTTATTAAATAAATCTGGATTTCTACTACTATTTACCATTAATATACCACCCTTAGGACCACCTAGACTGCTTTGTGTATTTGAGTATATAACATCAGCATATCTAAAAGGATTATATCTTGAGTAATCCTCGCCATATAAACTATATACATAAAATATAGCTGTTTCACTAATATCTACTACTAACAATGTCTTAAATTCATCACATATTATTTTGAATTCCTCAAAGTTTATTGCTTTTGGTAATACATGTGATGGAATAAATATTATTTTAGGTTTAAATATTCTGAATTTAGTTATTATATCATCCATATCAAAGTATTCCTTTGAAGAGTTCAAACTATAATAATTAACATGATAAAATTTCTCAATTACCGTCTTATATTCTTCTCTATTAAAAAATGTCATAATATGATCATTTAATTCAATGGATCCCATACAGATAGCCATTTTAACAGTGCTTCCACTATAACCTTGTACATTTAAATTCCAATTACCAAAAGGTGATTCTTTATTTTCTAATCTAAATAGTTTCTTCACCCTATTAATACATGTCATCTCAATCTTATCTATTATATCGGTACCACCATAATATCTAGCTCCTGGGTATCCCTCTGAGTATTTATTCGTTAATATACTCCTTAATACTTCTTGACATGACTTAGGCATTATATTATCTGCTGGATGTAAATTTAATAAATCAATTTGAAAGTATTCTTCTTCTTTAATAAGTTTATAAACTTCTGGATCTTCTTCCTTAATCAGTTCACTCAGATTTAACAGGCTAGTTGAAGTCATCTTTGTTTTCTTTATTAACCAATATTTATTTTAATAATAAAAGTAAACTGTAATTTATTTGGGATAAATATGACCTTTAAATGATATGCTCAATAATAATAAGATTATAAGTTTTAATATAATCCTTAATTTTTTAAAATAATAATTCCAAATATGTCTAGAAAATTAAAGATTAACTCATTATTAGCTGTTAGTAGTTATCATGCAAACTGGTAATAATTATATTAACCCACAATTTATAAGGCGCCAAAAGATGAAAGATTGATTTAGATAGGATTACCCCCCCTTTAATATAAAATGCTAAATAATAATAGAGCGGCCTAATAGGGGTAAATTTATAAGTATTTGGATTTTTTATTACATATATCAATAAGTATTAAGATTAATTCCTAATAATAGTTAGTATGATAGGAACTAAAATAAACAGTATAAATATCAAGAAACAAATAAAGACCTTCAGGATGTACTTTGTATAGTGATAATTCGAACTCCTTTCTAATTCATTGAGTAAATATTGTGTACCTGTAAACTTATTTGTTAATTGAATATTTGAATCAATATCATTAATAAATTCTTCAGTTTGTATTACTTCTCCATATATGAAATTGTGTATATCTAAGAGTCTTTGAGTATTCATCTCTATTTGTTTTGTAGCTAAGTAATGACAAAGAAATAAAAGAAATGAATATATTTAAGTATATAAGGATTATAATAAATATCATAGAAATATCCCTACCTATAAGTTGTTCTTGTAAAATCTGATTATATAGATGATCATTATCAGCTATAGTTATATATTTTGATAATGTAGATGAATCCCCTGTATCTGTTTCTGAATATGAATCATAATTTGTATTATCTTTTAAACTTGATACTAAAGTAACTTGATTCTGAAAGAAATGAAGTAAATTATGTACTAATAAGTTAGTTTGTAGCTTTATATCATGATTTTGCTCAATTAAAATTAAACAATGTTGTAAAAGTTGTTGAGTTTCACGTATTTTAAATTTTTTTTTAATATATTGGCTATCACTACTTATTGACTCAATATTTCTAAAATCTGGGTTTTTAGTTTCCTGTATTTGTTCACTAGAAATCCATTCAAGATTATCTTGGATTTGTTCGCAAAGTTGCTTAATTTTAAAGTTGATGTCATTGGGAGTATTGCTAATTTCACAAATTTCATCCAGATAATCATTAGGTTGATCAGTTAAAAATTCAATAGTTGGAAACATCTATAAGATTATACAACTTATCTGTTGAAACTAATATCAAAATTTAATTATCAATATATTAGTATTCTTAATTATATTTTGTGTTTCCTAAACAGTTGAGCCGGTTTTATAGTATTACATACGAGCTTTTGAAGTAGTATTCATAACTCGTTTTTACTTTTTATTTTTATTTTTATTTTTTTTTTATTTTCATAAAATGACTTTTTTTTATGATTTAATAGTTCCTTTTTCAAAATTGGAGAACTTTTTTTGAATCTTCTGAAGTATTGCAGCTTGGTTTTTATCTTCAAGTCTTCTCCTAGCTTCTATTGAATTCATTAATTTTTTTTCTAAAATGTAAATCTTCTCCAAATTTTCTAAAAGCGATTTTTTTTTCTGTTTCATAATTTCATAGGTTTTGTTTAAGTGATTGATGCCAACTAGAATAAAATCATTACTTTTTGAAACACAAAAACTTTCTTCATTTAATAAATTGAGTAATATTTCCTTTCCAGGAAAAAAACTACATGGATTTATACAATAGCAATATTTATTAAAATGAGGAACAGATATCATATCTTCCATTTCAATACATTTTCTAGTTTCATTGTTAGCTTTAATTTTGTCAGATAATTTTTTTAGTTCTAACTTTAGATCAAGTTTCTGAGCATTTATCTCTTCAATTCCAATATCAATTGCTTTAGTCATACATTCAATATCTACTTTTTTGCATCTTAATTTTCGTAAATCACTCTCCAATACTGCTTCAATTACTTCTCCTAATCTCTCCCCTTCCTTAAAATGATTCCCGGCCATCTCCAAACATACACAACCTCTATTTGGCTTATATTTAAAATATGGAATCATTTACTATCTAATATTTCTATTTTTAAAATTTTTTTGGCAATAATTTAACTTCCAACTAAAAGTTTTGACTTCCTTTATTTGAGGTATACAATATATATATTTGTATATATTTTCTATTAGAATATTAAAACCTATTATAAAATATAAACTTCTATGTACCAGTAGATTCTGATAATTTATTATTGGTTAAAGTAATTCCTCGATAGTCCTTTTTCCTCTCTAATATCCCAGTCCCAGACGTTTTTTTTTTTCAGCAATATGAACTCAATCTCTAAAATTAAAGAAGTGAATGCAATTCTTTCTTTAGATGAAAATTCAGATTTAAATAATAGTATTGAGGATACAAGGACTGAAATAGAAAGACTGCATATTGAAGTTCAAAAAATTAATCAGATTTCAAAGAGGTCTGCATATGAAATGAAGGAAATAGTTGATTCTTTCCCAGTTTGTGCCTTATTCATGCCTCAGTGCTCAGAAGACAGATTTGAAGATGAAAATCAAATGGAAATAGATGATAGTCCACAAATGCATGATAGCAATGAAATACTAGGTTCTAATAGTGAGACTGCCAATTTTGATATTTCAACAAATATTGGTATACAACACCATGTACCAATGTCTATTGAATCACCATCTGGAAGTATCAACTTGTCTGAATATTTATAATTGATTAAATTGCTCATTTAAAATAAAATAATCTTAAATACGAAATTATATAGCTGAATTATTTATCTAAATAAATTTATGATTTATTTGACCTTTTCACTAAATAACTTGCATTAAATACAATATTAAACTCAATGCTAATTAACTACAAAAGGTGGAAAATCGAATTCTTTAAGAAGATTTCTTACCTTCTCTCTTATCTCCCTAATTTCTGAATACTTTTCAAAAGAAGAAGTGTAATCTTCAATAGATTTTGCACCATTATCTTGTATTTTTTGGCCAATCCTTATAGCATCCATTATAAAATTTGCAACAATTTTAAAGTCTTTTTTATTAAGGCCTCTAGTTGTTAATGCACCTGATCCTAATCTAATTCCACTACAATTCATTGTTCTACCATCACAAGGAAGTGAACTTCTGCTACAAGATATTCCACAAGCACTCAAAATTTTCTCAGTCTTTAATCCACTTAAATTGAATTTCCTGGAATTTATAAGTATAATATGTGAATCTGTACCATCTGTTAATATATCTAAACCTTGATTTTTAAGATATTTAGCTAATTCTCTAGAATTTGACAAGACACTTGAAGCATATATTTTCCAATTATCAGATAATACTTCTTTTAATTGACAACATAAAGCAGCTATTTGATTGTAGTGAGTACTACACTGTAATCCAGGATTCACAGTTTTGTTTATAATAACTTCTATATTCGGATTCTTTATTTTATTATAAAAAATCATTGCTGACCTTGGACCTCTTAAAGTTTTATGAGTTGTTGTAGTAATAAAATCTGCATATTTCTCTGGAGAATCATAAACTCCGCCTGCAATTAGACCAGAATAATGGGCAATATCTACCATAAAATATGCCTTAACTTTATCACAAATTTCTCGAATCCTTGCAAAGTTTATTTGTCTAGGGTAACCACTACTTCCACCAATAATTAGTTTTGGACAATATAATAAAGCATTCTTTTCTAAGAGATCATAGTCTATCCATCCATTTTCATCTGATATATACGGGAGGGATTCAAAATAAAATGATGAACAATTAACTTTTCGAGTTCCTGTATAATGTCCATGAGTTAAATGACCACCACTTTGTAAAGATAAACCCATCAAACGATCATGTGGTTTCAAAATACTACATAATAAAGCAAAATTTGCTGGGGACCCACTATGAGGTTGTATATTAACTCCCCAAGTCTCTGAATCTAAATTAAAAGCTTTTAATGCTCTTTGTTTGGTCAAAATTTCTAGTTTCTGTATACTTGGAGATATAATCTTGCCACTATTATTGAAATCATTATATGAGATTGAAAAAATACTGCCTAAACAGTCCATAATAGCTTGAGATACAAAATTCTCTGAAGCGATTAGTTCAAGGCTCCTACTCTGTCTCTCATATTCTTGAGATAATAAAGATGATATTTCTGGATCAAGTTCTTTGAGAGATATATTTAAATTTGGTAATGAATTAATAGACATTTTAATAAGTAATAAAGTGTATAGAAAATATGCAATTAAAGTTTTTTATCTCAATGGTTTTATATACTTTTCATATAGATAAATATTGCATGGGAATAAAGGCGGCTAGTATGGAGTGTGGGGTCTACAATAAATAAGAAAAAAAAGTGAAATAATTAATTTTGAATAAACATAGTAAAATATTATAAGTATTATATTCATATTGTATTTATAAATTTCGAAATATTAATAATTAAGTATTTATACTAATGGTATTTAATAAATAAAATTAATACTATGGCGGATAGTCAATTAATGACAGATTGATAATAATATATTCATGGAATATTAAGATAAAAAGTATTAAAATAGGTTAATTCAAAAGTAAATTAATGGAATACATATTACATTAATAATATAAGAAAGATAATTATACTCAGTCTCCCCAGTATTAAATTATATGATATGCTAAGGGTAGTAATAATCTAGCTTTTGGATAAGTATTAATTAAGTAATCTAATATAGGTGCAAGAGGAATTTCTTCGGTTATATTTGTAAATAGCTGCTTAGAATAATAATTATAGTAATAAAATAAGATTGAGGCAGATAGAAGTGAAGACCATTCAGGTTGAGGTTCTTTTAATTGAATATGAGAATATAATGTTTCTGAGTTTATTCGTGAATTAATAGCTAATTCTTCAATTAATTTATTGAGAAATTCTGAATTCTCTGCTTTAAATAAATCCATTTTAATTATATCACAGATAGAGGTCGAATTTGAATCTTTACATGTAAGTATTTTAAAGAAACCATTCCAACAAAAAAGACTTTGAATTAAAGCATAAAAACTAATAATCTCAGGTACCTCATTTTTATTGAATATAATAAATTTCATAATATAAAGAAGTGACTTCAGTATATTATAATTGCATCCAATAATTAAAGACAGAATATGGCCATCAGATTTTGTTAATTTAAAGCATATATGGAATATCAAATTTAAATTTTTTTCTGTGTCTTGAAATTGAGACAATTCGAAAAGTTTATTTTCGAAATCATTATTAGGAATATTGTTACAATATTTAAATATTGTAAGTAATATTTTTTCCATACGAAGGTCTATCCAGTTATACATAATATCAAGAGCTCCTTCAGATAATGTTTCAGAAGATAAATAAGTAATAATAGGATCATATAATCCACTTTGTACATATAAATCCAATATAGAATAGCAAAGAGAAAGGTCATTTTTATTTTTTTTTTGTAATGATATATTAATGCTGAACAGATTTTGTAGGGCTGTTGGACTTGAAAAGTTCATATTTATTGGTAGTAAAGATAAATGTTGAAGTATAGATATATGAGTTTGTGGATTTTGAATAATTGATAGTAAATTAAATTTTAAATATTGCTCAATACCATGATACCAACATATATATGAGATATTTAATAATACAAGTGGTTTTGAGAGTGAAACTTTAATATTAAATGATAGATTACTAAACCAATTGTCAGGAGTAAAAATATCTTTGTTATTAGCATTAGTAGTACAGATAATTGGTGAATATTGTTGTGGAGTATCAATAAATTTTATGAAGTCCATATTCTGTAAGATTACGCCCATATTTTTTTGATTTATTGATATTCTATATAGTAATTGTTCTTCAGTTTCAATATCTCTTTTATTAAGTGAATCAGAAAAGATTGTATTGTGTATTCTAAGTATTACTTCACTATTTTCATCAATCATAGAATCTAATCCACATTTATTTAAAGGAACATCTCCATATAATAAAGAATATAGATTACGGAATTTAGTTTCAGAATTCTTCTTTTCAATAAATGGAGAAAATGTTAATTCTCTAATATTATCAGGAGATAAGGATGAATTAAATATATGGAGAAAAATTTCATTATCAAAAATCCAAATAATGCCCAAATATCCACTTTTAAATACTTCACAAGATAAAATTTTATTAGACAATTCAAAATTTGAGCAAGGAGAGTTATATATTTCAGTTATATTATTAAATATAAAATTTGTATCCCAATCAATGCTATTTACCAAATTATTGGATGTTAATAATCCTAAATTTAATGATTTATTCAAATCTTGGTTACTAGTATATAAGAAAAATATTGATTCAAAAACGCTATTACAAGGTAAAGTAGATTGATATGTATTAAATGGAAGTATTCTCAATATATTTATATGATTTGATATTTTTGATTCCATAGTAAATAAATGGATAATTTCGAAATATCTTCTGTATTTATAGTGTAATGAAGGTATTTGAAAATAATAAAGCTCATCATTAGTACCAATATATATTTTTCCAGTAGATGATATACCCAAATTATTGATATTTGACTCAAAATTTGTATTTATTACATGATAATATTGGATAATATTTTCATTTTGTATAGAAGAATGTAAATTTTTGTTGGATTTAAATGCAGAAATAATATTATCTGTTAGTTTACTTTTATTTGATATTTTTGTAAAATTAAAAAATGCTATGCTGGGTAAACAAGAAAATATATGAATACTTGAAATGGAAGCTATTGCAATTATCCAATTCTTTTTATTAGTTCTGGATCCAACAGAATCTATTATTATCAATTCATTCATTATTTTTGTATCAAGTAATACTTCGAAAGTGTCCAAGTTATAAATGATTATACTCTTATTTTTGGATTGAATAAGTAATAAATCATCATTACAACAATCATATCTTTCAGTATTATCTAATTGAATCACTGTCTTAATATTCCATATCTTTTCAATATCAAAATTAAATATTTTGAGAATTATCTCATCATCCTTATCAAGCCATAATCTATTTGGGCAGCTTGGAGAAATTGCACATAAGTATCTACCAGAACGTGATAATGCACTATAACAATCTTGAGGCAAATTATCACGTCTATATCCCTGGACACTCAACATTCAATAAGTATTAAAAGCAATAAATAGAAATGGTAGAAAATATAGAAAATAAATTGTAAATTTGGCGCAAACATATTGTTAATAAAAGTTAACATTCAGTTTTGCAATCAATGTCTAAAATTATAATTAATATTATCAAAAATATATTTTTTTTTGATACTACTGAAAAATATCACTAGTAAAAAAACCGGATATTCCAATTTTTTTTTCAATGTATTCGCTACAACATCGTTTAGCAGAAAATATAAGGTCTATAATAAGCCACTTTACACCAATTTCTCAAGATTCACGTTTTAATAGTGATGGATTAATATCTCCTTCTGAATTTGTAGATGCTGGTGATTATACTACTTTACAATTTCCGAAGTGGAAATGGAGATCAGCTGAAAAGGGTTTCGAAGTTCCATGGTTACCAAAAAATAAGCAATATTTGTATATTCAAGATATTGCATCTAGAAAACGAATTAAAGATATAGAAACTACATATAATTGCAATGAATATAAAGAATGGACAATAGCTCATGAGATTAATTCAGATAATTTTCATAATACAAATTATACAGATACTAATATACAAAATAATTCAGTAGATATAGAATTAATGTCAAGGTTAAGAACCTATGACATTAGTATAACTTATGACAAATATTTCCAGATTCCACGTATGTGGTTATATGGTTATAATCAAGATGGTATTCCATTAGATCCAAAAGAAATAGTCCAGGATATTATGAGTGAGTATACTGAGAAAACAATTACAATTGATCCTCATCCATGCACTGGTATATCCTGCATTTCTATACATCCTTGTAAACATTCAGATATATTTAAAAAGATAGCATTAAGAAATAGAACTCCAATAAAACATGAAATGGCAATAGTCATACTACTGAAATTTTTATCATCAGTGATACCTACAATTGAACTGGACCATACTATTGACGTTAATATCTCATTATAGAAGAGGGTATATTAATTTACAATATTTGATTGCAATAAAATTTCTTTTTTTTTAAGTAAATTAAATTAATGCTTAATGCTTATTTAGTTAAGTCAAATGCACTTTCATTCTCAAAACTAGTTGAAACATTATTGGATCTAATACCTAATGTAGATGAAGTATTAAGAGACTCCAATCTAATAATGTCAGAAATTTCTACATCTTCAGTAAGAAATCTTTTTATTATTAATTTATTACAGCCTGCTATTGGGCAAACCATCTTCTTATGTTTCCCCAAATACTTCATTATTGCTTCTTTTTCAAATACATGGTTTTTACATATATTTTCCAAATTTATATTTGAATCTTTAATATATCTATGAGAAAATGGATGTTGAAATACTTGTCTTGTTAAAGAGCAAATTTTTGGCAATACTTTTCTGGTTATAGTAGATAAAGCTTCATTATTATGTAATTCACACAATTCATTTTCTTCTGAAGATTCAACTATTAAAATATTTTTTACAGCATGAGTTATACAAGTAGAGTCATTTGTATTATCAATATTATATTTAATTTCGGGATTATAAATTAATTGTTCATTACCATATAAAGAAGATTTACTCCACAGTATTAAATTTTCTAATTTCTCGACTAAGTTTACAAACAACAACTTCTCACTATTAGATAAATTTTCAGACAAATCTAAATGATCAATTGTTACTTGAATAATATCAACAGTATCTTGAATATACTGTAGATATTTCCTCAGTATTGAATTCATCTACTTAATATCAAACGTATTAAAGATATAAAATTTATAATAATAACAGACAAGTTTACCATAAAAAAAAAAAAAATTTATATAGATGGAAAACAATGTTTGGCGCAGAATATTAAGGCTTAATTATTTAAGTGACCTTTTTCACACTGGTAAGATTAAACTACTTTAGTTTGATTATTAAACTATAAGGATTTTAAGAGGAGCAGTATACTAATATAATATTCTGTATGGAAATTCAAAATTTAGATAATCATATGATCTTAATAAGGTTTAATTAGAGTTTATATTTGGTATTTTATTATTTATGGTTTATAAGAAATATATACCAAATTTGCTAATGCCTTTGCAAAACGGTATCTACTTGGAGATTTTGATTGTGCTACAAAGGTTGATATCTGTTTACATATAGCTGATATTAATGATTCCAAAGATATCAATTTCTCAATAATATCCATAACTTCCTCACTTTGGTGACTATAATATTCTGATAAACTCCAAGGTTTTGATGAAGAAATATCTGTATATGAACTCATCATTAAATATTCTGATGTATAATGGTTTTGAAATAATTCGAGTGAAATATATTTAATGAAAGTTGAAGCTAATATAGCTGATGATCCTTCTGACACTTCGCCATCTCCAAATTTAATGTGCTGGACATTTCTAAGTAATGGTGGACATTTTATATACTCAGATATCAATTCCATACGTCTAATTTTCAACTGTTGCAAAAGTGATTCTGGCAATATTGAATAATCTACTTTCGGCAATAATTGTTCCATAAAGTGATTATTAGTATTTAAGAATTTAATGTGATCAGAACTATTATCTTTATCCTGATCACTGATCTTTTTTAACGAAGAATCTAAGTCATTATTCTTTGTTTCATGTTTCTTACTCTGATCAATATCTTCCTTCTCCATCTTCTCCCTACTTTTCCATAAAGTGTTAAAGTGTGATAATGCATTTTGAGCAAAACCAGAAATATATACAGTACCTGATGATGATGACTTCATTGAAGAAAAAAAAGTCTCACTTTTACATGTAACACAAGCTTTTTCAGGATTTTCACCATCTTCATTTAGTACTTCACCAAATATATTTCGATTAAAAAGTAAATGTTGTGTTTCTGCTTCTCTCCTTATTTTTTCTAATTCCTTTGGGATAGTTGATAAAGCTGCTTCAGTAATATCCCATATTTCCTTAGGAAAATAATAACGGCACTGACACAAATACAAATAACAATTGTTAATATTCATTTGAAGTTCATTAAGTATAGAAGTATTCAATACTGTCCTAGAATTAGAAGATAATTCTATATAATTGAGATTTTGAATACCATTATTATGATCTAATATTTGGTCATTACTTTGAGAGCACTCATCATTTGTTTTAGTTACATTCAAAAGTAGTTTATTTATTTTATTTTTTGGTGATAGTTCCTTTAAATATTTCGATGATATCATAAGTGGTATGATGCAATTTAAAAAATCCTGATATGAAACAGTTTCATTCGGATTTAATATAGGAAGTAGATAATTATTTAATAATTCACATTCATCAAGATATTTTACCTCATAAAGTCTACTTTTATAATTATTTAATTTATTATCCTTGCCAGTATATTCTGTTAAATCAAAATTATTATCGACATTTTTATTATTAAAATAGATATTATAATGTGATGGCAGTATATATTCATAATTGTAAATTCCATTATTTCTATAGTTAATATTACCTTCACTATTATTTAAGATATTTTCATTATTTTCTCTGTAAAATGATGATATTTTGTTAAACTTATTTATAATGTAGTATTTATTTAATGAATTATTTCTAACTGTAAGTGGACTCATAATTGATGATGATGAGTTAATTGTATTCGAGTTTGTAAGTATAAAGGAAGAATTATCAGCCACTTTATAATTTGACAACCTATTCTTGAGTGAAGATATAGTATCGTTCCATTGTTCTTTATTAAGTATAATCTTTAATGATATTTGTAATGCTCTCCAGGATGCTCTACTTATATCCAAAATGGGATCTTCTAGCTTGACTAATAATGTCACCAGAATTTTCTGTACAAATTCCTTAATACTGTTAAGATTTTCATCTGATGTATTATTACTCCACACTTGTATTACAAGAAGTAGTATATCTAAAAGTAGTAGTAAACTTTGTAGTTCAATATTTGTTCTGTAATATCCATTTACTATTAATTCTTGAAATATCATCAATATTTCAGAAGATACAAAAAAGTCTATAATTAGTTTTTTAGCTGTATCACAAGTTTCCTGTTTTGATATGTCATATTGATCATTGTTAATTACTACTTTATTATATAGTGGAGGATGTCCAGGAATAGATTGTAATCTTACATTGCATTTACTTGCTATAATCAATACCAAATATCTAAGGGATATAATGCATTCACCTATTACCTTTATTGGTATTGTTGACAAATTTTTAGACTCTTGAAAATTTCCAAAGGAATTTTCATTACTATTATTGTCTAAAATATCTTTAATATCCGTATTTGCCTGTACACAGGAAAATGCTAGGTTAATAGTATCTATAAAACATACTTTTAGATACATTTTGATGAAATCTATTGGTAAACTTGTGTTTGATTCCAAACAGTACCAGAAATACCACTGAAAATATTTATATCCATTTTTTTGAACCAATACATTCTTGTTATCTTTAAGTATATTCAAAATCAAACTTGATAAATTGTCATTAAGTACAGATTCAGCTAGTGGATCTATCTGAAGATCTGTCTTACTTGTACTTATTTTAGTATTTATGTTGATATTACTTGATTCCTGTCTGCTAATTAAATATTCAGATGAATTTTTGCTTCCAAATTTCATTGTATTATATATACCAAGTGGAGCTGTTGCCAATATAGTGATGGCACCAACACAATGAAGAGAGTTAATCCTATTCAAAAAAGGTTTAATAAATAATATAATTGGTATAGCTATATTGGATCTGTACATGAATAGATATTCTAACAAATTCATAATACATCTATCAAACATTCCAGGTTGTGTAAGGAGTGACTGTAATTGATGAGTATCAAAATATGTTGTTAACATATCAACATCATTTGAAGCAGTAAATAGTGACCTTAATGTATCACTAGATTCTAAAGCACCCATGTTAATACATCCCATTGTAGAGCAACATCTTAGTAATAATGTGGCCATTAATTCTGGGAAATGTTTTTTTGCTAACTGTTTAATAGATGAATCGTTTGTCTTTAATAAAATACCAATAGCTAGTGTACTTGAGCGTATTAGCAAATGTTCATAAGAAAATTCAGATAAGGTGTTGCAGGTTTTTTTAGAAAATATACTATCATATTGAGTATTATTCAATATATCTGTTAAATATTTAAATGATTTTAGTAGCAAATTCCTATCACGTCCAATACAAGATATTGCTTTAGAATATATTGGATCTACCACACACTTCATACTGTTTTCTTTGTTACTATCTACTGTATCTGGATCCTTGTCTCCCAAAGAAGCTAATAAATCAACTTTTGTCCATTCATCACTATTACTATTGTGATCAGTATATAAAATATCTTCAGAATCATCAACATATTCTTGTTTCTTAATACATAGTTGGAAAATTTCAGTTGTTACAACTGAGAATTGATATGAAGCAATATTTCTGATAAGCAAATAGACATTATTCTGTAATTCTATATCAATTATTGCAGGAATTTCATTTAATAGTGATGATACAAGATTACATGCAAAGGACTCATTTTCCAAAATTTTTTTATTAATACTTAAAAGTAATCTTGTTGTTTCAACACTTGCATATGAAGTCATTTTATCAGCATCATGAAATGATGGTAGAATATGCTGACATAGTGGACGCAAACAGTACGATGGTATATACTCAGCCATTTCATGTAGTAAATTTAAGTATGTTGGTGATAGTATAATTGATGAAGTTGGTGATTTTCTTGTTGATCCAGACTCTTCAGATGAAAAATCTGATTTTAAATATAATTGTATATTTTGAGTCCATTTAGATCTTATAAAACATTCATTTATGGATTGATATGCTAATTGTTGTATTTGATAACAGGAGTCACATGCACGTCCAAGTATCAATGCTATACAATGCATCCATGCCCCCCAAGTACCTTTTGCAGTATCTTCATCCATATTGTTCAATGTTGAGGCTTGAATAATCTCAACTAAAGGTGCTTCTTTTAAAAGGTAATATACAATGTATATACATGTATAACGTAGAGTAGAGACATTTGTCGTTGCTGCTAATCCCAACAATCCCTCTAATAGATGTGTTAGTCCTATCCATGATGGCATATGAGATGTATATATAGTCATGTATAAACGGCCAAGTGATGCAAGGATCTGAAATACAGAAATCTCACCAGAAGAAAGAGTAATAGAATCTTCAACAATTGGCAACATTTCTTCTAAAAAGTATCCATTATCTAGAACAGATAAAATTTTTGATATTTCATTTTTATTAATATGATTGGGAGTATCTTGACAATATATATTTGAATCAGCTCTAAACTTTATCCTTGATGAAATAGATACTAGTAATGTTAAACATGAATTTATGACTAATGGAACAAATTGAGGCTGTAAAGGCGATGATAAGGATAATAGAGATGTAGAAGCATCTATTGAAGCCAATAGTAAATTATTGAATTGTGCTGGAGGTAATAAACTGAGTATACTCGAATAAGAAGCAATTATTTGGTTTGACTTACTCTCAACTTGGTTTGTATTTCCAGATCTAGTTGTATTATATGGGTTGACTGCTCCAAATCCATGAGAATTTACTAAATTTTTGCTAAATTGATCACTATTATAAACTGGAACTATTTGTGGAGAGTTTGTAGCTTGTATGTTGTTCAGTAGTGAATTATTTAAATTGTTTGAAATAGGCAAACTTCCAGCTGATTGGTATGATGGAGATACTGAAGATACATCTAAGGTATTTTTTTCAGATAATAAAGGTGAATTTGAATTTAGAGCTATATTTTCACTAAGTATTGATAACACTGCAAGTGTTAAATTAAATGGACCATGTGTTATGGTTTCATTATTCATATCAAAACTTGATCCTTCACCAGATAATTCGGGAGTAATTGACTTTATTTCCAGTTCATCAGCATTAATATTCCCATTGCTTAAACTTGTATCATTTGTCACTGGGAAATCACGATACCTAACCATACTTCTTATATAAGGACCAGATGGATCCGTTGGTGTCTTTTGAGAGGATATAGAACTAGTTGCACTATATGGCATACCCGATGCAGCAGTTAATAGTAATGTGGAATTTAATGGTATAGGAGGTAATTCAATAGTTATTGGGAAGACCAGAATTGTGAGTATATATGGAAAAACTTTATCACGAAATTTACTAAATATTTCGATTGTATTTTCATTAAAACTGTTCTTCTTAAATTCACTAGAAGATTTTCCCGAGATCAAATTTAATCTAGCTGAAATTGTTAATGCAGTATCATAATCGCACGATATTGTGCGATAGGCAACTTGTATTGCTCGCAGTGCAGAATATTGCAGTGTTACTTCCTTTTCATCCTTTATTGCACATTCCAAAACTTGCAGCATCCGTTTAATAGTTTCTATTGCAGAATTGCACAATAACAGAGGTGCTTCACCCAGGCAGTGTCCAATCCCCATTATAAGGGTTGAACGCAACTGCTCCGCTTGAACAACAGCCAAGGATTTCCCAAAAAAGCTAAATGCACCTGATCGTTTGTTTGCAGCTTCAGACTTTACTAGTTTAAGCAAGTACTCTGAAACTACAATGAAATTGCTCTGGTGATTTGATGCATATCCCAAGCACCTACCACAACTTCTCTGTAGTGCTACTGAACTTAATCCAATTGCAGATGAAAAACTTTGAATATCCATTGTTCCTAAATTGAAAGCTTGCATATATTCTAATTTTTTCTTTATTTCCCTCTTATTATCTTGAATATCAGAGTTACTAGCTGAATTATCATTACCTAGATTATTAGTATTAGTTTCTAAATTTGCCATATCAGGTATAAATAAACCATCCATTATTGTCATTATAAATTTGCCACGCATCATATGCAAATTCTTACCTAATATTGGGTTTATTGAAGCTGATGAAGATCCTATTTCCCTAATCAATAAACCAAGTAGTGAATACATACCAGCTCTTTGAAATTCAGTAGGTGGGTCTGAGTATTTTTGAACTCTATCGTTTCTAATATCCTTACACGCTGAAAAAAGTGCAATAAGCAAATTTGAAAGTAATGTAGATATAACTGAGTTATTTTCATTTGGTATATTTTCAATAGAATTGGAGTCATATTCAACATTATTTAATTCAGATGAGTCACCTGAAATCCCAGATAATATAAAAGAAATACATTCGTCGACCAAAGGAAACCATGCATCTATATTAATTGGTAACATAGAGTGAATACCCAGTTCATCACTTACTTTTGCATCTGTATCTTCCTGCAATAAGTTAAATGTAATATCTGCTGTTTTCCTTTTGTTCAGTGAAATAGATTCCATAAAACTAATGATACTTTGTAACCTTTCACTTGGTACACAAGCCCAGAGGCAACTTGGTGATGAATGTATCATAGGTGCAATCCACTGTAAACACTGCAGTGACCAATAAGCTAAATTTCCATTATATACATATGGATCATGTAAGTACATACATAGCCAAATAAATATCTTGTATGGATCACATATATTTAAATACCTTGCATGTTGATACTCAAATGCACTAAAGAAAATAGCAGGGTTAGATGACTTTTTGTATAGTGTGAAGCATGATTTAGATAAAGATTCACATACAGTTGGCATTGCTGAGCCTAACTTTGGATGATTCACTGCATCGATAAGTAATGGCCATAGTAACTCTGGTACTAGAGTTGTCAATGTTTCAGTTAGTAGCTCTTTTGCATTATTTCTAATATCCCATAAACTTGGTGGATATATTATTGGAATATTTACTTCTTGGTTATTCTTTAAAATAGAATAATTCTTTATGTGATCAGCTTTATAACGTTGTATATGTCTTTTGTGCTCAGATAGTGCCTTGCTCTCTTGAACAGCCAATAATCTTAAAAAGTAAGTAAGCATTTCAGCTGAGAAAGGTGAAGGTACAACCCACAAACCCTCATTATTTGATGTTGTAAAACTCTTATTTTTATCTCTACTGATATTCTCAGCAATGGTAGATCCAATATGAAGATAACCATATTTTGCTAACTCACATATTAGCTCACATAGCAAGTAGGCAATGCAATAATCCAATCCTTGTTCTAAAGTTGTGCGAGCTATCCTATACAGCAGACATCCAATAGCTGAACTTGAAGTTTCGTGAACTGTGATAGAACTTAGATAAGAAGTTTCCTTCACAGGGATATCTTTAACTATGTACCTTAGTATCAACATAGAAGATAACCGATTCGCTGATTTCAAGTCAATATTATCGTGCAAAAACGTTACAGTATCTTCCATAATTGCCTCTTTCTGAATTAATGTTTTCCAGCATGATATTAGTTCATTATGGGTCATTACTATATCATGAAATACTGAGGGGGTCCAAACTTGATCACTAAAATCATCTTGAGTATTAATAAATCCCTTCTCAAGAGCTTTATTTATCGCATCATCATGAGAATGATAGCCAGATAGTAACACTACACCATATAGTCGATGAAATATTGCACAATACTGAAGTAAAACGTTGTGTAGTGAATGTAATGTAGATTTATCCATAAATATTTGTGGGCAGACAATATAACACCTACTTATAAATAATCTAAATCCAGATAAAATAGAGTAATGCAATGATATTGCAATAGTATCTGATTTACTTGTCAGTAAAGGGGTTATTGCACTAAATGCAGCTGCGTGAAATTGTCTCCATCTAATTGTTGAAGTATTATTAGGTAATAAATCATTACATTCAATTAGCTTATTTGATTCACTAAATATATTCGATATAATTGGAAAGTATTTATTACGTTTACTTAGTAAAGAATTAAGAATTTGTAGGTAAACCAAAAGTAATTTTGGAGAATGTTGAATTAGTTGTTGATCATCAATAACTTGTGCTAAGTGTCCAAGAGTTTCTAAGGTTGGGAAAGATAAATAAAATGCCTCTTTATCTTTCTGAATTGTTGGAACCCAATCATTTAATAATGCATCAAAAGCTGTACCAATTAATCCTGCATACATATTTCTTTCAGATATATTGCATCTTATGGCATCTGCAACATCTGCAAGGCAACGAACCAATTCTACCTTTGAATTACTAATTATTGATGATACCTTATATACTGAATCTGAATTTGCAGCTTTATGGAGTAGTGAAAGTAAATTCATAATAATATCATGACCCTTAGCACACAATGTAATTGGTAAGATTTTTGAAATTGCAGATATTGATATTAAAATAGAGGAAATTCCACCAGATATTACATTAATGCGATTATCATCAATTACTGAAAGTAACATATCAACTAGATCTTCCGGTATTAATAGTGATAAACTTAGTAGTACTTGAAGTAAAGCAACTCTTCTAGAATCACTTTGTTTTAGACAGATATATTCATTTAAAATAAAAGTTGCCAAATTATTTAAATTGCTACCATCATCTTCAGTATAATTATCTGATATAGATTCTTTTTTAACTGTATAGCTTGAGAGGATAAAAGCTAATAGCCTTAGTAGACTGATTTGGTGATTAATTGATATATGACTAACTTGTAGAAATGATATAATTGCATTTGAAGCTAAGATAACAAAATGTGATGTATTTTCGCTATTTGCAAAATCTACCACCGTTGAATAAACAGATGCCTCGGTTGCAAGATCACAGCTGTCTAAGGAATCTAACAAACAAAATAAGATTTCAGCTGAATCAATACCTGGAGATGACATTTTCAATCCAATCGTATTGAAAAATTCCCCTTATTGCAGTAATTGTAGATGCCCTTAATAATAATGGTTCATTAATTTATGTTAGAAAAAATTTGTTGATCTGTTAAGCAGAAAGTGTATAGCAAGGCTAAACGTATAAAGCGGTTATTTGCCAGAATCGGTATAACGGTACATCACCGGTATGTACCCCTTGCAATTTTATTTATCCAGATAATATTCTACATGCAAAAAATTTTTAAATGAAATTATAAACTTAAATTTCGTATATTTCCTAAAATTTTGAATTCGTAAATAAAGGGGTATTTCATTATAATCAAACTTTAATATATTTATAAATAATATTTGTTAGATTAACCAACATATTTGAAGTGTTATTAACTAAAGTATGTAACCTATGAATACACTAATTTTAGATAAAATTTACAATTTAAATGATACATTGTTCTTAATACTTTATAACACCGATACATTACTTTAATATTTACTGTAGCCGCTACCGCTAATAATAAAATATACCAATATTGTTTCTAATTGACAAAGAATGAAGATTATTTCTAGTGCAGATATTTCTCTAGATGATGAAGTATTTATAAAATTTAGATTATCTAATTATATTCATGATTCTTTAATTTGGCAGGACTGTATTTTAAATAAAACTAACTTTAACAATGAAGAAATTATAAAAAACTTATCGAAGATACTTTGTGATAGTAACCTTATTATTGAACCCTTCAACTTTGAAGGTTCAAACTTATTTTCGTGTTCACTAATGCTAGGAGATGAACCTTTTCAACTTACATTTTCATTTGGAGGAGTTATTCTTAAAGAAAATGATATTAATTCATATGAAAGAAAATTTATTAATCTCATATGCACGGAAACAATTGGCCATGATATTACAACAAATAAACTCAAAGTAAGAAGACCTGTTGGCTTAATTAATTCAAAGATTTTAGGATTTATAGATTTTTTTGGTAAGGATAATGTAAATTATTCAGCCAGGTATGTACTCAGATTAGCATATATAAAAGTTATTGCTCTAACAAGATTATATGGAACCAATATTCCAATTTATATCTACGAAGGTAGCAATTACATTATAAAAGTACAAATAGTAACACTTCAAAACCCCACGGTCTCCTATGAGTTAATTCATATAGATTTACTAAGTAAATTTATAGGTAAAGAACATTATTTGTATACCTTAGAGACATGGTATAATCACTGGAATCAAATAGTTGACAGTAATGTAATTGAATATTTTACAAAGTCTCATTCAATTATAATACCCAGTAATTTGAAATGTAAACATATTAAAAATGAAACGAAAGATATAAAAGGTGATAAGATAAGTTCTGATGGAAGTATGAATTCTCTTTTTGATACTACATCAGGATTAAATAATAATCAGGTAGATCAAAGTATGGATGAGTTAAATGAGGAAATAATTAAACTAACAGATAGCATTGATTCTCAAGCACCAGAGCTAATGAAATTGAATTATGATAAGGCTAATGAAGTAAATAGTGAAATAATGGAGAAAATAAGTAATGTGGAATTTAAAAGGAGTAGGAAAAGTAGAAAAAAAGAAAAGAAATTATTAGATCTAAATAAAAATAACCTTTTTTGTGTTAACATAGAAGATAAAAAAGTTAGCAAGGTAAATTCCGATGATATTGTGGAGAGATTACTAAAACAACAAGCTTCACATTTACTATTATCATGAAGAAAATTAATATAATTTATTAATGTTTACATCATTACGCGTGATTATACATCACATTTTGTTAACGAGATCGTATTAATAAAATTTTCCGCCTCATAACTATTTTATATTGCATGTTATTCATTTTATAATTAATAAATAAAAAGGAAGATAGATCACTTTGGATTATACTGAATAATATGAATATTTCTAAAATACTTTTCATATATTCAATAGCTTTTGTCAATTTTATAACATGTATATACAATCAAGATTACAATGAAATACTTCCTAATAATGATTATGATGTAATAATAATTGGTGCAGGTGCTTCAGGATGTGTCATGGCAAATGTTTATGCAAATAAAGGACTTAAGGTACTACTTCTCGAAAGAGGTGGCCCACGCCCTGAGCATCCTACTACGTTGTATACTAGCGGGGTACCAGGTGTGATAACTGATGAATCAGTTAGTGAGGCAATAACAACTTCTAATGGAACTCTTTTAAACGTTGCAAATGTTATTGGTGGTGGAACTAGTATTAATGGTGGATTCTACGTACAACCCTCATTTAACTTTATGAAGAAAACTATTGAAAGAAGTGAAGCAAAATTTGATGAGGGAGTATACAATGAAGCTATAAATATTATTCAAAACTCACAACTTTTAAGTAAAGATAATAAATTAGATGGGAATTTCCCGAAATACCTATTCGAATATATTTCACAAATGCCTGACTTTAGAAATTCTAATCCAAATCCATCATATACTGCTGTGAATAATAGCGTATTTGTGACAGTATCAGAATTTCATGGAAATATTAGAAATTCAGCAGATATATTTTTATCTCATGATAATATTCAAATATTACCTTATTCTGTAGTTGAGTCTATAAGTTTTAATGTAACTGAAGATAATCATAATCCTTATAGCTTAAAGAAGAAGATTTCTGCAGACTGTATAATGGGAAAGATGCGTTCTAAAAAAGATGGATACTTAAGTGTAAATTCTGGGAAGACTCATCGCACTCTTTACTATAACTCTGGACCTAAATTTAGGATTTGTATTAAGAAACCGAATGCTTTCATAATGTTAGCAGCAGGTGCTGTATACTCACCAGCTATATTAATGAAAAGTGGTATTGGTCCAACAAATATTATGAATAAATATGGTATCCAACCAATGAAGATTTTAGAGCAAGTTGGAAGGAATTACCATGATCACTTACAATTTGGCTTATTTGGAATATTAAAAAATCAAAATGAACCAATATCAATACAAAAAATTTATGCTTATAGTAACTGTACCTATTATATCCCAGATCCTCCAACTTTACAAGATGAACTTAAACTCTTCCATCACCATAAACAATGTAGTTATACAAATATACATTACCATCATAAATATAATAATTTTACTGTTAATCAACAGAACTTTGATTCACTATTTTCACCTATAAACTTTCCACTTTTTGGGGATAATGATCTCATCTCTCATAATCCAAACATAAACGAAAACTCAAAATGTTATTCAACTATATTAGATGAAGTTTCAGGAGGATTATGGGCACCATTTGCAATATCTCAAATTATCTACAGAAAAGGTAAACAAACAAACAATCCATTATTGACATATTTAGCAATAAATATGAGAGAAAAAATATTAGATGCAGTGAATAAAAATAGTACGGTCATGTTAGATACCAAATTCAATGTATTATTAGATCCTATACAACAATGTTTAAGTAATGGTGCTGCAACAATATCTTTTATAACCCAACCAAAAAGCCGTGGCTATATTACATTGGACAAAGATGGTCTACCAGAAATAAAAAGTGCTGACTTTGCTGATCAAAGTGATATTGAAGCTGCAATAGTTGGTATGAAAAATATTATTGATATTATGACTTCAGATATGATTGGAAATTTATTTCAGGAAGAGCTTGATTCTTGTATTTTACCTTTAAGAAATATGTGGAATTCATTTTCTTTGTTTAGTGGCATAGAAGCATCTCTCATTAATACCGTCCAAATGCAGCGAGTAATCCCTGCATTTATTCCACCAATACCAAGTATTATTAATGATAAAACTATCTTTGAATTAGTTAAAGAATCATATTCAACAATATGGCATCCTACAGGTACCTGTGCATTGGGATCTGTTGTTGACGGTAACTTTACAGTTAGAGGTATATCAAATCTTAAAATTGGAGATGCTTCAATATTCCCAGAAATATCTGATGTTAGCCCACTAGGATCAGTTCTAGTAATGGCAGCATATGTAGCTTTGAAGACATCAGCTAACTAACTATTAGGTAAACATTCATTTCTTATTCAACTGAAAAGAAGTAAATTTGTTAATATAAAATATTTAACTAATGGAAATGTTATATATTGTGAATTATAAAGTCATCAAATCCATCCATTTTAAATTTTATACTATAAAATCAACTAGTAACACTTTCTTTATGATTAACTATAGCTCGAATATCTCATCTAAATTTGTATGCGGTTTCTGAAATTATTCTTATAAAGATATTAATCAGAAAAATATCTCTACACTTTAAAGTATATTTAAATTTATAATTTATTGATTTCCTTAAAATGAAGAAAATATATTTAACCCTTTTAACTTTTCACATCTTATCTTATATTTCTAATTCTCAAAATACAGAAGTTGTTAACTCTACTGAAAAAAAAACTCTCGAATTTTATCCTCTTGTACCAAATTATTTCAATGATACAACTTTCAATAATACAACTCAAGGGGGACTTATTAAGGGAATAATCCAATGGGAGAAATTCTTCTTAGATGGTACAAATAGTATATTGTATGGCTATGGTCAATTGCATAATTATATTTTTAATGCAACAAAAACTTATGTGCTACCTTTTTTATTATTCCCATCAAATTTCTTGTTAAATAGAAAGTCTAAAAACTCTACAAAATTTCAAGTCAATAGATATTATGAAGATATTAATAATATTAATATAACTAAGAACCATGCAAATCAAACTCATCTTTTAAATCCAAATATCCCAATAAAAAAATATAAGGTTACAAATATCCCATTAAATTATATATCCAGAAATTGTACTAACTCAAAACCTCATTTAAGAGGAAATAATTCTACCTATATAAATTTACTTCAAGAACCCCTATTTGTCAATAATTTCAATCTAACACAAAGTGTATATAACATCTCGGAATCAAATCTAAAAAATGAAAGATCTCTTCAATTTATCATGCCTCCTGATTCATTATTTCCCGATATAACTGATTCAAATATGATGAGTGAATGGGGATCTAATCAATATTGGTTTCTTCAAAATCAAGATCCTTGTATGCAAATAATCCAAAATCAAAATCAAAATCAAAATGATATTTCTCAAGTAAATAGTGATTCTCAGTATACTTCCAGCAATCTATTTGGAATATTCTCTTAAACTTCAAAACATTCATTTTTAGTTTTCTTTCTATTTACAATCATTGATAAGTACCTTGTAAATATCCTTATATTGTATAAGATCATCTCCAAGACTATGCATTAATATATCGAGAAATTCCATAAATATCATATTATTTTTATCTGAACAAACTGAAGGAGATTTTGCTCTCTCTAAAATACTTGCTAATGCTGATATACGGTCACCGGAGTCATTAATTGTCTGTAAAATATCTAATAAGAAACAGTTCTTATCCAATATATCTCGGATCTTTAAATTATTCCTTATTCTTATCTTATCTTCCTCTGTTAATATATCGTCTTTTGATGTATAATCCAGTTTCTCAACTTTATCTACATATTTTTTTTTATTACTATTAATATCTTTAAGATTATTATGCTTACATTCATCTGTGTTATGATTGCTGAAACATTTTGAAGAACAAAATATCTTATTACAACAGCGAAACTTGTAAATTCCTCTATTTATTCGACATATTATACAAATTTCTGGGTTTAAAGATATGGTATCTTCATTAATATTGCAGTATTGTAAATAGTTCTCTCTTATTTCCTTATTTCCACTAGAGTTACATCTAATATCTATGTTAGTTATTTTCTTCTCTATACCTGACATGTTTTTTTAAAATGAAATTATTTTATCCCTAAATATTAATCTCCTTATAAAATAATGAAAATATCACTCCGAATTTTACCGCCTAACATAAAATTCAAAATGAAAAGTTAGGAGATATTAATATTAAATATTTAAATTTCTTAAATAACCTTAATTAAAGTAATCTAAGATATTATATATTAATTTTTTTATAATTTTTGTAAATATTACCTATAGAAATATATAATTATACTATAATGTACTAATTTATTGTTCGGTATTATTATTACTAAATATTTTTTCTACTAATATAGATCTAGTATTAACTATATTAATATCGAAGATATCTTAATTATTTGTAGATTTTATTTTTACAATGAATCTAGATTGTATACAATAATATCTTGCATAGATGTATATACATGTAAATTGATTGCACTATAAAAATGACTTTTTTAAGTAGTGACAACTACTAAAAACTATTTAACATTAATATATCGTAGCTATTTAAAGATTCTTTCCTTTAGTAACCTATGGCGGCTAATTGCAAATACTAAAGATGTGATGTGTTATTAACGATAGGAATTTATACTCTTAATAATATAAATCTTAAAATTATAGCTAATATAAGAGTAGCTATTAGATAGAAATTAGATAGTTGATATTTTCTTTAATTATGACTAGGCAATTACTTAAAAGAGTCCCAGTATTAATAATAGGATGTGGACCAGTTGGAATGTCATTAAGTAACTTATTAAATAATTTTAAGATTAAGAATATAATAGTGGATCAAATTAGTAATTTTTCAAAAGATCCAAAAGCCCATTATATTTCGAATAGATCTATGGAAATACTAAGATTTTGTGGAGATTTAGATAAAACTGTGACTATACTTCAACCTTCACTTGAAGAATGGAGAAGAATTTCATACATAAGGAATTTTTGTTATAATGGTGTACTAGGGGTAAGAGATGATTTCGAAGGTTGTTATACATATAATAAAACTTACTATGAAAAATTTAGTCCATCTAAAATTGCACATTTTAGTCAAAGTAAGTTGAATCAAATATTATATAATAATATAAAGAATGATTGTGAAATAAAATTGAATACGAAGTGGATTGGATATGAGTATATTAACAAAAAAATTGGTGATTATTTTTTAACAAATAGTATAAAATCTATAGTAAAAGATATTAAAACTGGTAATATAATACATATTGAAAGTGATTTTTTAATTGGTGCAGATGGTGCTAAGAGTTCAATAAGAAGAGCTATTGGTAGGAAATATGAAGGAATTAAATCATTACAAAAGCTTATAAATATCCATTTTACATGTAAAGAGTTAGGATCTATATGCCGAGATGGTAAATTTAAGAATCCTAGAGAAATAGATGATAAAGATATATCACTATCAAAAGATATTTATACTAGTAGTATGCTTTATTTTATTTTGAATCCAAAAGTTATTGGTATTCTAGTATCACATAATTGTGATGAAGGGAATTTCGTGATGCATATTCCAGTTCTAGAAAATGAAATACCATTTATAAAAGAAAAATATAAAGAAGTTTACATAAAGGATCTTATAAATAGCCTATGTGAATTACCTTTAAATAATATAAAAATTCACTCTGTTAATTTGTGGAATATGTCTGCTGAAGTTGTTGATTCTTTTACTGATTTTTCAGGTAGAATAATTTTAGCTGGTGATGCAGCTCATAGATTACCACCTTCAGGTGGTTTCGGTTTAAATCTTGGATTACAAGATATTTTAAATTTAAGCTGGAGAATAGCTTTAATTATTCAATTATTTAACAAGAAAGGAATGGAAAAAATAGGTGTAATTGAAAATAAAATACTTAGATATATGATGAACGAGTATAACTTAGAACGAAGGCAGCATGCTATGTATGCTTGTTCTAATTCTGTTGCAAACTTTTATAGATCTCAGTATATACCTCAATATATTGGATTAAATTGGAAATTAGCTAGTAATTTGGGAAAGATGATAAATATAGTATCTTCGTTCGTACCGAATTCATCAATATTACAAGATTTTTGTAATAATATAGTTACCTCAATTACTGATATTGGTTTAAATCAATATTCTAATTTATTAAATAATGGATCAGAATTTAAAAGAAAATTAAATGTAATAAATGTAAGTTAATAATAATAAGAATTTAAAGATATATGAAATATAATAATTTAGAAATGAACATTATCAGATTTCATATTTTTAATTTAATATTTTAGAAATATATAAAATCCAATGAAAAAAGTTTATCATTAAATTATAGAGGCCTTGATCTATCATATTCATACAATTATCTAAATTTGAATGATGATATTAATGTTAAAATAAAAGAATCTATAATTATACCAAAGTCTCCTTTTAAATATAGTCCAAGCTGTCTTTTAGGTTTAAGAATTCCTCATGAATATATTTATACACATTTAGATGGCAATACTGTCTTGCGTTTATCTACAGTTGATATTCCAATGTTATTTTGTTCAAACGAACCAAGACATATAATTATTACATTTGACAATGAAATGTAAGCTTTTAATTCCTTTATCCTTATAGTATTTTTACAAAAGAAATATTTTTTTTTTTTAATATTGTAATATTAGGTTTAATAAGATTGCTGAAGATTTAGATAAAGTAAATGGTATTATTCCTTATAATATTATACTATGGGATTCAAAATATATAGAAGATGAACGAAATATCATAAATATATCAAATGAGTTTAATATAATGACAAAAAATAAAAATAAAATATCAGTTTGGACTTCACTAGATATAAGGAAGAGGTATATAAATTTTATAGATACAATTCCTATATACTTACTTGATTCTCTAAATAATAACACTAAAAATAGAGCAAATCTAGAATATGAACAAGATATTTGTGAGAAAAACAATATAGAATGTATAAATAAGCTGGTAATTTTAATTAGACCAGATGGACATATAAAAGAAATTTTTAATTACAATAGAGAAATCAGATCAAAATATAACAAAGAAAACTTAATAAAACATCTTAAGATATAAAAAAATTAATATATATCCTTATATATATTATAGGATAATATGCTAATTAAAAGTATAAATTAATAAAGATATTTAAAAATTTTTCCTAGCTAATTTATCATTTATTTGAAAACTGTTGAATTTTGGCTTTTTAGTTCTTAAATAGTTAATAATCTGTTTAGCTAATTCTAAAGACTGTAATATAGTTGACGAAATATCACCTTTACTATTAGAGCTCATCCAACCAGAATGAAACACAGGAGGAGCACCTAAATTTAACTGTTCTTTATATTCATCACTATATAAATTGCTCCCAAAGTATACTTGGCGGATATCAGGCTTAAATCCAGTAGAAATAATCAAAAGTTGACAAGGTAAAAAGCTTTTCTTATTATAAATATGAGTTACTTTCTGGTTAAAAGGTGAACCTATTAATTCATTACGGACAAATTCAACTCCAGATATAAATGGCATTTTAACTAAATTATTCTCTTCCCTTTTCAATTTCATATCTTTTGTAATAATGTTTATTGGTGATTGTAGATATTTGAATATTACATTTATTTTGGAAGGATCTTGGTTTCCTGCAGTTTTATATTCTAAATAATTTTCAACCATCTTATACATCATATCTTTTATCTTATTTAATCTCCTCGGATTTATATTTCTTGAAGTAAGTTCTACAACACTCGATTCATTTTGAGATAGTATGAAATCTTCCTTAGACATCATTACTCTAATATTATTATATCTTGAATTTAATGTAGATTTATATATAAAACGTCTTAATTCTGATGTAGTAAAAGAAGTTTGTACCCATCCTCTACGACCTATTACATAAATATTGTTAAATAATGGAGATTCCAACAATTTACAATCAAAAAGTCTCATATAATGTGGGTTTACATATTTGTTTTCTTTCAATTCGTTATAATTATAAAACGACATTAATCGTGCTATATCTAGTGAAACATTCCCATTTCCAATAATAATAGCATTACGATCATTTGAACTTGTAATTATTGATCTTTTCAAGTCATCAATAGAGTATCCATAATTCTGTGATTTTGCAATAAATTTTGTGGTTTCAGATTGATTATTATATTTGGATAAGTTTGTCCCTTTTGTTTGTGCTATTTCTACTTTCGATGTTGAATCTAAATTTGTTTCTATCTCTTCTATTGGGAATTTCAAGTTGTAATATAGTGGCATATATCTTGAGTTTGTTTGACTACCACATAACATTTCTTTAAAATAAGGGTGAGAATTATAGAAAAGTACCCAATCTCTAGCTGGAAATATCCCCCCAACTTTCTCATTGATTAATTTGTTATTATATGAATTAACCTTTATATGTAATTTTAGAGATATATAATCTTGGCATCCACCTACAGCAAGAATTACTACATCATATAAATCTCGAATATCTTTCAATGTCAAATCATGCCCAACAGTTATATCACCCCAAAACTTGACTATGTCAGGATATTTCCTAAATAATGAATAATCTAATTCATTCATCATGTCCTTTATATCAGTATTATCAGGAGCCACCCCATATCTTATTAAACCATATGGTTTACTGTGAGAATCTATTATATCAATTTTTATAGGAATATTATAAGTCCATGATTCTTTTATTAGACCCTTGGCAACATAACATCCAGAAGGTCCAGAACCAATAATACAAATATTAAAATAACTCCTTTTAAGATGTAAACAATTTAGAACTAGACATGTTCTTCTACTGTATAATTGTCTTGCATAGCCAAATGGGAATCTAATCATTTTCTGTGATACTCGATAATCGATAGTCTACAAAAGCTTGCAAATATCCGCCAAGTATTGCATAAACCCGCTCAAAGCCTATAAAGTAGAAACATTAAATTTACATCATTCGAATATTTTAAAATTTATATAAAATCTAAAATATAAGACAAATTTTATCAATATATCTATATCTCGACAATTTTTTTTATTTGCAGAGATGACCTATAAGTAAGCTTAATAAAAGTTATAATTTTTTGATACAAAAATCACTATAAACCACATTTCCATATATTATCATTGAATAGATAGTTACTACTATAACTAGTAAATCCCAAATAAACTAGTTTATTATAGTCACTATTATACTATCACCTTGATATTTTAAAGACAAATTCCATGTCAAAAGTAACTTTTTTAAATTGTAGTAATTGTATTAAATTATATAATAATTTGCATGCATGCATGCAAATATTACTGGTCGTTTTGTATGCTAACCTATTGCTCATTTATTGTCATCTATTATATTTAGAAATGTCTTGGTAGATGTTAGTGCATTTGAAAATTGGCTATATGTTAGAAAATTGACTTTAATATGAGGATAATCACTATCAAACATCTTTTTCACCTCATTAGCAGAGTTTTGATCTCCACACATGGATACTGTACTGCACTGCATGCTATTCAAAATATTCCTGGGTAAAAGTAAAGGTAAATATCTTTTTGCAACTCGATTAATATCGTCCATTGTGACTTTTGAAAATTGAGATATCATGTACTCATCATAAGAGGGTGGTATTCCATAGTTTAGATTAGAACTAATATCTTTTCCCCATTTGGAAAAGCTCTTATGATCAGATATAAAGTTTAAAGCTGCATATCTCTTAGCAGTATCTAAATCAATATATTTATCGCATGATTCAATCATATCTTCTAATAAGTCCCAAGTGGTAACTAAACATCTAGCAAGTGATGTTGATTCACAAATACAATTGAATAGTTTTCCAGTAACTAAACAAATTGAAAAAGAACCAGAGTATGCAATTCCACTTCCACGGATAAGTTTAAATAGTGGACCATCATCATGCCAAAAATAATCAACTAGTATACAAAGAGCAGGTATATTTGGATTATAGAAGTGAGTCTCATTTGGTAAAAAAGTCCCATCCAGAGAGTATATATTTGCAGTCTGTATCACACATGAAGAGCTTACACTGGGTAATTTAAGGAATATAATATTTCCATACTTTTTTAATGGCATATCAATATTATTTTTACCTAGATTTTGACTAGTCTGTAATGGCATTAAAGTGGGAATCAAATTCCATGGGAGTGATAGATTAAGATTTGAGTATTTTAAAGATGAAACTGCCACAAGTTTTTTTTTCACTTCACAATCTTCTTTTATTGGTATAGATATTTGGTTAGATTTATTTCCATGAAATGGTATACTGCCTTTAGGTATTAAGTACCTTGGGAGATTATTAGGAGTACAGTGTTTAGGGGCAATTACAAAAAATAAGAATTTGTTTCTTACATTGCTTGAAAAGAAAGAGTCAATAAGAAGTTCATAAGTACTAATAATATCAGCCAAATATTTTTCAGGTGATGATAATATGTATTTTACTATTTTCTCAGTACAAGGAATGCTAGATAAATTTAAAGAAGAATTGGAACTATAACATAGAGCATTTGATACTGAAGTAGCAATTGTAACTTCATCAAGTTTCATATCACCAATAGTACTTTTAAGACGTCTGGATATTGTAGATATTCTAGAGGATGTAATATCCATTCCACAAATCCCACTCAATATTAATATACAAGATTCGCAAATATATTCAATTGAAGTTGTCCAATTTATTTCAATCTGGTTAGTAATAGTTGTAAACTCCATCAAAGAGTTATTTCCAATGCTGGCATTGTGATGTATGCAAAATGTAGAAAGTAGCTGATCAAATTTATCAAATTCAACATAGGAACCATATTCTGGAATTTTCGGTAAATATATATGATTTGTATAACTTGTATTAACTTTGTCACAAGGCTCAACAATATTAACAGATGTCTGAAAGAAGAGCTCAACAATAAGAGTAGTGAGAACTCGTTGATATGGAGTGAAATAGTCTGGAATGTTAAACTTAATTTGTAAATGGGCAAATTTTGAAGTAGGAGAATCTAATAAACAATATGTACAGTAAAAATCTTCATCTAAAACTTTAAAATTTACTAAATTATCGGATGGATTATTAAGTATATTAAGGGTGCTTATTTCTTTTTTACTACTACCAGAATCCTTGGAATTTTCATCCAAATATTTCAAGTTATTTCTGCATGATGTATTGTTTCCTATATTAGTATAAATGCAAGCTTTATTAAGAGAAACCTCGGTAAATTTTGATAGCTCAAAAGACTCAATAATATGCATTGGTGGCATTTGTTTACTATTGTATTCAATAGCATCTTGAATTTGCTTCTTATTTTTAAGTAACCCTTCACTTTTTAGTAAATTAATATTTTGGAGTTTCTTTTCTCTATATTGATTTTCAGTAAATTCAGTAGCTTTTAAGCTTGGAACAAACTTAATGCAATTAAAGCTATCAGGATTAAAAAATTTCCTCAATAACATCAACCAATACTTTGAATCCTTTTCTAATAGGCCTTTATAAATAAAATGAAAATTACATATACTATTCAATAACTCAGGTTTCATACTATAAGCAACAAAACCAATTAATTGTTCATTAATTATACTAGGACCTTTATTTTCAAGTGAAGATAGATACTCGTAATAAAGTCCTTCAGTTTTACATCTAATCCTATCCAAATCAAAATTCTCTTCTTTCTGACTTTCAATAAGGATTTCTTTTGCTGTACTTATGGCTAAATCGAAATAGTCAAGATTAACAGATTCGAGTGAAATATAGTGGTAACGATATCTATTAGATATATTTTCTATATCTATGTCAGAGCAAATTCCAAGCTTATCCACTAACTTCTTGATAAATAGAGATTCATTTCCAATACACAGATAATGAAGTAGACATGAAACTGCAGCTGTCTCTTCAAGATTTTCATATTTACCAATTAGCCATGTCATAAAAATATATCCCATTTCCTCATCTTCACTAGAATATGGAATAGTTACTTCTATAGGAGATTCTCTTTTTGGGATCTCCATAAAGTATTGTGGACGATTAGCTAGAGAAATCTTTGGTATTTTATTTAAATGATGCTTTTCACTGGGCTCTATTTGTGATGTATGTTCTACATAAATATTCTTCTCTGTATTAAGTGTGTCTAACTCCATACACTTATATGTCCTGTCAATACACTTCTGAATAATACTGAATATTTGTGAGTTATCAATATTGTTACCAGAAATAAAAACAAATGCATTATTCCATTTATAATATTTTTCATGATACTTTTTAATATCCTCTAACTTCAAATTCATAAGGCTTCTAGTTATTCCTGAGCATGGAAATATATACGGTGAACCCCCATTATGTTCAGATATTATTTTATTGTATAATCCAAATGGATCATTCTTATCATAATTATTGTGATTTAAGCTTGAGGAAGAACCTAAGTTAATATTTGATACAGAACTCATATTCAAGTCACAATATGTATAAAAAGGAACCAAACTATCAATAACTCCATGAATATTCTTTTCACTAGCAGTTATTTCAGAATATACGACCCCATGATATTCGCCATTTTCATCCATGTGAACAACCTCTGTTAAAAAGTTTTCTTGGGAGAATTTAGGCATGATTACATGATCCAGAAATATTTCCATTAAAGTATAAAGCCCATCATCTCCAATGCATTCCAAAACATACGATGTATAATCGTAATGAGTGAATGCATTAACTACTGGAACAAGAAATCTATTTGCAATTTTTGTAATTATTCCATTATATGGAAAATTTTCGCTTGCAAAAAATAACATATGCTCAAGTGCATGGGGTATTCCCATATCGTTATAAGGTTCAGTTATAAAGGTTACGCTGAAGTTTCTATATGGAGGCCCAGTCTTGAGATTTTCCTTCATTAAAACTACAACTAGTCCACTATTGTGTTGGTAAAATTCCAGCCTTGCATAATCTTCTATATTTAAAGATTCTATTAAACAGAAGTTAGTATTCATACTCATTTCAATTGTTAAATTCACTTCGAAATATTTTAAATAACCAGCTATGTTTTGTAAGTACCAAAGTTTGAAGATAGAAAAAGCTTATTTACTTGTCAATTAGATAAGATAGCTCAAAAGAAAGTCATACTATATCAAAAATTCCAAATTAGTGACTTTATATCTCATATAAAAGTGCAAATATTGATAAATTCAAAGGAAATTTTGTAGCGCATTGAAAAAGACTAAGTTTCATTGTCTTTAAGCACTAATATTTACCGCTGTAAAAAGGAGGTATTAGTGAGGAGGCACACATATGGCTTAAGTACTTGCTGAGATGCAAAAGAAAAGGAGTGGCAGGAATAAACCAGACCATGAAGTTAGAAAAGGTACTAGAAAACTAAGAAAAAAATCAAACTTAAGGATAAATAGATCATATTCTAGTCAATGCGACAAATCTAGTGTAAATTCAAAGTTAATAGAGATATATGTGAAACTTAATGATATTGATAATTCTAGTATAAAATTAAGTTCAGTTGACGTTAAAAGTGCTCAAGATGGCTTTAGATATATTGGATTTAGGTGTCGGATAGCTGTTTCACGTCATAAATCCTTTAAATCAAGATCAAGTAACTCACCTGATGCTTTTAATTGGATAGAAGGGATAATAAAGTACTGGGATCCCAAATTTAGAATGTTCTTTATACACTTCTTTATTGCACCAAATTCTAGTAAATATCCCTATCCAATTAGTCAAGATAAAATCTGTACTGATTCCCATGGATGGAAATATCTTATTACATCTGAAAACTCACCTCCTGCTTGTGCTCAAATTGATGAATTAGTATTGTCTCCTTATTCAATAGATAGAGGCTGGTTTGAACCAAATCCAATTACTTTGAAATATTATGAAACATCTCCTATTTTTACTAAAGCTATGGAAACATCCTTAAATAATAATTCACCAGATTTATCTAACACCCATTCAGATTGTTTTATTTGCAGCTTAAAATGTGATAAGGAGAACAGTGAGCTTGTAACTTTAAATAGCGAAGAATACAATAATAAGCTACACTTTGATAGTGTAAAATCAGAATCTATAATATTAAAAGATGTTCATAACAAATTGAACTTTATTGAAGAAAACACCAGTAATTCTATATATTCTAATTGCAAATTTAATAATCTTGATAACTTAAATTTCGAATTTTTATCAGAGAACACAAAAGAAAAAACAGATACATCATATAATGTATTAAGTGATTCTTTACAAATACCAAGTTGCTATAGGTGTAACTTCAAATTACACAAAAATTGTATTAATGAACAAAGTATATATGAAGATATAAGAAATCCTAGTAAGAAAACTTTGATTCCTTTTTGTAATAGGACAAAAAAGAGTTTATTAAAGGAAGCAGAATTTCATAGAAACTATATTCGTGAGCGTCGATGGTTATGGAAACAATTTATTGTAACAAAAAAATCAGATCCCCATAATAATGTGAATAAGTTAGATAGAATAGTTAAGAAAAAAGGAGGTTCAGATATTAATTATATAGGAATTGGGTCTAAGAATCCATTTCTTGGGGGACAACTCCCTTATGATTTAGTTGATGTAGATGAAATGGAGAAAATACTTCCTCCTGAAGTAACTAAGGTCATTACAGATAATTATATGATGTCCCATACAACTATTAGGAGACTTTTAATGAAACTTCCCAATAAAATGGGACAGCTAATTGCTGATCACCAAGTTAAATTATTTTGTCGTACTTATCGTTATAAAAAAAGAAATAAGCTGTCACCTCTGGTACTTGAAAATATAGACAATCATATAAAGTGTGAAAAAGAAGATATTAATGATGAATTTAATTTAGAGAAGATAAAGAAAAGAGAATATAATGTGTTTAGTGATGTATATACAAAAGAGAATAATGGAGAAAATAAAGATAGTGATGACGAAATTGATAGAACCGAAGGGAATAAAGATGCATTAAATGAAACAGAAAATCTAGATAATAGTATTATTAATGCTATTAATAATAACTTATTGAGAGACTCTCAAAATAATGAAGGGAATTTGCAAGATAGTGATGTTTATCAAGATTATTCTAATAAGGAAATAGAGAGTTCACTTTTAACCAATGAAAACTCACTTATAAGTGAAAATATGCCAAATTTATGTAATGATAATAGCACAATTCCTTTATCTACCCTTCATAAATGTAATGCAAGAGTTTCAGATTATATATACAGGGATGAATGTACCCATCCACCTGATGATATGCTCCGATATATTTGTTCTGACTGTTTAGAATGTATTTACTGTAAAGAACCACTAAAGAATATTCCCCAACTTCTAAAATCTACAGAATTGCCAAATAGATCTATATTATACAAGCAAATACCAAGTAGAATGGAGAATTATGTTTTATGCAATATATGCCATGTAGGATTTCATGGAAGCTGCTCTAACCCATTTATTCCACCTTTAATAGCTGAAAAAAAATACTTTAAATGTTCAACTTGCTGCTACTGTAGTCATTGTGGTTATAGAGACCACAATTTTATGGATTATGCTGCTTGGGATACTACATTCACTAGCTGTATTCGATGCTGTCGTGGTTTCGAAAAAGGTCAATATTGTGCTATATGTAGACAGATTTGGTCATCATCTTGGGATGGAGACTGGTTACAATGTGACACATGCAGATTTTGGATTCATACAGAGTGTGATACTAACTTAATAAATTCAATAGAAGTATTGAAAAGTCCTTCAGTATCATATCATTGTCCAGTATGTAGAAGCAATGAAAAAAAACCAAAATATCAGAAAATATTAGATTATTTATTTTGTATAGATAAACACAAAGATTTCTATGTTGTACCACCCTCAAGCTATCAAAATTATTGGAAAGTTGTTAAAATTCCCATGGATTTTATTACAATTGCAGAGAGAATTAAAAGTGACTACTATACTGATGAGAAAGAGTATGAATTTTTAAGGGATATATTAAGGATTATACATAATGCTCAAATATCTCATATGCCAAATCACAGAATATTTAAGTTAGCAAGTAACTTACTAAAAAAGTGTGTTAGTCTCTATCAAGTTTTATTTGGAAATACTACACTAAAACAAATATTTTCAGATTTATCTAAAAGTGAAACCGATATAACACTTCTGACATTACTTAAATCAAGTGATATAAATTTGTCTATTGAAAATTCTAATCAGATCATATCTGATATTCAAATATTAAATAATAAACTTATTCTAAATACAAGTTCTGTTATATCATCAGAAGCAGCTAATAACAATGGAGGTTCTTTTAAAAACGAAAGTACAGAAATTTCAAATAATGACGCTGAATATAAATATCTTAAAATTCTTGAAGATTTATGTAGTAAAATAAAACTTGTAGATCCTAACATGGAGATGAGGATATCAAAGATAAAACCTGATATTATTCAATGTAATGGAGAATTATTGATTTCCAATAATCTTACCCCTAAAACTATAAAGTGTCAGAACTTAAATAAAAAAAGATCTAATTTAGAACTTATACAGGATAATCAAGTTATTAATAAATTGCTAAGTTTTCAATATGATTATTCGAGTGACATATTCTCTAAACTAAGCCAAAAAGGTATTGAAACTTTTTTCCCAAAAAACCAGAAATGTACTAAATGCAATCTTAAATTTGAAAAGTTGATTTATTGTAACAAATGTGGCGAAGGTATACATTGGGAATGTGCAGGTGGAGAATACTACAATGAATTATCTAGTGGGATTTGTACTTATACCTGTAACTCCTGTAATATGTGTTGCATATGCAATAAAATAGCTAGTGAAGAACCTATTTTAAAGTGTTTAAGCTGTAACAAATTAGCCCATTATTCTTGTATATGGATTAATAAAAGAAAACCATTAAGAGGAACAAATAATGGAGATGATCTAAAAGCTGATAAAAGTAAAGAAAACGATTACATATGCTTGTGGTCAGTGATATCCTGTCCAGGAGGCTCAGACATATCGACTGCTTTGATACATACCCCAATTTCAGCAATTAATGAAGAAGGATACTACCAATATGTGACAGATGCCTGGTATATGTGTAATTATTGCATCATGAATAGAAAAAACTACAATAAAAACTTTAATGTTCAACTAGTTAGATCTAGAATGGAATATATATACTTTAAAGATAAATATTTCGAATATTTTCAAAATATTTTGAAAGATATCCAAAATACAGACTATAAGAGATACTTTAAGGATCCGAAAATGTTAGACTACCTTGTAAATATAGATTTTGATGAATTTCAGTTCCCAATTAACCAAGGGAATGTTTTAATATGTGATTTATGCTCAAGGCCAGTTTTAGCAACTCAGCACAACGACTTAGCAGATCTTTGTTTCAATAATCAATTATGTACGTTAAACTTGCCATATATATGCTCTTATTGCAGGAATACCTTGTCAATTAAGACAAATAACTCGGGATTTCCTGTAGCACTGTCATCACTGTTATCTACAGTGCAATATCGCAATATATTAACTGAGGATATTCGTATTATAACTCGGATTTTACTGGAACCTTGTGTTAATGCAATTCTTAATACAGCTGCGAATAACCTAAATATTTTTAAATTGAATACTTTCCTCAATAAAGTTGATGATAACACTTTACAATCATGTATGAATTCTATTTTTCCAAAATATTTTGATTCACCTTTTTTTGAAGAATTAATATATTCAACAAGAACTCCTTTTATTGAGTGGTACACATACTATGTTGGAAGTGGTCGTATGGAAACATTCGCAATAAAAATAGATTATTTACGTTACTTAATACCTGGTTTACCAGTTACAACAATTTCCAGCCATTTATTTAAGAACATTATTTCAAATATTGAAGCCGTAGTATTGCAAAACAAAGATATAAAAAAACCTAATATCAAATGTGATTACGAATATAACCAAGAATATACAAATCAACTATGGCATCCAAGTTGCAAACAACAAGTTGATTTCTTAAATAATTATGTAAAAATACTGTTAAATATATATGGGTCTAGCTCTAATTTCAACTATGATCACTTTATAGCAAGTATTATACTTGAAGCCCGTATAGATATTGGCATGATTTTAGCTATTATGAGTTCTTTCAGAAGATTTCTTCTAAATCAAAATCAATTAAAGATCCAAAATACACAAGATTTAAGTAAAAATTTGCTTTTCAACAAAAATAACACTAATTCTACAAATTTAGGTTTATACAATAATCCCAATGCACAAGTGTTCAGTTGCAATCATAATAAAATAAAAGATGTTATTAGTACTGGAATTAAATTTATGAATAATTACTTGCGAAGTTTAGATATTCTATATTTTGGTATTGGACAAAGTGAATATAAAACTAATGAGGAATATCCCAAATTAAGTCATGGAAATATGCTACTAGTAAATGAGTCTTCATCTCTTCTAGTTTCACTATATAGTCTACTATTTATATCAACTACAAAAAAATATCAGGTTAATTCAGAAATGAAAAACATTCAAATGTGTTTTTTTTGTAAACTAAGTAGTGAGAATTATATTTTGGGACCTATGATAAAATTCTTGGATTCATACTTTTTACATAAAGAATGCATACTCTGGTCACTACCATTTATTTTAGAACCTATCTTAAACTCTGTCGGAGTTGGATATGAATCATATTTTGATGTAAACAATGATGTGCACAAAACTTCATTAATAAATGGTGATCACCCATCAACAACTCCAAATATTAAAAAGTGGCACAGAACCTTTGGAGTTACAAACTGGCCATTGCTATCAAATCCACTACATATTCAGACCAATGACCTGATTGTAACAATAAACGAAATGGAAGTCCTTAGATGTTGCATCTGTAAAGAACTTGGAGCTACTATTAAATGTTCTGGGAATGACTCGTGCATGGCATATTTTCACTTAATATGTATTCTTCAAAACTCAAACTATACATTACAAGAAGCTAAATATTTATATGAGGCTTCAAAAGTAAAAATTTCAGATATTGGCACTAAATATGGTGACATATATTGTGGTAATTTGAGTAAGGAAGAAGTGAGATCAGAGAATTATATAGGCAATTTTATAAGTAAAGATGACTCTAAATTTACAAATATTAACAATAATGAAGATTTACAAAGTCCTCAGAAAAAAGAAAATTCTGCAAGTAGTTTGGATAAATTTGTAATGAAGATAATTCCAAGAATAAAATATCGCCGTGTATGGTGTCAACAATGCTGGAGCCAATATCAACATATTGTAGAGCCAGTGAGAATATCAGATAACATACTATCTAATAATAAAGATCAAAGTAATCACTTACAAGATAATTACATAGTCCCAACCGAATTTTATTACAATACAACGGAAGGTCTATCAGGTGGAATATGGTATGCACTTGCTCGCTTACTATCTGTTCACGTTAAGATTTTAGAACCACAAGACTCTTGTGAAACAAAGGACTTTGAACATTTATATCCATTTTTGTATAATGAAGCTCAAATAAATATTAAATTAAAGCTGGAAATAGATAAACAAGAATCCAATTTAATTCATTCAGCACTATATAAATTCATTCAGTATATTAATATGATTTTATATAAAAGAAAAAAAGGGATTTTACAGGAAAATTCCAATCTTGAACTACTAGCTGAAATAATAAGAAATATATCAGAATATACCTTGAAAAAAAGGATATATTTGAATCCAAAAAACTCCAACTACTCGAGAATTTTTGAAGGGTCAGCTTATGGAATTCAAGTCAATCCCAATTTGTTACTAGTAAACCTTGGGAAAATTACAAATAAACTAAATATTGGGAAATATAGTTACTTTATGTCTGGGTATCAAGCAATAAGAACTTGGTATATGCCAAAATTACTAAGTAAAAAATTTGGTAATGAGAAAATGACTCAGTTTTTATTGAGTATCAGCGATCAATTTAGTGGCAAAAACTTGAATGAAAACAGAAGACTTATATTCTCAATAGAATGGTTACCAGACCCATATTTTTGGGGATTAATTAATAACTCACTTGAGATAGATGAGAAATATTCTAGAGTAGAAAAGAATAGAGACTATTCAAGGTATATTTTTGAAATTAAACCAAAGATTGCTAAAGATATTGAGATTGAAAATAGCTCTTTTATTTCAAATAACGAAAATATAATAAGACTTATGAAAATTCCCCTTATTTATGGAAGCAATATCAATGAAGTTTATAATAACTTTCTTAAATTTTCTACAATGGATAATACTGAAGACCTAAGTAACACAGAACTGTCTGAAATTGCACAAGATTTAATTTTTAAAATAGAAGATAAGTATAAAGATTCCAATTTTAAAAGTAATTCAAGTAATTGTGAGCAAAGTATATATAACTTAGACAACAAGAACTTGAAAGATTCAATAAATAATTCAACAAATATAGAAAGTAAAGATGCTTTAACCTTTTTTGGTCTAAATGAAAAGTTCATTAACGACTTGGTACCACCTCTTTTATACAAATACTATATAAATGAACTTATTTTAAATTCTCCTGCCGATATTGTCAACCCTTATTTATGGTCTAATCATCGGGTAAGTCATGTAAATTCAAATATTGACTTTGAAGGAATCTCAGCAAGTCTGGATGAAAGATATTACCCATTAGCATTAGGAGAAGTAGAACACAATGGTGAAAAGATATGCGAAGATAGCTACTCTATACTACTGTTACAAACTTCATTAAACAGTGATTCAGATATTATACTGAATAATACATTTAAACATTCAAACATTCTGAATATTAGTAATAGAATATCACGACGTCGAACTAAAGCTGAAGATATGACCCCAGCTATGGCATATAGATACTTAGAATCTTTGCCTCCAGATAAACGTCTCGATGTTAAGAAATCCAAAATCCATGGTTATGGATTATTTGCTAAAGAATGTATTCATCCAAATGAGCCTATTGTAGAATATGTTGGAGAAGTTATAAGAAATAGTGTTGCAGATAAAAGAGAAAAAATTTATGAACAAGAAGGCCAAAGAGATGGATCCTGTTATATGTTCAGACTAGATGAACATCGCGTTATTGACGCCACAAACTGTGGGAATTTAGCAAGATTTATGAACCATTGCTGCCAGCCAAATTGTGTCTGCAAGGTAATTACTTCAGATGACGGGAACAAGCATATTGTTATTTTTTCAAAAACTGAAATTAAACCAGATGAAGAGGTTACTTACGATTATCAGTTCAATTTAGAGGAAGAATCTGAAAAGATCTATTGCTATTGTGGAGCTCCAAACTGCCTTGGAAGAATGAATTAATATAGGACTACTATTAACTTAAAGCTACACATAAAATTACTTTAAATGCATTTAGTATAGAAATGTAATTCATGTTGGATCTGAAGAAAAAAAAATTAAATTTTAACCTAATTCTGTAAAATCCGAGTAATTTCTAATTAAATACTATAATTTTCCTCATTACAACCAATATTTTCCTTACTTTCAGTATTTAAGATGTTTTTATAAGCTTCAATCAGACGAATGCTCTTATTTTTCGACTTATCAGACTCCAACTTTACATCAACTACAGTTCCAGCTCTCTTTGGTCTTGATTGTATGGTGGTATTCTTAATTGTAGGTTCTGATCTTAGAGATATATCAGACTTGCATTCACTGATAATGCTATTATTATCCTCACTACTACCCTCACTACCTAGATACTTGTCATTAATGTCACCCAAATCCTCACTTATATCTTTTATTATTGAATCCTTAATTACTCTAAGCTTACTTTCTATCTCTAATGTATGAATTTGGTCATTCCCACTAATATTATTAAGTAATTCTCCATCTTCAATTATATCTGATAACTGTATCTTACTGCAAAGACCACTTCTATTTATTTCACTATATACAGATCCATCATCACTTTGAAATATAAAATCGCTCACTTCTTTAACTCCATTTGAATCTAGACGAATATTTGTATATAAATCATCGCTTATATAATCCTCTTCATTATTATGTAAATCAGTCCGAAATATGTTGAATATGTCCAAGCTAGAACTATATATGAAACTACATTGACTTTTAATATCATCCATCTTGAATTTTAAGATATCAATTATACCCCTCTTTATATCCTGTAGTTCATGAATTATAAACCTTCTAATGTCCCAAGTTTCAATATTTAAATCTTTCTGCTTTACAATTTGTTTTATAATAGATGTAGCCATTGACAAGATATTGAGTAACTTATCAGTAGCCAACTCACATAATGATGACACAGATGAAAGACAAGGAATTAACTCATATATTGAATCAGAGTATTTCAGATTAGTAGAGTAATCATTCCTGTCAAATATATAATACTGATTTTTACTACATATAGGTAATTGTACTTCTTCCACTGACTTGTCATATTCATCCTTGTACTCTAATATTAAATAGTCATCATCCCAATTAACACTCTGATATTTACTATGTTCATTTTGATTTACATGTAAGTTGCTATTTGTGCTTTTACCAAATAACTCTATATTTTTTGGTGGTAACATTAAGTCAGCTATAACCAATACTATACTTAAAGTATACCTTATAGAACTATTATAAATTCCAAACTCTACTTTCAATATTTTTTAGATAATTCGTTATCAATATATCTAAAGAATTTTGCGTAAATTCCAGCTTAGTACTAAAACTTCTTAAGGAAATGCAGTATATGTAGACGTATCCTATTAATTCCAGATTTGTCCACATAAACAAAACTTCAACCAAATATATTATGTGACCAACCTAGTACTTTCTTTAAAGTCGATATATGTCCCAAAAGATGATATGAACCGATTCCTCAATCTTCTAAAAAGTAAAAGTAGTGCTATTAGATCTTTCTTATTTGCTCTATATAATTCCAATATATATGGTATGACCTCAAAGATATATGATCAGAACTACTTTGAAAATGACTACAAAATTCAAGAAATTGGCTCCTTTCTAGTTGTTGATTTAAGAGGTAGCTCCAGAATTGAAAATAGTTCTGAAGACTATGAAAACGCCAACTTGGAGAAACAAAATGAAAACTACTTCATTGGTGCCATTGCGCTACCGCACTGTATTTCTGAAGATCTTAAATTTGATAAAGAACCCTCCATAGAGTATCGGTTAGATGATACAGGTAGTATATTTGTTCGACAAAAAGAGTTTCTAGATAAGGAAAATTGTATTAGAACCTCAAAAATATGTACACTACAAGAGAATATTATAGATGATAATTCTTTCAAGGTTAAAAAGATTGGTATTCAAGATACTGATGATGAATATGAATTGAATAGTAATTGTTTTTCAAATATTTCTACATTAAAAATAACTCAGACCACTACAGATGATTTATTTTATATTCCACAGTCGCATAATATAAATATCGAAGAGAATATTCTTTTAGATAACGACTTCACTAAAGCTGATGTATATTTGCTTTTAAGACTAAAAACTAAACAATTGGTAAAACTTCAGGAACAACTTAATAGAGATATTGAGATTTTAAGATTAGATAGAGCTGATGACAAGATATCTTGTACAATCACTGAAAGAAGAGCCATAAAATATCCAGCTCATTTTTATTTTGTAAAGCAGAGAATTGACAATACCAAAGAGATCATTGAAAATATTCGGAAAGATATAGAGATACTTAGGAGTAATAATTCTGAAACAAAATTTTGAATAATATCTTAAGTATCCAGGTGATAATCAAATTATTTTAGTATTTCAGGGCCATATATGTAGATGATAACAAAATAAATTATATTTGAACCATTTACTTTAATCGTATATTTATTTTCCATCAACTTCACTATAATAAGTTTGTCATTTGAAACTTCTAATGATATTGGAGTTGCCCTACCTTTCTCACCATTGATTCTTGTGCAAGTAATTTTTGCTAGAGTCTCACTGCTTGGGAAATATAAAAGAGCAACTTTGCTCCCAGGTGCTATTGTCTGTTTATTGATGCATAAAGTATCATCCTGAGATAGTGAAAATACATGAAATGTAGGTGGCAAAGTATGTAGAGCTAATTTAAGTTTCATATTTAACTCATATGGAATTGAACAAAGAGATTTATAAAAAGTAAGTAGTACCTCTTTAATTTTTGCCGAGTGTAAAGCCAAAACTTTTAATTTATAACAACCTGTTAATGTATTATAGTTGGTAAATAAGGCTTGGTAGTCATACTTCTGTATTTGGGTAACTAACTTACTTCTCAAATCTTCACCTAGCCAACCACTAAATAAAGATATCCCATATTTATCTAATTCACTGCACACCAAACTGTTAAGCTTAAGAGGACCTTTATAGCACAATGGATCTGCGAATAAAGAAATATCCAATATATTTTGAGAATTAATCTTCTTAATTGAGTCAATAGCAAGATTAGTGAAGTGACAAATAAGAGATTCCGTAAAAATAGCCAATTTCAAAGAAAATATTGTGAATAAACGATTTCCAATATCTTTAGCTATTTTTCTCTTCACATGATCTTTCTGTCTTATATTCTGATAAACTACATGAGACTTCTCAGTAGTATCCGGTAGTACATAAGCTATAATGAGATTCTTGCATATCACTGAATCAATCGTTTGACCAATAATATCATCTTTAGAAGATGCAAATTTAACTACTCCCACTTTATTTCTAGATTCACTATTTAATTCGCCTTCATAACTGATTGGATTAGAGCTTATTCCCATCCTTAGCCCTACCTTCTTCCTTATTGCCTCCCTATTAGTTTTATCATTAAATAAATCTACAACAATACTAAATAGTGTCTCTATATCGCTTTTACTCCAAATAAAAAGCTTATTAGACATAAAGGTTTATTTAATATCTCCTGCCCCTATTTATTGGCGTGTACCGGTAATGCATGTTACGCTTACGTGTATATTTACACGATGCCCCCCACAAGCGGGAGTTATGAATACCGGCTACTACGTGTCAATGTGCATTTAGTGAATAATTTTTAGATGGAAATTTCTGAAGAAAGTATTATAAACAGTAAAATTAGTGAGTAAGTTGCATATAAGTACATATTACAAATATTTTATAACTGTAATCTTTTTCATATATGAAATAGAGGTACTAGCAAGCACATTTATGTGCAAAATTGCAATTTCAATCACCCCCCGTTACTGAGAATGGGAAACTATATTACAAGCGAAAGTGAAATATCACCAATGTCACTAGGGGACCCTAATGAACCTTCACCATCCCCACTTAATCCAGTGAAGCTACGACACTCTTTAAGGATAGCTTCTAGAGTAAGCATTGAATCTTCAGTACAGGTTAGTCTCCCTTAAACCCCAAAAAGACTTGGAATTATATAATGAGCATAAACTAATACTATTTAACTTTATATATTAGCTGGAAAAAGACTACTTCACCCAGTACCCAAGTCCATCTTTGGCCAGAGATTTAGATAAGACAATTAATGCTTTTGACCTACAAAATATTCTACTAAGCCCAGTTGGAATGTGCTCAGATTCATCTAGCTATCTAAAATACTCAAACTTAACTCCAGAATCTCTAGAAGTAGGACATAGAGTTAGACCACAAACCCAAATCAATGCTGCACGATTACCTTCTATAGGAAATATTACAAAGAAGACTTTAACACAAGGAAAAGGTAAAAAAGATGACTTAAATCAACGAAATGAATATAATTTAATATCACAATCAAAAGAGTCTACCAATAAAGGCATAGAAGAGAAATTTAATAATGATTATTTCAGTGAGCTACAAGTAAATACAAGGTTATCTCTATCAAAGAAGCAGAATAATACATCTTGCTACCCTAAATGGATAAATAACAGCTCTTTTAGAAAGTTGATCAGTAAATTTATCCCAAAATTCCTATTACCAGCTCTTAGAGCTATAGAGAATCTAAAAATCAGGTTTGCAAAGTCTGCGAATTACCAAATCAAAAAGATATCTATTGTAAATAAGATGAAAACAAAAAAACTCGGAAAACGAAAAGAAAAGAGTAAATCCTGGAAACTCTAAGTCCACAAACTAAAATAAGAATATTCAGAGCATCTGGTCATTTAGGAAACTAACAGAGAAATACTAAATCTAGCAGAACCCGCTCTTGTATGAAACAAGGGAATGGAATTGTGGAAGATAAATTAACAAACATAGACACTACATTTATATATATACATATATATATATATATATATATATATATATATATATGTATATAAGCATATATCAATATATAAATATAACTATATAATTAAAATAAAGTCTATATATTGAGTAGATAACTACGCATATCAGATTTGTGATGGATGAGGCATCACGAAATAAAGGAGTCATAGAAAAGACGATGGAGATAAATACATCTAGTGGCAATGATCATTTGAATAGAACTACTACTTTTGATAATAACGGAAATTTGTCAACTTCAGATGATGAGATGACTCTTGACTCTAGCGTGGATAACTTATCTTCTGCTTCCATAATCCCACTATCAACTGCAAACAACTCATGCCCATATGATCAAGATGAATTAGATATTAAATTAAAGACTTTACTGGATGCAACAAATGCTTATTCATGTTTACTTTCTGGTGATGAAACTCTTGCTATGTCAATTAGTGAAAAAGTTAACACTTCAGGTAAAGGAAGACACCACATAATGAGTGAGAAAGAAGAAGATGATTTACTTATTAGAGAAGCTCAGGAAGATGAAAAAATTGGAGCAAATGAACTGGAGGAAAGTACTTTATTTAAAACTCCTAAAAAAATTACTGAACAGCCTAACTGCATAATGGGAAGAATGAAGTATTATCAATTAGAAGGTCTAAATTGGCTATATCAACTATATAAATATAAAATAAACGGAATCTTGGCTGATGAGATGGGATTAGGTAAAACTTTACAGAGTATATCAATTCTCGGCTATTTAAAAAGTATTTGTAAAATTCAGGGGCCTCACATAATTTTGACTCCAAGATCTACATTGGATAATTGGCACTGTGAACTTAGAAGGTGGTGTCCCTCATTAAGAGTAGTTAAATTACATGGAGATAAATTGCATAGAGATAGTCTATTTAATCATCGAATTTTTCCCGGTTATAAAGTATTAATGAAGGAAAACTTTAGGAAATATGAAACTTTGGATTTAAAAAAGGAAAGTACTGAACATAATAGTACGAATAATACTGACAAATTCCAACCAGATTCTACAGAGAAACAAGAATCTTGTAGAATTATTGTTGAAAATGAAATATTAGAAGACCAAATACATTGTGATGATAAGAGTTTTAATGTTTGCTTAACAACTTTTGAGATGGCAATCAAAGAAAGGTGGCGTTTACAAAAAATTGATTGGCATCATTTGATACTAGATGAGGCTCATAGGATTAAAAATGAGAAATCTATTTTGTCAGAAGTTGTTAGACTTTTAAAATCAAAGTATCGTTTGCTCATTACTGGAACCCCACTTCAAAATAATTTGAAGGAATTGTGGTCACTACTAAATTTTTTGATGCCCAGCTTATTCTCTTCATCAGGAGATTTTGAAGCTTTATTTGATTTTTCAAGGCTGGATTCTGATGAACAACAGAAGCGTGTAATTCAAACACTACACTCAATTTTGAGACCGTTTATGCTGAGAAGACTAAAAACTGATGTTGAGAGAGAATTGCCATCAAAGAGAGAACTTTACGTTTATATCGGTTTATCTAAACTACAAAAAAAAATTTACTCAGAACTACTGACACGCAATTTAGATATACTTAACAATGTAACATATAACAAGACACAAATGTTAAACTTGCTAATGCAGTTACGAAAAGTATGTAACCATCCCTATTTGTTTGATGGAGTTGAACCGGGTCCACCCTATGTAGAAGGTTTCCATATGGTAGAAGCTAGTGGGAAAATGGTTTTACTACATAAATTATTACCAAAATTATTTTCACAGGGAAGTAGAGTTTTGCTATTTTCCCAAATGACAAGGCTATTAGATATTATTGATGACTATTTAAGATGGTGCGGCTACCCTTATTGTAGAATTGATGGTTCAACACCAGGTATTGAACGTCAGGAGCGAATCGACTTGTTTAATAAGAGTGGGAGTGATAAATTGATTTTTTTACTTTCTACTAGAGCAGGTGGAATCGGAATTAATTTAGCCACCGCAGATGTGGTTATATTATTTGACTCTGACTTTAATCCCCAAATGGATTTACAAGCTATGGACCGTGCTCATCGTATTGGACAGAAAAAAACAGTCACTGTTTATCGTTTTGTTACTGAGAAATCTGTTGAGGAACGTATTGTCGAACGTGCTGCAAAAAAGTTAAAGTTAGATTCATTAATTATACAACAAGGTAGACTCTCTAATTCAGCTTCTCATTCAGCACCTGATAATAAGGAATTACATGAAATGATTCAATTTGGAGCTCAAGAAGTATATCATACACGTGACTCCTCTTCAGTTACTGATGAGGATATTGATACAATTTTGGCTGCAGCCCAAGAAAGAACAAATGAAATGAATAAGAAAATGAAAAGTTTATATTCAGAGTTAAATCTTCAAAATCTAAGATTAGATGGTGGTATTAAAACTGTAACTCATCTAGATGACATTAATACTGAGGAAGAAAAGAGTGAAGGGAAAATTAGCACTAATGAATTAACTTTATCTTTAAATGAAATGCAATGGTTTGATTTAGGAGAAAGAAAGACAAAATGGAAATTAGAAAGTAAATCAAGTGATCAAAACCCAGCTAAAAAGAAGAATAAAAAAGTTAAGCTAACAGGCTGGAGGGCTACTGTTGGTGGTGGTCATGACTTTCAGTTTTTTAATAACAAACGTTTAGATATCCTAGAAAGTATAGAAGAAGAATGGGAAAAATACAAAAAATCTATTGGACAAGAAATAGAAAATATAGATAAGATCGTTATTGAGAAATCAGAAGATAATAAACAAGATGATATTTTTGCTGTTCCTCCTGAATTAAAGGAGTTAAATGAAAATCAACTACTGAGACTATTGAATGTAGCTGAGGAACACATGGAAGTAAGTATTGATAAAGTAGGTTGGTCCAAAAAGAAACTTTATTCTAGGTGTAAAGAATTATATACTGCTCAATTTATTTTACCTAGGTGCAATTTTAATGAAGCAATAGATGAACTTAGACAGATGTTTAATGATGGAAGAGCATGGGATATAAATATACCATGTGCAAGACAAAAAAAGGCAAAGAATAGGAAGTATAGAGAATTCAGTGACACTAAAAGCGATACTAATAAAACTAGACCCAGAGAATTTACTAAATCTATGAGAATGGAACGTGATGCATTACTGGAAGAAGGATTTCGGGAGTGGAATAGAAATGACTTTCAGCGCTTTTGCAAAGCTGCTGAATTATGTGGTTCAAATGTATTAGGAATTACAGAAATTCTTGAAAATAAAAGTTTTGAAGATGTAGAGAGATATTTTAATACCTTTATAAAGAGATACAACGAGGTCCAGAATGGTTCTAAGGTATTTACAAGAATTAAAATGGTAGATGAATCACAGCGCTGGCTATTAGATGCACAAGAGGCTATAAATTATGTAGTATGTGAACATCTAAAGAAAATAAAATCAAAACATCTTAGCTTCGACAATCTATTTCTACCATTTAAGCTCAAGAACTATGCAAATACTGAATATTTCACTGCTGAAGAAGATATTGCGTTATTTTTAGGTTTATATAAATATGGAATAGAATCATACAATAATGTTGCAATAAGTTTTAAGTATTTAACTAAACCTCTAACATCAACTAATAAGTTTTATTCTGCATATCATAGCATTGATAGTATAATTAATCGATGTAGTGATCTTGCAAAATCTGCTATTGCTTACATGAGAAAAAGTCATGTTTCTGAAATTCCACAAAAAAGTAACAAAAATACACCTAAACATAAGCGAATACAGAATGAGAAACAGAATACCAAAGAAACTGAATATGATGATGATGATGATGATGATGATGATGATGATGATGATGATGATGATGATGATGATGATGATGATAATTACTCTAATGCTAGCTTAGATGAAAATGAAGAGTCTGGTGATTATGGACAATACGAACAAAGCTCTTATACAAAAAAGAATCGCAATAGTAAAAGGAAAAGAAAGAATTGGTGAATTTATTTTTTACTTAATTAACAAATGAGTTTAATACTGTTTATTAGTGATATATTGAGATATCCTTTAAGATATTTCCAAGAAAAAAAGAGATGATGCACATTTAATTATTAAGGTAATGTGTATATAATAGTTCATTATATTCTAACTCTTATTAAATACTAGATTTAATAGATCACATCCTGTATAAATTTCTGCTTTTACTCAATCACTACATAAACTAGACACCATTACTTACCTAAGGAGTGCAGAAGGCGCTCTTTTTTATTGCCTTCGGGAAAGAGGCTGATAATGTAAGCATAAAGTAATATAATATGCTTTTAGATTCAAATATACTAATTTGGGCTACTATACCTACCTGTATATTGGTCTTTTGTGGTGTATTGCTGAGGTCACTAATCCAGACCACAAACCAAACAGGAAAGAGACGAGCTACTATATCTGGAGAGACTAACACCAATATTAATGACAGCTTACTCTCGAGCCAAAGGTCAAAACTACGCAATTCAGAGTATCAGCAGCATTTAAATAGATCTGTTTTACTGCGTACTAAGGGCTTTCTTCTATCGAAAGACTCACTTGAAAGACGTTCCTTATTCTATATACATAAAGATCATGGGTATTTTAGAAAAGGACCACCTGCTCCAAATCCTCTAGCTGCATTTTCTAATCCAGGTTAGTTCATTCTAAAACTTAATAAAAAAATGTTAATTCTATCCTATAAGTTGAAAAAATATACCATTATATTTTTTATAGATCATTCTGCATTATCTGGAATGATGAAGAACCAATTTGGCTTCTTAATACTCAATGGGGGAATGGGATTTCTAGTTAGTAGTCTTTTCTCTGGATTTATAGTAGCTAAATTTCCTTTTCCTCTAGCATTTTCCTTTAAGGGGATGTTACAAAGAGGAATAAGTTTCATACCGAATCTTGATCCATCCTTTTTATCTGCATTATCATTCTACTTTATAGTATTATTAGGATCAAATGGACTCATTACCTTATTATTTTACTACTTTAACTTTAACCAAATCGGTATAATGTCCATTGATTTCCCTTCAATGAACCCACAAGGTAACGTAATTAATGATCTTAAAGATTCTAATCTTATTGTAATTATAATTCATTTTATCATTGCTTTGAAGCTCAAACTAATAACTTAATGGCAAACCAAATAGATTATTCTAAACTTTTTAAGGAAGAGATTGACTCTTGGTCAATAACTGTAAGTTTTTGTAAATTTGGGATTACTTCAAATATATTTCATCTATATTATATCAAATTAAATTTCAGAATGAGGAATCCATACTTGATGTTATTGAGGATAAGCTATTGCTTAATGAACTTCCTTAGATTAATACATTATCATCTTGAATTGAATGTTTACAGTAAATTACTTAAATTTATTTAAAATCGACAATTACATACTTGCTATTAATATTGTACATCGACAGCATGCATGCAACATGTGGCGCCTTAAGCTTTTATTTTCTGTATTCAATAGTAATATAACCCAACTCTTGTGAAAATTTAAGAGAAACCACCATAAACATAGTAGACACTAATATGTGTCATGTGTGCAGATATATATAACACTATTTTGTTTAATGCACTGTCTCTAAATAGAAGCATGTAATAGAAGACATGGGGGATGCACACAGTTTTGTCTTGTCTTGCCATTCCACACTTTAAAAAGAATTGGAATATAGTGAAGTTGGCTGTTACTTCAAGTATAACAAATAAATTTGTACTACTCAACTTTTTAACTTTCTACTGTGCTCTGAGTTCTGAAACTTATCTTTTGTTTCATAAAGTGAACTACAAATTTTCATATCAAGATCTAAATTCTTAATAAAAGCATACAATACTTATTTTTTAGGACTAGATAATAATGGATTTACCTGGAAACGTGGGAGAATCAGATACAATGGAATTTAATGAAATCCGTATTAATTCAGGCGAAACGCCAATTGCAATAACAAAGGACTGGTTATTGCATTATAGGAAAGATATGAGCTGTGATGAAATGACACGAAATCAAAAAGAAGGAAAACTATATACCATACCTTTAATTAGAGCTATGTTAATGAGCCATTATAACAGGACTGCATGGAGTGATTCTGAGAGTCAAGGAAAATATCTAGATGTTAAAAATGGCCAAATTACAGAGGAAATGAGGGATATTTCACAGAAACTTATGGTAGATGATGAAGGTAGTGGGCGTATAATAATGAATAGGAAATATTGTATTAAAAAACTTGGAATTTTGGGAAGATTATCTCCTAGATGGTTTATATTTAAAGGGACAAATTTAGCAGTTTATCATACTGCTAATGAAGATGCTCATCCTAAACTATATAGTTTAATAGGTGCTGCATACGAAGTAGAAGATCGTGATTCACCCCCCCATAAGACTCCATGGTCATCACCAATAGAAATATTGAAAGAAGATCGTTCCATTGAGCAAATTGAAGCTAAGTACAGACTTTCAATAGTTACAAAAGAGCCAAAAGTTAGACATTTTTGTCTATATAGCAATACTAAAGAAGAAATTGCAGACTGGGTTAAAATCTTTCATGTTGCAAATCTGAATTTAGATCCAAACCAAGCAGCATTAATTTCAAATGTTATTACTCGTATTGCACAGAGAGATATACCACTAGCTTGGGATGCATTAGTATTTGAAGCGGAAAATCGTGCACATCGTGAGACTATGTTAAGATGTTTCGTTAATAGACTAAGATATCTTAAAGCTACCAGAGTACTAAATAAGTGGGTGAAGATACACCAAGTACAGAATAAGGATATGAATGAAGGATTAAAATTGTTAGGTCGTGAAGTAATGCTTGGTAGACTTTATCGACGTGATAAGTTGTTATTACGTGCTGAACAAAAGCGTGAATCTATTATTGAACTAATTCAAGAAGGTTACAGACGTGAAAAAAGCAAAAGTCAAGCACAATTTAAAAATTCAGCCGAAAGTATTGAGACAACAGAAAGTGATGTAGCTGCTATTGCAGCTACCTCTGCAGGTTCTCAGATAAAGCAGGGACAACAAGGAAGGGATTTCCCAACAGTATTTTATGTCAACTCAGCAGTTAAGTCATATCAGTGTAGTATTTTAGATAAGATAAATCAAGCTTCAAAATCTTCTTGTACAAAGTATTCTGCAATTCCAACGTATCAAGAAGAATCTAGAGTAAAAATTTCAAGTGATTTAAGTAAAATTTTATGGTCACCCAAAAAGTGGAATAAAACTCAACCAAAAAGTATGTTTGTAAATGTTGACTCAATATCATGTATTATTGTAAATGCTGCAAAACCCAGTTATTTGGCTAAAGATTTACCAGCAGCTCCAATTATTGAAAAAGAATATGATATTGCTGAATGTGTGGATGAATTGGTATATAGCCAACAAGATCCATGCTTTCCAAATAAAATGCTGATAGCTAAAGATGAGCAAGTTAAAGTAACTTCTGGTAATTGGTTAGCAATTTGTGGTCCTAGGATTGGATTTAAACCAGCTATTTCACCTGATTTTTTAATTAGAGACACACCAGTAAATGTATTAAGAGTTAATATTAATGTAAAGTCCGTAAGCTTAAATGAAAGATTTTCACGTTTATATGTTGGATATTACCAGTATTATGCTAGAGAGCTACAAAATATGTCAGCATATGAAAAACTCACTATTATGGCTGCACTTACTTATGGTGATAATTATCAGGAATCTCAACTTAGCACAATTAAGTCATTAGTTTCTAATGTTAAGGAGAAAGATGATAATTTATGTTCAATGTCATCTACTATTTCAAGTATAAGGAGACTTTTTACTGCAGCTACTATGACTAATAATGAAAATGTTGATTCAGAAATTCAACTAGATAATGAAATTTTGGAAAAGCAAGATAGCAGTAAATTTATGCCCTCAAATTCGACAATTTCTTCGATAAGATATCTTTTTAGCAGAGGACTAACTTCAGTTAAAGATACTGGGAGTTCTCAAAACAAGTCACATAATAAAAATGCAACTGCAGTAGCCTTAAAAACTGGCAAGTTGATTGAAGGATTGGTTGCACCACCTGAACTGAGCGTAGTTGATCCTTTTCAAACAATTCAGGTTGACAAGGCTAATGATATACGAGATAGTACTGTTCAAACTTATTTACGAATTACTGCCTTCCACCAATCATATACTTCTGCTCATGCTGTAGGTATTAATCCAACTTATGACATAAACTTTTGTGTAGAGGTTCCATTATTGGCATCTTCCAATGCATCTCCTGAGATGCTTAGACAGATTAGAATGAAAATATTTGAGGAAGCTATTTGTACAATTGATTTATGGGTCAAGTCTCCAGTTGAAAATATTCCAGACGAAGTAATTGCATCAATTGATGTCCCATTAAAAGATTTATGTTCTATGGATAAAATAGTAAGACAAAGAGTCCAATTTATTTCTGTTGACTCCTTCATTTTTAAGCAACCAGTTCCAGATGTTAACACTAGTGGTGAAGGAAATACAAGAGCAGTACAGATTCTTAAATATTTGGGATTATTGGATAATGATAGTGAGGAATTAGAATATTTATCTTTAGGTCAGTTAGATGTTGCTGCTGATACTACTGATGACATTGATATTATGGGAGAAAATCCAATTTCACCTGAAACAATTTGCTTAGGTGGACTGCAAGCCCTATCTTCATATACCTTAGATTTAGCAAGAAATAGTATTAAAGCTAAACAAGGAGATTGTGTTGAATTGTATATAGGGCAAGTAACGCTAGATCCTGCTTGGACACCGGGTCTATATTTTGTTGAAGTTATTATGGGAGATGTAAGTTGCGTTACACATTTAGTACAGACTAGATATGATAGTGCAGCTGCTGATTTTCGTTCTCATTTATATATTCCAACATATGATAATCAGTTAAATGTAGACCCTAAATGTCTACAAATACTGATAAGACGAGCTGTTGGTAGTGAAGATCGCTGTTCATCACTTGCACGATTACTGCAAGACTCTGTCATTATGGGGGAATTATTAGTGGATGCAACAAAGTTGAACTTGAATGATCCACATAGCAGTAATGGACTATATGCAGTATTTAAACCTACTGCATCTGCATTATATGGTAGCAAAGGCTTAGACTATGCACTTCAAATTGCACAATTAGGCCCTAAATCTACAGAATTACAAGAAGCAAGGCAAGATATAATGCCCAATGTTCAAATTAGAATGATGGTGACATTGAGGAGGAAAACAGACGTTACATTGAAAAAAGTTATTGACCAATCAGATGATTTCAAATTAGTTGGTGATACAGCGTTGCTAGTAGTTGAGGAGGAATTGAAATATCCAGTTTCAAGAAAAGAGTTTCACCAAAGGAGTTGCCCAGGTAAATTCGATCCAATGAAGGCTGGCTGTTTAGGTTTGCCATTGCGTCCTATTGGTAATTACATTGAATACGAACTAGGTGGCTTTCAAAATAATTCTGACAACCAAATTAATGATCTGAACTTACTTGACCAGAATCACTCTCAATCTACATTATATGAAGAATTAAAAGCTATTGATGCACAACCAGTTCCACTTTATACGCAAGATCCAGTACCTGCAGAATTTTATTTACCAGAAGATCCAAGAACATTTAGAGATCGTAAACTACCTGGTATTTGGCATCGTATTCTTACCGATGGCTTTAGACCAGGCGAAAGAGTAACAAGATTAACACATCGTGTAAGGCATGTTCCTGTTACCATTATTGCTATTTTCAAAAATCGTACAGCTTTATGCAGATGGCCTGAAAACATTGATATTAACCCAACCGAATTCCCGGAGGGCTGTGTATTTATCCCTGAACAAAGATTAGTTATGGGAGTTCCTCTTTCATTTTTAACCACACCCCACAAAGCAGGTATTCATGTATATGACACATTAATAACTAGATATGCAGATAACAGTATCAATGTATTTAGTCACATTCTTAACTATGGTGGATATCTACCACTGGATGTCAATCCCATATTTTGTGAGTATGAATGGATATTATTTATTAAAGCGGAAACTCCACAGCAAATGACTTTATGGGCTACAATTATTAGAAATACAATTCGTGAAAAAGCATTCCGTAGAGTGAGAGCATATGAACGTATTCGTGATATAATGAGCAGTGAAGAACGAGATTACAAAGATTGCAAAGCCTCATCAATGAAATTAGAAAGGCATTTATTAGGTGTTGCTAATAATAAAGGAAAACGCTATGATAGTGGAGAATTGGAAGTAGTAATAGATGGTGTCAACGTCTTATGCAGAAATACTCAACCTTTAAACTTTTACACTGTATTCCAATGGTCACGTATTCCGAAAAGGTTATATGAAATTATTGAAAATGAGTGCAATTATGATGTTAAGAGTAATTTAAGACAAGCAGTAAGACGCTTAATTGAAGAAAGAATATGCAACTTTAATATGGATAAGAAAGATGTTAAAGATACTCTGTTACCACAGCAACTGCGTCCAGCTCCAATAGACTCTAGGTTAGCTGAACTTCATGCAAGTTATATACCTTTTGGATACTCAACACAAATAAAACAAGGTGATGAGAATTCTGTAGATAAACTTAGAGAGGAGTTTATATCTCTAATACAAGATATAACATTCAGCTCGTATTATGTATCAGATACATGTTATAATGTACTACCTGATGAAACATCACCTTATGAAAAAGATTCAGAAGATGCTAAAATTTTAGATGAAATTAGTGGCGAACTAGTGGGCATAATTCCTGATAAAGTTGATAGAAATAAAGCAATTAATGATATTTATAATACTTACAAGTGTAGATTTTATAATAATAAGAATAATTGTGAAACTGGTGGATATGTATTTAATACTACATATATTGAAGCAAGTGATGAAGTACCAATTTTAGTTATTAAAATATTCCAAGAAAATACTGAAAAGGTTGAGGAAATAACAAGTACTATATTGGATGGTACTGTTAGAAATACTGAAAATGATACTTTTGTTGGTCATGTAATATTAAATACAGTGGATTACTTGACTCCAGAGAATCCATTTAATATTAAATTTAAAAGAATTATACCACAATATTCATATGTAATATCTGCATCAAATACTGGTGGTAAGAAATACGCCTTCAAAAGTGTTCAAGAAGCATTGGAATTTGTGCTAGATCAAGATCCAGAAATAACTGTTGAAAAATTCTACCGTGCTCTTTATGGAGAAACTAACCAAGCACGTAGAATACATGGCTCATGGAGAGTTAGAGTAAAAGAGGATGTTGATTATCACGGTGATATATGCTTTCTAGTAAGATATGGAGCAAAGGATATTAGATTACTGTCAGAATTTCAACCAACAGCTAATGATTACAAAGAGCACATTTTGGATTACCACAGGAAACAATTTGATAGCAGTGGTATTCCATATATCAAAACTCCATATGATCCAAATACTCCTTTAGCAAACAAGATTTCTAGAGTATATGCTAATAAATTTAAACAGTTAAATGGTGATACCTTTGATATGTTGAGACAAAATGGAAGCGATATTAAGATGTTAAAGGTAATTCAAATGTATTTGTTGAGACCAGCTGAACAATGGATATATGAACGTTGTATTTATGAACATATGATGTTCTTGGAGCCATTAACTGATCTTGTTGAAAAACAAAGCATGTCCCGATGGAAATACTTGCTAGCAGATTCAAGCAACAAGGGTTTACAGCAATGGGAACAACTTTATAGACAAGGGTTATTACTACATAAGGTTGATGAATTATCTCATGATAGCTGGTCAATATTAGTAAATGCTAATGTTCGAGATAAATTACCACAAATTTTGCTGGAACTTTGGAATGAAGATGAATATTTAGGCGAATTTCTATTACCATCACTATCGTCTCTACTACTTAATAAAATTAATTCAACTATTAGGTTGTATTCATATTCAGCATCAATTCAAGCTGAACGTAAAACAAGATATGATACACGTAAAGAGTACTTGTCTAGTGAAAAACTATCTACATTTATAAATATGGAAGTAGGGTGGAGAATTAAAAGTACAACAGAAGGTGTATTCAATCTAATAGTTAGGGATGTACGTAATGTAGTATCTGAAAATACTGATGACTTGAATGAAATTAAACCACATATTAATGTGTATCAATATTTCAGTGAAAATGATCAATGGAGATTATTAGCAGCAACACCATCAGGTATTGCTACAAGAACAATATTAGGTATTGAAACTCCTGAAAGATTGAAACAACAAAATATTCAATGGAATAATGTATTTGTATTTAATAGAGATCGCACAATTGATATGCAATTCCCAATATCAATTCCAGCAATGATAGAATCAGTCCCTGTAATCTTTAATTTTAGTGATCTACTTGTACCGTCACTTAATAACCAAAAAACTAATAACGAAAATGATGATGAAATACCTAATGAAAAGATTTGGTCTTTATTAAAATCCGGTATTCCAAATTACTATCGCCCATATGTCTGGATGCAAATTAGTGGTGCATATGATTTGAAAGAAAATATTTATAAGAAGTGGAGATCTTTGAATGATGCAAGCAAATGTGGTCATGATACATTATTCTCATATTTAATTGAATATGCAGAAAATTGTAACTCGTGTGTATTACGCCAACTAGATGAAGATCTGGAATGTGCAAAGATAAGATATCACATCTGTGAGACAATCTTAGGTATTGACCATGTTCAAGCATTTTGGGATAATGTCAGATATATTGTACGAAGTTTAGTAGTATTTTCATTAAGAAAGAAATATAATGTATTTAATTGTGAAAAATTCCATGTCGGATTACCATTACAATATACATTTGGTTTACTATCACTAACAATTGAACTATTAATGAATTTTGGAGGAGTCTGTTTAACTAGTGAAGATGTATTCTACTTGATATATGCAGTTTGTGGCTCAAAACACTCAATTACAATAGGTAGTAAACACAAGGAGCAGAGAATAATTAAAGGAGCACTGTTACCATACTTTACAACAGAAAAAGATGATAAACAAGATGAAGATGATAATATGCCTGCTCAAATTCATGATATTATCTTTTTAAAGAGTGCATTAGAACTACTACACCCATATGAATATGATAATATGGTAGCATCTGGATTCCAACTAGAAGAAGTGTTTTATAGTCTGCTAACTGCACTATTCTCTGGCTCATTACCAACCTCAACACTAACCCAATTTTATGACTTACTATTTAATGTTTATTTCCAACCAAAACATATATTTAGAAGTAAGAACTATCATAAAAACCATGATGAATCAAAAGAACAAAGTCAAAAAGATGGAAACAATTGTGAATCAGAGAATGAGATTTATGTATGCATCAGTCGACGTTTAATGATATGTCTATCATATCATATAATGATGGAATCATATCGTGAAATTAATATTAATCCTTTAATGTCATCTAAAAGTATTCGTGAGACAATTAACTCAGTTATGTCTATGATGACAAACCCATTAAATATGGTTCATGGTATCGAAAGAGCAGACTTTATGATATTTGGTGATAATAAGAAATATAATACTATACACAGATTATATAGGGCATATATATTATCATATCAAGAATGTTTATGGTTTACAAATAAGCAAAATAGTGTATTAGAGAAGATTATCAATATGACACCATTGCAATACCAACATGGGAGTGATGCACCAACTCATTTGGGTATGAGATTTATAGGTGGTAGATATGTTCCAAAAACTGTTTTGTCTCCTGGTTTATCATTGAAAGATTTAACTGAATCATTGTATCCCTTAATGAAATTCCAAGCATTATATGCAGGTCGTAACTTACATCAGCTACCACCTGGTGTAGCAGGTTATGTTATAATAAAGATTGATGAAGTACGTGAATTTGCAAAATACAATGAACCAATTTCACCAGTAGTATGTGTACGTATGGGTCAATACAAAGTAGCAACAGATCCGGCAACAGAACGTTGCTCAAGATCATTTATTTGGAAATCAAATAATGTGTTTATGTTCCCTATTGAAATATGGAAGCCTCCAGTACAGAAAAAAATTCATGGACGCCATAGTTTAATACATGTAGTGGAGGATGATGTAGAAGCACCACAAACAGTTGATGTATTTATTGAAGTATTAGATTCTGAAGCATTAGATGAAGAAAATAAGATATTGTGTTCTGCACAATTAAGTTTGGATAGATGGCATAGTGGTGGTGGTAGCTTAGTACTGAATAAAGATAACGAGACATTGGCAGTATTTAATGATTGTAGTAAAATGAGCCTACTATTTTCTTGGTATACATATGTCCCTAATAATGAGTTAGATACAAGTGCATTGTTACCATTTGCATTTGGCAAGCAACAATGGGGTGATTATGGTGGTTTCCATGCTATATACGCTCCAGTAGATGCACAAAATCTTCGTGATGAGCTTTACCCAGATATTAAAGATAAAAAATTAAAAGATTGGGAACAAGAGCCAAAACAAAGTGTACTTGATATTATATATGGAAAGAGGAAAATGGATGAATCAGGTGGTAGTTTGTCTACAATTCCAACAATGCGTTCAATGTACCCAGGTAAATTAGAAATTAGCACAGGAAAATATGGCCCAACTAGATCACAACTTCAGCAACTATTCTTCTTTTCAGTCCCATCTTTACTACCTTATGTAGATGAAATTGTAGAGAGTTTTGCAAAAATATCGATGAATCTATCGAATGAAAAGATTTCATTAACTCCTGTACCACTCAGAGAACTTATTGCTTCTATAGTGTTATGCTCTCGTGGTACATTAAGTGAGAAGGCTGAATTATTATTTGATTTGTTTGGTTATGATGATGCCAATCGCCTATCAGTATCATTTCACTCAATGTATTACTCTCATACTCCACAATATCCGGGCGCAATTCAAATTGGCTCACAAGTTAAAAGTCATCTTCCAACAGAAGTGTCAGATAAGTTGGGCGTTGCTCCAGCAAATGTGATATCACTGGCAGGCATTGCAGCTATTGTGCAAACAGCATGTATTAGGGCAAATATTCCACTAGATAATGTTAGTATATATCAAATTACAGCATCAGTATTTGATCATTATTTCGATGTTCCAAGTGTACTACGTGCTTTGATCATCCCACCAAAAGGATATGATGGTAGAGTATCAAGGGAATATATCAAGCATCATTACAATAACTTGAAGTATGATACAAGAAGTATTTCAAATACAAGAGATGCGAAGTTATTAAACTTTAACTTATTTGAAAATTGTTCCGATGAATTAAATCCAAAGTGTAAATCATGCTTATCAGAAGCAACAGCAATTCTCGAGAATGATCTACAAAGTAAATATATATTAGATGTAACAAGGCTAATAACGCATCATATTCGCAAAAATGCATCTCTTGAAGGTCTCTTCGGTATTGATTTCTCAGCTCATACTTGTCTAAGACATTTAAATATTAGTGATCCTTTCCCAGGTCTAATTAAAACACTGAAATTAATATTAAGTGGGAAAAGAAGTAAGCATGAATTGCGTGTCATCGACATTACAGTTGATGAAAAGGGTCACTTTATTGATGCAATAGTGCAATATGGCAATGATACAAATGATGAATTAAATAAAACTGATGTACGTGGTGCAAATCAGTTCAGACAAGCCTTTGAATCAGGATATGCTACTGTTGATTTCCCAAGATTGGTATTTAGCGAAGGTGCAGCAAATGGCAAAGAAAGAGTCCCAACAGCCAGCTTTGTTTTTAATTTGCACAATATTTTAATTGATAAATATAGCTTCGTTACCAGATTCTGTGACTTCTCACTTGTAACGGAAGCTATCAGAAGAATAACAGCAAATGATCGTACTTGTGAACCTAATCAATATCTAAAAATTAATGTAGAAGTCAATGTAACTCTAAACGAGCCAAAATCCTATCCACATTATACTGTAGATGAAATATTAGGAGTCCCATTAAAATTAAATGATGATATGAATAATCAGATAACAATGATGAATAGTGGAACTACATACTTTGGAAGTACCTATTTAAAAGAAGGTAGCACTCAGGCATTATCAAATATCCAAGAGGGGAGTCAGAGCCAACGTAGTATGTTATCAGGTATAAATAATGATGATATTTATGTTGAAACAGAATCTATAATGACCGAAGAAAGACTACAGTCAAGACAAACATTTGAGCATAGTGTCTCAGTACACTCAACAATGCCTATATCTGATGAGGCTATCAACAATTCAAATAATGATGAACTTATTAATAGACAAATCTCAAATAGTAGTGGAGTAGTTCTAGAACAGTCATCAACAAAAATAAGTAAGATACTTTCATCTAAACAGTCATCTTTAAAAAGAGAAGATAGTAATTTAGGACCAGCAGAAATGAAATCTATTGATAACCGAGCTTCTAATAATATTGTAAAACAAAACACTCTACAAAATCAAACTACACTACTAAACCAAGCAACCTTACAAAAGCAAGATACATTAGAAAAACAAGAAACACTGCAAAATAAAGGAACATTACAAAATAAAGGAACATTACAAAATAAAGAAACATTACAAAATAAAGAAACATTACAAAATAAAGAAACATTACAAAGTAAAGAAACATTACAAAGTAAAGAAACATTACAAAATAAGGAAACATTGCAAAGTAAAGAAACATTACAAAGTAAAGCAACATTACAAAGTAAAGCAACATTACAAAGTAAAGCAACATTACAAAGTAAAGCAACATTACAAAGTAAAGAAACATTACAAAGTAAAGCAACATTACAAAGTAAAGAAACATTACAAAGTAAAGCAACATTACAAAGTAAAGAAACATTACAAAGTAAAGAAACATTACAAAGTAAAGAAACATTACAAAGTAAAGAAACATTACAAAGTAAAGAAACATTACAAAGTAAAGAAACATTACAAAGTAAAGCAACACTTGACAGAGAAAATAAAAATTTTGAAAGTAAAAAGACAATGAAATCAATTGGTGAAGATAATATTAAGAGTAGCTATTCTGAGTTATCATCAGCAGCTAATTCAAGATTGTCATCAAAAGCTCAATCAAAAGTATTATCGAAAGCTTCATCAAGAATATCTGTAAGTATACCACCAGTGAAATTACCATCTAAGCTTGGTGAAAATGAAAATTACATCTCTGCTGAAGATATCCCACTAGTAGATGTAGATATTCTCACTGAGGAACAACTATCTATTGAAAGAGACCAAGGAGACCAAGATCAGCAGTTATCGGCACCAACATCTGTAAGCACAAGACGTATAAACTCTCAGACAAGTTTACTTAGTGCAATTAGTAGAGGAGCATCTACAGTGAACCTATGTCGCTCATTTACACGTGGGAATTTGGGTAGTTATTACGATGTGGAGCCTCATACAGAATATCAAGTAGATATTCCATTCCGTCCACCAGGACAAGTTGAAGAAAGGCATAATGTCCGTGTATATATTGCAGATAGTATACGTGTGCTGAAAAGTAAAGTTATGGACGCTTGTAAATGTATAGCACAGAGATTAGAGGAAAGTGGTATTGAAAATGGATTATATAAAGAAATTATATTGGGACCATATCATAAAGTTGAACTAATTGTAACAGATTTTGATGGACATATTAGATATATTCCATTGGACAATGAAACTCATACACTGGAAGATTATATATTATCTAATGAGGAGCTACTGCAAGAATTCATCACTTCAAATATGAATAGTATCCTAAATGTTAGAATAAATCATCCAAAGCAATTAAGAAATGAGAAGACAATGGTTATAATGAATGAATTACAACACGAAAGTGGTGGAGCTGGTATAACAAGCATGTATTTAGCAAATGAATTAGCAAACCATGAAATACTAGATGATGGTTTACTAATTAGGAATCCTTTGGGTTTCCCAACATACTTCCATAGGTCACATTATTCTATTAAACAAAAAGTGATTGAGATTGAGCCTGGAAAAGTCGTCTCATTGGATAATTTATGCTTTGTAAGGAAATCAGATATTGTATTAAGTAATTTGGCTAGAAGCATAAATTTAGATTGGAATGTAGATGAATGGGTTCCTGCAGTTGCCATTCGTTGTATTAATACGCTATTGGATGAATTAGAAGGTATTGGATCAGAAATAATTCGTGGACGTGTCTCACGAATCCCACAGTCTGTAATCAATGCATCATCAATAATTGGTGGTTTTATGCCTGTAACACTAGGAGCATATAATCCAATATCAGTAGCATTTGATTATGGACAAAATATAAGAACAGTAGGTATAGCTGGCAATTATAGAAATCCAATTAATAGTTCATCTTCAAGAAGAATTGCAACAAATTCAAAGGCTAAATTGACAATTAGCAAGAAATCTAACTCAATAGCTAATAACAATACTACAAATTCAAATACACAAGTTGCATCAAAAATTAGACCCGAAAATATTCTTGCTTCAGTACATGGATGGGATTTATCTTATGAAGTTATACTACTAGACTTCCATGATTTAATGATTGAAGGTGGAACTAGCACACGAGAATCTATCTGTGTAACTGAAAATGATATAGTCTTTTGTTTCAGACAACCAAGTGTAAGAGATAACTTTATCATTAGTAACCTGACAACAGATGAAAAGATTAGGATCATGTCTTTGTCGGAATGTGGCATGTGCCCACAGAGAATAGCTCTAGAACTATCTGAAGATAGAGTAGCAGCTTTGAAAAGTGGTTCATACTCAATGTTATACAATAATCAACCAAGAGCTGTTGTTGTACCACATCAGCTAGTATGTGAGTTCTTAAGACGATTTAGAGCAGCAATTGAAGAAGACAAACATATCTTAAATTAATGTTGAAAATAAATTTAATGAAGTTTACTTCATAAACTGAATTAAAAAATTTAAATAAAATTATTAATAAAATTTAGCAACTAGAACTAGAAATAAAATTGAATTTACGGAAATATTAACTATCTTTCGTATTTAACTTTTTTTTGTACTAAACCTTTATTCTGATATTAATCATTTGCTTAATTGAAATGTACTTTGACCACTTTTTCTTAAGATTCCCACAAATAAGTGTAAAGTAGGTATATTTTACTTATAACTCTTCTAACGATTTCCTCCTCTATATAATCTATTATAGTTATTGTTATTCTGATACCTCGTACTCCTTCCTGATTTCCTATTAAATGTTGAAGTAGGAGATGCTGATTGATACATATATGTCGTACTGAAGTATGGGCTGGATGAAAGGTGTGAGTGAGAGTTATAAGAAGTGTGGGGACCTCTTAAAGTTGAGCTATTATAGTTTGTAGGATATGGTGAAAGAGGGTAAGAAAACTTTGATGCATTATGCAACGTGTTCTGTATCCTATCATTGGTATAGATGTTTTTCTCTTTAGGCTCTGTTACATTATTAATAATTTTCTGTTCCCTATAGAAATTGCTATGTCCTTTAACTTGATTATGTTTAACTTCTATTGAATTATTTACTTCAGGATATTTTAATGTAGAATCTGTATTATTATGATTAAAGTATTTAATAATTGATGTCCTATTAGGTGAGTCTCTAAATTTAGTACTATTAATATTCGATAAGATATTAGAACTTAAATTAAAAATAGGACTGTCTATTTCTAAATGTTCATTATTTACCCCCATATAATAAGAACTTACATATTTACTATTATTGTATGTATCACCAGTACTTTGAATTTCCAATTCCAAATTTGTAGAAAGTGGATCTATATAGTTATATCTAGAATCTATAATGCCTTCACTATAATTATTGAAACTTGATATCTCTTTTAAATAATTATTAGTTCCATTAACAATATCGATACTTTGTTCTCTAGAAGCTTGTAGTTTAGTGTTATTATTGTAATCTCTATACTTTGTTCTATATTTACTATCAGCATTAGTCTGGTTATCAGTACTTGAATTTTGTCGCAAGATAACATTTGCATACTCAGGATAAGTACTTTCACTATAAATTTTAGGTTTATATAATTCCAGATGTGAAACGTGTGAATCTGCATTATATGAATTTTGATCATTAATATGACTTGTACTGTCATATGAAGCACTACATTGTTTCAAACTCGAATTTTTCATGTAATACTCACTTTCAGGATTATCCAAACATAATTTAGAGCTCAAAATATCTGAATTTATATGAGGCTGAGGACTCGAAATTATATTTGAATTATTTATCCACTGAAGATTAGGAATTGAACTAGATATTGTGGAAAATGCAGGATTATCCAAATCTTCAATACTTGCATTACTATCATAGCTTAAGTTTGAAGTGTGATCTGTAGAATTGTCTATACTAGAAAGATAAAAATTAGGCTTCAAATAACCTTCGAAATTGAAATATTGGGGGTTAAAATCTGAGTTATTATCTATATTAAAAATTTTAGGGACTTGTAAAGATTTATTTTGCATGATTTCCATATATGTAAGTTTTGTAGTATTATCTGACATTTGTAATCCAGTGTGTAAGTATGGAGTAGATGCTTCACTTGTAATATTAACTTTCTCTCCAAAGTCTTCTCTATAAGACCTTGGAAATTCGCCAAAAATATTCGATGTATGTGTATCAGATCCTATATTATTTTGTTCAAACTCTCCATTTGTGCTCCTTTCATAGTAGATTGTAGGTCTTCTACTAGTATAAGATGTATTGTAGGTCAATAAAGGCTGAGATGAAATATGGTTTCCCACATTTATATTTGGAACTACCTCTTTATATTCAGAACTTCTTATATATTTTAAAATGTGAGATTCTTTACTGGGAACAGATGTATTTAAATTAGATGTGTTGGCAAAATGTACAAAATCTGCACTACTTTGGTAAGTTCTTGAAGAGTTTGATTGATGAGAGAAATCTGAATATATATTAGAATCAATCATACTTAAATTACTTACATTTGTATCAGTACTTATATTATTAAGTATAATCATTGTATTATTAAAATTATTCGGTATTTTTAAAATTTCTGATATATTGGAGCTATTTTTTAAGTTAAATGTACTGTTCATATTTAGAGTGTTTATAGGTTTATCTACTATAGAAGTAGAACTTGAAATATTTAGTACATTATCTGCTACTCTAGTACCATTAATACTTGAAAATGGCTTATTTGTTGTATTAAATTGCATATCTATACTTGAATGTAAAGTAGTAGATGTACTTGTATAATTCAAATAAGTTAAATAGTTCAATATAGTATTATTAGAATTTGACTCAAGTTGTGAGTTATGATTATTACAATCTCCATTATCAAAATTACATTCAAAATTATTACAATATTCATCACAGTATCCATCTCCAACCCAAGATTTAAGACAAAATTTATATATCATTGGCTGGTTAACATAATCAACTTTAGTAACTGAGCAAACATTACTACAGTCACCATTATCATAATTACACTCAGATTTATTGCAATCTATATCACATATTCCATTCCCAACCATCCATGCCTTACAATTCTTTGAACAAATTTTGCAATCTCTCTTATCAAAATAGCACTCTGGGGTATCACAAGTCGGGTCACATTGTCCATCTCCTAGCCATGCATTTATACATCTTGAGTTACAGCGATGTAAACAGTCATGACCATCCATATTACACTCTAACGTATTACATTCAGGATCACAGTGCTTATTATTTAACAGTGTTTTGTTACACTTACACATTGAATAATCGAAATCTTTATGCTCTAGTGTAGTGTTGAATGATTTTCCATGTGATTCAAGATGTTTACAATCTCCTTTGTCCCATTCACACTTTTCATTGAAACAATCTAAGTCGCATTGTCCATCACCCTGCCAAGTAGGACGACACTCAGGAGCACACCAACCTTTACAGTCTCCTCCATCAAAACCACATTCTTCTACATAGCATTCAGTATCACACCATCCATCTCTAAGCCATCCTTCTTCACACTTTAGAGGGCACTTTGGAAACTCTAATCTAATCTTATCCAAATTACTTTGAGAATTTTGATCATGTGATAAACTATGTTTATTCATTAAATTACTTGGAATAACGTTCCTTATATTAGACGAAGATGGAATCACATTAACTTGTGTCTCAACTGAAGTTATTGATCTAAAATGTGTATATATACACAATATAAAAAGGAAAGCGTCATATATATTCAGCATTTCAGTAAAAGTACATTAAATTTCCCTTATATTCCGCCAGACTTATCATAATAAAGTCTCAACTACGAAACTAAAACGTCAATAATGAGATACACTATCAATAACAAGCATGCTACAATAAAGTGTCTCTCGAAAATGAGATATAAAGCCCAGTTTAAAAAAAAAAAACATAGAAATTAATTTAGAGAGAATAGTACAGTAAAAAATAAGTGAAAAGTACTAGTAATCCGTAAAATCTATATGCAAAACCTGGATTCCAAATACTTCAAAAAAATATCTTAGCAGGTCTCATAAAGTATGTAAATATTAAAACACCTTATTTATTAGTAATATCATATACACTAACTCACGGCAACTCGAAATTCACTTTTTATTTACCATCATATAGTTACAGACAGTGTAGTATACAAAAATAAAAATAAAAAATAAAAAGTAAGAAAAATAAAGATCCAATAATACATGTACCGCGTTAAAAGAGCGTTCACATGCCATGTATTTTACTCTGTCCCAAAGTACCTATCTGCAAATGCACCTACTCCTGGGATTACATAACCTTCATCTGTAACACCCTTTTCTATCTCTGTAGTTATCAAAGTAGCAGCAGGAAATTGCCTGCAAATTCTATGAATTGCATTTGGAGCCGCAAGAAGACTCAAAATTAATATTTTATGTTGTAGTACTCCCCTATCTATTAGATATTTAATTGCTGAAGATACAGCAAATCCATTTCCCAAAACTGGATCTAATATAAATACATATCTAGAATTAATATCACTTGGAAGTTTACAGTAAAGAATCTTAGTCTTTTCAAAAGATGCATCTAACTCAGTATTTGGATCTTGAAATTCCATAAGAAGTTTCCCAATAGGTATATCCCTACAAATAGCAGATATTCCAAGTTCCATACTCTCACCCCCACGAACAATAGAAACAGCACATAATTTGTCCTTAAAATTGCAGGTTACACCATCATAAAGCACCCCAATGGGGGTTTCTACTGTTTGATATTCAAAAGGTAAATGACCCAGGGCATTCTCTACCACAATTCTAATAAGCCTATCAGCCCAAAATACGAAATCTATGCCGGATGTATTCTTATTCCTAATAATTGTATGCATATGCCTTATTTGACAGTTAGATGGTATAATATGTAAATTTGAGTAAATAACACGTAGATCATCTATTTTCAACTTATATCTTAAGTGTTGTACTACCAAATCTACTGCAACTTCATTTGGGTAGTGTGGTATCACTAGATCTGCATATCTCCTTGTTGGATATATATACTCATCATATGATGGTTTTACTGTTTTCTCATATTGAGCCAATATTTCATCTACTTGACGTCCTCTTTCAGAAAAATCTCTTCTAATTCTCCTTATTAGACGAATATCATCATCTGTATCTACAAATATTGACATATTGTAGAGGCGTCGAATCCTTGGATCATAAAGTACAAATATACCCTCTACTATTATAATAGAGGCAGGAGAAACATATCTAACTGTTTCTAATCTCTTGTGCTGTTTAAAACAGTAGTTTGGAATTTCAGCACCCTCTCCCCTGCCTAATCTTTCAAGGACATCATATAACAGATCAAAATCAACCGCATTTGGATGGTCAAAGTTATATTCACTAATTGAACAAGATTCTCCGGGTACAGGTGTCTTATAGAAGCTATCACTATCAATTACTGCTACTCTCTTATCACCCAAATCAGAGTATATCCTTGAACAAACACTTGTCTTACCACTTGCACTACCACCTGCTACAGCTATAAAAAAACAGTTTGAATATGAGTATGGAGAACTATCAGCACTCTTATTTGCACTATATTCACTCATACTGTTTAATCTACTTTGAGATATTATGAATATGGCTTAGCTACCGATAATATTTTCCAGTATCTTGATTTTAAATAACTATAACTATTGGGAGACTACTCAACACAAATAATCCGTTTAAGCGCTAATATAGGCTTATTTACACGGGTAACTTTACCTAAAAACTTAGTTTATATTTCATTTGTTTTAACATTGTTAAATAGTAAGGTTACTATTAGATTTTATTTATACTTAAAGTTTAGAAATATGTAAATTATTTGTATTTATTAGATTTTATATTTTAATATACAATGAATAACTTTCTATACTACTAATGATAATATTCAAAATTATCCTCATTTTAAGATAAAAACAAGGGATTGTTATTAATAGTAATTTAGTTACAATCTTAAGTAAATAAATATTTTGTAGTTTGCAATATATTACTAAAGGGTGTCTAAAGATCTTATTAATAAAACCTCCACTTAAAACTTCATTAATATTTAGCCCCTCTTCCACTTTTGCAAACACTAACCATTATATATTTAATTTTTACTAATTTTTAATTAATATGAGATGTTTGACGACCAACTTATTATCCATAATTTGATTATATCTCCTATAATAAGATGGTTAACCTCTGCAAATCGTCGTTGGAACAAAAAAAATCCTCTAATTGGTATAATATTATCTCTAATATTGCTAATTGTAGTTTGTATACTACAAAATATCCGTACAAGTAGAAATTTCTATCAAATATTAGGAATATCAGGGAATTCTACAAAATCGGATATATCTAGTGCATACAGAAGATTAGCTTTAAAATATCACCCAGACAAAAATCCTGATCCTCAGGCTAAAGAAATATACGCAAAAATTCGTTTAGCTCATGAAGTACTATCTAATGACATCTCAAGGAATTGGTATCGAAGATTTGGAACATTTGAAAATAATATAGATAGATCTCCAGGGCCAGATGGAGATCCAGGATTCTTAAATTATCCTATGCATCTAATGCTAATTCCCCTTTTTTCTACAGCTATACCATTTTGCCTAGCTATTATAATGACTTATAATCAAGAATTTTTAAAGGAGATACTAGTGGGATTTATATTTTGGGTTTGCTCTTGTAATATTCTAATCCGTTTTAGCAGAGATGAAGATAAATTCTTATGGTGGGTTCCATTTTTTGGTGATTTTCTCCCATTTGAAAAAATTCGTGTTTTGGAAGGCTTATATATAACTATAATGAATTGTTATCAATTAGTGTTCCCTGTATTTATAGAGAAATATAATAATAATGAAATTGCAGAATTTTCTCAATCCTTGTTACGAAAGAAGTTGAGGTTAATGTTTCATTTGGAAGATATATATGAATTTATTACAAAAAAATTAGATATTAACTATAATAGAAAATCTTCTAAAAAAGACAAAAGTAAAAATACTGAAGCTAAGAAAGAAAAACCCAAGATAGTTATTCCAAATACTTTTAAATTAGATGTACAAGAAAATATACGTAATGTGATAAGTCAAACAGAAAAAGAATATAATCATTTATTAAAAAATTATTTGGAGATGTCTAAACCTTGGACTGACTATACAGACTCAATAATTAGTTTAATACAAGAGAACCTAGATTTAGAAGACGGTAAATCCTTTATTTCTTTAAGCACAATTTTGTTTTGTGCATTTTGGTTTTATAAGTTTTATTCAGCATTCATGTAATCTTACAAATATTGAATATATGGGAATCATTAATCTATTAGAGAAGAAGAAAGAAAAATTATTAAATAAATATAGATTTATAAGTCATTGCAAATTTTCTATTACCTTTTCTTGTATTCTCAATATCCCATTAGAATTTATCCCAATATCTTCAAGAGTACATGAATAATTATAGTCAACTATATCAATTATTTGACGGTTATTTGTATATGTATATATAGAATGTTCAATTGGTACTCTGTACCATTTCCAACATAAGTGTTTTAAATCATTTACTTTCATATTCTTGTTTACATCAAATTTTCTAGGTAATTTCTCTACACTAAAATATTCAGGAATTATTGTAAGCTTTATGAAATTATTACCAGCTAAACCTTCATTCAAAGACTCCACATTTTCTGGTGTACATAAATTTAATGGTCTATCTTCTAAAATCTGTAATTCATCAAGTATTTCATGTAATGGATCTATAATTTCTATTATAGGATGTCTTTTTATAGTGGCTAAATATATGAAATAACGCCTAGAAGAAGTGAGTTCTTCTTTATTTATTATGCTCCTGTTGAATACTTTCAAATTTGAAAACATTGCAATAATTATATTTCTTAAATTACATTTTGGAATTGGTATCTGATTCTTGTCACATAGATTTTCAATAGTAAGTAGTGGTATTCCCTTAATTGAAAGATTTTCCAAATTTGGAAATATCTTTCGAAACTCTTTAATTGTATTCCATTTATTAATCGGACAATTGTCCATAATTATCTCCTTAATTTCATCAAAAATAAAATCAACAGGAATTTCACTTCTATCTTTATTTACCAAATTATCACTTAAAGGATTATTAGATATATTAAGACTCTTTAAATTTGGGAAACTAGATGATAAAAGTTGTAATAAAGTCTCCCATGATATTAGATCATTTGAGCTGATATCTAAAATTTCAATACTCGTCTTTATAGTATTAGAACAGATTTCTGAATATTCAAATTTATTATTTTGGCATTTCTGGCCAACTAAATTCATTTCTTTATTAAAGGGTATATTCAAGTCCTGATATCTATTAGATGAAATATTTAATTGTTTTAAATTCCCAAATACTCCACTTTCAGAACATAATTCTACAATATATAACAGCTCTACGTTGGTATTCTGCATACTCAATGCTTTAATAGTTTTTATTTTTTCTAGCTTCAAATTTGGTTTATCTTTTAAAAAACGATTACCATTAAGTGTTAAGCATTCAATAGATGGCATATGCGTCAATATACAGTTAATTGTATCCCAATCATATAAAAGATTATTGTTTAAACATGCAGTTTTAACTCTTGTAAGTACTATTTTTGATGTTGGAGATTGCTCCACTAAACAACAATGAGAAATCTTCATTCCTTCCAGTGAGACATACTGGATATTCTTTAAATTTTCATAATATTTAGTTACTTTTTCAAATCCAAAGAAATCTATCTTGGTATTTTCCATTTCTTCTGTATTTATACATGACATATTACACCCATATCGTTCATTAATAGCCTTTTCAAATGATATACCTATATCAAGTTCACTCAAATGAAAAAATTGGCAATTTTCCAATGAATTTGAGTCATCACCAGTAATTAAGACATCTTTATTCTTATATTGAGCTTTAATATAAGCATCTTCATCCCACTTTACACCAACTAGAATATCATCTATAGTTTTGTTTATATTATTACCATAACATACAGTACCAATACATCCATAACTTCTATACATATGTTCTTCACAATGATCATTTATTGGTGTTACTCTACTTCCAATTTTAATATGTAAACTCATAGTGTTGCTTATAAATTATGGACTTACTGTATTCTTATACCCTAGTCTACAACATACAAAATATTGGCTCCTATTTATAGCGCTTACTTCTTTTGATTGCATGGTGTGGAAGCAGAAGTTAAGTTTAACGTCTTGGCAAAAAAGTCTATAAAAATTCTTTTTAATAAAAATACAAGTACAACTAGATATTAGATATTATATCTTTATAATCTAATTATATCAATATTCTATTTTATTAAAGAAAACTCTTTGAGATCTTTCTTGGGTATTTTTAAACTAGAAAAGATATACCCATAGACCCTGATATTCAGACATGTGATAACTACACTTTATAAAAAATTTTAATTTAAAAAAAAATAAATTTATATGAAAAATGGTTATTAACAAGTTCTTTATATATCTTGTATATTAGGCTTAAACTATAATTATAAATGAAAATAGTTGTATTCTAAAAAGTCTAAATATATAACATTTCTAGTATTTTATTCCATTTTATTATATAATAGTATTATAAATAAACCAAACAATAAGTTTTAGTATAAAGAGTACTTTATATGGAACAGAAAGTGTAAAATTCCAACAATTTATATCATCTTAGTTTCATCTTAGTTAAGATCCTATAAATTCCAATTTTCAATATCAATAATTTGTACTTATAATTTTCCCTTTATCTTAAAAAAAGTTCGATATAGTGATAATAATAGTATTTATTATATGAAGTAATATATATATGGAACATTATTATGTACTTAAACCCAAAATGTCTTCTTCAAAAGAAAAAAAAATTCTTTATATTAAATTCACCATTAATAACTAGGAAAAAGTAACCAAAGAAAATAAAACCATTAAGTAAAATCAAAATATATGTAAACCATAAAACTTAGAGATAGCATCTGTACTTTTTCTAATATATTCAATCTTATAAATTTCCTAAAGTATATTACCCTTTATACACTTCAAGTAATAAGAATTATTATACTAAAATGCTACAACTCAAAATTTTATAAGGTTATAATCAGAAATTAAATGAACTTTAATAAGATTTCGTTTTAATATATCAGCTCATTTAATATTCCAACAATTAACTGATTTATCTATGTTTTGTATTAATCTACAGAATTTAAATGAAAATAATACCATTGTCCAGTATTTTAAAAACTAGGTCTTAACTTTTTGTATACCCAAAAAGAAAAATGGGACTTATTGAAATATTAGATATAATCTTGATATAATTACAATTTAATAATATTTCCAATATAAAATTCTTGAGTTAATACAATAGATTAAAGTATAATAGGATACTCTAAGATAATAAATATTTGTAAGTAAATTGAATCTGCGATAAAATTATAAAATAAAATATCTTAGATATCCTATATTAAGACCTCAATCACTTAAGGTTACTCAAATTTACATCTCCATCTAGAATATAATGAGTTATCTTTTTCAATAGTTGTAAGAAAATATATAAAGTATCAATAATTTTTTCCTATTTTACATCTTAACTATCTAAATATTATTACTATTATTTATATTGTCTAGTTTCTTACACTTAGTTCACTATTTCAGTTGAAACCAATTCATCACTTTTAACTTGATTCCAGTGATTTTATATAAGAGTTGCTAGTTCCAATACCTTCTGGAGTCCCAATTGTTTCTTTACTACTTTTAATATCATTTGATGTTATCTCCAATTTATTTTCTATTAAATCAGTAGCAATGTTGCAATTAGTATCAATATTTGCAGTGTTTTCTTGTCTTTGAGTAGTATTTTTATCTAAAATTGTTGCTAAAGAGGCTAATTCATCCAAAGACGATACGGAATTCACACGAAAATGTTCAGATGATTCAATACTTTCAGACTTAATAGTTCCAGTACAATTTCCCTCGTCAATAACACTACTTTTCCGTTTTATCCCTCTGATATTCATTTTCTCCTTACTTTGAGCTAATGATTGAGCGTGTAAATTTATAAATCGTTCCTCTAATCCACACATTGCAGCTATTTGCCACAATTGCTTTGTTGTTGCATTTCGTATATCTGCTACCTTATTTGCTTCTATACGTTTTTCTGGATTATTTCTTAAATATGCAGAAAGTTCACTTTTCAAAAGAGCTCTACCTTGATCACCTAATCTATATTTCCTTGCATGATGAAGCCTTAGCATTTCACTTGACTCTATATTACAAAATTGATCAGATGCTCCCAATAAAGGTGTAGTACTCATTTCAGAAGTTGACCGTCTGGAAGTATTGAATGCCTTAGTATCTTTTACATTTGAAAGTTCTCTTGTTAAAGATTCTTCTTGTATATTCAACTTCATACTATTTTTTTTACTATTTTTAATTCTTCCTCTTTGCCCACTTCTATTTAGTCCTACATTACTATAATTACCAGATGCCTCTATACCTAAATTCCCACGCACAGTTTTACGTAATTTAGTACTAGATTGTGTTTTAATATCATCCAAATTTTGGTTATTAGCTTGGGGATTACTATTAAGTATCATTGGTGATAATATTGGTGATATCCAATTGGAAAAATTATATGGTAAAGAATTATAGGGATTAACTACTGGTAACTTTGGTCCAGTATTACTTGAAACTATTGCTGGCTGTGGAGTTACTCCACTTAAAGTATTAGTACTATATAAACCTGAAAATCTGCTAAATAATGCTGGATTGTGTGGTATAATGAAAGGTGGTGGAGATACGGAAATACCTGTTTGCTGCACAGTAGATGGTAATATTCCAGGATTACTAGTTGTACTCTGCGGTATCCTAGAAGCATTTGAGTTAATAATTTGAGTAGCTGTGTCACCAATTCCCGTATTATTAGTATTTTGAAGTAAAGATGTATAATAATCCGTTAAAAGACCAGGAAATAAGGTCATGCCATTTAACTGGCACAATGGATTAGTTGTAAAATAAGGATTATTTGCATTAATATTTGTAGCTAAATTAGAATTATTTAAATTGTACGCAATATTGTTATTTGAATTTTGCAATAGTGCCTCTATATAACTATTTGTTGGTATAGGTTTGCCTTCTAATACTGGAGATACGCAAGTAGTTGTTGGAACTGAAGCTAATGTTGGAGATACTGTAGAATCATTCCCCATCTTATTATGAATTACATCACTTACTTCATCAACTGAAGTCATATTTATTAATCAAATCTCTTTAAACAAGATTGATTTTTTATTATATATCCAATGTGAACCTAATTTTTATTTCGAATATTCAAAAATAGAAATACATCAAACAAATGACTATGATATACCATTCAAAATGACACCTTTCAAAAGATTCTTATAATTTATGTCTGCATACCTGCTGTCTATAATATTAACTACCCCACGCTTAATTACGAGACGTACATGCTTTATTGCAAGTATTTACTAAGTGGACTGATCACTTTTCTTTAACGTCTATGTCTTGTGAATATAAATATTACAATAGCATGTATTGATCTATTAAATATTTGGAGACGAGACACTACTTGACACAGCTACCAATATACTAGAGACCAGATTAAATCAATACGTATAGATTTAGTAATTCAAAATATTACTGCATTTTACTTTTTCTTTTTAATATTAATAATCTGTCTCAGATTATGTGAACTTAAGTTGCATCTTTTTTTTCATATATAAAAATAATTAAGCATTACTTATAATATTATATTATTTAGTAATACCTCTATTACAAATAATTTTTTTTTATAAACAAAATATAAATAAGTACTGTTTCTAATAATTAGAGATATTACCCATATGACTTAATTAGCGCCACATGCATGCAATGTTATCTCTTATTTAGCGCTATAAATATTTTTAGGAAATATTCCGATAAGTATTAACACTACTAATAAACTTAACTGTATATGATCAACAAACTAGGTAACTATAGTTATATAATATGCAGGTAATCACCTTTTTATTCTATGAAACCAAAAGTTAATAATTGGTCATGTAATATAAATTCTCTTTGTATAACTGAAGACGGATACGAATATTTAAGTATTGGTATCATTTATATTAATCTAATCTCAATAAAACATCATTTACAAACTAAGTTAGATAAATGTAAATTAGAGGATATATATTGTACTTTGTATCTGGAAAATTTGAGCTTAATTGACGAAGATACATGCCCAGAAAGTATAATATTAAAACCACACAATTATTGTACACCTTTTGACAGGAGTTGTGGAATAATACATTTAAAATTTGCTAGTATTGAGAAGTTGATGGTTTATATAAGAAATAATCAAATTAATATTAAGTTCCAATTTTACTATAAAAAATCTCAGAACTATTCAAGAAAAATATGGAATAATCAAAATTTAGTACCAGACACTATATTGGAAAAAGAATATGATTTCAACTTAAATTCAATAATAAAACCAATAAATGATGTATATAAACCAAATATTATTATTTCAGCTAAATATTTTGAAGTAAAGATGTCAATTGCGCTAGAATGGATTGCAATAAAACCAGAAAAGTATCCTATGAAATCTAACTCATCATTTATAATTAATAAAACAAGTGATATGAAAGATATAGAATCTAATTTATCTAAGAAGAATATCTATATACTAGGAAATCAATTTGCAATGCAAAACAGACATCTGTACTCTATTCTATTATCTCCCAAATTACTAGTATCTCTTCTTCCAGCAAAAATATATGAAATATATGAACAGTCAATATGCGAAGATCCTTTGATATTTAATAATTGCTTAGATATAAATAATACAAATATATATATGATTAAAAACTCCGATATAAAAAAAATAAATAATAATAAAGATTCATATTTAACTGATTCCTCTCATTTAAACATTTCTATATTTGGAGGATGGAGTATTCATATACATAAAATATACTTAAATAAGAGGGGATTTACATATCTAGGTGATCTATATCCATTACATAGGAATAATCGATCATATAGAATATATATTCAACATTATATAAAAGATTCATCAATTATAGATGAAAACAAAACCCAATTAAAAAATTGTACTCCTATTCGTGGACATTGGTGTATAATTAATCCAAAATTACAGGATAACTACTTAAAATATAATCAACAAAATAAATTATTGAAGTCAAAAGAAGTTTATGAATCATCTTTAAATATACATTCTAGAATTCCAGAAGTAATCAAAGAAAATTTGGAATTATATTCCTTATATTTTAATATTATTACTCCTAAAGATGACAATATAAAGTGGGAAGATTTAAAAAAAAATCATAATATATTTTGTCATGGAAATATTAGTTCTAATAAAATATTTATAAATAAAGAAAATAGTGTTTTACTTTATACCTTGAGGGAGAAACCATCATTAATTGGATATATGACTCTAACAATAACTAATATAAAAGATCTTATACTTAAATCAAATATATCTGAAAATATCAATTTTAAAGATAATAACTCTCCTTTAATTGATCAGACACAAGAAGATATTTATAATAAATTAAATAAACAAAAAAAGAATAATATTTTGATAGATCAGTTAAGCCTTTTGTTCTTTTTCTTATATATACATTTAGAACTTATTTCTAATTTACAGAATATGACATATATGGAATCTTTAAATCACTTTTATCAACGAATAATTAAAGATAAATTAAATCATCCTAAAAATTTTTATTTTCTAGTAGATGATATATATCGTATTGTGGGCCTTATTCCATATAAATACCTTAATTACATTACTTATATTACTAGATTACTTGATAATTTACCAAAGGATCAATTTGTAGTATTTGGATTTAACCATATTGTTGAAATATTATCATTTCCTCATTTAAAATTACTTGATAACCTTATCATGTCTCTTTTTGATCAAGATTATGAAGATATATCTTTAAATAATTTCTTACTATCATGTGAATCTCTTGGTGTACAAGATTATATTGCAATAACATGGTATTATATGATACAAAATACATCTAAATCAGTTAATTACAAAACATCTCTTAAATGTTTAGATAAATATGGACCCAAAAAGAACTTATTCTATAAGCCTTATTTACAAATTAAAGATAGTACATCTAATATTACATAAAGTTCATATAATCCCAAACAAAATGATTAAAGAAGGCCTAAGTATACTTATCTAATTACTAGTATATTAAATGCCTACTTATTATTCACTTCTTTTTAGTTTATATTAGTTCCTTTTATATGTTTAGCCGTTCTCTCTTTCTTAGTCTCTTCATCACTATCATAAATTGGGTCTTGACTATCAACCTCTCTCCTCTCTAAAATTTCTTCATTGTCTTTAGTTTCATTACCTATTCAGTTTTGGAAATAAAATATCCAAACCTATTATAAATAATATATATTAAAATAAATCCGACTTACCCCAATTATATAGGCCTGATCCTCCTTTTACACCTGATTTATCACCATATGCAGAACTTTTTGGGTTTGCACTATGTCTATCCAAACGAATATCCTTTGCTAGTTTCGTCTTATTTAATGTCATAATTAATCCTTTGTATACACAAAATCCCTGAAATCAGAATCAGAGTACGTATGAGCGCGCATTAAGGGCGGGTTTACCCTTATTAAAATTCTTGTCTTTTTTTAAATATTTAAAATAAAAAGTATAATTTACTATTTAGTACCCATTATCTCTTATTTACAAGATGTAAATATACATGTAATTATTGTACACTTTTATATGCTTGATTTAGAGCCATGAAGATTTTGTGGACCTTGTGTTTATGGTTATCATTTTCTTTCTGATGCTTATCAGGATGACAAACTATAATTGCCTTCCTATATGCTTTCTTAAGGATTTCTATATCTGTCATTAATTTCGAGATTTCTATAGGTTCCCATTGAGCTTCAGGCCATAAAACTTGTTGTAAAGAACTTAATAGAACTCGAATATCCTTATATGAACCATCAGATTTCTTACACCACTTATCTATCTCTATTGAATACTCTTCTATACTATCTTCATCTTTCTGAATATTTAAATCTATACTATTTAATATATGCTTTTTATTGCAATGATCAAATTCACCATTATGAAGTAAATTATCTATATTATAAATTGTTGATGTATATAATGAATTCAGTCCTGTAGTTATGAAATTATCCAATTTTTCATTTTTATCTATTAATTTCTGATCTTGGATATTATATTCTAATATTAATTCATCTTGGTATTCTCTATTACTGTTAAAAACCAAATTATTATTAGCTAAACCATTTAAAACTTTATAATTACTTAATACAAGTACTTTTAATTCTATAAAATCTCCATCAAATTTTACAAAGCTAGAATCTTCGGTTAAATCATGCCATACCCATTTATATATTTTATTTGGATCATTATCCTTATATCTGAACATAAATTTACATGTACAATCCATAGATATTTGACAACGACATAGCTTATCAAGTGGTAAGAGTTTCTTTATATATTCTAAATCTAATTGTAATTTATTTATATTTCTTGGAAGTAATATCATATTCCAACTTTTGTCCTTATTTAATTTTTCAGATATTCTATCATTTATATATTGAACATAATAAAGAATATACTTGGATCTTAAGGAATTATTTAAAGTTTCTCTAATAATATTAGAATTAAAAAAATTATCATTATTTTCCATAGAGAATATTATATTATTATCCATTATTTATATTTTCTTCCAATTTATTTTTTATATTCCTAGATATAAACAAATTATTAACCATATATATATAATCATAAGATGTTTAAATTCTGAATAAACTAATAGATAATTAAAAATTTTCAGTTACCTTTGTTATTTTCAAAATGATTTAAACTTATAAAAATGAACTTTTAAGAAGTATCTATAATAATTATTTCTAAATTCATTCCAGAACATCAACTAAGGCGGATAAATGACAATTGTTTAAAAAGAATCAATTATACTAAAGAACTCAACTTCACATTTATGAAAAAATATCGAAAACATATGATATTGGAATATTAATAATACAAGTAAATATTACAATATCTATGGTATATTTTTATTATATAAATCTATAATACTAATGTATTAGAATTTATTAGTGAAGTATTTATATTTAATTATTTAATTTAAATTAATCAGACTTTTTATAGAACGATTACTTAATTATTAATAAAAGATTAAAGGGAGTGTAAATATTAAAACATTATAAGTTTAAGTCTAAATATTATACATTAGAGGCAATCAATATATAGATTACATCTTTTGTGGTTATTTCCACGCGTTCTAACTTAAGCTGTATTATTACATATTTAATAATAAGCTTAAGATAACTTTGTGACTAATTCCATACGATTTAACTTAAGCTTGATTATTACATATTTAATAGTAAACTTAAAATAACTTTGTAGCTAATTCCACATGATTGAACTTAAGCTGCATTATTATGTCTAATAGTAAGTTTAAGATAACTTCTTATTTAAAGATATAAAAATATTAATTGCTACTAAATATAAATAGAAATAATTCACCCTAATTTATAAAAATATTGATTTAACTATAAGTTATTTTGAAATATTGGTAAATTACTTTTAAATATATTCTCAAGTATTAGCCTTATAAAAATAAAAATAAACTTCTGAAAGAATCTTAATATTCATTTTCTTTAGAAAAAAAAGAAAATATAAATAGGAAAATTAACTAGTTAATATATTTAATATATAATTAGTATTATATTAAATAAGACTTCTTAATAGATTATAATAATATCAGTATTAGATAAAAGGACAGTAAGCATAAAAGTCCAAGCTCTTAGGCAAGACAAAATATTTATGTAGTTTAAAAACTTATCCTATTGGAACAATTATATATCAAAAATATATTAAAGACTTAGGCATAATAAACTTATTAACAAGAAATTTTCATATTTATTAAAATGATTATGTACATAGAAATATACTAAAATAAAAAATATTTCCTTAATTTAAGACTATCTTAAGCTTAAAGAAAAAAAGAAGAAAAAAACTTAATTAGCCATAAATTCTGATAGGTTTTCCCATAGTACTTTTAATTGTAAGACTTTTAATATTATGCCAATTCTTCTTCAAAAGAGATACTAGAAAATTGATAGCTAATATCAAGTTCTGACGAATAGCCTCTTCAGACATCTTAATATTCCCAATAGCAACACCTAAACATAAAACCTTCTTTAACTGGAACTTAATACTTGCCTTTAATTCATTAACTTTCTCATCTATCTTGTCTGTTGGAGTAATAACAGTTGGAAATTTACCAGCCTTGTTCAAACCTGGACCAAGTAGACGAGGAATCTGAGCTAAAAGTTTTTGTGAAGCTAAGAACATATCATATTTCTTACATAACTTCTTAACTACTTTCTTATTCTTGTTAATCTTTTTCATTTCCTCAATATCTATTACATCAAGACCTAAATTTTGAGCTTTTTCACAATCAGCAGCATCTCCCATTACACAGACACGTGCATTTGGTTTAGGAATATGTGGAAGGCGAACAGTACCAGCAAAACGTTTATCTCTTTGTGTATCATAATCTTTAAGACCTATTTGTAGCTCAACAGTCTCAATAAATTTACGTGGTTTTTTGTTTGAGCCCTCCAACATCTCAGTAATTGCACGACGAATTGCTTCACTATTCAACTTTCCACTCATTACTTTAGTTTTTCTCCCAACGTAAACTTAGATCTTTATTTACAATTACCTTTATTTTTATCTTCTTTATTCAATTGACTTTGTCCACAATATAAATACAAGTAGTCAATATTCCTTTATTAATAATATTATAAAGTCCTTAAAGAAGTATAAACGTCTCGTCGTCTTATTTAGACAATAATAATAAAATATAGTCCGCCTTATTTGACTGTACATTATTGCACTGAATCACTTCTTTTAGTTTTTGTCTCAAGACGTCTATTCCAAATTATGAGACATATACAACTTTATTAGCGCTTTAGATTTTATTATTAACCCGTACCCTGATCCCTAATATTATACATGGAAGTTTGTATCTTCTTTTTTGTTTTTATTAAATCTCTACTAATGATCTAACACTTCCATTATATTTAAACTTTAATATTTACTAATTTCTCTTTAGTAAATATTCAACTTAGATATCTCTTATATCCTTTGTATTATAGTCACAATTATATTATGTCAAAAACTAAGACATTAATCAGAAATGAGAAAGGTGACCTAATTACAAAATCTTGCAGAAGTGAAGATGACAAATCTATCCGAAAAAACTACCAATATAAAACTCAATATAATTATAAACATGATACAAGACGTTACGATGATTTTGGTCGTATCAATAAGAATTATAGAGAAGAATTTAAAGCTAAAGATAAATCTAGAGAAATAGATAATAATATTAAACATAAAGAGAAAATACAAAAACTTGAAAATAAAAGTATTATACATAATAATCATCAAGATACACATAATGAGCTTTCTGAATCAGAATTAATCAAACAAATTATTGGCATTAAAGATTTTGATACCTCAAAAAATAAAGATCATGCAAATTCCGACTTATCAGGTGTTAATGTTAAATCAAAAAGGAAATATAGACAATATATGAATCGTCTAGGAGGATTTAACAGATCATTGTCACCTGTTCAATAATTTTAAAAGTTTTATCTTATATTTTAAGATTGAATAATTATATTATTTGTTTCAATTTGAGGATAAGTTTTAAGGATAAAATCTGCAATTGTAGTATAGAAGTCTCCTTGTACATCTATATGATCTACCTTTCCATTAATACCTTTAACAACAGAAGATCCACATGAAAAGTGTTTTGCAAATTTCTTTGCAGCCTCAGATAATGATATATCAAATAATTCTAAACCAGTAACTACAGTTACACTCTTCCTTCTAGCTCTGCTCTCGACCTTTACAGTAACTATCTTTGGTTTTGATTTCTTAACTTTATATAACTTCAAATTAACTGTTTCATTTTGATTTGTTTCACAAATATCTTTTGATTGTTTATCATGTATTTGTTGATTTCCTTCAGTTTCTAAGGAATCAATAATATTTTTATTTATATCAGATGTTTTATTAACATTAACATTAGATTTCTTTAATTCTAGGCAAATTTCTGGGGTAGGACCATATTCACAATAGTCAGGTGGCAAACCACACTTTGAGCAATAAACTTGTACGAATGCCTGCTTTATTGTATTTTTCTCAAATTCTTGAGATGCCATTTCCCATATTACAATCCACACTAAGACCTTTATTCAGGTATTAAAATTAATGCGCGTAACAATGGATAATTTTCTACTTGGTCTAGTCCCTAATTAAATATTCCAAAATTCATTAAATTTTTTTGATAAATAACTTAATAGAAATAAATATAGAAGATAAAAATGGATTAATGGGATATTATCTTATTAAGGTATATTTCATTAATATAATAATTAGAGAAAATTATATCTTAATATATTTATTAGTATAATAAGTTATCTTGTATATATTCACTTATTAATATATATTTCTAGTTTCTTGTAATTTATTTTAGAAATTTTTTTTATATTTTTAGGAAATATTAAGAGGCTAAATTATTATTTATAAAGAATCTGTGTAGATACTAAATATTATTATCACACTTGTGGCGCTATTTTATTTTGTGGACTTACATGAAACGTTTTTAATTCCAAAATTAAATAATAAAATTTAGGGGGTAAAAATTTTATATTGTGACTCTTTAGAAATTAATTTTTAGCTTATAATATGCAACGTTTTGATGCATTTTCAAAACCTATTGCGGAATTTCGCATTAAAACTGCATTTGGTGGATATCTTACTATCCTAAGTATTTTAACAATGCTATTTCTGTTTTACTCAGAACTTCGTTATTATTTGAAAGTAAATAGGAATGATGAAATTACTGTTGATAAAACTTTAGCTGGTGGAAATGTTAATATAAAGATGCTTGTGGAATTTCCAAAATTACCTTGTGAAGTAGTAGGACTTCGTATACTTAATACCCAAGATAATACAGAATTTTCACATCCAAAAGATAGCATTATATATATTCCAATAAATCCATTAAATGAAGAATCTAATATAGGATCATCTTGTGGTTCTTGTTATAATCCCTCTAAAAAGAACCATTGTTGTAATACTTGCTCTGAAGTAATAAGATCCTATCAAGAAGATAACATAAAACTTCCACAAAAAATTAATTTTGAACAATGTAAATTTGATCCAAGAGAACGTTTAGAGAAAGCTATTTCAGCTCCTTTAAATATTTCAGGATGTAAAATTAAAGTAGATATAAATATTCCAAAAGTTAAGGGAAGAATTGAAATTTCTCATAAACGTTGGATGAATTATAATGAGATGACTAACTTAGATATATCAGAAGCCCATTTATATAATTTTTCATATATTGTTAAATATTTGCATTATGGTGATGATTTACCAGGAATTAATAATATATGGAATAACCAAGAGTACATACAAACTGCTAAATTTACTCATAATAAAGAATCTGATAATCTATTTTTAGAGGATGCTCATTTAGATATTGATATGCATTGTATTCCTACACAATTTAATTCTATAAATAGTAAAAAAACGAAAATTGGACACCAATTTTCTGTAAGGAAACAGAGTAAACAAGTTAATGTTTTAAATAATGGCCGTTTTGTTCCAGAAACATCTTTGCCAGGAATTTACATAAATTATGATTTCACCCCTTTTATTGTAAAGATAACAGAAAGTAGAAGATCATTTTTATCATTTTTGACTGAATGTTGTGCAATTATAGGAGGTATATTTGCATTTTCAAGTATGATTGATATATTTATGTTTAAATTGTCATCATTTTTAAATAGGATACATAATAGTAATAATAAGCATGTAGTTTTACAGAATTTTTAATTCTAGACAAAAGATTAATTTTATAGAGAATAAAATTTTGTAATTTTATGGTCTATTATGGAAATTTCAAGAATGTAATTTTATAAATTTGGTAACAATATTAATCAATGTTTGGCAAATAGATATTACCAATTTAGTTATACTTGCAAGAGTTAATAATTGAATATTTAAATTTTAAAGTAATCTTTTAATAAATTATTTGATTAGTTAACAAATTATTGGTAAAGTGACAAAATAGTCTGTGATATGATTTGATGTACAGGGGAGTAATATATTTAAGAACTTTCTCAGTTACTCAAAGAAAATAGAGGGATACTTAGAAATTGTAACAAAGATATTTTGATTTAAGACTTGATTATATTTTAGATTTAAACATTATTTTATCACTTATATTTTGTATAATTTTTTGGTAACTATATTCCTACTAGCTATTTTCGACATTTTCGGCACTTTGATAACTAATATACATTCAACAAATAAGAATTATTTGCTATATAAATTTGTAATGCTAGACAAGAATTTACACCTTAATTTTGACAATATAATTTGTTGATACTATATGGATAATATTACTTAGTATTTATGGAATTTATATATAATAGCTGATTATTAAATAGCAATATTTAGGTCTGATTTAAAAATGAAAATTCTAGGATTATTGCTGGTTTGAAAAAAAAAATTTGCAAATCTAAGATAGTTAAATACTATTTAAATTCTATTCTTTAGAGATATAGAATTATTAAAGTTTAAATTTTCTTAATTCTTAAGCACTACTATTAGAAAAATAATTAAAGCTATAACCCCAATAATAGCTCCTATTATAAAAGCTCGTTTAGCTTTTGTCCATATTGAGGATGTTGCAGAAGAAATAACTTCCCCAATTCCCTTCCAATCTACATATGTTCTGTTCTCAGTAATATCTTCAAGAAAAGGATCTACATTTGGAGGATCTCTACCTTTACCTACTGGATTAACATCTGAAATTTTACTAGGTACAATAGCAATTTCTAGTTCAACTTGTCCCTGTTGAAGATTAGTTTGTATAGGATGTGTGAAACCATACCAAGTTCTAGGAATTCTAAGTATTTGAGATGAGTGTTTTCTAGCCTTTCCAAAATCATTAGAAAAGTCAATTGAACATTCCCCTATATTTTCACTTTGAATTAAACCATAGGACCATAGTTGGACCTTTAATATAGGATATTGGGTGGGAATTTTAATATTATATACAAATCTCCAATTAAAAACTCCCGTTCCATCTTTTGAGTTATAGTGAGTTTCAGTAGATTGTGTTTCACTATTATTTTCCTCTTGGTTATAAACAGCACTTACATATAGTGAGATTGATGTATTCGATTCTACTGGGACTTGTCTTACACGCCAGACTACAATTCTAAGTTGAAATGTTTGTGGATCTGCAGAAGCTAATGGAGTAACTGGAATAGCTTTTGCAGCTTGTTCTGATAAAATTTCATACCATGCTCTGAGAGTTCCATGAGACACAATACTGTTGTCAATCCGTAAAGTTCTTAATTCTATGGGTACAGTGTTTGTCTCTATCATTGTCCTAACTTTGGGATGAAACCAACGATCTTCTATATCAATGAAAGTAGTTCCAATTACCTCTTCACTCATAGTTCCAGTTCCAATTAAAGAGATTTTTACAAAGGCATTTCGTGGTAGTATACAACCTATTTCATAGACTTGATTAAACTCTGGTCTGTATCCTTGATGTCGTACATAACCAATATCTCTAATATTACTTGGGTAAAGACTCCTCTTTTTAGATTTAGATATATTACTATCACTTTCTTGAGATCTAATATATATATATACAGAAGGGTTAGCATCACCACTGGGAGGTAACAAACCTCGAGCTGATAGTATGTAACACCTTGCTACTATAGGTTTCATTGAAGTATATTGATCTGCAATCCATTGCCTAGCTGTTGTAAAATTTTTTAGTTCTTCTTCTTCCAATCTTTTAATTTGATTTCTGACAATATAATCTTGACCATCTCTAGGTTGTTGTGTGATACAAAGGATATATTTAAGATAGCCAACAACATAATACAAACCTTTACTATTTAACTGTACTAATGGCAGACTTTTATAAGGGAGTTCTGTTAAATCTAAATCTTGCTCCATTTCGTAAGGTATTTCAAACCTCTCATCAACCTCATCATCAGCAAAAACTTTTAGATCAAAGTTCAAGAGGGTTGCATCAAACCCAAAAATAGTTCCTACAGCTTTAAGTTTAGAAGCCATATTAGCTTGATCTTCATCATCTGCTAATATATTTATGTATTTATTGTCTGTATTATCTTGTGATACTTTATTTATATCCACTTCAATTTCTAGAGATCTATTATCAGCTCTAATTAAATCTACAACTGGATATAATAGTGAATTAGCTGCATCTGGATCATATATAGATCCCGTAGATGCTAAAGCACTTGTTGGAGCTACCAATGATTTCATATTATTTAATACTTTCTTATTATTTTTATCTTCTTCTGTATTTTGAGTAGTTCCAACTATTGAATTCTTTTCTATACTAGATTCAAGAAAAATATCTTCTTCTGTTGTAAGATGAAAAAATTTATCACTATCTTTTTTAGTATCTTCATCATACCAAGGAATAGTGTTATTGAAGTACAGAGTGCCAAATCCTGAAATACTATCTGAATTTCCAGAATAACCTGAAACCTCTCCATGTACTGTAACTTCAAAGTATGATTGAAAAACATGCCTTTTTGGTAACTCAGCTGTTATAGCAAAATCATGAAGAAAATTCCAGTTTCCCTCATTTCCAGTAGCATTAGATGGAGTTGTGTCATGCCACAGTGGAACACTGGAAGTATCAACTTCCCGACCATAAGAAATTGAAACTACGGGATTTTTAATAGACTCAAACATTCTAATTCCTACTATGAAAAGTCGAATATCTGCTGGGATTGTTGAAGGACGAATATCATCATAGAATGGGTAATTTTTGACTTCTATTTCAGAGACAAGTTCAAATGAACATAAAATCATTGTATTTGTATTATTTTGAGCATTTCCAATAGTAGATCTAAGTTTCAGCCATACTGGGAGTGTCTTCCAAACTTTAGGAACCTCAGTAAGCTTATAAGTTGTATATCCAAGGCGTTGTTCATATCCTATATAGCTTAAATTCTGATGATAAACTTCTATCAATATATCTGAAGCAAGTGATAAATTTTTTGGTAGTGAAACTTTAGTTTCATAAGCTTCATACCACTGTGGTACATATGTCGTTTCAATAGTACGAGTTTGAATTGATTGATCCCCTATAGAAATCTTAACATAAGGATTTGGAAGAATTGAAGATATCCCTGGAAGATTCATTCCTTCATAAATAAATGATCTAAAAAAAAAGTGATTTAAAGAATATTCAAGACGTTCTGGACGATCTGAAGCTGTATTTGCAGCAACAATCGTTATATCAGCTAAAACATTGAATATGTACCCATTATTAGAATCATAAATAGATTTTAAACTATACCAAGTAGGGTTTCCTGCAACTTCTCTTGAAATATTCTCTAAAGCTATCCTTGTAAACGATAATTTACTGTATTTTGCAGAAGTCCAAAGGCCTTCTCCACTTCCAGTTATTGCATAAATAAACAAGTCCCATGGATCTTGACCATCTGATAAATAAAAATATGTCTCATCTAAGCGACCACTTTGAGAATCAAATATTAGGGGCTCTCTATACATTGGCATAGATGGAGATGCTACAGTTTGAGGACCAATACAAAACTCCAATATAACTTCTCCTTGGTAATCTGGCCTACAAGTCACCTCATATACATCAATCCATAAAATATATCGTGTCATAGGAGGTTCATTTACTAGAGGAGCAGATTGTATTGATTTAATATTACATTTTTGACATTTCTGAGCTATAGCTGATATCAACAAACGTCCAGCATAACTACTTGGAACAAGAGATGTCACGGACGTATTTGAAGATGCAAATAATTCAGCTGCGCCCCCAGAAGGTGGCTGAGTCCAGTAAAGATTAACCCAAGTTAAAGGAAAAGGTTCTTTGAATAATCTGAAAGCATCAAGACGAAATTTACCTAATAATGTTGGTTTGGATTCTCCATTCCATAACTCAATAATTACATTTGAATCAGAACAAGGTGAATAAGCTGGTAATGAAATCATTACTTTCCATACAGGATTAGATTCATTCTTAATGCATTTAGTGGACATTGTAGATACACCATGTCTCACACATACAAATGGTTCAACTAGATTGTACATCCCTGTAATTGGAGCTATATCCTGACCCTTGTATATATTTATTCCCAAATTATATAGAGTTAAAGTAACTTCTGGTCCTGCAGCTATTCTAGCTACTTGTTCATTTTCAGATCCATTTACCAAAGCTGAACTTTCATCTATAACAGGGATTTGATCAGCAGGGGCAAATATACCAACTGTTAGTAATATATAACCCATTACTTCCCAAGGCTTTTCTGCTAGAATTAAAGGTACCCAGTTTCTGTACATCCAGTGTTGATTTCTATTATAAATATAGTTGAAACTTAAAATATGAGACCCAATTGTTGCACTAGATAGGATAAAGGCATGCATAACATTTACTTCTATAGAGGAACACTCAAAATCTGCCTTTGTTAAGGTGACAGTGAAGTTATACGATGCTTGAATTGATGCAGAAGATACTGCAGTTTGTTTTGAAGTTGTACGAATTTGATCTCCTACTTTTACCTCCACATAAGGGTTTGGAGTGATATCTTGACTTCCATTGTTGAACTTTAGGTCTCGTAGCTCATACACATCAATTCGTATATTGTACTCGGTTGTTGGTTGTAACATTAGATCAAAAGGTCATCTCCAAACATCAAAAAGCCTAAATATAATGAAATTGGAACTTAAACTTTGTTCATTGTATATTCCTTGTGTTAGAAAGCTACTCCTTCTATAAGCAGAAATGTAAACATTAATAGCGCTAATTTATACCGCTAAAATAACTAAAAGTTGGGAATAGGTGAAATAGTATGGGTTCCATAGCTCAATTCCAGAATACTACAATCTTCTACACAGATAATTACCTGAATTTTAGATTGAATATTTTCAGAATAATGAAATAGTCATATGCAAGACTAATTATATGCATCTTGAAAATGACCCATGATGTTATGTGTGACTTTCCTAAAGTAAAGGACATATCTGAATGGCAGAAGCTATGTTCATGTTATAGATTTCATTCAGAAGAGGAGTATAAATTAGATTGGTGGTTCAGTGTAATTGATTGGATTTGTGCAAATAATAATTCTTTCTTAGTCAATATTAAAGATGTAAGGAAAACCTGCCAAAAACAATTTAAGGAGTGGCCAATTGAGATCTTATGTTTACCAAATATTTTTAGAGCACTTGTCAATAAACGGAAGATTGTTGAATTGGATTTAGTTTTGAATAAAATGGAACTTATATGGGAAGAAGCATCCAAAGCACAATTAGGAAATTATATACAAAGAAGTAATTCAAAATTGAAATGGTTGGGATCTCTTTTTGGTAAATTATATTCTAATTTTGATGAAGATATCAGTTATGTGAGTATATCAGAAACTCCTATTGAAAATGAGAATACACAATTTATTTGTATATCCATGATTAAGAAAAAGTTTTGCAAATTTTTCCAAGATTTGAATGATGGTATAATTGGGGTTATATCATCTGTTTCAGTTGACGAACAGATTACTATATCTAAAAGTAAACTTGTTGATTATGTTTCGAAGAATTATGAGATGATACAAGAAATTCCTTGTAGCAACATTGTAGATGTTATTATATGGTATATGATGATCTTTTCTCCTCATCAATGGGTAGCTAAACCCTTTACTACATGTTCTCCAATATCTAAAACAACCATTCATGCTGTGAAATTTCAAAAAACTTCAACAGCAAGACAAGTACTAAAGTGGAGTGAAGTTTCTATAAGCGAATCTGATCAGGCTGAAATTTTGTTAATCGCTACAGAGGAAAATTTGAATAGAACACTTGCAAATCTTGAGGAGAAGTACTTATTCCATGATAGGAAATGTAGGGAGTATGCACTTGCAGACCAGAAACAGCTGGCTATTAATCACTTAAAACAGAAACACAATATTGAGAAGGCTTTGAATGATATCAATGAACAGCTTTTAGTTCTGAGTAATTCCAAGGTTATCAGGGATTCTTCTACTGTAAAGATGTCAGTATTAAGTGCCTTAGAATCATCATCAAATGTTACAAAACTTAGTCTAGATGAAAATGAGGCTTTGAAAAAAGTGGAAAATATTGCAGAAGTACAAGATGAACTGCAAAATTTACAAAGATCTATAGATTCTCTTGTAAAGACATGTATATCTGATGATATAGAACGTGCATCTGAAGATATAGAGTTGGAGAAAGAATTAGATACTTTGCTTACCAAAGTATATATTGAAAATAAGCTAGAAAAAAGTACTATGAAGTTTATGGGGAATGAAGTAGATAAAAGTAATATCTCAAATACAAAACCACAAGATAAAATTTCGAAATATGAGGCTACTGAAAGTTTTATACCCCTAAATTCCTAATTAGGAATAAAATATGGAGAATAGAATTTATTTTTGAAAACTAATAATGAATACATTATATATTTTTATTGTACCCATATAACATATTGAGTATTATCCCAACCACTGCTTGTAAAAATCATTACCTTTATCATCAATCACTATAAAAGCAAGAAAGTTTTCTACCTCAGCTAACCAGACAGCTTCCATTCCAAGATCTTCAAAGTCCAATATTTGAAGTTTTTTGATTTTCTGAACACTATGAAAGGCTGCAGGCCCTCCTGGGACTCCAAGGTAGAATCCTTTGTGTTTCAGACATGCTTGTCTTGCAATTTCACTTCTATTACCTTTAGCCAAGGTAATGAAGCTCCCCCCTGCTTCCATGAATGGATCAAGGTATAGATCCATTCTACCAGCAGTAGTTGGACCTAAAGATCCACTAATCATATTTGGTGGAGTTTTTGCTGGACCTGCATAATATACAAAAGGATACTTTAACATGTAGTTTGGTAGTTTTCCAGTCTCTTTAAGATTGGACAAAATTCTAGCATGCGCAATATCTCTTGCTATTATTAGTGTACCATTTAGATTAAGTCTTGTACCTACAGGATAATTTGAAAGAATTTTCTGGACTTCTTTTAAAGGAAGATTCAAATTTATATGGATAGTTTCACTACTTTTTTCGATTTCACTACTAGAAATTTGATCTGGTAGAAATTGAGCAGGATTTTCTTCAAGTTGTTCCATGTAGACCCCAGTTTTATTTATTTTCACCTTCACTTGTCTATCTGCAGAACAAGAGACTCCAATACCAACAGGGGTATGAGCCCCGTGTCTTGGTAACCTAATAACCCTAACATCATGACAAAAATGTCTACCACCAAATTGAGCTCCAATACCAATATTTCTACTTAGTTCAAATATCTTTTGTTCCCATTCTATATCTCTAAAGGCTTGCCCAGTTTCATCTCCTGAACGTGGCAAGTCATCCAAATAGTGCGCAGCCGTTAGTTTTACAGTCTTAAGACATTGCTCAGGTGATAAACCTCCAATTACCACTACCAGATGATAAGGAGGACAACCCGATGTTCCAAGCTTTCTAACTGCATTAATAAGAAATTTCATCAGCTTCTCCTCATTAAGTAACGATTTATTTTCTTGGTATAGAAATGTACGACTAGAGGACCCTCCACCTTTAGCAATAACAAGTAGTTCATATTCTAATGGATTGTCAAAATTTGTCATAATATCTATTTGAGCTGGCAAATTACACTTTGTATTTTTTTCTTCAAACATACTTAGGGGACTTAGTATTGAATATCTTAAATTATTTTGTGTATAAGCATTGTAAACTCCATGGGAAATCGCTTCTTCATCATTACTTTGAGTCATTATATATTTACCTCTTTTTGCAAAAATACAAGCAGTCCCTGTATCTTGACAGCTCGGTAAAATTCCTCCAGAAGCTACAGATGCATTTTTAAGTAATTCCAGAGCAATAGAGCGATCATTTTTTGATGATAAGACATCATCATAAATATTCCTTAAACTTTGTAAATGTTCTCTTCTGTAGAAGTGTTGAATATATATTATAGCTTTTTGAGTTACAGATGTTAATACTTCATTTGGAACAAAAAGCATATCCAAGTCTTTGCTTTTAGGATCTGTATCAGTGTTTAATTCAGGGCTTCTTAAAAAATGTCTTTGTTCAATAAGTGAACTCTCTTCTAATTTTTTATATTTTGTCTCTAAACTATGTAAACTATCATCAGAGTACTTTTTCCGAAATATATTAGAATATGAAAACTTAGGTTGGTAACTACTTGACATAAATAGTTTACACATCACATTACAACTTTGTTTTCTTAGAAAAAGTCTCGAACTCTTATAAATACTTTTGTTCATAGTTATAGTTCTAAAGAAAAGTGAAGAACGTCAAAATTCACAACTAAGAGTAAATAAAATCTTAAACGAGGATTTAAAAGATAAAAGAGTAAGATCTAAAAATACATGCAGTATATAGCTACAGAATCAAGCTCATCTTGAAAATCAAGTTATTAAACTAAATCTAGAATTAAGGAAGAGAATTTTCTATCATAAATAACACCTAAGAATTTGGTAAAATTATTTCTATAAGAGATAACAAAATAATAAATTCAGATATATTCTAAGCTTATCCCTTCTATCTCTTTTAAAGCTTATCCAAGTAGTTATCCAAAGGTGGAATTTCATCTTTTATGTTCTTTCTCTTTCTGATAGATTTAACAAGTTCTTCTGTCTTGCTTCCTTTCTCCAAAGGATCTCCATTAATCAATTCCCAGTGATCAAATACACATTGAGGGAAGGCCTTACCAGAAGTGGCAGCACGGAGAACAGTTGTAAACTTGAATGAATCTGCTACAGGTAAATATGCCTTAATTTCTACCTGAGGAGTACCGGCTTTTGGTTCTTCATGGAATACATGACCTCTCCTTTGATTAAGAGTTGCATAGATACCTCCAACAACCTCCTGAGGAGCAGATATTTCAACCAGGAACATTGGCTCCAAAAGTCTCGGAGAAGCTGTTAATTGAGCTGCATACATAACTCTACGGCAAGTTGGAGTAATTTGGCCTGCACCACGATGGATAGCATCTGCATGTAAGGTCACATCCAATAAGTTAAAACGAATACCTCTCATATCCTCTTCACACAATATACCTTCCTTAGTAGCCCATTGAAATGCAGAGTTACAATGATCCTTGATTTCATTCAAATACTGGATACCTGTTGTAGAATCTATCAGAAGATTTGGGCCTGTAGTCTCAGGACCGAAACACCAAATCTTCATGGCGGTATTTTTGTCAAAACCATATTTATCATGCAACACATTACATCTTTCTTTAGGATCATCCCGAGGAGTAATCTTGCCCTCTTCAATATCATCTGCAAGACCATCTGGTAAAGGTTCAGCTACCATATAAAGTCTATTATGTTTGTTTGGAGATTTGGATAAACAAGTTTGACTTGAAATATTAATGACAGTTTCCCTATATGACACAATAGGATCAGATGCTATAATCTCAATTTGAGCATATTCTTGTTCTAAGTCCTGTAAACATATTTCAACATGCAACTCTCCACAACCAGCAATAATATGTTCGCCTGTCTCCTCTTTAGTGCAAACAACCAAAGGATCTGATTTAGAAAGTTTCTTTAATCCTTCAACCAATTTGGGTAGCTCTTTATTATCCTTAGGACGAACAGCTACACGAACAACTGGTGATACAGAATATTTCATACATGCAATATTGTGGGCAGTCTCAGAGGTAGCAATAGTTCCAGATTTGAGTAAATATTGATCAATACCTACTAAACCCACAGTATTTCCTGCAGGAACATCAGGAATTTGCTCTACATAGCGTCCCATCATAAGAACAGTACGTTGAATATTCTTAATATTTAAATCCTCCTTACTTCCAGGGGTATATCGTGGACCTTGAATACGAACCTTCTGACCAGTTCCAACAGTCCCTGAAAATACACGACCAAAAGCGTAGAATCTACCCTTATCACTAGTAGGAACCATTTTAGATACAAACATACATAAAGGAGCATTAGCATCACAATTTCTAATACCAATAGCTGTCTCATCATCTTGAGGACCTTCATATAAATTCTCAACACGATATCTCTGAGCTGTTGCTGGAGATGGTAGATGTGTAACAATCATCTCCAACAGAGTATCACCAGCATTAAGCCACAATTGCATTACTTTCTTAAGTAAAGGTTTATCAACTAGATTCTTATCATCTCCTTTTAGCTCAATACCCAAATTAGTTAACATTCTCTCATATTTTGATTTATCTCCATTCATTATAGAGCTGAACAATTGACAAATAGGGTCCATAATAAATTGACAAAAAGCTCTCTTGCTGCCCGATTCATGGGTTTTTGTAAATTTCTTGGTATCAGGATTGAAGAAGTTGTCGCCCCATAAACGTTGCATCATTTTAGACTTCTCAACTCCGAATTTCTTGGCATATATACGAGCAAATTTTTCAATAGTAAATGCCCAACCATGTAAACCTGAACCAAATGAAACTGTCCCTTTCTCAGGGAATACCTGAACATCACCCATAAGTGCATCAGAGTATGTAGAAATAATAACATTCACATTCTCAATAACACGAGTAAAATTCTGATATATATCCTCAGCTTCCCACTGTAACTCTAATAGAGCTCTATCAACTTTGTTAACATGTAAAACTGGACGGATTCTTTCATTTAGTGCCTGTCTTAAGACTGTTTCTGTCTGGATACATACACCATCCACAGCATCAACAACTACCAAAGCACCGTCTGTAACGCGAAGAGCTGCTGTAACCTCAGAAGAGAAATCTACATGCCCTGGAGAATCTATTAAGTTGATCAAAAATGGCTGTCTACCATTACCATCTTCCAGATCATGCTCAAAAAATAAGGAAATCCCAGTGGACTTAATTGTAATACAGCGTTCTTGTTCATCTGCACGAGTATCTGTAAAACGAGCATCTCCAGCTGCCTTAGAAGCAATAATACCTGCCTTACATACCAAAGAATCTGTAAGTGTGGATTTACCATGGTCTACATGGGCAATAACAGACATATTACGAATGTTATTTGGTTTACCCATAATCTCTCTAATTTGTTCGACTGTAAAGTTGACCATTGTTAAATAATACTTCTCTTGTAGACTACTACTAAATCTTAAACTAACAGCTTGGAAATCTTCTAATGATTTAAATTCAAAACAATGCTTTGATTATTTAAATTAAGCACTGTTGTCTCATCTGCTATAAGTTATTTAAGAGACATTTTTACCACTTAGACATTGTACCGCCACAATACGTGTATCTAATATAATATTAGCTGCACCTTCAAGATGGTAATTGGGTTGCGGGGCCAAAAAAACTGTTAAAGATCATTTGAGTTAGAGACGAGTAAACTAATGGGTGATATATATGGCCATTTTAGCGGTAATAATGAAATTATTTATATTTCATTTAGGACACTTTTTATTGCTTTTTAAACAGCTGCAATAAGTAATTTGTAGGTTCTTATTGCAAAATTAACTTAAGCTACTTTTATATATCTTTAATTTATTTTGGTACATATGTTTTTGAATTCTTGAGTGAGATATGTTTACTTATATATACTATATATATAGTTTCTAATTTATACTATGTATACTACTATATATATTTATATAATGATGGATCTCTATTAATTAAGAGATATCTTGTGCTTAATCTTGTACTTTATAAAAAGTATGAGATACCAATTATAACCCACACACAATCGGTATCCCGCATTAATTCTGATAAATTAAAAGGATTAATAGAGGGAGGGCGTTAGGCAAGTTTTTAGAATTGATTGAACAGCTTTCTAAGGAAAACTGTATTACTAACGAATTTAAAATGAGCATAACTCAAAATAACAACTTGTGGGTTGAGAAGTATCGTCCAAGGCAGATAGCCGATATATATCACCAAACTGAGGTTGTCAAGATGCTTAAGAATGTATTGGAATTTGGTAATATGCCACACCTACTTTTCTATGGACCTCCTGGGACAGGTAAGACATCTGCAATTCTTGCTCTTTGTCGTGAACTATTTGGAAACGATGAATTTAGAAATCGTACATTGGAACTGAATGCATCTGATGAAAGAGGAATTAATGTAGTTCGTGAGAAAATTAAGACATGGACTAGACAAGTGGTGTACAGTAATAAGATAAATCCCATTACAGGAAGGAAGATACCTCCATGGAAAGTTGTCATTTTAGATGAAGCTGAAATGATGACATCAGATGCTCAGTCAGCCTTAAGACGTATAATAGAGACATCTGCTAAAAATACGAGGTTTGTAATTATATGCAATTACATTAACAAGATTATTGAACCTCTGGCAAGTAGATGTGCAAAATTTAGATTTCAGCCGATATCATTCAAGGCTCAAAGAGAACGACTAAACTTTATTTGTCAGCAGGAGAATATAATCTGTGAACCTGAGGTATTTGATATTCTGGTTGACTTATCTCAGGGTGATTTAAGGAGAGCTATAACTATACTACAGTCTACATGTGAGTTATATAGCGAAGAAGAGATTGTAAAAGCTACTTCGGTCATAGAAGTTGCAGGTATTCCTCCTTTAAGTGTTGCTGAAGGAATTATGAACTTTTGTTTTACTAAAGATATTGACAGTATAGTTCAGAAAACAACAGATACTATAAATGAAGGATGGGATGTTGCTACAATCATAAGACAACTAGTTTTATTAATAACTGAAAATAAGGATTTGGATGATGCCAAAAAGGCATATTTAGCATTACGCTTAGCAGAAGCAGATGCTTGTATAACAGATGGCTCAAATGAATTTCTTATACTACTTAATATATGTTCGAATATGCACAGTGTAATGGCATGAACTACTATCTAAAACTGAATATCACTCATTAAATGAGGTGTTATATTTATTATGCTATAAGAGTACAAAATAATTAAGGATCTAGACTAACTAATCTTTTTACTTCCATAAAATTTTGTACTTTTTGCTTCACATGGTCTATTAATATGTTCTTGATTTGTACTATCTTCATTTTCACTTTTAAGAGATTCTTCGTCGTACATTTTACTAACCTTGCTAACTAATAAAGTAGGTGATTGGAACTCTTTTTTTCTAGGAATTTCTTGTTTATTTTTTGACTTAAAATTAGATACGTCTTTTTCAGGGCTTTCAAGGCTTCTTCTATTTGTTAACATTTCAATTTCATATGGATCATCAATTTTACAGGCCTCTAAAGTTTCAATTATAACTTTTTTTGGAGCTCTTTCTCCAGAAAATTCATCATCACTATTAATATCTGGGATTTCTATGTGGCCATCCCAAATTTTGTCTTTATTTGTAGTTTCACTTTCTCTATCACAGGCTAATTTATTGTTAAGTACTGAATTTCTGGACTCCAACTCAACAGCAACTCCAATAGGTATCTCAGTTACAGCTGCATATTTCTTAAAATTTTCACTAGGTAACCAAAGCCATACTAAGATTCCTATCAAAAAAGTTGTAAATGCCAATGGTATAGTATCATGAAGTATCCACTGATATTTCCAACGTTTTGTTATACTTAAGGAAAAAATGTAAATTTCAACCACAAACACATTTATAGCCATAACAACTGCTCCACTCAAAAAAAAAAAGAATTTTCTATAAATGTATAGTTTTTCAGTCTGCTGTTGACTCTTAAGCTTAGATATTAGTCCTGACAGTTCGTGAAAAACCCAAAAAAATATTATACCATTTAGTCCTGCAACTGGTACAACACAAAACAAAGTTGTTGTTGCTGATATAGAACTATTTGAGAAAATTTGTACTTGAGCAACATATTCCTTTAATAAGGAAAATGCTATATATAGAAAGCTAACAATATACAATCTAATTATCATATACTTATCTTGTATTGTAGATATTGTTACACCCACTCCTAAAGAAGCCATCAAAGTTAGCATAATCACTATTGTTATTTTCAATATACTCGAAACTGTCGAAATATTATACATAATTTCTGAAGGTACCCCTTGTAAATTCCATGATTTGTAATAAAGAAACCAGCAAATAGTTTCGAACAATCCTAGCATAATTGCAACACCAGTTAAATATTGCATTGATACTAGCTGCTTATGATGTCTAAGGCATTTATAAATCCAATATATTCCTAATAAGGCATAAATTATACAAGATACAAAATATAAACTTAACTTTAAATATTCTGTAGCTGGTAAATACCCATATGCATTTTTCACACTTACAAAACCAGCCAAAGTTCCTTCTCTGGAAGTACCACAGTTTGAAATAATTATTGCATACACACCAGTCTTTGTTAAAATATGTGAGTTTATATCTTGTCCTTTGATACTCATGTGTTGGGTGAACCAATCTGAATTTTCAATATTAGGACGTAACAAGGTATTTTCTCTTGGGCATATACCCTTTAGTACATCTTCTTCATTACAGCAAAATCTTTTACCCTTTCTACTTTCTAAGTAACTTTGAAAATCTTCACTAGGAAGTACAGTTATTTCCATACTTTCAAAGTCTGGGTAAAGATCCTTCTTACTTGGTTTCCAAGTAACTCCATCAAAAATCAATTCAGGATTACTATCAATCGGTGGTTTCTCTACCAGACTATTGGGTAATTGATTATTACTATACACAAAGAATTGATAAGGGTGCACCATAAGACTTTTTGATGCAGGTGGTTCCATAAGATCAAGTGAAAATATCTGACAGTAACAGCTGGAGATATTCAGTAGCAGTATACTCAGTATATCAAGTAGAAGTGTAAGCATTTCTGCCTTACTCAGATAAGCACTTTCCATGTGGTTGAATACTATATTTCTTTTTTAGCTTTATTGGAGTATATCTAGCGTTTGCGGGGTTCCAGTGAGATCTATCATGCATTTGGCACCACTATCTACATGAAAGAGGTAATTAAGCTAATAATTTTTAAATATAGATAGTCCTAAATAGTTAAGCAAGAATTGGTAGCAGATAGGTATATTAAGAGGACTTTGCTAGGCTTCTAATGGGAATAATAAGGGAAAAATTTAGTACTCACTATTACAATACTAGCTAAAGGTTATTGAAATCGGACATTTGTATACTTAAAAAAAGTAAATTCTAATCAAAATAAAAAGGAGTAATAAAATTACATGTGATATTAAGTGTGATTTGTGACCATTATAGAAAAAACAATTTAGTATTTGCAGAAGTGCATCACAGAGAGAGATCCTGCAGCATTGTTGGCGCTAAAATTTTAGAAAAGTTTTGCCATCCTTATCCTTATACCTGGACTTTCTACTAAAATGAGAATATAACTTTAAATAGAGCTATATGAACACATTAACTAATGCAAGAATTGCAGATAGATGTGGATAACAATATTTGTCTTAATACTAGTAGGAAAAGTGGTTTAAAAGCACAAGAAGGGGAAACCTTGAGCTCTAACAATAATTTGATGTATATTCCACCATATAGGCTAGAAAAAAAAAGTTTGGAAGATTTAGTGGTTAATTCTCATGAATATCAAAAATTTATGTGGCATAAATTATATAAAAGCATAAATGGCATAATAAATAAGCTGAATACAAGCAATATAGAGTCAATGCTGAAAGATATATTCAAGTTAAATATTGTAAGAGGCCGAGGTCTACTTGTTCGTTGTATAGTTCGTTCTCAACTAGCAAGTTCACATTTCACAGCAGTTTATAGTAGTTTTTGTGCTGTTTTGAATAGTTATATTCCAGATATTGGGTCACTATTACTTCACCTTTTGGTACAACAGTTTCGTGAATCTTATAGTGGAAATGACAAGTTAGTTTGTATAGGGACACTTAAATTTTTGGCTCATTTAGTAAATCAAAAGGTGTTTCATGAACTGATTGCTTTAGAGATCTGTTCGATACTACTCGAGAAAGCAACTGAAGACTCAATAGAAACCTGTATTAATTTTGTTTTAGAGTGTGGTCAAACATTACTTGATATATGCCCTAAAGGACTTGACACTATAATGAGTAGATTTAGAGTATTATTTTGCGATAAAAAAATTCACAAAAGGATTAAATACATAATAGAGAAGCTGTTTAAGGAAAGACGTATACATTTCAAAAATTATCCAGCAGTATCTGATGATTTGGATCTAGTTGAAGAGGATGATCAAGTTACACATTTGATTGATTTATTAGAGGATGAGATAAATATACAGGAAAATCTCAATATATTTGTCCCAGTAGATCCAGATATGTTTGCAGAAGAAGAAAGAAAGTGGGCAGAGCTAAAATTAGATATATTAGGGTCTGAGGAAAAAGACGAACATCAGGATAGTAAAACTGAAGAAAAATTGGAAGCTTCTGGGAATAGAGGAAGTAATAAATTTGTAAATATTGTGGATTATAGTGAACAAGAACTAGTAATTTTGAGAAAGAATATCTATCTTTGCATAATGAATAGCTTAGGCTTTGAGGAATGTGTTCATAGACTACTAAAATTAAATATTAGACCAGGTGGTAAGATGGAAGTTTGTATTATGTTAGTTGACTGCTGCTCTATGGAGAGAACTTATCAGAGATTTTTTGCTTTGGTAGGTGAGAGATTATGCAAGGTTAAAAAAGAGTACGAAGAAGCTTTTGCAGAGTTATTTGGACAGCAGTATGACACAGTTCATCGTTTGGAAACAAATAAATTACGACATGTTTCAAAGTTTTTTGCATATTTACTGAGTGCTGATGCAATTCCTTGGCAGGTTCTGAGCTGTATCACTCTTTCTGAAAGTGATACAACATCCTCTTCTCGTATATTTATTAAAATTCTTTTTCAGGAGCTCTGTGAACATATGGGACTTGATTCTTTAGATGCAAAGTTGAAACTTCCTTCAGTGTCTCCATATACTGAAGGAATCTTTCCAAATGACTATAATATTAGCAATATAAGATTTTCTATAAATTTCTTTACTGCTATAGGGCTTGCAGCTTTAACTCATGACCTTCGTGTCCTTCTTAAAGAATATGAGGAGTCTCAGGCTATAAAGATCAATGAACTAGATGATGATGAGAACTGTAGTAATAATGATCTTTATCAGTATAACAAAGAAGAAGAAGAGGAAGAGTTTGATAGTAATGTTGAGCAAAAAGCTAAAGATATAGAAACTGTAGGTATTAAGGATTTAGATAGTCACTCTGGCTATACAAGAAATTATAATTCAGACTTAAAAAAGTCAGGGATTCCTTGTAAAATTAGTTTGGAACACAAAGAATATGGTTCTTTCGAAGATAACTTATATTTACCTAGGTATAGCCATTCTCTACGTAATTTACCCAATAAAAAAAGTAGCAGAGCATCTAGCCCACTATACCAGCAAATGGAACACGATAAATTTAAAAAGAAGAGATATAAGAATTTTGAAAAGAAGCTAACCAGAGTAAATAGAGACATAGATACTAGTACATCATGCTATAGAATGTCTTCTAGCTCTCCTAGAGAAAAGTTTCGGGAACACAAAAGAAGCAGATACAGAAGTTTATCTAGAGAGTTTAGTACGTAATTCAAATATTTATAATAGTTTTGATAATGTTAGAATATATATTTATATTATAGACTAAAAATACACTTCTTACAATACCACACCCAGTGATGCATAATGACACGGGTATGGCAAGTAATATCGTATCCACACTATTTCTTGTAAATTTGTTAATATCCAATATTCAAACGAAATAAATTTAATAAATTAAAGAATTTAATCTTTACAAGGTGAGATCAAAGTAATATTGAAAATTTGTTATAACAATGATTGGGGTAAATAGTAGCATCTCTACAGGTGTGGCATCTTTTAGTAGAGATCTAAGTAGCCTTCCAGGGACTTCATTTATTCCTGCAAAAGCCGGATCACCCCAGAAGTCTCCCAGTAAATTATATGGAGTAATTCAGGCCCCTAGAGCTACATCTATCCGTGTTATGTTGCCTGTTCGTGATATTGGAGACTTGACAATTGTAACATATGAGCATCAAGCTTTTGTAGGATGCGGTGGATCTTTGAGATTCTTTCTTTTGGGAAAACAGGTAAAGCATAGATTCATTAATGTTCCAGTAGATAAAGATAATCCTATTCCAGAGTATATTGAATCATCAAAAGTACCATTAGGAGAGCTTCCAATTATCAAGTTAGGAGACCTCGTTATTTTTGATGAAATACCCTGTTTAAGATTTCTTGCTAAAAAACTTGGTGAATATGGGCGTAATTATTATATTGACTTTGTTATAGATGATGTTGTTATGCGGTGTAATCGTTGGAGAGATATTTTAATGGATCTGATCCTTTCGTCTAATAATTGTGTGTTGGCTGCTTCTACAAATTTAGATAAAAGTGAAGGCCCTTATTCTTTAAATAATGCAGAAAATTCTGGAGGTTCTGCAATATCTTCCTTGGAAGGTTACAAGCAGCTGAGAGAACAACTTTACACTGAATTTGAAGTTCTTATAACAAGTATTGGTGAAAAGGAGGGATCTTATATCGCAGACAAAGACAAGCCAATGATTTGTGACTTTGCCTTATTTTCTGTATTATTTGATGATATAAGCCTCTCAGATATTTCCTCAGATTCGATGTTCCAGAGAGTAGAGCTATTACCAGATAACTGTTTAATTCATCAATTTCCCCGTTTGAAGTCATTATTTTTGGCTATGTCAGAACTTCCATTAGTTAACCAGTGGATAAAGGGGAAATATTTCATACAATCAAATATTGATAAAGCTGCTAACAAAGATTCTAGTGAGAATGCTGCAGCTTCCACATTTCCTTTGCAGTCTTCCATCGTTGGAAGTCAACAGCCAAATCATTCTCTATATTCTTTGGGAGCAGGGAATGGAATAGCAAGTCCAGGAGCATTTTCAATTTATCAGTCGTCTCATCCTTTAAATCCTCCAATTCCAAGATTTCAATATCCTATGATCCCCTATATGTCAAATCAGGGATTAGTACAAGCAAGTGCTGGAGTTAGATTTGCTTTTCCTGGAGCTGGTTTACCTATCAATAATCAGCAAATACCGGTGATTCAAGCTAACAGTAGTTTCATAAATCCACACTTTGCACCTCAGCTAAATCCAAGTTTGATTCATCCATTTCCTATTTATCAGACAAATCTGGGATCTCCTTGTAATAGAATGAGCCCATCACAGAGTTTCACTTAAGTAGATAAGTTAATTTATTTTGGCGTTCAAAAAATTAATGTATCTTGGAAATGTAGACAGGTTAAGTATCCAAAAGTTTAAAATTGTGTAAATATCTAATGATCCAAATTACAAACACAATCTTGCTTTTCTTTTTTGTATGTACTTTGTTTGAATAGTCCGGTACTACCAAATTCCTAGAGCTTGCTGAAATCCAATTTTATCAAAAGTATATTCTATTCAGGATTGAGAATTTTAAAGATTCCAATTTAAGTAGAACAATTATTATTTTGTATTTGTATTTTTGAAAATAAAGCAATAAATAGTTACTTAAACTAATTATAATTTTGGAATTATATATTGTATCTCATATAAATTACAAGTCTTTATTTTCAAAGGTAAATTTTGAGCTTATTAAGGTATATACAATTAATAGAAGAAAATGAACCAAACGTCATAATATGTGGTTAAGATTTAGTCAACTATCTTCCTCAAATTGCTCTATTATCAAGAAGTGCAAAAGTGATATAGAGATAATTTTAAATAAATGTTTATTTTTTAATCATTATTTTCCCCACTTTATAATTGAATCACATAGTTGTTAATATTCATTATCTAGAAATCTCCTCAATTACAAAATTATGATTCGTCATAACACACATATCTGCTGCAATTTTCATAGCACTGGTTGCAACATACAATGCATCTAATTCAAGATTTGAATATACTAAAGCTCTAGCAGCAGCAGCTGCATATGGACCTCCAGACCCAATAGCCATTATATTATCATAGCTTTCAAGTACATCTCCATTACCTGTTAGCTGTAATGTAACATTTTTATCTGCTGCAATTATTACAGCTTGAAGATGACGTAAATATTTTTCAGTCCTCCAAGATCTCGCTAATTCAACACAGGCTCTGGTTAATTGTCCAGAATAATTGTCTAGTTTACTTTCTAGTCTCTCTACTAGTGTAAAACAGTCAGCAGTTGCTCCCGAAAAACCAAGAACAATATTGCCAATTTTTCTAATTTTCCGAGCATTCGGTTTTACAACTAAGTTACCTTGAGATACTTGGCCATCTCCAATCATAACCTAATATTTCAATTAGTAATTTCAAGTGACTTCATCTTCAAAAATATTTAAAGCTGAAGCAGAAAACTATTTAATTGATTGAAACAGGAGACTTACCAATGAATTCTTTGTTCGAACACTCAAGATAGTTGTACTATGCCATGCTTGCCTTTCAAAGGGACTTTGATGATATAGTCTACACTTCTAAAAAGAAAATCCCAAAATAGTATTATTAAGGCCAATAAATACAGAAGTTTAAAAGTATCTTTAGTAAATGTTCAACATACTTTTGAAAAACCACAAACTAAGTTATATTTTAAAAAATATTTAAAAAAAATTTGCATTACATTTATTTTAGTTTGTAGAAAAAATATATAGATCTAAAATATTTGAAATTTATTTCTCGGTTTTCCGAAGATCTATATAGTAGCTTATCACGTGCTACATATATATTTTAAAGTAGATCTAAATACTAATATTATTTTACTCAAGTAATACCTTAATTATCTCTAAGGGATTTTTTATCATTACTAAACTTCTAAAAAAGAAATCACAAGTTTAGAAACATATAAGGAACTGCTAGAAACTTACCTATGATCCAAATTTCTAGATTTAATAGAATTATAGACTGCATCTATACGACTAGGAGTTAACTGAATACCCAAGGTCCCAAAAGTCTTAATAATAGTAGCAAGGGATACAATTATACTTCTCATATCTGGTTCTACAATCTATATAATATTTGAATAATTAAGTAGTAATATTTATAAAGTAAAATGAAAACAACCAACCTGTGAAGTTATGCTAGATGAAGAATAGTTTAGTGTATCTGTATGAGATTGCTCAAATGGGAGAGAAATCCATATAAAGCCATTCAATCCTAAGATCAACTGAACTCCACAAGTTAATACGATAATGTGCTGACTTTGTCTTTGGACTAACTTTCCAGGTATTTTCACTAAAAGACCATTGGCTAATTTGCCGTATTTAGCACTTCGAGTATGAAGGTGGCATAATCCCTCAGCTTGCACTCTTTGAACCTCTGTACAAATTACATCTCCTTCATCTAATAAAAGTTTCATATCTAAAGAATCTTCCTCCGTTCTTCTTCTCTGAACTGAACCTGGTAAGTTTACAGCAGCTAGACCTAAGTGGGCGTATTGACTCGATCCAATATCAACTAACCATCTCTTATTACCAACCTAATATTAGGTATTAGCATAACATATTGTGATAATTTAGTAAGGAATTATAAATAATGGTTTAAAGTAAGTTACATTCAATCTTACCTCTACAACTCTTCCAACTACGACATCCCCAACTTCTCCAACATAACGTCCACCTAAAGCTTTAGTGTATAGTAGTTTGTTAAGATTTTCTGTTATCCCACATGTACTAGATAACAAACGACCAAATTCATCTTCATATGTTCCATGACCTCTGAAATAAGGAAATATTAAAGATATTATCATTGTGTAAAAGATTTAGTATATATAAAAAGCCTACTACCACTTATATATAATGCTAGTAGCATACCTTATATAATTTGGTTCAGTTGATATTATATCACCAGGTATAACTATTCTTTCTTCAAAAGTCTTATCTAGCTTGATATCTCCAAAATATATGACATCTTTAAATCCTGAATTGTTTTAAAATCACAATAAAGTTAAAGTACTAGTTAGAAATAAATATATTTAGATCATCATATCTATCCAGTACTTTTACTTACCCTTCTGATCTTTAACTATGCTATCCATGGTTGGTTGAAGAGCAGTTAATAGGAAGAAATGTAAAAATATTAGAGTTGAACACGCTTTAGCGCTAAACATGATGCTTTAAAGTGAAGGTACAGGACTTTGCAACAGCTGCAAAAAAAAAAAAAAAAAAATACAAAGACGGCTCGAAAGTTACATTAAATATCGATAAAATCTGTCTACTATATTTAGTACTGAATTCAATATCATATATGGAAAGGGACGAAGAAAGCTGGGTATCTGTTACTGGCTTCTTTTTCCTTTCAAATGTAGTTAGGGTAACGTAAGTTTCAGCAAAATTATGATATTTCCAATTTAGGGTACCATAACACTTTCATATAGTATTTGAAATATACTGAATGACTTTATATAATTCTCCAATATTTTATTACTTTTTAGATTTGTATCGTACTTTTTTTGGTCCGGTGCAGTCTTACTAGCAGGAGCTATCATATCTCATGAATTATTTATACATTATTCACCACTTATAAATGGGAATATTGCTTGCTCTGCTAAATATAACTTCTATGTAATTTTGTATATTTGGATTATAGAAGGTTCTATTTTCATTTTGGCTTGTATTTCATATTCTGTAATTGAGGCGTAAGTATATCAGAACTTGAATTATTAATAATCTAATACCTAATATCGAATTTGTGTACAGAAGAAATTTAAATTTTGATAATTTATCACTTTCTACACAAGTAATTGGTATAATGATAAAGTACATGCCAACATGGTTGAGGATATTTCATATTTTTACATTCTGTCAAGTAACAGTTTTAGTATTACAGTTCTTATTTTTGCCAGAGTGCAATTCAACTGGATTACAAATATCTCTTGTGGTAATCAGTGTAATTTGGTGGTTTATAGTAATTTTTGGAGTGATTTGTAAACGTAAAATCGCTATTCCACCTCATATATTCGATCCTTTAAAAGCAAAAAGTGACTTCTTTACTGAGATTCATCTTGTATTACGTTCAATGGGTCCCTAGATAAGAGTTTATTACATTGTGCATTATACATACTTCTTTAATAGATCAACTTATAGTATTATAGATGTAAATTAATTAATATAATTAAGAGTATTCCTAATTTAGTCATAGATTATTTATTAGGAGAAAAGTATAACCTTGGGAAGTAATACATTTACACTCTCAATATTTAAGTTTCGATAAAACCAAGTTTTTTTTTTCTATTTCACTAAACAAGAACTTAATAACTATAGAATATCTATAAACACTAAGGCAAAGTTATATTAGGTTATCTTCAAAGAGCTTTGTAATTGTTGTTTGTAACCCATAAAGCTGCAGGTTGTTTAGGATTTAAGTGGACTTGTTCCCATTCAAGTCTAATTGTACACCACAGTGATCTCCTGAGAATTTCAATAATTGATACACATAAATTAATGATTGTTGCATTAATTTTAATATCATCAATAATAGTAATTGGTATGAGAGTAATTGCCCAAGTAAGTCTTCCAATTAAATTATAAAAAGCTACACTGTAATAGTACCAATTAGGGTACATTCCTTTAGGTCTAACAAATGATGTATGATCTGGCATTAATCCCCAGTCCATATATATATCCCAAGAAAACATATAAATAGTCCCAACAATATAGGATGTAAACCACAATAATCTTATGATAAAAGGGGATATGTTTGTAATGTTATGCCATGGAACTGTAGAAATAATTGCAATAAGCAGGCCTGCAGTATATTTGCCCATATTATACAGGTGGTTTTTTCTCTTAGGAGAGTGATCTGTAAGATATCTCATTCCACATTGGCAAAAACGTATTTCATAAGGTAGAGCTAAAGCAAATGTTTGCATCCAACGATATTTTGATAAGAATAAAAATATAGAACTTGGGAAAATATCTCCCCTAGTCTTAATAATAAAAAACAAAAATGCAAGAGTATATTCAATGTCACCAAATGGTTTTGATAATGTAGTAAGTATATCCCCTACTATATTAGCTCGTAAAGTCACAATACATATTTTAGGTACAATACCGTGACTAAATACTTCCACTATAGACTTGAATATTGATTTGCGATATTCAAACAAAAAGTCGTTGCTTGGAATAAAAAGAAGAGATGTTTCAATAAGCATCAGTATTATTGGATAGAGCCAGAGTAGATGACTTGTAGAGTTAAGGTACTTGAACACTGATATCTCTAATTTATAATCTATAAGAAATATCGAGAACATTACAAGCCAAATAATAGTTTGTAGAGTTGCAAAAGTAAATAATGTCATTGAAGTAACACTACATTTAGGGTCCATCTCAATCATATATTTATAATTAATACCATAATAATCCATTATACTAATAGATAAACCTGCCCCCCATATTACAAGAATAACCATCAGAACTAAACGAAATAAGGGGAATACAGCTAAAACTCCATCTATACTATAATTTTTATTAGTGGCTGGTAATTTGCATATAATAAACAAATTCATCAATAGCACAGAACAAATACCAAGCATAAAGAACATAAGGAAATCAGAATTAATTAAAGGCCTATTAAGCAATTTTTTCGTTCTTCTCGTATGTTCTACCTGTGCTTCCAGTTCAAACATTGCATATTTAGGTGATAATTTTGGACTATAGTCAATCACACTTGTTCCATTAGCAGATACAGATTCTATATCTGAGAACTTCACATCAGACTTTGGATTGAAAAGTTCTGTACTCATTTCACGTGACTTTGCATAAAATTTTATTATATTATCCCTTATATTTTCATCAATCTTCATATCAGCAAAACATTCTAGAAAGATATCTTTATTTGGTAAAATGTCAATATAATTAGCGAATAATTCATCCCTCTTATTACATAGTTTGTAAACTGCCATATTATTCAGTGCAATATATTCTTGCAATTCATCCAATGTCCTCCATATATTCAGTATAACAGCTGGTATATATTGTATAACATTTCTCGGGGAGTACTCATTACTTAACATAGCAAATATAATATCTAAATGGCTCTCTATATCATACTTAACCTGAACAAAATGTTGTGTAGTTGTTTTTATATTCAGTTGCAGACGATAATGAAATGTCTCTAATTTGCTTAACAATGAATCCCTTATATCCTGCTGTAAAATACTATATAAAACTTTATCAGCTTTCTTTGTTTGAGTAATGCCCTCTGGGAAAAGAAAAGAAGCCCGTCTTTCACTACTTATATATTCAAAATATCGTCTACTCAATAAACAGTTTAAATATCTATATTCTATGTATTTCCCACTCCAGCGAGATTCCTCATATTGCTCGAGCTTGTCTACAAACTTCATGTTCTAACAAATGAGGTACATTAAAATATAAAAAATATTAACGTCACTTTAATAGATAACGATACCTAAAAAAACCAGTAGCGTCACTTCTTCGACCATTTTCTATTCAGGTTAATAAGATCTTTATAAACAGTCCTGTCGCCTAACTTACCGCTAGAGTTTTCTTAAATGTTAATATTGACAATAGATCGAGTTTTCTCAAAGGATTAGCTTAGCCTAGAGTATGAAACTTAGGTACTACTAAAGTGAGCTTGATATTTTAAGTGAAAAGTAAGTATAAGTCATTTAATTTAGTATTGATATTTTCGGAGCAGTTTAGTGCTATATCAATGATAATAGGATATAGATGAGATGTGTGGTATAACTTCCAAATATTTGTAAGTCTAGTTAACATAATAACTCATGTTTATTACTGAGCAAGTTTCTACTGAATGGCGAAAGCTGAAATTAATACGTTACACATTTAGAAATTAGATATAGTGAAGATAGTAGTTATTAGAGGAATTAAGGTATACTGAAATTGATTGTAGGCATTTACTATATGCTGTGTGGAGATATACTAGTACATATAGGCTTTTATTCAAGACTTTCTAGTAATAAGATTAATCTTTATTTAGTTTAGATTTAGAAATGTCTTTTATGATATTCTAGAGGGGAACAACCTCCACCTGGCACCTATAGCTCAGCTGGTTAGAGCGTACGGCTAATAACCGTAAGGTCCGCGGTTCGATCCCGCGTAGGTGCACTTTTTCTACTTTTTTTTTAAATACTGAAATTAGAGGTGAGAGAGGGGATTGATTAGCGGTGAATTTAGACAAATGTAAAAGGTGTGTTAGTGTGGAATGAAATTGATAATTCTAGAAAAATATTTCAAGAATATGAATTTACAGAGAACATTGCCTCGATAATGACTAATATTTAATAATGATAAACTTACGCATGTAGTAGTACTGTATAATTAAACTTCACAACAAATTTAGAAACTAGACTGAATAAGGAAATGGTAATTAATTCGCCTTCATGTTCAAAGTGGGGAGTTGGCAAAATTCGTAGAGTTGTTTTGCACAATATTGGTGGACATGAATTACTGGATATTGAACTATCAAATTCATTAAATATAATAACTGGAGGTAATGGAAGTGGTAAAAGTAGTTTTGTGTCAGGAATTGCACTGCTTTGTGGTTGGAGTAGTAAGAAGGCAGGAAAGGACATATCACTGATTAATTATGTTCGTAATGGTACAAGTAAGGGGAGTGTAAGAATTTATTTCAGCAATGAAATGTCTCATCACAATGATACTAAAGAGGATATGTACTTATACGACTTGTTTGGAAATGAAATTATTATTGAGCGTGTCATTTATACGAGAGGAACTAGTGAATACATTTTTACTGGTATAAAATCTGATGCTCCAGTATATAAAGGTCAAGAAGCTAGGGCACATTTGGTACGGTTCCGTTCTTTTGCAAAGATTATGATAAATAATCCAATAACTTATTTGACACAGATAGATGCTAAGTACTTGATAAGAGAACAAAATTCACCAAAGTGCCTTTATGACTTTTTCCAGAGGGCTCATATGTTTGATGTGTCTTGGAGACACCTTAAAGAGGAGCAAAGTCATCTTGAAAACGCAGCTTCAGTTTCTGAGAATTTAAGAATGAGATTAGAAATACTTAAAAAAGATGTAGATAAATCGAAGATGCTAGTTAAAATGATAGAAAAGTTGAAATATTCTAAAAAAATGATTATTAGCTTAGATATATTGATATTGTTAATAAAGTTAAAAGAGATAGTGGTTAAAATAGGGGAATCTGAAACAAGAAGGTTCTCACTAATAAAACAGAATGAAGAAATGGATTTAGACAGATTGCACTCCACATTAAAGGAATTAGACTTTGAACAAAATAAATTAAATGAAGAGTTGGATTTAGAGAACAATAAATATAGAAATTTGGAGATGAGTATAAGTGGTCTCACAAGGAAGATACAAGAAGAAGAAGTAAATTTGAACAGGATGTTACGACGTAAATTTGATTTAAATAAAGAAAATGAACAGATAATCCTTCAGTTATCTCTTAAAAAGAAGATTTCTGAGGATGAAATTAATAGTGAGGATAATCAAACATTATTGCACAATAGAAATATAGAGAAGGATAATATTGTTGAGAAGATAACAAGTATAGAAACTGACATAAGAGTAGTTGAAAGACAGATTTCATTGGAACATGAGGAATTAGCTAAGTTAAATTCTGAGATTCAGAACAATAAGTTTGAAAGGCAAAAATTGAAATCTCAACTTGATTATATAAAAGTAGATATTTCTAATAATCAGAATATATTGATGAGTAGCAGAGATTCTATGAATAGAATTTTAAAGGCTACTGAAGATTTGAAGAACAAGATATCTAGTTTGAAGGTACATATAAAGTCTGAAGATTCTTTTGATAAAACTCAGACTACACCAAAGAAGATTGCTTCAGTAGGATTAGATTATTATAAATCTGTGTATAGTTACTATACAGATAGTGAATTTATTGCTTTATTTGGATTTTCAAAGGCTGTGCATATGCAAATTCAGAGTGAAATAGCTCTTCATAAAGAGTTTGAGAATAATTGTATAGGACCTATAGGGTTACATATCTTCGTATTAGCTGCCTATCACGAAAATACAGCTCTTGTTGGTTTAATTGATGAAATAATTGGAGGTAAGCTTGAATTAAACTCTAGTATTCAAGCAAATATTAGTGTGAGAAAAAATTATAAGCTATGGATTGTAGCAAATTCAAATAGCAAGTATAGATTACTCGAATTGTTCAGAAAAAGTGGGATCAATATAGATGTTAGTCTTATACTTATAAGATCATTTGTTGGGAAAAACAGATATGATTTAGCTAATGTTTCTTCTCGTCGCCCAGATATTGGAATGGTCTTAATGGACTTAGTTGAAATTTCAAATGATGATGTTTTTAATTTTCTGGTTGACTTCTGTCAGATTGAGACTACCTTTGTTTTTTATAATGAAAAAGATATGGATTTGATATTTAATTACAAGTACAATATTAAAAGGGCCTATTGCTTATCAAATCGTCAATATAGGTTTAGAAGAGCAGGCATTATAGTAGCTCCTGAAGCTGGTAGTACAATAGGAAGAAGTCACTTAAGGAAGTTTTTATTGCGAGCTAAGACAAATCTAAATTTGAATCCACATGATTTAAATATTAATAAGGGAGAACTTCGAAATTCTAGAGCTGATATTCATGTTCTTGAAGGTCAATTGAGGGATTATATTAAGCAGAGTGAATTTATGGAGAATTTAATAAAAGATACTGGTGAGAATCTGGAGCGATACAAAACAAGCACTAAGCATATAGAGTCTAAAATAAAGATATTAGATGACACTGAATGTGCATATAAGTCGATGTTAGAAGTTTTAAAGGCTAGTATTAATAAGTCTGAGAGTAATTTGGCTAATTTATATAAGAATAAAAATGAAATATCTATATATTTAGATGAGGTTCAAATAGACATTGAACGGTTAATTAGAGAAAGAGATAGAGATAAGTGTACTCAAAATAATGATATTAATAATTTAAACTCTGAAAAGATACAAAGAGACATATTGCTTGAAGAAGCTGAAAGAGCTATTAAAGAAATTGAAAATTCTATAGAAAAGGTTAAAAGTCAATTGATCTCTTTAAATTTAGAAAGAGATAGTCAGAAGGACAAACTGAACTTAATTGAAAATAAAAAGAATGATGTAATAAAACAAACAACATCTATATTTAATAAATTGCCTGAAATAAAAAAACAGTGTGCTAATTTTAATCTTGAGATAAAAAATTTGGAAGCTAGTATTAAATCTATGAAGGAAGAGAGCTATGGTGTTAAGTTACAAATAAATAGTTTGATAGCTTCGATGAGTGATGGTTTTCTAGGAAAGAGTGAAGAGACACAGGCAATGGATGCTGAAGATTTAATAAAGTGGGAAACTCCAAAGCCAATATTCTTCAGAGAATTAATGGAATACTTTAAGTGGAATAGTGGTAAATCAAAGGATGAGTTTATTGAGTTACCTTCAATTTCTGTAGTAAATTCTTGGAGACAAAAAGTTGTCAATAGACAGGAAGTTATCTGTTTAGAAATAGCTAGAGATACAGACCTCTTCAAGCAATTAAACTATGATGTAGATATTATACTTAGTGAAGAAATTAACATGAATATATTGAAAGATTACAATTGCAAAGTTGATATCTACAAAAACAGCAAAGTAGAATATGAGGAAGAAGTGGAATTATTATCAATAAACCAGTCCAATCTAAATAAAAGAATACAGCAGCTACAAGATAATCACTTGAGGTGTGGAAAGGCCATTAATTCTCACTTCAAATTTTACTTTTCACTTTTTTGGTCAAAGTCCATGAAACCTCATCTATTATTTAATCATGACAAAGCTACTTTAAACATTCTTGTAGCTCCAGATGCAGCAGCAATTGAGAATAATCTTAATATAGGAAATAGTGATAGCTCGGATCCTTCCAAATATATAAGTAAGGAAATACAGACTCTCAGTGGTGGGGAAAGTAGTAGTATTGGTATATCTTTGCTACTAGCTCTTTCTCAAAACAACTTCACTCCCTTTCATCTATTTGATGAACCAGATGTATATATGGATGATACAAGAAGGATGACTACGGTTGAATCCTTTATTCAGTTCCAAAAGAGATGTGCTAATGAATTTTCACTAGGTGATAACTCTATGCAGAATTTGAGACAAATAATATTTGTAACCCCACATAGTGAAATAGTTTCCAATATTGTTGAAAACCACAAAGATATACATTTTGTTCAACTAGAGAGAAGGCAGTAATATATTACTGTCCTTTATATTTAAATATTTTATAAACCAAATATTTAATAAATAAATTTTTGTGGGATAGTAATTAGGATTGGTTTTTAGAAGTTAGTGACATTGCTAATATTTCCACTTCATCGTTTTCATTAAACAATGATGGTGAAAGTGAGGGTGCAACTTCATCCCTTTCTATATCCAAGTTCTTTTGATCCATTAGAATTTGCAAAATTTGTTGCATCTTTTGTGTCCTTTTTAAAGTATCTGTAAGTGCTTTATTTGTACCTTGTGGTAATTCTGTTGGCCCCACTGAACTTATACTGGGCTGAATACCAAAATTAGAATTGTATTCCATTTGATAGTTAAATTGATTAGAACTTTTTTTTATAAGTTGAGAAGCTGGTTGTATTTCCAACTGTCCAGGAATAAGCAAGTCTTTCATATCCAAATTCTTGGAAGTAGCAGAAACATCTTCTTCACTATCTTGGATAATATCATCTGGATATTGCTTTAATTTCGTCCAAGAAAAGGGTTTTCTATGTAACAACCGTAATGAATTACTGCTTGTAGTCAGTTTCTGAGTTGGTCTTTGTGGTACATGTTTACCCATGTTTATTTTGCTCTGGTGTGTCGCGATCTTTGCAATATTTACTAAGTCCCTGCTTTTCTTTTGTTTGTTTTTTTTCCTTGCTATTTCGTTAGAAGATTGTTTAGTATCCTCTCTGATTTTTTCTACATTTTTTCTATCATTTTCTTTGGTAATTTTCATATTTTTATAAAAAGAGTTGCTACCTGATTGCTGTGTGGGAGATAGTGGAATTTTTGTTTCTAACGTATAAAATAGAGAGTTTGACTTAACTTTCTTTGTATTTCTTAGCGAAGCTGGCCATGCCCATGAAGGAATACCACTATCAGTATTTTTACTCTGTATCAACAAGTTCTTCTTATTGATGTTCAATTTAGGCTTTTCGTCGAAACTGTTTATATTCCCCTTTGTTTCCTTTTTAGCTATGTTTGTCTTGGTTGTTGCATCTTTGTGTACTAACATAAAGGCACGTAAGTCTTCTTCAAACCTTACTTTATATAATAGCCTTAATCTCTCTGCTCTCTTTGCTACATCTAGTGCTTTATTTGCCTTTTCCAAATTTATTGCGCGACGATATCTCTGTTCAGCCTTACTATCAGACTCATCCAAGCACATTAAGCATCTTCTCTGAGTTCCTACCATCTCATTTTCTATATTGAATAATCTTGTTAAAGCATAAAATCATTTCCTCTATGTGGATCAGAATATAATCTAAGTAAATACGACTGGTGGCGCCCTGATATAGCGGCATATACAAACATGGGGATTTTTAAAAGTTATATTACTTAATAAAGAAGCCTTATAAGAGTCACTAGTTTATAAGTAAAGTTAACGTATTTTCAAGTAAAAATATGGGTTTAGTATAGTTCAAATACTTGTAGCTCAATTTAAACTTCTAATATATTTTATCTCCACCTTACTAGATCTAAAAATACATGTAGAATTATGAACTTAATTTTCTAGCTTAAATAGGGTTTTGATTGCTAATAAAAATCAAATATATATTTTAAAAGTATTCTTCTATAAAGTTTGTAATTATAAATATTAAAGAGAATATTGATAAATCTTTGTGTATTATGTATTATATGGCGGTCACCAATGAGTCATAAATATAGATCTAATGCTATTTTGGAAGTCACTTACCAGAGTTGTCAAATATATTCAAGTTTTAGTATTATATAAGATTTTTTGGATATTTAAAGTTTAATGGGTACTCTAAAAGTTTGGATATATGAACCGAAGTAATTTGTTTATTTTACAATGGCTTAGCTTTGTACTTCTGCTAGTCAATTATACTGTAGTACCGTGTTACTCTTCTGAGCTCTCAATGGATATAGATAATTCACAAAATGGAGATATAGATAGCAAGCCAATTATTCGTTTGAAGCCAGGAGAAATTCCTGAGAGACCTAGTGGTTCAACTGAAATAGTAAAAAGGAGATGTAAATTTTGCAATAAATTTAAAAAAGAATTAACAATAGATGAATATATAGATCCCTCTGGAAAACATGTTAAAGTTATTCTTAGGAGAAGGTATCGTCCAATTTTTTCAGGTTTAAGACGATGGAGACAGAGAAAAAGTACTAGAGCAAGGGCTAGGAAGGCATTTAAGAATAATAAACAAAAATCTTTGAGTAAAAAGTTAGAAAAAAAAGCTAACAAAAAAGTTTTGTTAGGGGTTTTTAAAAGATTTAACAAGAAAAAGTCCGATAAAAGACATCCTAGTCAAAAAAATCTTCAAAGCCTTGGTATTGATAAGCAAGATTTAAGTGATGGTAGTGCAGTACCAACTGAACATAGTAAGGATATTAAATATAGTGGAATTAATAAAATGCCAGATATTGAATATAATGAAAATGATAACATATCAAATATTGGATATAATAAAGTTGATACATTATTAAGTAATGAATATAGTGAAGCTGATACATTATCAAATAGTGAATATAGTCAAACTGACAAAATACCAAGTCTTGAATATAATCAAAACAGTGAAGATATCTTTTCAAATGAAGTTGTTACGGGTATTAATGGCAGTGAGTGACCGAATATGTAGAAATTCAGCAAATATATAAGGCTTAAATTGGAAATAAGGCATTAGGATATAAGAAAAACTTGGAAGTAAGCACTAGCTATCCATCGTTAATATAGTTTGACAATATATTATATTACGATAACTAATGACAATCAAGGCTGACAAAAGTTTAATCTCAAGAGAAATCAATTCGACAAATTAGAATAATCAGTCTAAAAGTACTAGATAGCTGACTAATTTTGGATGCTAGTATAGATTTTCAAATTCTTATTTATATTATTAAAGTTAATAGAATACACATTATTAAACAAAAAATTGTATATTTTATGAAAATAACACTAATCAAAACAAAATAATTGATTTTGACCTTTATGTAGTTTGTAGTTTTAATAAAATTGTTAGGGTGTAATATTGAAATAAATATTAGCTAGGCGTTTTTGGAGCTTTTTATATCGTACACTGTATTCCAAAAAAATTCAATTATATTGAGAAATCCTGTGGAAATGCATAGCAATATCATGAAAAAAAGTATAATGTAAGTTATTTCGATATTGTACTTCTCAAGAGCAGATGGAAATACAGAGATTCTTACTGGAATATCTGTTAATGTATTTTGTTCAGATATATACTGACTGCTATTATAGTTTAAATTATATTTTTGAGTTGCTTCATATAATCTACTTACTTTTCTATCGTTTATATTTTCACTGGATATTGAGGTATGAGCACTACTTGCATGAGGATCCCATATCTCTCCATCCATTTGTGAAAATCCGCTACCATACCAACTTGGACATATTGGTTTGATGGAATTACAGTTTTTAGCTTGTATATTTAGTAGCGTAGTCAACAAATTTTCATTTCTATAGTTATTTTCAGATTTTAAATCACAAGATTTTAGATGTGATATTTTCATATTAAATGGTTCAAAAACCTGCATCTCTTTATGGTTTTTCACTATAACCCATCTCTTTAAAGTGGAAATAGTCTTGTTTAAAAGCTGATGAATCATAAAATTAGTTTTGTTTTGATTCTTGTTAAAATCATATTGTCGAATGATCGTATTTGCTCTAGTTGGATTAACACTAGATTTTTCTGATGTAGAACAAGCAAGAATATAAACTAAAGCTGGTGCAATAAAGTTGCAGATGAGTGAAAATACAAGAGAACACCAAATAAGAACTCCTGAAAAATAGTAATCGCTAGAAAATAGCCAGGAAATAGCAAAGGGTGCAAAAACACCCCAGAATTTGGCCCAGTATGCAGAGCAATAGTTTCCATTCAATAAGTTGTAGCGAGTTGTTATACAGTTGACCATTATTCCTGGGGTTATAGTAGATATATTGAAAATATTGATGCAAGCTTTGGTTAGGGTACTTGTTGAAGGTAGATTTAACAATATTTCAAAAACATTATTTGATGTATTGCAATTTGGATATGCAAAACCAATAATATAACCAAAAATAGCATACAAAATAGCGCAAAATATATTTGAACTCCAAATAACATACTCAACTTCTACATTTGGTTTCATTTCATTTGCCCAAGATGGCATTAGCATAACATAGCTATATGCTGCAATAAAAGTTGAAAATAGTTGTCCATACTTTTTTAGTCCAAAAGGTGTTGGTATTGTGGGTATTGACATCTCTTTTGCCATAATTTCAATCCACTTTATATCTCCAATTAGGGTCATGTAAATTCTATAAATACCAGTGCCTAAAATTTGAATAATGGTTAGTAGAATAATATAAAATGAAGCATACTGGATTCCCATATTCTCCTCAAGATTTAATAAACTCATTGGAATACAGACAGCTGCGTTTATTATATACCCAAGAGTTACTGCAAGTACAACATTTGAGCCATCTCTTCTATATAAGGAATCCAATACACTATCATCTAATAGACTTAAGCCAAAATTTGGCATTATTTGAAAAGCGATTGTCCTTTTAAATAAAGCAGTAATAAATCGATCTAAGGCTTCTGAAGTTAGCACAATCGAAAGGAAGTTAAGAGCTTGCAACGTAATATGAAATGAGATTTCAGTTAATATTCCAATATTTGTATGGGAGAATAATTTTATTGTTGCAATATATTCATACCGTCTTTGGAAGTTATTGTTGTTTGTAATCATTGTCATTGTACGTAAAAGCATTAAAGTGCATATTGATGAGACTGTAGCTAAAATGAAATTTGTTAATACTGATAATAGAATTCCGCTATTAACAGTCACACTAGGAACTGCAACTAAACCTGCTCCAATAATTGAATTAACTATGTATACAAAGGAACCAAATTGCGTAATTGTCTTTTGAGCATTAATTTCGCCATATTTTAGACCTCTTTCATATGGAGTGGAATGGTAATCTGATGGAAGTCTACTGTACTGAGCAGGGTGATTTGGTAATGGTATATAATGGTCAGTATTCCCAGAGATATATGAGGATGTATCTTTTACTTGGTTATTTCTATTTCTTGAATTTAGACCAATTTTGCATATTATATCACTTAAGCAATTACTTGTTTTACTTCTTGAGCTTAATATACTTTTGGTATTTCCTGTCTTAGTTAATTGAGATTCTAATTCTTTATTAATTAGTGGTTGCAATGAGCCTTGATACTCAATTGTTCTATAATCACATGGACCAGTATTCCATTTAGTTACTTGTAAGAAAGTTTGTGTGTTAAATCTATCAAGTATTTCATGGTTATTGTATGTGGAGTTCATCTGCTCTGTAGATCCTGAGTTCAATGTGAAATATTTAAGAACTCAAGCACTAATTCATCTAAATACCCCTTATATATATTAAAATATTTTATAATCTATTTGTGTCCTAGTGGGTAAAGTTTAGTTATTGAGTATTGCAAGGCTTTATATTGTGAATCTTGGAGAGTGAAACGAATTCTAAATCCCGCTGCAGTTTGATGTTTAAGAGTGATACTAACTCTATTAAGGTAAGACTCGTTACTACAAATAAAAAACTATTACTCGTAATACTATTTTAAGGATATTTTTTTTATTAATTCCTAAAGTATAAGTTTTTGAGAGAGGTTGATATCTTTAATGTAGTATTATTTTATCTATATAATATATTGTTTGTTGGGGTGTGGAAGTTTCTCAGGTCTTCCTAAAATTATATCTTGATTTACAGGATTTTTATAGTCATGTTTATTATTTTTTAAATTATATCTACGAATACAATGGTATATTGGAATTAGGATAATTAATAGTGCTAGTATAGATATCCCAATCCAGACCCACTTCATATCGTAATTTAGATTATTAAGTGAAGAAATACTAACACTTTTCTTTTGGAGGTTTTCAATATTACTGGATAAAGTCATATTTATTTGTTTGTTTTGAGTATTCTGAATTTCATATTTTTCATTTTTAATTGGTTGATGCTCTATACTTTCTCTTTTTGTGGAGTGTTCATTTAGATGAGTAGTACTTAAGTCCATAATACTTGGTTCAGTATATCCAAGAGGTAACTTTTTAGGTTTCTTATTGAATGGGTTTCCAATTACAGGTGTTACATGATGTTTAAACAATTCATCTGGTTTAATATATTCTAAGTTCACAAATAATGACTCAAAGGTCTTCCATTGAAAAGGCACTTCTTTAGCAACATTTTCGGCATTGCGACCTTTTAACTCTTTACTGTAAATATTGATTTTTATCGAATTATCTACAGGCATCCATGTACGCCATGTACCGAGTGGTAACTGATGCGGCCATCTTGTTCCACCATAATAGGTAAATCCGGATCTTGATTTTAAGTTAGATTCAATAGTTTCTTTAGGATAGTCAATCGCATAGGCCTTTATCCCATGAATACTACCAAGAGTTGTGCCTATGACCCAAAGGTCTTTAGATTTTGAAATGACAGTTCCTCTATAGAGCACATAACCTGGATGATTTCTTTTTTTATTACGGCGTTGTCTAAAAAATGGAAATCCTAAATAATCTCCTAGGTGATAATAATCTCCGTTGATATCTTCTGGTGCACCACTTATAACCATTTTCACGTTTTTTTCTTTAAGACCTTGCACTCTGATGAAAGTTTTTTCATTTGAATATTTCCCTTTTGGAGTATTATATAAGTACTTTTTTTTAAATGGGGGTCTTGGAAAAGTCCAACCATCTGGTTCAAGTTCTAGTCCCCTTTCTGCTGGCCAATCTACAGGTGAAGTAACTCTTGATGATTCAGGTCGTTGCCAGATTGCCCCTACCTGACTAGAGTGTGTGTTTCCAAGTTGTCTAGATAAATACCAAGTTGTTTTTTTTGATTCTTCTACTAATGACCATAAGTATAATGTATCCCCGGGATATTCAACTATTGAGCTTTGTAGTATTGCCCCAGATTCGTCTCTTAGTGGGCCTCTCTGTACAAAGTAAGGTCTATTTTTAAAGTATCCTTCCCAAGAGTATAGTGCATTGTTAAAGTATCCATTTGCTCCATTAAGCACTATATCTAAAATTCCTCTGGTTGGTGGTATACATGTAGGCGTATTGTATTTTGTAATTCCACTAAACCTACTCATGTGCATATTTGGACAACCAGGAAATAGTTTGACATCATCTGGAGATTGCACTAAAGGTAAACTTTGTAGTAATGGTGATTTAGGGGGTAAGAATGTGAATGGTCTGGCTTCATCAACAATGAGATCTTTGTCAAAAATAACGACTCTTTTTGATTCTAGACCTGGAGGGATTTTTACTGGTAAGGGATTTCTTAATGGTGAACTTGGATCTAAATCTATATAGGGAACTATGTCATGTGCAGCATACTTTCTAGGTTGTACATACCATCCTCGTGAAAAAGCTGGTGAGTATGGTCTTCCTAATATTTCTGCATATATCTTTCCTGTTGATGATTTTGGATTTGAGATTGGCCATGTGTCTCCTATACACCATCTTTCAAGTGGATAGGTCAGAAAAAATATATATAAAGTAGGGTTTGATGATATACGCTTATATACTGGTCTACGAATAGGATCAGCATACCATGGATAACGTTGGTCAGTATTAGAAAGAATAAGTGAGTCATCTCTTTGATAAATTCCATGTAGGGCTGCATTATATGCAGATCCTCTAACCTCTATAAATAAAGGTGTATAACGAATAAATGGAACTGTTGAAAGGTAGTACTCTTTATTAAAAATTTCATCTTTTATGAATCCGGGGAGCGAAAAGTGACCAAAATTAGGTGTCTTTAAGTTTTTAATTGATCCTTCTCCTTCAACTAGTATAGACCCAGCACTTATGCTGTAGTAAATTTTGTTTAATTTTTCAATTTCAGGAGTTACAAATTGCTCAATTCCTAACATTCTTTCGTTAGGTCTGACCATAAAAGTAAATTCATCAGTAGGTATCTTTTCTGTTTCTGGTCTTTCTGTTAATTGTTTAGGTTTTATATGTGAAAGTTTGACTTTCTTTGGAGATCTTTTTATTATAGCCTTGTTATAGTCTTCTTCAATGAAATCTTTCATTGTCGGTTCTTGTAGTTCTTCACTTTGTATAGAATCTTCATAGTCTATTGCTTTCTCTATATAATTTTTTTGGTCATTACTAACTTCTATAGACTT